AGTTAGTAAATTATATAATTTATTAGATAAAACTAATTATAACGTTAAAATTAATAACATTAAAAAAATTAATAAGTTTTACCATTATTACCAAATTAAAAATAATACCCCTTAAAAATTTAAATTTAACTTAAAAAATCTTAATATAAACTTTAATTATAAAATAATCGTTAATATTATATACTTAAATAAATAACTTATCTTTTATATCGTTAATATAACCATAAATTTCTAAACGACACGTTTTATAAAAAATCTCTCCGCTAAAAAAACCTAAAAAATATTAAGGTAATATTAAATCGATATATATCTTAGTTTATTAAATGTTATTATATATAACGCCGACATAAACTTTAATAACGTTAAGTTTAAAAATAAGACTTATATCGTAGGAATTACCTACCATTAAATCCTTGTAAAAACGCATTAATTAATTAATAAAATTAAAAAATATTACGGTTTTATAAGAAGAGTTTATAAAATTATAAGTAAAAAACTTTAAAAATTAAAGTTAAAAATGTTTTAACTTTAAATAATAATTAAAATAATAAACGACATAACTAACCTTGATAATTTTATTCTTACCCTTTTAATTTTCAACGTATATTTAAAAATTAACATAAATTCACCACTAACTTTAACGTAAACTTAAAAGGCTAAAACCGTTTAAAAAGTAATAATAAAAATTAAAAAATTAAAGGTATAATAATTAATTAAAAATACTTTAAATATAAGAAATAACTTTAATACTTAAAAAACACTTTTTATATTACTCCTTATAAGTAGTGACGTGCTCGTTTACAAGGAAAAAAATAAATAGAAAAAACCATATAAAGTTATTATCGTTATAAATAAGGACGTTATAATCGCTTTTAACGCTTTAAATAACATGTTAACATTTAAAAACACTTATATTAAACCTTACACCTAGTTAAAGGAGTCTTTAATATCATTAAAAAAACTTAAAATATAATTGTTGAAATTAACTTTTAACCTTAATAATTATGCCATTGTTTTTAAAGAAAACCTTATAATTATTAATAACTTTTCTTACGTTATAAGCTTATATTTCTCGGTAAAAAAAAAGGATAACCTTACCTTAACACTTAAATTACAAGCAAATAGCAAAATTATCGCCTTAAATAAATTATATAAAGCCTTAGATATAAAAAAGTTAAACGCCTTATTTATAAAAGGTATTTTTTAATTTAAAGTATATAACTTAATAACTTATTAAAGCGTAATTATTTTTAAATCATAAATAGTTTAAAAGGTTAAAAATAAGAACACCTTTACCCCTTATAAAAAATCACGATTAATAATTTAAGGCTACAATAATTTTAACAAAAAATTCATTATAACGTACGCCCCCATAATTTAAAAAGCTAATTAATAAATAATACTTGCTTTAATATTTATATTACGTCATTAAAAAATGAAAATTATAATAAAAAATATTATAATAACTTATACTTAATTAACCACATTAATAAAACAAATAATTTTAATACGTTTACCGGTTAAACTTAAAAAAAAATATCTTAAAAAAACGTTATTATAAGTTATAAAACCGTTATATAATCTCGTTAAATTAGGAACTTATTAATTTAAAATTTATTTATAACACCATTAATAATAATTATATATAAAACCATTAACGTTTGATTTATATTTATTGGTAATATAATTAAACCCCTTTAAACTTATTAATTTTTAAACGGATAACACTTTTAACGTTAACATGGATAAATTCCTCGCCGTTAAAAATAAGGCACTTATAAAAACAAATATTAAAACACAACCTTAGAAAATCTTAAATAAAAAAACGGAAAACTTTAACGGCTTAAGAATTACGGTTTACGAAGAAAACTACGATATTTTTACCATATAAAAAAAATAAGCTAAGAAATTTAACCTTTTAAACCTTAAAGCCCCGGATATAATTAAAAGGTTTGTCGAATAAAAGGTTTAAAAAATATATATCTCATTAATTTATTAACCCAAAACTACCTTTAATTACTTAATAATAGCTTAACACTTATAATTAAAGCTTAAAAAAACAAAGGCATTAAATATTAAAATTAAGTAATAATTAAATAATAAAAATTAAAAGCTTAATTATATTAACCTTAAACCTTAAAACCTACGTTTATACATTTTTATTAACGAATTATTTATAAATAATTAAAACCTTAACTTATAAATTAATTACATTATTATCTTAAGAATTAAATAAACCACCGATTAAAATAATAAAATATAAATCACTAAAAACATTATCCATTAATCATCTATTAAATATAAATAAATCACATATAATATATTAACTAATAAAATCTATAAAATAATTTAAGGCTTTAACGTTAATTACGTCATTTATCACACTTTTAACACCATTTTAAAACAATTATCACTCCTTAAAATTCCCCTCGTACTTTACATTAATTCCTTCTTATTATATTAATATTTAATCTAAATAAAAAACATAAATAAAAAGCAATTAATAATCGACTTAATAACTTTTTAATAATCTTATAAAAACTAAAAAATAAATAATATTCGTTAAATTTAAAGCAATTATAACTTAATTAATATTATAATTAAGGTATTTTTAAATAAAACCATAAAAACGTTAATAAAAACTAATTAAATTAATTTATAATTAAAAAAATAAGTTAAACATAAGGTAAACATGACATTCGCAATTAATTAATCGCAAAAAAAAAATAAAATAAGTAATAATTATATAATAAAAATACATATTAACATAATACGTATATAATTAAAGAAAATACCTATATAACTTAAATTATATAAAAAATTAAATCCCTTCCTTACTTTTAAATTTAAACCTCTTTCCTTAAATATTAATATTACATTAATTTTACCCCCATTATTTTTACTTTACTTATTATTTAATTTATTATATATATATACCTATTAATATTAAATTATTATATAAATACTTATATTAATTTAATAAAAAAAAAAATTATAAAAATTTCTATTATTAAATAAACTAATTAAATAACGTAATAATGTATTTAATATTTATTAAATAAATTTATAAGGCTTTATAAGTAGGTAAGTATGTTAACGATGATATTTCCTATAATGGTAGAAAAGTGGAGGAATTATGGGGTTAAGGTATATCTTGGTTTAAACTTTTGGCTATAGTCTTTGTAATTACATATATAGTTATATTAACTGCTTTTCCCACGTTCCCACGATAAAGGTTCGGTTATCACCCGAGATAGAGAAGCGGGGCTATATAAGCATAAACCCGTGCCTCGCATAACCACAAATGCATCCCAGTAAAGTCGCATTCGATGTTGAAAGAAAAGCATTAAATGTTCTCGAAACTTTGAATCTTTGCCCTATTTGCCATATCATAGTAAAAGATTGATCAATTGTTTGGTTTGTATGGTTTGTATGGTTTGTATGTACTTGGGCATATATCGATGATGTGCTTGCTACCTAGTAGGCTGGCAGCAAACAGTGAACCTTCAAATAGCCTAATGGCCTGGCCCGCTGCGAGTTTGACATTCAAGTTGCATTATACATGATCATACATGGGGATGTCTGCAGAGTAGTATATCGTATTTCAAGTTGATGCTTAAGCTATCGATATTTGATATTCATGATTGAAGATTATCGAGTAACACTGATGGACATTCAAGTATCTTCAATGTTCAACATTTGCACAGGTACTTACATAGTACAATGTAGGTACCTGAGATATGTACATACAGAGTACCTAATCTCTCGTCTAAAGATTTACAGAAACTCAGCGTGCATGTGGGGCTATCCCTGCCGTTCCTGAGTTCTCAACGGTCCCTGAATACATCTAGCCAATGATATGGCTTAAAAACAGAGCCCCTGGATAGCATAATCATATTAAGGTTGAGGATCTACACGGATAATGTAATCCGACTAATCCACTTTAGGTAGGAATGACGATGATAACAGGGATAATCGGAGCCGGACTTGTCTCAATGCCAAGATCTGCAGTATACCACGAAGCCCCTTCCCTAAGTAAAATACGAAATGAAGAGTCGACAGAGCCAACATATAAACTATGCATAGTAGTCTGGAATATGGGAATATCGTCTTGCTTGGCTGCTTGGTAAATGCACGGTGAGTAAAGGTAGGTTAGTGTAGGCCGTTATTAAAATTATCGTCCTGATTGCCTCATAATCGATACAATCAGTGCATACAATCGATACTAGGAAGGTACATCTGGGCTTGGACAAACCTCCTACATACCTGCAGTTAGCGCACTTAGTAAGGGTGCCTTTGTCAAAGTTCCCATGTACTGATTAGTACCTACCTAGGTACTTACCCCGTACTTGTCTCACGATGTTGAACCTTCTTATGCAAATGTCCCCACCTGCCATCCCGAGATTTTAGTCCTCCCTATCTATGTGTAACTGCCTGCCTTACTCAATATCCCCTTCTTTTCGTCTCTTTTTCCACTCCTTTTGCGCCTTCACCCATTCACCACCACCACCGCCGAAACATTCCGCTCTTTCGTATCTGTGACGATAACCGTCAACCACGCTCTTTACTTATCTTGACCAATTGTCTAGACTTACCTAGATCATTGGCACTATCACGCTCATTTTCTTGTGTTGATCGCATTCGTTTCGGTTCAGGCAAGGAAGCAAACATCGCTCTTCGTTTGGTGCTCCTGCGAAGCTCATGACCGGTAGAAAAAAAACCAACAGCAAAACTCGCGAGCAAGATCAATCAATCGCACTACCTAACGTCTAGTGATTTTATATCAAGTTGTGGGATCGCCTTTCGTGTCTCCTGACTCAATAGTCCATTTGCGCAAGTCTATTAAGACTGCTAACTAAGGATCCTCAAGTTGTTCCGGGTTTCCTAGATAGTCACGGCAGATTGGTATTAACGGTGAATTGAGGAGGACGACATTGGCGATAGCCTCGGGTGATCAAATTGTGTGACTACGGGAATTTCAACACCGGGCAAAGGGTACTGTATGACACAGTTCACACAGACTACTCTATCCGAGCGTTGAAGCCCATTGTTTGCCGAGCAACTAAGCACATAAAGCGAAGAAAGGGTGAGCCGGCTGCACCTATTCGGAACACATCATCGAGGGAAGCACACTGTACCAGGCATCGCCTACCTTTCTCAGCCTTTATCAACAAACAAACCTTTCCGTATTTTGCGAAATTCTTCGACAACTTACTTTCCGCCCGACTAGAATTACACTTGTAATTCAATCCACGAACTTTACCTTACCTGCAAATCAATTTACGATATTGCAAAATGGCAGCCAAGACTTTGTCCGTCTTCGCTCTTCTGAGCATCTTCAAGGATGTGTCAGCTTTCTGGCGTATGGAATGTCACGGCCGCGCGGGTCTAGCGCGTATTGACCCGATTATGGACTCGGGCAAATTATCTCCTCATATCCATACTGTCCATGGCTCTTCTGGTAGGCGGCTTGTTTCTTATCTTGTGCATGAGTATATGTACTGTGTTTGATGCCTGCACGTGTTTGCAGACAAGTCTCAAACACTATTCTCTGCTGAATACTGACCGATATTGTAGGCTTCTCTCTAGCGGCAACATTCGATGATCTGATGGGTGGTAGCTGCACCTCATGTGCCGTGAAGCAGGATAAGTCCGCATACTGGACGCCTGCTCTTTACTTCCAGGATGCCAGCACTCAAGAATTTGAGATCGTTCCCCAAGTTGGAGGAATGTTAAGGTATGTTCAGCTGCCTTGATTATCCCATAGACTCCTTCTTTACATCAATTACTCTGTCCCGTGCACTTACCTTGCATTGCGAAACCCTTTGTACTCGGTTACGGGCAACCGCCTTCTACCCAAACCGTAAAAACAATGACGATCTCCTTTGTATATAAGGTTATCTAACATGAACAATAGCTACTACCTTTTGCGTGGAGACAACGTCACTGCTTTCCCGCCTGGGTTCGAGATGATCGCCGGCAGCAACTACCGAAGGGATTATACCGTTGGTGATCCTAAATCCCCCGATCCTCCTCAGTCCGACTGGGCTAGTCTCAAACAGACCGGTCAAGCAGACCTGGAGCAGCGAGCAATTGGATACAACTGCCTGGACTATAGCAAGGCCCCCGAAGGGTCACTCTTCCGACACTATATGCCGCAGAAGGATTTCCTCGATGGCAACTGCCCTGATGGCCTCCGTATTGAGCTGATGTTTCCTTCTTGCTGGAACGGCGACATCACTTCCAAGGATCATAAGAGTCATGTGGCTTATCCTAACCTCGTTGGCAACGGTGATTGCCCGGATACCCACCCAAACCGTCTCGTAACCCTATTTTATGAAACCATCTGGGACACCCATGCCAAACAATTTCAAGGCCGCGCAGGACAGTTTGTGGTTTCCAATGGTGACCCCACAGGTAAGCTAAATAGGACGATCATGTTTTCGAGGAAATGACTAATAAGATGGCAGGCTTCGGTTATCACGGCGACTTTATGACAGGTTGGGATCCTGCCTTCCTACAAGAAGCTATCGAAACTTGCACGAACGATTCTGGCAACATTCGAGATTGCCCTCTGTTTGTAAACCAGGGCCCTCTCCAAAACGACCAGGAGCAAGAGTCTTGCGTATTCGATGTCCCTGCAGAGTTGGCCAATGAAGATGGCACTGCACTAGCCCTTGCGGCTCTGCCTGGCAATGTACAAATCCAAGTTGGCCCACAGTCCGCTACTGCTGGTGGCATCGGCGTTGATGTCCCTTCGATGTTCTCCAAGGCAACTAGCTGGTTCGGCGATGTGTTCGGCGGCGGCGCTGCTGCTACAACTACCTCTAGCATCCCCACTAGTGTTCCCGCTCCCGCTCCGACTACCAGCACACCGGCAGCCACAAGCGCAGCGATGGTGGCCCCTGGTGGAGCTTTCATTGAATCATCGTCATCTGCGTCCGCTGCTCCGAATTTCAATATCCTCGCCACGCAGCCAGCCCAGACATCGACCCCCTTGACCTCTACTCCGTTGCCACCAACGACCACTGCCGCGCCCGTGCCTACCTCCGAACCCGGCGTATCGTACGAGATTGTTAGCACCCAGACTATCACCAAAGGTCAACAAGTCGAAGAGGTCATTTGGAAAGAACCTGTTGTATACGTAACGGAAGATTCTGTCTCTACTGTCGTCGTAGGAGGCCCCGGGGCGAAGGCAGCTCGGCATTTGCACGGAAGGCACGCATTGCGACATCGACACAACGGCCGATCGTAAGTGATGGACAAAATGATGGACCAGGTATCCATTCTCCCATATTTATTTCGGTGGAAATATTTGCACATCAATAAGAATTGATGAACAATTTTTGCATCATGTTTCAGGGTCTGATTCTATTTCAGCCGGGAACCTTTTTTTACTACATTGAGGGCGTTCTTGGGAGAGCAGAAGATAGGTGACGAAATAAAAGGCATTGACGCGCAAGAGCCTAAAGATATCTCACCATGCAGTACAAACGCGCCGGTATTGGCTGAAACTGATATTGCATAGGGGATCGATCTATGTCTAGGCATTCAACGAACACTTGGGGCAGTGGTACTAGTCCTGGGTTAAAGCATACAAGCATACCTCGTTACCTACCTACATTGTCTACATAGCTCCTCGTTGCATTTTGAGGGTGGCATCTCTTCCGGCAAGAGATTTTCGGAATTTTCTCTACTGTCTTTAGTAAGCAAGATTAACCTGCATAGAGGAGCAATCTCACGGGGGAACCAAAAAAGAAGAGTAACGAATTGAACGAAGCAATTGTGATGTTCATCATTTGTGACTTGTTCGTTACCTGCTTGACAATGTAATCACACAAACCTCATTGCATCGAACGTGGACCGTAAAGATACGCTTGTGTACATACATACTTGTTGATAGTCTGCCAATGGATGGGTAATAACCCCCTTTATTTATGGGCGCGAAAAGAGTGTTTGTTAAACCCGATTTGTCGTGACGGCTTTTTTTTTTTTTTTTTTTTCCTTTATAGTACATACGTACAGTACTACCAATAGACAATGATTAGAGTAACCTTAGTAAAATCCAAGAATCCTTTTTTCCCAATTACCTAAGTTAATTATACATCGCCTGCTTGTCCATGCCATGTGCCTATTTTGATTGCTGTCTCGCAAGAGTCTTGAAGAAATTCATAAAGGTGAGACGAGACGGGCGATGAATGATGATGTTCGGCTGGAATGCGAGCTAGCTAGCTAGCTAACCTACTCTAATCTTTTCTTGAATGTTCCCCACGAAATAGGTAGTTATTTACGTATGTAATGTAATGTAATGCAATGTAGGTTAGGTAGGTAGGTAGGTAGGTAGGTAGGTAATCTATATAAGTGCAAATGGCAACGCATTCCAGCTGCCCACATTTCTTAGCTGCGAAAGCTCGACTCGAGATGACTGCATTCCCGAGCACCCACCGATGTCTTCTTTTATTATTATTACTATTGTTACGACCTAGGTATTGCGTTTATGGGGCCTAGGTACCTGAGGTAGGTAGTTCGTAATAATAATAATAATAATTTCGACATGGCTTGAATTGGCCTGTCTTGTTTATGTTTTGCTACGGGCATGTATGTACCTACCTACTCATAATGTGTGGAAGCTTAGGTGTATTGGTTTTCTTCTTCCTGTCGATGGGTTTGTGTCCGTTCTTTTCCTCCTCACTCTCTTTAACTTTGCTGCTGTGTTGTATTTTGCTTCGAGTTGTCCTGGCCTACGTGGGACTACACACTCTCTTTACAATTCTCCTTACACCATTCGTTCTTTAATTTAGTCATATGAGTGAGGCCAGGACAGGATTCGAGATCGAGGCCGAGTTTAGTTGGCGAACCGTTCTGAGGAGCTGGGAGAGATATATATGGGCCGGAGAAGGAGACACAAATCCACAAGATACCTTCAAACTTCTATACCGATGACATGGCGCTGCCAATTTTCACCAAGAGACAGGACGATTCGGGCAGTGACGGTGGGGAGTCTATGGAACTCTCTGCAGGTGCGATAGCAGGGATCGCAGTAGGCGGCGCCGCGATACTATTCGTAGCACTCGCATGGGTGTTAGTGAAGGCATCGAGACGAAACAGCTATAACCGCCAAGAGTCGACGCATCCAGAGATGTCCATGGAAACGGGAACGGCAGAGGGCGGACCCAACCGGTTGCGTAAGAAGAGCTTGGTTGGCGAGCAGATGGCTGCGATCATAGACAAGGAAGACGACGTGGGCAGAGAGGAAAGCAGGAGTAGACACTCGAGCATCAACGTGCCATCGCCCATCAGAACACGACAAGGGAGCATGTCGAGAACCTCAATTACCGCCGACGGCACGGGGCGCGGCAGCACGGATACGCAATCCCAGACCCAGAAGCAACGGTCCCCGGAGAAGCAGAGAGGTTACGGTTTATACCAACATCGACGCAAGACTTCATGGATCGACGAAGACGCCCTGCACGGCCCGACCATGACATCTCCCGAAAAGACGAAGCAGAAACATAAGCGCAAGATGAGCTGGTTCGACGGCGGCCTGGGCCGTTCCCTGAGTCGGCTTTCGACAAGAAGTGGGATGGGAGAGGTCAGTCCAACACTGCCTTACACTGAGACGGAATCGGATCGACAGCAGGTCGACACACATGCCGAGAGCGCTGGCGAACGGAGTACTATGAGAATCTCGCAAACCACGCAGATTTCCAGCCATACCATAACACCACATACGTCCTTGCAACCACAACAGCTCCATCAGCAGCAGCAGGCATACACCAGTCCACAGAAAGCACAACGGCCCGTCAGCAATGTCAGCCCGAGCAAAGGTAACATGGGGAAATCGCCACCCGACATAATCCAGAACCCGCGATTTCGGGACCGGGTCTCTTTCCAAGCAGCACAGCAATTGGCAGGCGGTGCTCGCGTACCCGCCGTCCTCAGCGTTCCGCATCAGCCACCACAGGCACCTTTACCACAGCCAATGCCGCCAACGTCAACGATTAGACAGGCTCCCATTCTCAAGCACAGCGCCACCGACACCGAGTTAACGGAGATCCTACGGATGACAGCCGAGCGGCTACAGGATGGGCATCGTAGTTCGAGAAGACAAACGATGATGGTACCGTACTCATCCACAAGCCTGCTCGACCAGAACGGCCAACTCTACTTTGACGGCGGAAATGTAAGCCCCGGTAGCGAGCTTCCGAGTAGTGGGACCATTAGCCCCGTGAAAAGCCACAAGAGCGCGCCGGCAACTCTAGCGTATATTGAGTTAGAAGGGAGTAACCCAAAGCCGCAGGGACCCCGGGGAATGGTGCAGACGCCAAGGCACTCGCGACACATATCGCATATGTCGCAGATATCACAAGTGTCTATGATATCCGAGGCAGACAGTCTCGTCGCGTCGAAAAGAGAGTCGGTCCAGGAAGTGCGCACGGCCTTGTCCAGCCCGAGCCGCGTCGCGAGATCAGCAGAGCCCACACCCAGTCCTCAGGGGCCGCGACCGTTCTCGAACGGCAGCACCATGTCCTCCGCGTTATCAACATTGTACAGCATGGAGGAGGCGTCAGTCCGCAGTCAACCGCACGGTAGTTCAAACGCGAACAGTAGCCCGGCGGGCACTCCACGGCGTGAGAAGAAGCCTTCCGCGTTCGACATGTTCAATGGGAACCCCGACCCAGAAAACCGGGACGGCAAAAGTCCCAAATTCCGGTTCGAGCAGGGCGATCGGCCACCCCCTCTCCGACTCCGAAGAGGGACAATGGGCATGGTTGCGCATGATAGCCTGCCATCTTCTATGCTTTCCCCGCGGCAGGACATGGATCCTAACAGATCGACCAAGCACAAGTCATCGTATATCGTCCCCCCCTCGTATCCTATCGACGACCCATTCACAATTCAAACACCGCCGAAGAACCCTGCTCGTCTGTCCAAAGTATTTTCTCCTTTGCCAGTAGACTATTCCGGCGGAGGGGGGAGTCCAAACCGCAGAAATGCCTTTGTCACACCAACACCATCGCCGACGCGCACCGTAGTGCCTCCCTCACCTCGAACGATCATCAACATGCACCGCCGGAGTAGTTCGGGACGGACTCCTACCAGTCCAGTAGTTTCAGAAGCCGGGTTATCGTCAGTGTACGACAGCTACAGATACAGCCACGGAGAAGCGCCAAATGAGACGGCCACTGACAGCACGGTATCCTTGACAACAGTGCTGACAAGTAGTTCGGACGCATCGCCGACGAAACAAGTTCTCAGCCATACCCCATCATCTGGGCGAGAGTCACGAGTCGGATTTCGGGTTCCGAATTACAGCCAGCCTAGTGTCAATGACCAAGACGCCAAAGCTAAGCACTATGACATCGGGCCCACGGCACGAGTACCGCAGACTCCAGGGCAACCTGAGCCGCGCCGTGGTATGCCTTCGGACGGGTCCATCTACTCGCAAGATGAAGACAGCGTGCCGCCTCTGCGAACGCCGACAGTCAAGCGTGGCAAGAGCGTGCGGATGTCGAACACCATATCGGAGCTGCGACGCATGAACAGCCAGATCAGCACAGCCAGCGACCTGAGCGTCGCAAGTTCCACGGTGCCAGTCATGCGAGGTGGTGGATCAAGTCCCGGCTGGCAGAGTGGCGGCGGCAAGAATTATCTTTCTCTAGGAGGGGGGTTGCGGAATAGTGGTAGATCTACCTCGTCGAAGGGCAACAGGGTCAGCTTTGCTAGCGATACTAGTACCTCTCCTAAGCCTAACGGCTTCATACGAAGAGGTACCCCCGGAAGAGGTCGAAGGGGAACGGTGGTGCTACAAGGGTCAGAAGCTAGGAGACAAGAGCTCGACCGGGTTCGCGAGTCGCCGAGAAGAGGTGATAACGATGCCAGAGTCAACGTCGTGAAACACGCGGGGCAGCTCTTGACGCAAGCCACCAAACTAAGGCGTGAAGAAATCACAATCAAGCGAGGTAGTGTCGAGAGCTTGTACGATGATAAGGGGTTTCTGAAAAGTCAGCTATAGTAGAGCGGCTTCTCCCACTCTCCAGGCCAGCATATTATCCCTTACTTGTAAACACTGTACTAATATCCTTTACTTTCACTGAACACATCGCATTTATCCGGACGCGTTGAAGCATTCTCATATCATGTCCCTACTACCTATAGGATCGGGTTCCTTGAGTATTTGGTTGAAAAGGGGTATATTGGGGGGTTTTCCTTTCTTTTAATTGGGTTTTCATGCATCATAGCTAGACTGTCCAATTTTCGGCTGTACAAGTCAAACATATCGTGTAGTAAGCTTAATGGCGTGCCTATTATAAGCAAGGACTACATTAATAAACATACTTCTCAAGAAACAGAGTGATTGGACTTACAAAAATGGGAACCTCCATTTATTGCTATGGACTCTTGTTGAGCAAGGAAGCAAAATTGCTGTGTATATGCTCTATTGCTCATAAAGTGGTCCTCGGTGTTTCCAAGGCAGCTCGTTTATTCCGTTCGCGGCCGTTTTGCATCCGCATCGTCGCCGTTATCTTGCCCATTTGGGCCATCTTCTTCCACCTCATCGCGTCCTCGAACCCGGCCCGCACCATCTCCTAGCTCCCCACTCACGCCAGTTTCTCCGATCCAGTTGCCGTCCTCGTCGAAATATTCATTCACGTTGTCGGCAGTAATCCAACCACTGCTTCCCGGCATCGGAGGTGGTAGGCCACCATTAGCATCACCTCGGAGCACACCAGGTAGTCCATCCACAGCATCTCCTTCAACATTTCCTTCAAAGATGACTCGGTCGAACTCGTCTCCCTCCTCATCTTCCTCTCCCTCGTTTTGGGGATCAGGATGTAGGTTAGAGCACGCCGATATCTGGTTAAATAATGCGTTGGTCCTCTCGTTATTGAGAGGGTCAACGATCAGCGCCTCTGTAGAGGGCTGCTCTTTTGGCAAGGCCTTGGAGGGGACGAGAGTGAGCTCAATAGGGTCAGAGAATTCATCATCGTCTCCACCCTCTCTTGAAAACTCAAGCTGCATGTAAACCCCAGCGAACTTGAATGAATCGTCATCAGGTTTCTCAACATGACGGAAATTCTTGATTGCATGGAGTGTGATGGACGGGTAAGGTATCTCAATACCCGTTTTGGTCTTGTGCGAGAAGAGAATTAACTTGCTGTTTTATGTTAGTTATATACTACTAAGTACATTGAAGGTATCCTGCATGATAATTCTCACCTGGACGCAACAAAAGCCTCGACTCTCTCCTCGTGGAAATGACTTCCCCCATTGTTTTCCAGTGCGTAGGACTCTGGGGGGGTAGGGTTTAAGGATGTATCATCATCAGCGGAAGGTTTTGAGAAGAAGAAGAGATCTTCGTATTTCTCTGCAGAGATCCACGCCTTGACATTCTCATCGTGAAAATACAAGATTGGCTTCCCGTCGAAAAAGGTCTCCGGGGTATGTGTCTGATATTCACTGAGAGGCTGAAAGTCATTGTCTGCCGACGGGCAGCTTCGAATGACGGTAGGAGGAAGCATGGTGCTTGTATGTGAACCGTTAAAATAGAGATGAATAAGAATGAATAAAAATGAGTCTTAGTGAAGTTCTTGTGTATATTCAAAGTGGTATAAAAAAAGGTTGGAAGGCGAAAGAAAGTTGATAGACGAGATCAAACCTTATGAAGTCCGCACGGCACGGTGGTTAATGGAAAAATAAGTGGGTTAGAGGGGCTGGCTCTTAAATACAATACGGATATGCAGGTACCTTATCGTTATCAGATGCCACTTACGCAGCAGCGTCATAACTATCAGTTACCCGACATTGTGTACTTATATTGAAACTTCAACTTTAACAATTCAAGCCGGGAGTCCAGCAGTCCAGTCGAGCCATTAAATACCTAGGACTACCTGCGTACCTACCTAATTAACCTTACACAATAAACCCAGAGAGACAGTTCCAATTATATCATTTTGATTTCTACCATGGTCACAATGCGCGACGATCGTAAGTCCCCCCTTCCTCCCCTCACCAAACAACAACTTGGAAACATCACCACCAAAGCCAACCAACAACTAACCACCCCCAAACCCAACAGACACCCACCCCCTCCTCGCCCAAGTCCCCCTAACCGTCTCCCCCTTCCTCTCCCTCCCCAGCGCCGCCACCCTCCCCTACACCTACAAGCCCATGCCCTCGACCCTCCCGCCCCCCATCACCGGCGTGACCGGCGCCAACAGCCACCACAACTCCAACTCCAACTCCAACCCCCCCAAAGCCGACAAGGTCCCCTACGTCGTGGCCCCGCAGTCCGGGCACGCCGCCCACCCCACCGACATCGCCGCCTCCTGCCTCGCCCTCCAGGCCCACCTGTCGAGGACGCAGACGGAGTCCGCGCGCGCCCTCGGCGAGCTGGAGGCCCGCATCCGCGCGCGCGAGCTGGCCGAGAAGCGGCGCGTCGCGCCGGGGTGGCTGGACAGCGAGGCGCGGCTGCTGCAGCCTGAGCGGCGGCCTGGGTTCGCGGAGGCGGATGGTGGGGATGGGGACGGGGACGGGGATGGGGGGGATGGCGGCGACGTGGCGGCGACGAACCAGCTGATGGCCGAGATGAGTCTTGCGGGACGGCGGGAGAGCGGCGCGATTAGCGAGATGGCGGCTGTGGTGGTGGACCAGGGCGAGGAGCTGGATCGCGCGTTTGGTGGGATGAAGTGATGTTTTCTTCTTCCTCCTTACGTGCTTTTCTGGAATTGAACTGAATTGAATTGAATCGGGAGCGTTTGTGGTGGGGATTACCTGAGGTTGCTTCTTTTATATACCTATATATCTACTTGCATGCAATGGGACTTAGCATAGGGGTTTGAGGCGGTTTTTTTTTTTTGGGAAAAGCGGGAAAGGAGTCTGCCTTGGTGGGAGTGGAGATCAAATACATATGCCATTTCATCCTACTCTACCTATGTAGGTAGGTACGTGGTAGGTTATGAAGCTCTACAGGTCCAACGCGTTCCTCCTAGTACTAGGTACGTTCTACCTAGTGTAGTAGTTGAAATGCCATCAACCTCATTCCCATAACACACTTATAATGGACCCAGCAAACAACGATAACACCGATTTTCCGATTTCCTTTTTCTTCCATAGCACAAATTGCATGCAAGCAAACATCCGGCCTCTATACTCCATGCCTGTATAGGTACCTAAGGTAGATAGATCACTCAATGAGCTGGGGTCTAGCGGCACTCGAACCGTCCAGCTCCTCATCCGCCTTCCTCTTCTTCCCAGCAGCACTGCTAGTCTGTTCTGCAGTTTCCGATTCTGGCGTGGCTTCCAGCAAGATCAATTCCCGGTAAAGGTCGTCCCCCAACAACGACTTGACATATTCACATCGGAGTTTGCTGACTCGCTCCTCTAGTGCTGCCATACTAGCTTCGTATTCTCGCAAGTTGTATGCGTATTCTGTACCTCGCTTATACACAATCAAGCCGTGCGGAGAACGACTCCTCTCACTGTCGAGTTCGAAGGATCTCACAGGTAATAGGAGCCTTGCATGTTGTTTCTCTTCTGGGCGCAGCCAAAACGTTTGGGCCTGCATAATCGGGTCCCTGAGGAAAGTATTAAGCTGCTTGCATACGTGGCAAGGCCCAGATATAGGGCATTCTGTAGGATTGTGTGCCCATCCCCGAGGCTGCTTCGGACGCTTTGGAACCCGGACGACGAGGGCACCACGTATGAGAGCCACAAACATGTTCTTAACTGACTCAAGAGGTGGGGCGGCATGCTTTTGTAAGGTTGATGCCAAAGTACTCAGGAATTCTCGGACTGGGTCGATGGATAAAGTGTTCTTATCCTCTTTGGAGTAGCCACCGTAAATATTAGTACAGCTTGCTTCGAGAAGTCTGGTCGTCAGCTGAGATAACCCCATGCTCATGCCTTGGTCAAATAGTGTGATTGTCTTTTTGAGCGACCTTTCGTTGCTTTTGTGCCTGTGAGCACCATAATCATAATGATTATACAGATTATGCTTGGGAACAGATCTGGGGATGTCGCCTATATGCAACGCCAACTTCTTTACACTGCCTTTCAGAATGCATTCGAAGATGTCCGTAGCGTTCACCAGCAGTTTACTATCTCGTTTGTCATAGATGGCCGTCAATACAGCGTAAATGAGATCATAGGAACCACGAAAGGCGAGTTTCGGGGCGAGCCTAGGTAGTCAATAAATCAGTATCGGTACAAGCCATAGATGGTCCATCAGGCATCGACTAACCAACTCTTCAACCACTGTATGTCTTCGGACCGCGAGAATATGAAGCCTATCAAGTAGTTATAGTCATCTATATCGAGTGTAACCTTCGATTCAATCGCCTTTTCCGGAATCTGTGTCTTCCAGTTTTGAAAGGAAACTTTCAGATTCTCGTCTTGGCCTAGAGAATTTAATGGGCCAAGGTTTTCCGACAGTTTGCTTAACGAACCCCCGCAACATCTCTCGATTACCTTGCCAAGCCTAGATGATTACATACTAGTTAGAAATAGAGGTATAAGAGTGTGATGTGGTGGTATGTACCAAAAATCCCAATCGGGTGGCTTCTGAGGATTTTCGAGATGGCTCTCCTTAATAAGCCGGGCTATAGTCGTCAACATCAAAGCTCGATTAGCTGCGTCTCTCAGTGATGCGCAGACCGCGTGCTGATACAGAGATTTCATCCGCATTTTAACGGCCATGGTCGCCACCTCAGATAATAATGAACCCTCTGCTAACACATCAGTGCGTAATTGATCTTGTAGAAGTTTCAACATGTATGCGTGGGTCTTATGGTCATCCGGCCGATCTTCGCAAATCCGATGGTAGAAGCTCCATATAAATGCAGTACTAACATAGCCTAAAGAATAAGGCATTCTGTCTATGGGGGTCACAACCACGACCTGTATATCAAGTCATCATACAGAAGGGGATATAGATACGGGTTGTGGGAGCACTCACAGTATCATGGTAACGGAGAGTCGACGGCATACTTTCGTTGCCAGTAAATTCGCCTTCATCCTCACTGTCAGGTCTTCGATTCCATAATCTTGAGCCTAGAATCTCATCTTCCTCTACCTCAGCATAGGAAGTGAGGGAGCATCCATCGTATGTCTTCACATCCTTTAGTGTCGTCGATTCTTCGCCGTCGTCGTGACCGTAATACTGGTTATCGGATTGGACTCGCAGCATCTCAGCGAAACAGATACAAAACCCGCTGTCTAAGCCAACCTCATGTAAAGCTTGGCACACAGACCTATCCCGGCCCTTTAGGTTGTTCAAACTCAAACTCAAGTTCGTATATTTATGGTCGAGCTTGTATACTAGCTTCTGCAGGGAAGGCAACTTTTTCTTCCACTCTGTAAGTAATGCCTGGAGCTGCATCGACTGCTTCCCAACGATGCTGGCAGACACACGCATGCCACCGGTGTGGATGAGATTATAGGTTATCACCAAGCGGTATCCGGACTGCAAAGGCTTTATCTCGTGTGTGACGTCGGAGAACCATGCAAGACTTGTGAGACCAAAGTCTGATGTCTTATCGGTCTCGAAGATGTAATTCTTACCGGCATGGGATAGATGGACGTTGCCGCCAGTATGCTTCGATGGAAGACAAACGACTAGTGTTCCCACCATCCCTGGGACCTTTTCAGAATCTTTGTGCCGTTTGAAGAACGACCCTTCTTCGTATAGTAATAGCTTATACGGCTCTGCCCTTACCCCCTTTATGCCCAACGCTTCCTTAACGTTGGCTACTAGTGAGTCTAGATAATCTTGCCAGCGGGGATTCGCAGTTTTAAATTGGCTGTGGTCGAGCTCCCAGGTCTTTCGTACCGAGGTATCGACCACGGTCTGTGTAATGGCCAAGAGTTAGCAATAGCGAAGGAGTCGTATTAAAAGCCCATACCTCGTCACCTCTGCCGAAGGGAGCCTGTCTACAGTGGCTCTTGATGATGTCGGCATCGCGGGGCACCAAGGGTAGTGGAATCAAAGTGTCAGCGACCATCAAGCCAGGATTAACGAAGGCATTATGTCTCTTGCATGTAGCAACATTGCCAGTAGTTTGCATCCCATCGAGACATATTTTCATGTCCGGCTTCAAACGACCTAGGATGACTTCTTCTTCTTCTTCTTCTTCCTCCTCTTCTTCCTCTTCTTCTTCCTCTTCCTCTTCCTCCTCCTCCTCCTCCACCTCCTCCACCTCCACTACCTCCTCGGAGCTATTATCTCCATCGGAGATCTCAATCGGGTCTTCGATACCTCGATTCATGATTTGACTGTTACTACCGTGTAAAGCTATGCAGGTAGTTCAAGGTTTCAGTTACTACTACTCGGTACTGGTCTGGTAGTAATAATAGTAGTGGAAGGCATGTATGATAGTTGGAGTCACATATATTTGTAGAAGCCTGGTAATATTCAAATTTCATGCAAACGAAAAAAAAAAGAACCACCAAAAACCTTAGGTTTGTGTCAGACGCGACGGAATCGCGTTTGCAAGGCACCTGGGCAATCATTTGCACAGACCATCACAACTTACAACCCTAGACCTTGGTACTGTCCTACGTCATAGGCGAATTGTTTGCTCTCCTATCACGATAACATCACGATAACATTCAATGTTTAATACTGTCGCGATTCCCCATTTTCATGTCGCCACACTTTTGCGCCTCTATGTTACCTGTCATATCGCCTCCGAGGGTGCCTGCCGCAAGAATTCTCTTAGCAGTTGATGAGTAATGAATAGTAGAAGCAAAAGAAAGAAAAAGCTAAGCTTTTTACAAGTTCCATAAGCTCGTTCATTACAAGGAGGAGCAGAGCCAAACTAGGCCGTCAGTAAACATAGCACTGAGGGGTTACAATCCCATCAATGATAGCAGGTAGCCGGGTAGCCATCCAAGGCCCTCCTGAATCCTCATTCGCCGTATATCTACCTACGCAACAGGTAGGTAAAGGGAAGAAGAACAGGAACTAGAAGAACAAAAACGAAAGAAAGCGGCAACATTGAAGTATAAATACTTCGCCAAGCCGCCTAGGAGACTCGTTAGTCTCATCCCAGATCGGATACCCTGTGTAGTTAGGTAGACTCTAGAGTACTTCCTAGTGTATGTAGGTAGGTACGGCGGTACGCAGGTGGAGCGACCGAGGTGAGTGTTCCGAATGGACCAGACCGGGAGGCGGTCAGTCAATATCAACCTAGGTACCCAGTTAGGTAGGGTAGGGTTAGGTATGTAAGTATGGACTTACTCACCCACGCAGTCACGTCAAGCCCAAGCGGATACAGCATCTGTCCGATTTTCAATAAAATGTCGACAAGCATTCGCAACGAATAAATCAATAAAATACGTCAATGACGTTGTTGGTGACATACATGGAACCAAGCCAGGACAGTACCCTAGATACATACCTAACCTAGGTAGTTAGTGTAGTTAAACTAGCAGACCGCCTCACCTGTCCACATTGCCATCGAGGCAGATATGCAGGTCAAGCTGAAGTATGTGAGAAGCCTTACCTAATTCCCCCAAAATGGCACAACTTTTTCGGCCCAATAAGCACGAACATCCATGTTCCGTAGTAGGTATAGAGGCCTAAGAAGAAAGCTCCAACCCGCTTTGCATGAACCTTCCTAGCCTTTCTCCAGTCATTGAATTTATGGATGGCAAAGACTGCATTTTCAGATCGGGCGGGCAATACTTCCGAACCAATAGATCCATCAAAACTTTGTCCATTGAACAGTTCCTCTGGCTCGACGGGGATATGGATATGTAGATATGTTGCCTCAAGCAAAACCGGTCAGGGGATAAGTCCCATGACAATTACAGATATGATATCTGCATAGCCACGAACGAACCAAGGAACGAACAACTGAACGCTGTCCTGCAGAGAATAGCATGGCGACGATGCACGGGATGTCAAATATCAAAAGTTGTTCCCGAAAAAGACGTGGCAAGTCTGCCAAAAGCGTCCAGTTTGACCCCACACCGCTGATGACTCTTACAGCCAGCCAATTCATTAATGGGGCGAACGGATCCATCGCATATGCGCGCGTCTTCTTCTCCTTCTCCCGTTCCTCTTTCCCGATTTACTTACCTTTGATCTGGCCATCCATGCAGCGAGATGGGCACACAGTTCGCTGCCGATGCTGACATGGCCTCAAGATATACAGATGAAGTGTGCCTGAAGGATCGTTGGAATCATTCCCGTGTTACCGCGGCTTGGGGCGATGGGACTGAAAACAATACATAGATGGGACTTCCAACACTTTACTTGGCCTCGTGATATTGAGAGAGATGCGATCACTCGTCTAGAAATATAAGTGTCTGGGCTTGCTCCACGAACAGATGCCTCTTGATCCAGAACCACATCACCATTCGTGCTATGGGTACTTGAATATGATGGGGGAGGGGGGCGCTATTGGAACCCAACCCAAGGTTCTATAATCCCCATATCCAGGAATGATTTAAAAGCCCAAGGGGAATTTCGAAAAGGTCCAACTCGGTGAATGAAAGTAGATATTTGATTTCCCGTTGAAATTAGGCACAGCGGCTGCGGCTGCGGCTCATGCACCAATAGGTATAAGGACGAGGCGTTCGAAACAACGCTGAGAATTGTACTCGGAGGTGTAGGCCAATACCTTGAAAGACCGAATTATCAGGGTTTCCCTTTCTTTGTCCTTTTTCCTCTGATAGGAGGGAGGGCAGCATGCCGGTTGACCTAATGCGATGTACGTGATGCGCATGTGGGTCGAGCATGCGGCCTTGGGACGATACACGTATGCCCTGGACGGGGTCAACACGTTGGACCTAAACTTATAGAGCTTGGGTTGTTAAATAGGAAAGAAAAAAAATATCCGGAAGAGAAAAAAAATCCTCCAACATATTCTGTTATACGAATGCCCGTCACGCGGGCGGACTTGTCATCTAAGAGTCCATTGAAAGTAGTTAGAAAGTGGTCAAACGCCATCCTCACGTTAGCCAGAACCAAGAACAATCATACCAAGATGTCTCCCTACGTTAATTCATCCTATAATGAGCCCGAGAATCTGGCACTCGAGCCCATCGCCATCTGTGGAATGTGTAAGCAGTGAAATCCTTGAAGCGAATCATCTCAGACGGCCACCTGCAATTTGATATACCTAGGATTAACCTTTAATATGTAGCATGTCGACTTCCCGGTGGTGTCGATTCTGACTCGACCTTCTGGGATATGTTGATCTCGAAGCGAACGGGACTGAGTCCAAAAGTTCCCGCGTCCCGTTTCAACGTCGACGCCCATTATCACGAGGACCTGGACCGACCGGGTTTTTTTCTCGACGGCCGGCCCGAGGATTTCGACCCTACTTTTTTCAATATCACACCGGCGGAGGCTCAATCATTAGATCCACAACAGAGAAAGATACTCGAGGTGACTTACGAATGTTTTATGTCAGCGGGTGTAACTTTAGAGTCTATATCTGGATCGAACACTGCCGTTTTTGTGGGGTCTTTCACAGCCGACTATCGTAGGTTTTCATATGCTTCCATGACCCCTTATTCGTGAATGCTGGGATAAACTGTATTAGTTGCTGACTCTTAATGGCGCAGAACAAATATCTATGCGAGATCCTGACTTCCGTCATAACTATACTGCCACCGGAGTCGACCCCGGCATCATTAGTAACCGTGTGAGCAATGTTTTCAACTTGAAGGGACCAAGGTATGCTATCCATTACCATCCATGGATGCCGAAAAGTCGAGACGAAACTTACCGTGCCTCACACAGTTTTACTATAAATACGGCGTGTTCCTCCTCAATTTATGCCCTACACCAGGCCAGCCACGCACTTCGCAATGGAGATTGTGATGCTGCCATCGTTGGTGGTGTAAACTTAATACTTACTGTAGATCAACATATGAATACGGCTAAGCTAGGCATATTATCTTCTACGTCGACATGCCACAACCCCGACGCGTCCGCCGATGGGTATGGCCGTGCCGAGGGCGTTGGAGCCTTATATATAAAGCGCCTGCCCGATGCGATCAAAGATGGAGACACGATTCGGGGAGTAATTCGTTCAACTGCAGTCAACACGTGAGTCGTTTACACAATATAGTAATGTCTGGTTCTGGTTGCTCTGGGCTTGAAACTTACATCTTATGTGATATTAGAAACGGAAAGGTAGAGGGGGCGGGAATCACACACCCGAGTCTTGAGGGCCAAGAACGTGTTGTACGGATGGCATACGAGCGAGCAGATTTAGACCCCAACTTGACAGCGTACGCCGAGCTACATGGAACAGGTACGCCTATTGGGGACCCGATCGAGGTGAAGGCTATATCACAAGCGATGAATGATACACGACCGCCGGACAGGCCATTGCTTATCGGTTCTGTAAGTTCGTCTGCTGACCGATCATCTTCTCTCTTGAATTAGATCAGCCGCATTCATTATCCAGGGACTTGTACTAACGTAAAAAAGGCGAAACCGAACATTGGCCATGGTGAAGCCGCTAGCGGTATATTCGCCGTTATGAAAGCGGCATTAATGACTGAGGCGGCTCTGATTCCTGGTCTTGCCCTCAAGAGTCGGAACCCTGAGAGTAGGTTGCCACACTCATATTCTCCCCATTTCTCTGTCACTAATTATTGCGAGCGCCAGTCTTGGAAAAGGAGTGGAAGGTAAAGGTCCAGGCCGACACAGTACGCTGGCCTAAAGAATACATAACGCGAAGGGCAAGCGTTTCTTCCTTTGGATATGGAGGCACCAATGGCCACGTTATAGTTGAGTCAATTGACTCACTATATCCGTGGTATCAGCACGCGAAACCCAAAAAGGAGGCTCAATACAACCGCTCATCCGACAAGCCCTTCCTGCTATGCTTTTCGGCACACGATGAGCCAACCTTGACCCGAAATGTTGCTGCAATAGCCGCAGTGGCTCCAGAGTTCTATCTCACCGATTTATCGCACACCTTGAATCTTCACCGTACTAAGTTCTCGCACCGGGCGTTCACAATAGCACGGGAAGGGAGAGAGTTCAAGGCTTTCACCTCGGCAACTCTACAGAGCGGTGCTGTTTCTAAGACGAAAGTTGGCGTCGGCTTTCTATTCACAGGACAAGGGGTAAGTGCGGAACCGCTGAGAGAGGCCGAATTCTTCGCTAACAAGTTAAATTCAGGTACAATGGGTGGGTATGGGCAGAATTGCTCTTCGAGTGTTCCCGACAATACTCCAAACTATCCAAAAGCTAGACCGGATACTTGAGGGGCTTGAACCAAAGCCAGATTTCAACATGGTCGAGTTGCTAAAGGACGATAGCGAAGCTGCGACGAGTAGAATCCACGAGGCCGAGATATCCCAGCCTTTATGCACGGCAATACAGATCGCGCTTGTAGACCTCTTCTCACAATGGGATATCGTACCTCAGGTAAGCATTGGCCATTCATCTGGCGAGATAGGGGCTGCGTATGCAGCAGGTCTGATAAGTGCCCCCGAGGCTATCATAACTGCCTTTTGCCGTGGTCATGCCGTTACCGCGTACTCGGAGTCCGGGTGTATGCTGGCAGTGGGGTTGGGACCGAACGAGATCCAAGAGTACCTACCAGCAACCCCTGAGGATGTCTGTATTGCATGCGAGAACTCACCGAACAGCGTAACTCTAAGTGGGCGACCAAAGCCAATCGCGCGGGTCTGTGAAAAGCTTATGGCTAAAGGCGTTCATGCCCGAGCCCTCCGAACGGGGAGGGCGTATCATTCTCCCCATATGGCGGCTGTAGGTATGGCGTATGAAGTCATGCTTTCCGGAGCGGTGGGCAACTTGTCTGAAGAAGACTTGAAATGGTGTCGACCACGCTCGCCTATGATATCTTCCGTCACTGGGGAGCTTGTTCCTGCTGGAACGAACTCCTTGCCTGCAAGCTATTGGAGCGAAAACCTGCGCCAGAAAGTGCTCTTTAGTACCGCAGCCCAACGGCTAGTTTCTGATGAAGAATTTGCTCACGTAAATCATGTTATTGAGATTGGCCCGCATTCATCCCTGGCCAACCACTTTAAGCAGATCTGTCGTATGGACAAGGCAGTCGCTGAACGCTTCACTTACATACCTTCCCTTGTGCGTAAAGAGAATGATGCCTATCAGCTTCTCTCAGTTGCGGGTTCTCTTTTTATCGTTGGATACCCCGTAGACTTGGAAAGCGTCAATTCAGCAGGTTTTCCTGCCACTACCACTATTTCGAAGTCCAATACAAAGTATCTGCTTGTCAACCTGCCACCTTATCAGTGGAATTATGAACAACAGTGCGGGCTTGAACGCCGTTCTAGCACTGAACAGCGAGCGCGTGTGTTTCCACGTCATGATCTTTTAGGTAGTCGTGTTTCGGGGCTTTCCAGCAGGTCGGCGACGTGGCGTAACGTTCTGAGGCAACGTGATATCCCTTGGTTGAAGGATCATAATGTAAGTACATATGTTATACCATTTGGCAAATCAGCGCGCTGTGATATAACCCTGAGCTAACAATTGGATTGTAGCTTGGTGGCACAGCTATCTTTCCTGCGGCGAGCTACCTGTCGATAGCTGTAGAAGCCCTACGACAGGTGCGCGAGTCGGCGGGACTGACTCTTGGAGGCGTTACGCTACGCGATGTGGACATCAAGACAGCCCTCGTGGTGCCTGATAATGATGATGGTGTTGAAATCATCACTCGCCTCCAAGAGCCCAAGAATACGGATTCAGAAGATAGTTGGCAAACCTTCTCTGTGGAATCGTTGGCTGCCAACGGTGAATGGACTGTCCATTGCGACGGCCGGATCTCAGCAAGTCACAAGCCGAGCGTACGAATGTCGAGACAGGAGGTTCCTGTGGATGAATCTATCCTAACGCAAAGAGTATCGGGTAAACGATGGTATGACGCTTTTGAACGTGTCGGTTTCAACTACGGCAAGACGTTCCAGCAGTTGCAGCAAGTGCGTACGGATCGCAGCGTCTTCCATGCCACGGCAGATATGACGGTGTGTGAGAGTTCGGGAGTCATGAAGGGCGAGTCTCGTTATCTTATACATCCGACTACTATCGACGCATGCCTTCAACTTACTATTATCTCCATACATGCGGGCAAACACAAAGACATGCCATGGGGTGTCGTGCCAACTCGAATCGAGGAAATGGCCTTGTATGCCGCAGATATTGGTCAGCCCGTTACTGACGGCCCTCTCAATTCCATTGCAGGCCATGCTGAGGCATGGACAAATGGATTTGATGGGCGGCGTTTCAACACCAACGTCCGGCTCAATGGCGTTGACGGGAAGCTTTTGCTAGACGTCAAGAATCTCACCTGTATCACATACGAAGCTGCCCTTCCAGCTAGCAGTATAGATAGCGAGAAGGGTGCAGTGGAACCTACTGAATCCAACCCATTTTCCGTGGTAAAATGGAAGCCAGATATCACGAGTCTGCGTGAAAACGACTTTCTTCGACTCTGGCCGGGTATTTCTACTGCTTCTGGACGCATCTCGAAATGTATTGAGTTGATTAGTCATCGACAAGTCGTGCGGAAGGCTTTTATCGTCGCGCGCACTCCTAGCCCCCAAGTTCAATCGCTTGTCGAGGTGATATTGGATGCGCTGCCATCTAATGCCACTATGACTGTAGGTTTTGATATCAAAGCCCAAGAGTCGGTGCAATCTATTAAATTATCGAAGAAGGCACATGATCGTGTATCAGTGGTAGCTCTTGGGACTGCACCTGAGAGTTGGTTGCATGAAAATTCTGGGCTTCATGACCTGGTCATAGTCGAATCGCATAATAAGAAAGAGGGGATACCTCCTGAAAACGTGCTCACATTCCTAAAGGAAGGTGGATGGCTACTTGGTGTATCGACGGCATTATTCTCGACCCCTTTCCCAAGCCCGAAATTCACGTTAAATATAGGCGAACAGGTTGCATTCTTCAATTCACAAAAATCGACCATTCCTGATGGCGCACGCCCTCGTACGGCTAGTGGGGATGATATGACGGTGCTTTCTGCGAGAGAAGGAGGCTATGATTTACGAAGCATCCTGTCCGAGGCTAGAGGACAGTACAAAGTTTGCCAGAAGCTCGTTAAAAATGGCCCCCTGGACAGGAATCATCGGGTAGTCATAGACGATACAACAGGCGCCATATCCGCATCTATGCTCGCCGACCCCGCTAGCTTTGACGCCATCAAAGCCGTGCTGTTGTCTGGTGTGCGCGTGTTGTGGGTTACACGTGGCGCAAGGCAGGGCCGCGTATCGGCCACTACAGCGGTTCGCATGGGAATGGCTGAGGGTTTGCTAAGGGCCTTGCGATCTGAACAAGCGGCTTCTAAGATTGTCTTGCTAGATTTTGACTTACACGAGGAGCCGCGAAATGTGGCTGCCGCCATAATCGGTCGCTTGGAGGCGGCGGATACGAAAGGTTCCGGCCGCGATACCGAGTTTTGGTTGCACGAGGGCGTGCTACACGTTGGCCGTGTTTATCCGAAAGAAGGCATAGAATATGGAACAAGTCCAGGAGAGCCTCAAGAGAAGCTACTAGCTGGAAATTTGAAAATCAGTGCCCAAACTACAGATGGCCAATTGGTATTCGAGGACGAAGATTTGCAATCAACCGTTCTCGCCAGTGGTGAAATCGAATTACAAGTTCTGGCATCGCAGTGGCCTTCACATACCCGCGGAACCCAAGTACTGGTTGAAGGCATTATCATTGGTGCTGGCTCTTCTGAGAGCCGAGAGCTTATCGGAAAGACCGCCATTGCGTTTGTGTACGATGGGTTCCGGACCGTAATTCGCACATCCGGATATGCAATCATCGACGACGACAATCCGGACAGGATTTCCCCAGAGGTTCTCGTCGGAATCATGCCACCCCTTTGTCCAATAGTACATCTTTGCCTCATCAATGCTAAACTCGAAAAGGGCGATTTTGTCTTGTCACTCCCGGGGCCCAAAGCTGATGTGAGGTCGCTGAAGATACTTGCCAAAGCCTTGGGTTGGAATATGAGCGCTGTAGCCCGTTCAGCATCAGAATGGGATGAGTATATTTCCCAGGTCGGCTTAACCCCTGAGCAAATCGTCCTTTCGGGTGAGATGGGCATTCTTTTTGCATTTATTCGCGAGCAACACGAGAAATCTTCATCGGGGACTATAACAATCATAGCCCATGATTTTGACTCTCTGAGCCACGAGGTCTGGAGACACATCCCTCCATCTTGTCGGTTCCTGCTCTTGAACAAGACATCGTTGAACGTCGTGCCAGACCCCTTGCCGTTCTCCCGCGGCGCAACCTTTGTATCCAGCAATATGAAGTCTCTTCATGCTTCGCCGAGGGCCAACGCAAAGCTCCTAAAGTTGACACTGGACTTACTTGAAACTCACTCTTCGTTACTGGTTGGCGATGGCCAGGATAGCATTAACGTAGTGGATGTAGGTGAAGCTAGAGATATAGGGGCAGCCCCTACGGATGAGGAGAATGAAAAGGCGACCGTTGTACGATACTGCCAAGGAGAAAGTCGAGTCAAAGTAAGTCTTCAGAGGTTAACCGGTGTAGGAAGAATCCTGAAATCATACCCTTAGCTAACATCAACACCACTTAGATCCTCCATAACCCCAAGCAACTACTCTTATCACCCGATGCTACATACCTCCTTATAGGCTGCCTAGGGGGGTTAGGTCGCAGCTTAACCAGGTGGATGATGGAACGCGGAGCACGACATTTTGCTTTCATTTCGAGATCGGGGGCTGATCAGCCCGAGGCCGCCCACTTAATCGAGAATATCAATGCGTCCGGCGGATCAACTAGAATCTTGCGAGCCGACGCCTCCGATGACGAGGCTGTTCGCCAAGCTCTAGCACCATTACACGCTGAACGGCCTATTCGCGGCGTTGTGCATGGAGCGATGGTATTGAAGGTAAGAAATGCGTTTTTTTAAGTAGAAAATAAAGAAGACGACGCTAACATGAAGCCTAAACTCGCAGGATGGTATATTCGAACAAATGAACCACCAACTGTTTGCTGATTGCGTCAATCCTAAGGCAAAGGGGGCACTCAATATACATACCGAGCTGCAAAGCTTGAACGTACATCTCGACTTTTTCTTACTGACAAGCGACATTTCCGGACTGCTTGGCAATACGGGACAGACCAACTACAGCGCAGCCAACAGTGCGTTAGATGCACTGGCCCGGCAGCGTCATGCTGTAGGGCTCCCTGCTACGGTGCTTGTCTTGCCCACTGTGCTAGATGTCGGGGTTGTAGCTGAAAACAACGCTATTGAGTCCTTTCTAAGGCGGAAGGGCTTGTACGGCATCGACGAGGAGGAAATGTTACAAGGATTTGAGGCGGCTATGGTAGCATCACGCCAAGATACCAGTTTCAATTCCTCGGTTGGTGTCGGTGCAGGCTTACGCATAGAAGACACGACAGAAGTAGATGATGAGTCGCAATTTGTCATGGGAATGGAGGCCCGCGAATTAGCTAGATCGATGATGCTAGCATCCGAAGGAAAACAAAGCGTAGACGCGCTTTGGTATGACGACGTACGATTCTGCCACGTACGCTCCGCATTGGATGAGATCGTCGCGAGCAAGAATGGCTATGGTGGCAGCGACAAAGATAATATTGCAACGTCAATCAAGGAAGCCATGTCCGAAGGAGTCGAGGCTGCTGTGAAGGTCATCGCGAAGCATATCGCAAAACGTCTATCGAGCATACTAATGAAGCCTGTTGATGGATTCGAGTTGGATGGTCCATCACTTGGCAGCTATGGTCTAGACAGCATGATTGGAACCGAGATGAGAACATGGCTATTCAAGGAATTCGCCTTGGATTATCCATTCCAGAAGCTATTGGCGCCTACACTCACATTCAAGGGGTTGGCTAAGATAATAGCTGAGAATATGGGCCTGGAGCACAAAAAGGTGTAATTGATATGTAGGTAGGTAGTGTATGAGTGTTTGATTGGGAGTGAAGAAGGTGAAGAGGGTAAAGAAGATGGAGAAGGTGAAGGCACTCAAAGAGAGTTACAAAAAAGGTTCCAAGTTGAAACCTTGTAAGCTGGGACAACGGCAAACCCCATTTGGCGCTTGGACCACTCTATTTTTAATCATCAATATCTGCATAATATGGCGTTTGGATTTCTGCCTACTTTAATATATTGATTTATCAGTATATCATGACTGACTGGTCTGACTTGGTGATGTGTTTCTTGTATTAATGAACTGTCTGGAAAGCTATAATAAAGCTATCTATCTAGTGATGTAGTGGGATTAGGTGCCCAGGACCTGTATAGTTAGGATCCACGATGCATGGGTATTCTATGTGGTTCTAACTTTGCTGCAAGAGGGTATGCCCAGTGATTTGAAAGAGAACGGAAGAGGCTTAACGAAAGAAAAAAAACAATGAACAATAACGAGAGAAAACAATGGCATGAGAAACATAAAGAGAGAGAGGGGATGCCTCAATGGTATAATTTAAATCATTGATGCACCCTAGAACGCCTTGCTTGAAATAAACCCGCCATACCTCAAAAGCAGCATGGCCAAATGACTGGCTTGTATCAACGGCCCACTATATGTATTCCTTCAGGGGGGGAACGCTTTCGACGTCATAAAGTTTTTCATGTTTCGGGTGTGTCAGCTGCTGGAGGTTGCTTGAACGAAGGATGCTTTGGCGGAAGTCATTTCGTGGAAGATTTGGTTATTTTTCCATGAGGGTGCCGCCGGAGTGGTCAACGAACCACTGATGAAGAGGGTCTTTCTGCCGCGGCTTCAATTCTGGCTTTGCCTGAAGGTAGTTGAGGTACTTCTTGATTTCGTTACCCGCAGTTCGAAGACTTGGTCGCCTTTCCATCTTCTTAGGATCTACCGATTCTGGCTTGTCGAGTGTCCTCACATCGTCACTTTTACGACGGTTCGGCCCCTTATAGGATACTGGTGGTGGGGAGAAGCGGCGAGGGATCAGTCTAGGATCGCATCTCAACTTGATGGTTTTGGAGATTTCTGGAAGCCTGTACTTGGCTCGAGCCCATAGGAATTGCATCTCTGTTGCCCTTTCGATAACCTGGGCATCCCCAACCTCTTTGATGGTCTCTTTGGCCTTTACATTTTTACTGCGACGGTCTGGTTGAACTGCCATCACGCCTTCTTGCTGACGATAATAATAACTCAGTCGGCCAGCCTATCGATGATTTGCTTCTGTTTAATTGCCGGAGATGATATGAAAATGCTGAGAAATAACACGCAAACTTGGTCGTGATATCGGAGCGAGACGAGGGCATTTGTAGATGGGTTTGCCATATCATTAGTATTGTAACAAATGTCTTGTTCAAATACAGGATGAAGGGCAGAGCAAATTTATCATTGTTCAAGATGTGTTTGCTCACATCTCCGTCAGGGCCACATGTGTAGACGTGCTACGTTAGTATCAACGCAAGTGTGAGCAGCTGCCATTCTTACTAGTCTGTTGAACTCACCCAATCAAACAAGAATTAGTAAAAATACTGACTCGTTTCCTTACCCAGTGAATCCCTTTTTCATCCGAACTATTTGAAAGAAGGAGTGAATCAGGAACGATAAATTCACTAAAACGTCATTAAGTAAATTTCTTTTCTTTTCTTTTTATTCTTTTCCCTTTTTTTGGTTCAAATCCTGTGGTTGTGACTTGGGATGAAATTTCGATGAGCCATGGCCATCTATTCACTGTCTAAAATCCAGCTCAATTTCCATCATCTTCAATTGAACCATCAGAATAATATTCGAAATTTTGTGGCGTTTCAAGTTTTGGCCCATTTTCGACATCTGGATCAATCTCAATAGGCTCGGAATGTTGAACGATTGCGTTCTGTGTCTTTTCGATCCGAGGGTTACCTAGTAGCTCTGTCATGCGTTGTGCCCATTCCCAAGGTCGAGCCTTGCCTCCCGGCTGACCATTAAAGTACTCCCAGCCCATCACGCCTCCGAATGTCGGGAACTGGCGACGAAGTAATGCGAGCGTGGGTTTCAGGATCTCAAAGGGTACCCAGCCAGGACCGTTATCTGGCGTTGTGACAAGGCCTATGACGACCTTTTCTGGAGACCAGCCTCTTGCGACACAGATCTCATACATGACTGGGTTGCTAGCATCACCCCATCCACAATAGAACTGAGTATTATACCATGCGATTTGCTTGCCACGCATCACCTCCAGCGTCTCGTAATCGAAGCCGCTGAGGTTGCGTCTTACATCAATAAGAGCTGCGGCGACTGGCGCAAGAGTGATGATAAAATCAGGACCAAAATCAGCTCTAAGTCTATCAATCAGACGAACGATACCCGAGAGGGACATGTTCTCCTCCACATCCAAGTCGAGGCCATCGAGGTCCCTTTCTCGAATGAGATCGTAAAGTGGGCCGTAGTAGGTCTCGAAGGTCGCCTGGTCCTGATCTAGGCGCGCATAGGAACCTTTGGCTGCTCCACCTAGCATACCCATAACCTTGATATCACTAGCCTGGGCAATACGTAACTCTGCCCACGTGGTAACATAGCGCGGGTCAGACGGAGGGTGGTCATTGAGTGTTAGTTTATCTGGGTCATCATTGATGTGAATTGCGGCTACGATTATATGCGTAAGTGAAATATCGGGTTGTGTAATCAGCGGCAAAATCGAAATAAGACTGCCGTCGGGATTGTGAGTGGTTTGGTGGTATATGACAATGCGAGGGCGTGTACTCGCCGAAGACGACGCCATGAATGCGGAAGAAGTGTCGATGACGAGATGAGATTAGATTAGAAGTCTTAGCTGGTTGATATATATATACCCTAGGCAGTTAATCTCACGATTTAAGGTGGATGGATGGATGAGGAGTAGAGAGTTGAACAAAAGTCTGGGCTTTAGGGCTGTAAGACTGTTTAACTGTTTAAAACGAAACAAAAATGTATTTATTGAAAACTGTTGTTACATAATATGGGTCATGTGACCTGTTACCTTCATCAAGTACACAGGTACATCCTACCCGTAGCCAGGCAGGTAGTACCTAGTAGCCCCTGAGTTGCTTCGTATACACTACCTACGCTATACTAACTTGAATTTATAAGCTTTAGCACCTGGTACCTGTCTGTTCTCATACAATAATATAAACTTCATAATATCCATTGTTTGTATCGATTGGTTGTCATAAATCATTAAATAAATCCATATGAAAGCCCTGCGTTTTATATCACAACAAGACACCTCCATGCAATGTTCAATCCCCCCTTTTCATAATTCATAATGCTCATATTTACATACCCCTTACTTCCCCCCCCTCTCCCCCAACCTCTCCACAGCCTTAACACACAGCGCCCTCAAATTCACTGCGTTCAGTATATCCAGCGTCGTCAGCTCCACCTTCAACTTCACCCTGAACCAATTCCTCAAGTCGACCGCCGCGAGCGAATCAATCCCGTAGCTATTCAGCGGCTTCGACTCCTCCATGTCGCCCGCCAGGCCCAGGACTCGCACAATCTGCTTATTGGCGAGCTTGATAACCTCGGGGACGAGTTTCTCGGCCGGCATCGCTGCCCGGACCATGGACTGGAACGCCGCGAATGCGTAATCCTCGTCGCGCCCAGCGCCGACCGTGCCTGAGTCGTGAGCGTGCGGCACGAGGAGCGCGCGGAACCGCATATCCGCCAGGATGGGCGAGTCCTCCGGCAGCGGGTACGGGAGCCCGGTGATCATCTGTGCTCTGCTCTCCTGGCTGACACCCTGGCCCCCGTTCGCCGTCTGCTGCAGGATCGAGAACTTCAGGATCTCGTGCAGCTCCGCCTCGTTGATCCCCGATAGCTGGCTCCGGCTCTGCACGCGGGTGGTCAGGCTCTGGTGCTCGCTCATGTAGCCGACGTCCTCTACGATGCCGAGGTCCACGGTGTGCGCGGGGAGCCCGAGGGAGCGGCGGTGCGAGGCGAAGGCGTCTTGGAAGCTGTTGCCGGCGGCGTAGTTCGCCTGTCCCGCTGTGCCGACGATGCCGGAGACGGAGGATAGCATGGTGAAGAAATCGAGGGCTTGGTTGGTTTGTTTGGCGGCTGTGTGGAGGTTCCAAGTCCCTGCGACCTTGCAGGAGAGGGCCTCGTGGTATTCTTGTAGCGTCATGGATTCAAATGTCTTGTCCTGGAGTATGTGTTAGTCGTCATTAAATTCAATTAAATGCACTCATGCACTTACACGTAGAACCATAGCCCCCTGAATAACGCCCTTGATAGGCAAGACCGATTCCTGGAAGAGGCGCGTAACGTCATCTATATTCGAGACATCTCCTTTAAAGACAGTCGTTTTCGTGCCAAGACTGCTCAAGTCCCGGATAATTCGTCGCGAACGCTCATCATCGGCTCCGCTTCGGGACAAAATGGTGAGGTTTTTCGCACCACACCGTGCCATGTATACAGCCAGACTCCCACAGAGACCTTTCAGACCTCCCACAATCAGATAAGCAGCATTGGGATCAAAAGTCAGACGCAGAGGCGCTGGTCGAACTAGGACTTTAACATCCTCTGCTGCTTCATCTGAAATAACGATCTTCCCGATATGTTCTCCGGACCGCATATACCGCATCGCATCCGGAATCTGGTTGAAGGAGAAGACCTTCATTGGGGAGATCGGCTTTATGTGACCCCCAACTAACAGTTCCCGAACTGTTTGAAGTATTCTCTCGATGAGAGGAAGATCGTCGAGGATGCTGGGCTTGGATATGTCAACCCCCCTATACGAGCAGTTGCGGTTGAAGGGCTCCATAGAGAGCGTGTTCCTATCGACGATGTCCTTCTTGCCAATCTCGACGAGCGTGCCGTTATCCGCAAGCAGTCTCCACGACTCGTCCAAAAGATCCCCGGTAAGGGAGTTCAAAACACAATCAACGCCCTTCCCATTCGTCAATTCTCGGATACCCGCCGCGAAGTCCGTGTTACGCGACGAAAAAATGTGTGATGGTGGGATTCCGTACTGCTCTTCCAAGAAGCGCCGCTTCTCCTCGTTTCCAACGGTTGCGTATATTTCCGCACCCAGAAACTGGCAGAGTTGGATGCTCGCGATTCCGACACCGCCAGCGGCCGAGTGGATGAGCACGGATTGTCCTCTCCTCACCCGAGCAACTTCCATTAAGCAATACACAGCGGTGAAGTATACAATACTCATCGTCGCTGCTTCCTCGAAGGAGAGCGAATTAGGAAGTAAAAATATGTTCTCTTTTGGAACACGGTTGCGATTGGCAAATGACCCCTTGCCGTGGACCAGGACTCTGTCGCCGGCGCGGTATGTGCTGACATGGTTACCAACCCGCGTGATGACTCCCGCCCCTTCCAGTCCAAGAAGGTGTTCGTTTTCAGGGACTATGCCTAACGTGGTTGCGACATCCTAGTGCAGGTTAGTCGTATGGACTGTTATCAAAGTGTATTCCACGTGAACGTACCTTGAAATTCATTCCCGCAGCCCGAATCTCCACCTCCACTTCGCCCTCGCCTAGAGGCTGCTCTTGCTGGGCGACCTCGTTGAAATGGAGCGAATCCATAGCACCAGGCCTCTCGCAGTACATTTTCACGGTGTTCCTGTTCTCTCTAAGTCGCATCTCTATTAAATCTGACCCGCTCTTGGCCTCCTCGGCTGAACGAACTATCTTCTCGTCTTGTAGAACCCTTTGAACACGTAGTATTCCTTCCCGCTCACAATACTCATTCTCGATGGAGTGGAATGCATGATCATGTCCGGTGATTGTTCCCATGATCCGAATCACAGACTCTGCGGCAATAGGATTCGTGAAAGAAGAAACATCTAAAGTCTTGAGTGTGAGAGAGGGGTTCTCGCCCCGTATACTGCGCGCGAAGCCGTGAATGAGCGCGTTTAAAGGTGAGGAAACTTTCAGTTGTGAACCGGAAGTCAGCCAGAGGACCTTACGGCCTGTCACCAGGATTCTCTTGAGATACTCCCAATCCGAGTCGGAGATGTTGGCGAGCAGTGGTGAATGCGGATTATCAAGTAGAAGTAGAGGAATATCAACCGACAGTGAAGCCGCGACGGACGGCTCCAACAAAGCTCCGGCCCAGCCATGTTCTTGGAGATTTCGAATAAGAGCAGTGCATTCGCGTGATCCTTTGGACCAGTCAACGATAGGAAAGCTAACATAATTCCCTTGCGGCCCAGGGGTTTCCAGGGGAGAGCAAAGGTACACCGACGAGAACGTTATGGGGCTGAGTGGCTTGGGAGGTGACCTGGACCGAACAAGATGCCCTACTGAGTGGAGATATGATTCCGGGTCCGCGTTGTCCCATGATACTGAGACTGCGGCTTCAGACCCACACCCGGATTCAGTGTCATCCGAAAGGGATGTGGTCAGGACTAAGACTAAGAAGCCGCTGGGATTGAGAAGTCTTTGGGCATTGTGAAGAGCAGTTTCCAGTTCCCGAGAGTGGGCTGGGGGCATACGGAGGACGACGAGATCGAACTTCGAGTCTGAAGTAAAAGGCGCTTCTCTAAAAGACGTAATGTCGTAGATGTGAAACTCGGTACCTTGAATGTCGCGCAGCCGTTTCTGGGTGTCAAGGAGGTGCTCTGGAGTATTTGACGTGGACACATATCGCCGGAAGACCGGTAACTGGGATGTTGAAGGTTTCTCGCTCCTCTCAGACGATTCAAGGTCGCCAAAACCCATATTCAAGTCGACAACAGAAGGGGCCCCAATTTTATGAGCTAAAAGCGATATCATATGAGCCGCTGTAAGAGGGAGACGAAGCAGATTTGATAGGAGTGTAGTCTCGTGGTCTGAGTCTGAGATAGACTCGATGTCTCTCTTCTGTAAGAGGGAAATGTCTGCCTTCCAGTCCGATCTCATAAACGTGTGCGAGCGCTTCTTCGCTTCCGGGATGTAAAGCTCGGTATAGCGCAGGCCCTGGATTCTAGCAAGGAGAGTATTAGAGCTCTCATCATAAATATCAGCGTTCGAAGCATAACTCTGAACTTTATCTGGTCTACCGGTGACGAAAGTGGAATTAGTAAAAGCAGTTGCGCTCGTTGTTTCTTCAGCGCCAGGGTTAATGAGAATTTCGTCAATTAGCTGAGGGACGAGAGCCTTCTCGATGAGAGTTCGATGACCTTGGTAGAGAGACGGAATCCCTGCTTGAAAGAAAGTATCGAAAACGGAGGGATGAATAGCATAATGAGATTCCTTTGTGGGTATGCTTTTGGGAGATGTGAAGTTAATCTTGGCTCGGCTTGTTCTTTGCCCAGGTACAGACTCTACCTCAACCAGATTCTGAAAGGTAGGTCCGAAATTGAATCCCACGCTCTGCATAGACTTGTACCAGAGCTTTGCTGGCGTGGGATATTGAAGTGGTTCAATAGCAGCGCTTTTGCCGTGGGCTGAGGCTTGTATTCGAACAAATCCAGTGCAGTGTTCGGTCCAAGTATCATCTCTGAGCAGAGACACTTTGAAATTAAACCAGGCATCCTTTTGGCCTTGAGCAGGACTCAGAAAGAGGTATAAATGATGGTCGGCATTCTCTTCAATGACAAGCGCACGAAGAAATCGTACATCCCGAAGTCGATACGACGCATGGGATGCACTCTGAATGTTGGCGAAGGATTCCATTCCAGAGCACTTTGCCGTTTGGTACATAGCCTCAACAGCCATTGCAATGTATGCTGATGCTGGGAAGACGACATCTGCACCAAGTTTATGGTCTCTGATCCAAGGCACATTTTTCAAGCGAAGGATTCTCCTCCAAGATGGCGCATTCCAGGATGTCCCGAGTACCTTTGTCCCCAGTAGATCATGCACGGGAAAGGGTCGATGTCTCCAGTCTTTGCTAGCAAGACTCTCATGCCAGTACTTGACGGAATGGTTCCACTGATAATTGGGTAGATCGATGATAACCCGAGGCTTTGACTTGGAGCTGATTCCGTTGACTTTCATCAAGTTCACGCTAACACCAGATGTAAACATCTTTCCAGCCAACTCGTATAGCGGCTTCGTGGCATCCTTGTCTCTAGCATAGGCAGCGGCATACTCGACAGGCGACTTGTCTTGACCCAATGCCTGCTTGATCTGATTGATTGGGCCAGCTAGGGCACCACTTGGCCCAAGTTCGATGAGAAAGTCTGCACCTCCCTCCTTGATCATGGCAGTCGCGCCTTCGTCGAAGAGGACGGTAGACGTCATGTTTGCCATCCAATATTTGGCATCACATTTCTCTTCCCATAAACTACCGTGCACCGTAGAGAAGAAGCGAACCTCATTTGACACGCGATCCGACGAGAGCGCTGGGCAGTGCTTTTCAAGAAGCAGCTGATAATGGGCTGCGATATCCTTCATATACTCGGAATGGTACGCAAGGTTTACCATGAGCAAACGCGCAAAATGGCCATCGGCTTTAACAGCGCCTTGAACACCTTCCAGATCCGCAACTTCACCTGATAGTGTTAGGCTTTTGGGGCTGTTTTGGCAGGCGATTCCGACTTTCGGGTATAGCTTCAAATACTGCTGAGCATCTTTTGCGCCGAGACCAACAGCAAGCATTCCTTGGTCCTTTCTAGACGAGCCCTGAAAGTCGCTAGCTGCTTTCCCGCGCAGGTATGCAACTTTGATACCGTCCTCCGGGGACAGTAATCCAGCCGCGACTGCAGCAGCAACCTCTCCAGATGAGTGCCCGACTACCATAGAGGGCTGTATTCTCCAGTCTTTCAGAACTTCCAAGAGACCTAGTTGCAATGCGGTGACTAGGGGCTGTGAGAATTCGGGGAGACGCATGTGTTCGGCTGAGCGCGGTTCAGTAAGCTCACTCATGAGACTCCACGAGGGAGGGTCCGACATAGACTGGAGCGTTTCATCGAGGTGCTGGATGACCTTTCTAGCAACAGGGAATTGCTGACATAGAGACCGACCCATCTGTGGCCACTGGGCCCCCTGACCGGTGAAGACAAAGCCAATTCGTGGGGTTGAGCCAAGCTTCCCGTAGATCACATCTCTCTCCTTAAAATTACACCCGTTTGAAATAGCAAATGCACGATGGAAATGACGTGAACGTCTTTCACTTAACGTATATGACAAATCCGCAGAATTAATGTTTACTGCAGGATTGGACAAGTGACGGAGGCTCTCCTTGACATAAGCTCTCAGGGATGCTTCGTCGTTCGCGGAGAAAACTAATAATCGTGGGATATCATCTTCATCTTCGTCATCGTCAGCAAATATGTCGTCGTTTTGGACGGCATACGAGGTGGTGTTGTTAGCTTCATACTCCGGAAGCAGGATGTTTGGGTGTTCAACGATAGCGTGGGCATTGGAACCCCCATATCCGAATGAATTAACACTGGCTCGTCGAATATAGCCTCTCGGCCAATTTATCGCCAGTTTATGGGGCATGACCTTAGCAGCGTGGAAATCAATATTCGGGTTGGGTATGCCAAACGTTGGATTTCCTGGTATGATGCCACGCTCTACCGTCAAGATCGTTTTGAGCATCCCCGAAATCCCCGCTGCTGGTTCAGAATGTCCGATATTACTCTTTACCGATCCAATATGTAGAGGCAGGCCCGCGGGTCGCGAGGCTGAGAAAACAGACGAGGCGGCTTTACACTCAATCGGGTCACCTGCTAGTGTCCCTGTTCCATGACACTCCAGGTACCCCGTTTCATCGAAGCGTGTTATGCCTGCTCTTTTATAAGCTCTTCGGATCGCAAGTGCTTGAGCATCTGCACTGGGACTCGCGATTCCTGGCGTCCAGCCATCACTATTGGTTGATGTGCCTCGTATTACCGCTCGAATCGGATCGCCGTCTCTCACTGCATCGTCTAGGCGTTTCAATATTAGGGCATTGATAGCTTCGGCTTTGATGTAACCGTCTGCACGTGCATCGAAAGTCCAACACCTCCCAGACGGCGATGCGGCTGATGTCATAGCACTAGCACAAGATTTAGCCCCTGTTCTAGAAATAGGATCATGTAGGTGGTCTATGATGAGAATGTATTTTCAGGGGTATTTTGGGTAAAATATTGGTGGTCGAAGTGGGGGTTTCTTACTGCTGGTCCATATTATGCTCCGGGCTCATGTATAGGTTACACCCTGCTACAATAGCTCCATCTGCATCACCGCTTTCAAGATACCGACAAGCCAGATCTACCGAGATGAGACTACCTGAGCAGGCAGTATCGATCGTCATGCTGGACCGGCGTTAGTTTCCTTTCATATTTACGCAGAACGGCATCCTACCTCGGTCCTTTGATATCGAGAAAGTGACTTATCCTATTACTCAACATGGCTCTGCCGGACCCTACAGTGAAGCTCGGTGTCCTATCTTCTGGGTCTCGTGTTTGGATATCGCTGTAGTCTAGGCACAGAAGATTGTCAATCAACGCTTCCAGATAAGTTCGCAATACTTGACATACCCGAGGCATATGACCCAACAAAACAGCCAAAGAGTTTGGATTTGATGCTCTCGAGACTTAGACCAGCATTCTCAAGTCCTTCGTACACGACTTCTAATAATTGTCTCTGTTGCGGGTCCATCGAGACGGCGTCCACCTGGGAGAGGCCAAAGAACCCGGCATCGATATCTTTGGGGTCGGCGTTGATGAACATCCCCCCAGGCGACCTCATCGTCCACGGTCGTAAAGTCCCATCGTAGTGACCCTTCAAGTCGAATCTTGAAGGTGGTGGGCTTGTGTCGGCGACCCCGCCATCTAGTAGGAACTTCCAAAACTGCTCGGGAGAGTTACAATTACCAGGCAAACGGCATGCCAAGCCGACAACAGCAATAGGAGTCTGGACAGTACTCGCCATGGCGTCTGAATTAGCAAGGAGCCTACCTACGGATGTGACGAGGAGGAGAGATTTGTCTACAACATCATAATTATAGTAATCAGGTAGATCTAAATCGTCGCTGCGGCACTAAGACCCATCTAGCCGCTTTAACGGGACTTGTAGGAGCCTTGAGACTCTTCGGCACATTGAGCAGTGGCTTAGCCACATCGAGCATAGGGATACTGTAGAACATACCTGCGTAGGCAGATAACGGGTGCTGGACCACTACTCAGTACCTACCCAGGGAGGTACTTGGGTAGATTACTAACTAACCTAGGTGATTAGATGGACACAACCTTGAAGTCCTCTAACTTACATTTTGTAGATCCTATTGGGGACGATACGTTCTGCCGGAGGAAACTACAAGCTAGTTAGGCTTCTATTTTGGTATAATCTGCTAGCTCCAGGGTTTCTGACCGGGACGAATGATGTTGCTGATGATTGATACGATACCGATGTTGCTGACAACGTACCAGGCTACTATGTAGATTTAAGTCTTGAACAGCCCTGGAGGACATGGTTAATGACACACCCTGTAAGCGTAGGACATATTTACATACGGCACGCTAGAGATCATGATGCTATGAGTGGTAGTGGAAACAACCACGTAATTGCAGTGCTCATAGGTACAAATGTATTATGTGAGAAAAGAAATAGTTTACTAGGTAACTACCTACTAGGTACTACATGTAGGTAGGGTAGAATGTAGAATGCAAGGGTAATTTGCTAATTATCCCCGGCCAAGACCATTCCAAGATTATATCCCTGTCCCCTGTCCCCTGTCAAAGTAATCTTCAGCCCTATTGACTACCCCTCATCAGCTCCACATCTTAACCGCCCATACTATGCGCCGTACGGATAGATATCTCTATTAGGCAACCTTGAAACTAATGCTGTCCATTCATTGGATCCGCATGTGCATGGACCCACGTACTTAGGTACATTTCGTGATAGGTACCCATCGTAGGATTCGTAGCTGTGAATGGCCTACTGTCCGTCACTGCGGTCCGTAACAGGTAGTATGGATAGCATCATCAAGTCTATTAATATATATGCCTTTTAGCTGGGTGCCTGATTTTTTTTTTCACAATACCTAATTTTCTAAAATGTCGTATCTCGAAACGAAGTTCAGAACAATCGATGGTGTTGAGCTCCATGGACGGGTGTATGCAGCCTCCAAGCCGGGGCCGGGAATTGTGATGTGCCCGGGTGTAAGTCGTACTACTATTCTCTTATTATTGTCTTTACTTTCCCTACACATTGTTAGAACACCAAAGTTGGGAGAGTCAAAACATGTATCAGTTCTGGAGAAGGATGAGAATTAAAAAATGAATTAAAAAGATTGTATGGCGAGGAGAGCGAAAAGAGAATGTAATTTCAGTTAATTCAATGTTAGTTAATTGTCTATTCCCTTGAAAATAAAACATGCTATCGTCACAGTTGCAAAAGTGCATCTAAACTCATATTACCACCAGCCCCCCTTTTCCAAAATACCCTGTGAATAAGTGTCATGTGTACCTAACTCACAACCCCAGTTCAATTGCGTCCTCGCCATGCTCAACCTCCCTGACTGCGCCTCCTCCCTCCAAAACCACGGCATCACCACCCTCCTCTACGACCCCCGCAACACCGGCTCCAGCGGCGGCCACCTCCGCAACGACATCGACCCCCCACAAGCCATCAGCGACATCTCCGACGCCCTCACGCACCTCCTCTCCCTCCCCTCCGTCACCCCCTCGCAAGCCGGGCTCTTCGGGATCTCCTTCGGCGGCAGCGTCGCCCTGACCGCCTCGGCTCTCGACCCGCGCCTCGCATTCACCGTTGCCGTCGCCCCGCTGACCGACTTCGACTTCGCGTCCTTTGCGCAGCGGCGGCGCGTCCTGCTGAAGTGCGCCAAAGACCGCGAGTCCCAGGTCCTCGGCAACGAGCCCTTCAAAGTCCCGGTGATAAACAAAGACGGCGAGAACGCGGTCGGCTTCGGCCACGGCATCGACGCCGAGAAGTGCGGGAGGCTGGTTCGCGAGGCGCGGGAGATTGCGCCGGGGTATGTGAACTCGGTCACGATGATGACGTACTATAAGCTCGCCATGTGGACGCCCTGGCCGCTTTGGAAGACGCTCGGTTTGGGGGTGGCGGAAAGTGGCGGAAGGAGATCGGCGAGGGGGTTGAAGGGGGTGTTGGTTGTGGTGCCGGAGTTAGATACGATGAGCTTTCCGGCGCTGCAGAGGCAGTGCTACGAGGATATTGAATGCGAGGAGGGGTTTCAGAAGAGGCTGGTGGAGGTGGAGGGGGCGGGACATGAGGATGTGCTGGGGGAGAAATATTTGGAGGGGATAATTGAGAGAATCACGACGTTTATAAATGGCGTTGTTCTACATAAAGAGGATTGAATGATTATACTTTTTATTTAGCAACAATGCCTTTGGTATCACAAGCTGATATACAGCTTTAAATGCTATTACTAGACCTCTAAATTCTTACGATACCTACTAGGTACCTATGCATGTAATATGGGTGCATATCATTCTCGTTACACCCTGTACGCCGACAACTCCAGCATGTCTCAGTTAACATCATACATTCGTGACCATCCTAACCTAGGTTGTATGCTTACAACAACTAGGTACCTTTTACCAAGACTCTAATCCCCTTACTCTTTCTACTCACATCCGGCGCAACCAGATCGCGCACCACCTTGACATCCTCATCCGTCGTCTCGAACAACTCCCAGTCAAACCGCCGTATCAAGGACGCCAGCGCGATCGTGATCTCCGCATACGCGAGATTCATCCCGATGCAGTGCCGCGTGCCCCTGCCGAACGACACCATGTAGTGCTTCAGCGGCCTCGAGTCGTACGGCGCGGGGGCCCGCGGGTTGCCGACCCAGCGCTCAGGCACGTACGAGTAGGACTGGGGGTACAGCGTCTCGTTGTGGTGCATGTGCCACGTGTCGAGGGATATGTGCGTGCCTGGCGCGAGCACGTAGTCTCCATATGTTATCGGCGTCTTCGAGATCCGAGGCGATCGCGTCATTTGCCCGCACGCTAGACGCGCTGCTTCTTCGATGCAGGCTACGAGGTACGGACACTTCTCCGCAATTTCTTTATACGGCAACGGCGAATTTGCATCTGGCATCACGCTCTCCAGCTCCTTTTTCAACGCTTCGCGTATCCTTTGGTCTGACATGACATGGAAACATGCGATAGTCAGCGTCCACTGCGCGCTTGCGATCCCTGCGCCAATGATGCTAGTTGCGTGGTCTTTCAACACGTCCATCTCCAGCTCTTCCTGGGGCAAGCCGGCGCGTAGTATGCCATGGATAATCGTCTTGTCTGCCTGGTCCGGCTTCCGAGGATCTGGGTTACTGAGATCTCCCTGCGCCTCGCGTATCAGGCGTCGCATGTCGTCCTGGAACTCAAGGACACACGACATCGAGGGCTGCAGGATTCTGACGAGAAAGTCCGGAGTCGCGGCCAAAGCTCGGGCGAGCCACGGGAACTGAGTGCAGGGGTGTGCGATGTCCTTGAAGCTGCGGATGGCTTTCACGAACGGCGAAGCAAAGTCAGGGGATGAAAGATACTTGAAATCTCTGTCGAAAGCGTACTTCGTCGTCACATCAGCAATGTAGCTTGCGAACAGGTTGTCCAAAGTCACCGGCTTGTCCTGGTTCAGATAATTCTCCGACAGCTTGGCGCACATCAGGTCAGCTTTGGCCTGTATCTCAGGGGAGAGCTTGTTGATGCGGCTTTTGGCGAAGAACGGTTCCTGCGCCGCGCGCCGCATCTTGTGAAGATGGTGATCGGGTGTCGAGAAGAGACCTGCAGGTGACCCAAAACGCCATTTCAAATTCTCGGGCTTGTCGTACCCCTCTCTGTTGGTGTAGATCGTGGAATAGAAGTTCGGGTCGTCGATGTGGACTTCATGAGGATTAATACGGACAATGGGCCCATAAATCTTGTGCAGTTCCTGGATGTGGAAAGTATACTGGCCTCCGAGCCCCTTGTGGAAGAGTTCAAAGTATGCCTCATACCATCCTGTCAATGCTGCCAATTTAGGACCCGGGATTTTGGTTAGGGGATGGAAGTAGAGACGATATATTCCTAGAGCGAAGGAATATAAAATAGCGGCGTCAATGGCTGTACTGAAGGATATCATGGTGTACAATGTAGCCACTATACCCGAATGCTCAAGGAGGTCGATACCATGCTTGGCCACCGCTGCCATTACTATACTGGAAGCTGTCTATGTTTTATGTCTTTCCACTCAATAGACAAAAGGATAGTTTAATTGCAACAGAGCTGTCCAGAATCAAGAATGATTTTACGAACAAAGAAGATTGATAGGTCTTAAAGATACCTATATACCTAGTACTCACGAGAGCGAGCTGTTGGACAGTCGTCGTGCTTACACGCTTACCTACCATCTAGCTAGCCTACTAAAGTGTTATAGACCTATAACTACCAGGTATTTTGTCCTTGTAGGGCTATCTTGGCTCGATTGCCGATGGGTGGTGTGGATATTCATCTTCGAGCATGTCTCTTTAATACACACCAACCCTCACCATGAATGCGAGGTGGGCCTCGATATCTGGAGACGATGCCTACGATGGCAAGTCGGTATTTGACATACTATGTTCCAAGGTTGCTAGTAGCGGATGGCATGATGATCGCCACACCACCTGAGGTAACTATTCCTGTCTGGCCGCGAAGCTTCAACGCTGCTGTCGGATTGGGAGCTCTGCCACGATCATGCATTAGAAATCTGACATCAGAAACTACTATTTCTTATGTCAGAAATAATTGGGGTTATGGAGGATTCCATCACATCCGGCCTAGCCTATCCTTCAAGAACCCCATGTTCTCTGCAGGCAGAAGCGCCAGAAGGAGGCTGGACCTAGTACTACTATAGTACTACTATAGATTATACTAAATAGTAGTTTGTCTTTCCCCAAATTAACCTGGAACATATCAACGCTAGTATGCTACCCCCAGGGCTACCTGGCCACCTAGGTACATGTTGCTGTTGTATTAGGCATCCTCATTATAAACAGAGCAAGGTACTAAGTATGTACGGTTTATTCAATCAGCAGCTACATCAACCTCGAAACGATTTGGCTACTACCTACCCCCGTCCATCAGTTCGAATTAATTCACACTGAACCGAGAAACTTCAAAGAACTCCAATTGCAATTATGGCAGATCAGATCGAAAAAGTGTACGAAGAAGCCATTAAGACAAGGCTTCTACCCGGAGTCTCGCTTATTGCAGGGGATAAAGATGGTGCGTTATATCCTACGTGCTGAAGAGAGTATAGCTCTTCTAAAGGGCATATAGTGATCTCACAGCTTTCTCTAATGGCCGATCAACTAATTCATCACCAGGCAATATCATCTATTCCAAGTCTTTCGGAAGACTGTCATCGAAAGAAGACCGTGACCTCCCCTTTACGGAAGACACGGTCTGCGCAATCGCTTCGATGACCAAGCTGATGACCGCTGTAGCCTCACTACGGGCTGTCGAGGAGAAACTACTGGATCTGGACACAGATACTCGGCCTCTGCTACCAGAGATGGGAAAATATGGCATCATAACCGGCTTTGACGATGATAAGGGCGAGGGTACGTTTGTACCTGACTCCACGCCCATCACCCTCAGGATGCTTCTCTCGCATACGTCTGGACACGAGTATGACTGGCTACATCCTCTGCTTGGTAAATGGCGGGCCTCGCGTAACGAGATCCCTTACGGAGGACCGACCGTAGAGCACAAAGCTGTTCTGCCCCTCACGTTCAAGCCCGGCACAGGGTTCGCCTATGGCCTCGGGAACGACTGGGCAGGTAAACTGATCGAGGTGACGAGTGGGCTGAGTCTCGAGGATTACATGCATTCTCGCATCTGGAAACCGTTGGGGATAGAGAACGACATCTCGTTCTGGCCTAACACAAAAGAAAGCATGCGAGATAGAAGGGCCGATATGAGCACACTGGATGCAAATGAGCAGCCGCCAGCCGTGGACGGATCCTTCTTCGACCTATCATTTGGGACTAAAGATTGTCTCGGCGGCGGCGGCCTACATGCATCCGGCAAGGCATACTTTACGTTCCTGTCCGCGGTTATGCGGCGCGACCCCAAGCTTCTCACCCCCGAATCCTACACCGAGCTCTTCCGTCCCCAGCTCGACGAGCAATGCGAGCAAGTTCTGAATGACTATATTGCCCAATCGCCCACGCACACGAACTTCCTAAGCCACAGGATCCCGGCTTCCATAAGAAAGACCTGGAGCTTCGCGGGGCTGATAGCGAAAGAGGGCCAAGAAGGCCGGTTCGCGAAGGGAACTACGTTCTGGGCCGGAGTGGCGAATACTGTATGGTTTATAGACCATGAGACAGGCATCTGCGGGTCGACGTTGTGCCAACTGATACCCCCTTTGCACCCGCCGATTCTAGAATTGCATGCGCAGTTTCAAAGGCAGATTTTCGAGGAGGTTCGAAAGCGGTAGACTGTATTCATATAGGCTCATAGATATTGCCACGCCCTTAAAAGGCAACCCTTTATAACCCAATCACATTACATCCTGATTGGTGATAGTAGAAGATAAGTCCAATTTAAAAAAGGTCTGCGCAAAGGGTTAGGTATATTGGGGAGTGTTTTCGGACATGTTGCCTCATTTTGCATTCGTATAGCACACTAGCATCGGCGATTCAAGTTATATGAGAGATCCAAGCCATAGCTTCTGCTATAAAAAGACATCGACAAGTTTCAATCATGACAAAAGAGAAAATATGATCGCCGAGATGTTGTCTTACTGTAGAAAGTCCCTTACTTTCTCCGCGCACCAATCAAAGTATTCGGCGGCTCGTCCCGATCCTCCTTCTTCCACTGATCTCAACGCAAGGAGGAGATCTTCTCTTTGCCCAGGGTGCCACCTCCCGTCGCAGATTGCATAGCGTCCGGCGACGGCATCGTCCATGGTAACTGATTGGGAGAATCCCATCCAGAGGTAGGTTTCAGCCCCGTGTACTGGGTCTCGAAGGATAGGCCAAAGAACGTAGTATAGTAAACGTGATGTGCTCCGCCAGATGTTTGTGATATAATTTCCCGGGTTGCCCGCTATTTGCACAATACCCGTGTTGGCCTGACGGCGGGCGAATTCCGAGGCTACGAACCAGGTCGCAGTCTTGGATGTGGAGTACAACTCATTTTGGTCCTTTACACTCTCAGTATTTTGTAGAAACTCCTTTCGGATACCCGTTTTAGGACTGCCCAAGTCAACGAGGCAAGATGCTGGCCAGACGACCCGAACGCTGTCTTGGGGACTCTTTCTGACTGTGCTTGACAGAATAGGAATAAGCAGTTGCGTGAGTAGGTATGGCCCTAGAGAGTTGACAGCAAAGTGGTATTCGAGTCCTTGTCGAGTGGGAGGTGCGTCTTTCACAGCCCCAGTACCTGCATTGTTGAACAAGACATCAAGACGCCCATCGGGGCCTTCACGCTCGAGGAATTCACACGCGGCCGTCTTGATGGTAGTAAAATCCGTTAAATCCATATGGATGAATTCCAAACTCCCTTGCGTATTGGTCGCATCCTGCTCCGGCGCATTCTCTCGTCGTTTGCTTTGGGAAGATTGTATACGGGTGAATGCATCCTCGGCATGCTCTTTAGACCTAGTTAGGACATACACTTTCCCGCCGGCGTGGTACAAAATGCGTGTGAGCTCAAACCCAAGACCGGAGGATCCTCCAGTCACAATGAAGACGCGGCCAGCCTGGCTAGGTAGATTAGACTCAGTGAGCGGGGCGCCATTGCGAGGAGGGAAGAACTGTGTCCAGAGTGCACTGAAGGATGACATGATTGGTGATTGATATAAGAGGCCTAAGGTTAGGCTAGTTACCTACATGTAAGGACTAATTTGCAAAGTCACAAAAAGAGGATTTTGATTGATGGATAAGTTCTGTGAATTATATACAGGTACCTACCTAAGGTTAGGTATACATTTGGATCATCGGATGAGGACAAAAAGCGAGGAAAGGGAGCCCTGGAGAGCTTTTGGCACCCTGGAGGTGATTGTAGAGGGTAAGGTTGACCCTGGGGGTGACCTGATAATATCATAATGTAGCCCTGGAGCCCGATTAAATCATTTAAGACTACCCGTACATTGCCCCACTCTATATTGCTACATAGTAATGTGGGACACGACATGGGTACCTGGTAAATCGTAATACTAAGGAGAATCCTGGGAGATAACTCTGGAGGCATGCAAGTAACTATCAACTTTCACGTGATATTAGTTAACTAGTCCCCATTTGAAATCCACAGATGTCTCTTTTCTTATTTTAGAAATTTGCAGCCACATGCATCTCCTATTCTTCATCAGTTGCTATTGCCAACATTAGATGTGCAATGTTCATTGCATACCTAGGTACATAGTATATTCCTCCAGAGTCCACATCCGGATACTTAGGCATATATGTACCTTGTTTGTTTGTACATACCTAGGTATGCTACCGCTTAGCTACTTCGACACCAATATGGCTAAGCATGGTTGGGAAATCACTACTATGAGTGTCACATTCCCTCATAATAATATCACGTACCCATGGGCCTCGGGGCTCGAGCGAGGCCTTGAACGGTAAAGGTCTTGTAACAAGGCCATCTGTAGATGCCTCATTGTCAATAACTTCTGGCTGGCCAGTTTCTTTAGACCGACCTGCTTCGATATCGAATGCCCATAGCAACTGGGCGATCACGACCCATAGGAAATTCCGCGCGAAATGTCGCCCAGGGCAAGTTCGTCTTCCGTACCCAAATCCTACTACCGGAAGATCCTTTAGCTTCCCTGTCTTATCACTGTCCGGCTCTAGCCATCGTTCTGGAATAAATGAGTCCGTATCCGGGCCAAAAACGCCCTCCTCGCGCGTAATGGCCCAATGATTGGCTATCACGACAGAGCCTGCAGGGATCCGGTACCCGTCATAGCTACTCTCACTCTTCGTAAAGTGAGGGACGCCACCAGCACCCACGGGCCGCCAACGCATTACCTCCTCAATAATAGCGGTAATATATACCAAATTTGACTTATCCTCAAAGGTTGGCAGCCGGTCCCGTCCGACAACATCATCCAAGTCTTTCCGAGCCTTGGTGATGAAGTCTCGGTTCTGCGTGATACAGGCTACCACAAACCAGCTGATTGTCTCGGTGGTACCATCCAGTGCAGCTCCGAACATAGTTCCAAATTCCAAAGCCAATTCATTAGTCGACATAGCAATATGTTCTTCTTGGACAGTCTTATGCAGTTGCTTTACGAATGTCCAGCCAGGTGCATGAAGGCCGCGTTGGAGGTTGGTGTTGTGCAAATCGCACTGACGAGTCCAGTGAGATTCGGCCTTCGCTTTCCAAGGTGCTAGGAAGCCAGGAAGATTCTTTAGTATCGGAAATGTATCAACGATATGTTCGCCAACCTGGACAAACTCAGAGAAGTCATCGAGGAGGGTCAGCTCGGCGGTAAGTTGCGGATCCTTTGCGCTTTTGAGACGGAACCCGTAAAATAACGCCAGAATGGTACTGGCAGCTGCACGCTCGAAATAAGGATGGCAGTCAACGCCTACCCCTCCTGCGTATTGCAGGAGGTCGAACAGCATTTGTTTCGATTCCATCTCTTGGAAAGGAATGTAAGCAGACGACGTTCTTTGGTTCAGTACCGAGTTTTCCAGCTTTTGGTGAACTCGAAAGCGTTCATCGTACGACATTAATAGTGTATTAAACCCCTTCAAGGCCAATTCTCCGGCTAGCTATGAGAAAATGGTTAGATCTCTCATTGTGAGGCTGATATTTAGGGCCGAACTTTACCACAAGACGCGGACGGTCCGAGAAGGTAGCGCCACGAACTGCTAGAAGTTCATGCGCGCTCTTCGTCGTAGACACGACAATTATGGGTTGACCAAGCATATTCAGATGAATAATATGTCCGTAGGCCTTGCCCCAGGCATGGAATTGCTTCCATGCGTGAGTCTTTGGTACTTGGTGAACATTGCCGATGACTGGTAACGGACGTGGCCCAGGCGGCAGAGGCAACTTCAAGGAGCTGTTGGTACGCCCCTTAATGATATACCAGCATAGCAGCGTTATAAATCCTGCGAAAAGTATTGACAGAAGCATTATGATGCATTCAAAGCAAGAGGTTTGATGGGTCTGATTACCTACATGACCTAGGTATTCAAGGTAACGAGAGAAGGCAAGTAATATTTAATCTATCCATGATGCTTATTAAATTCTTTTATTCGCCTAGAAGGAGGCCAGCAGGCCAGCACACCAAAACAGTGACTATTTGCGGCGCAGCGGCACAAGTGGCTAGTTACCCAGGTAGGCAAAGGCTGCATTGCCTAACTCGCCAACGTTATGGATGATTATTGGATAAAATGTTATCTTAATCCCTATGCTTACAAGATTGTGAAATTGAGACGTTCTTGTGAATTTTCAGCTCTCTTCTATCTATATTAAGCTAGCTCAATAGGAATTTATGTACCTTCCTAACCTAGGTACATGTGGGTAGGAACCTCAAAATCTACTCCCTCAAAACATCTCGAGACCGACTAGCTAAGAAAGGAATACAGAACAGCAAGGCCCAATACCGGATTACGCATTACGAAGGCAAATTATGTAAGATCCCCGGCTGCAGGATCTCAAGCCTCCTACATAGCAGTTCCCAGATATAGTCAGCTCTCTTCGTATCCTGGGCGATAGGGGCATATTCCTGCACTGCACCAGCCCGGAAATAAAGCCCATGCGTTTGCCGCCCCGCTGTTGCCGCCTGCACCACTAGTCGTGAGCCCTCCTCGGGAGTTCGTGCCGCGAGCAACGCAAATGCCTTCGCCAAGACCTTGACTACGCCCTTTAGGCCGCCTTGGAGTCCCGTTTTACAGAAGCAGGGGTCGACGGAATTGATTACGATGGGGTTTGGTTCATCAGAGTTGACCGGATCTACCAGTTGGCTTAATTTGATGGTTGCGTATAATTGTAGCAACTTGGAGAGGTTATATCTTTAGCGGGCCACTTTGGTCAGCAAAGTCCCGATAGGTGGGCGGGAAAATATCTTACTGATTCATCCCGTTCCAATGCGCTTTATCCTTGAACCAGGAGAATAGGTCGTCTCCGTGGTTCTCGGGGTACTTGGCGACGTCGTACAGAGCCGAACCCACCATCGTCATGTGTGGCGTGACCCCGTACTTCCGGGCCGTTTCCTTGAGTTTTGGAATCATCTGAACAGCGAGGAGAAAAGTGCCTATGCAATTTACAGCGAGAGTTCGCTCCGTATCGTAGGCAATTTGGAATTCCGGGGCACTGATGCCCGCATTGCTGATGAGGACATCTACTCGAGGTAGGGTGGTGGCCCGTTCAACGAAACTCTTAACGGACGAGGACGACTCCAGATCGATCTCCCATACCTCAATTATATTGGGATGGCACTGCAAAAGAGCCTCAATCTCTCGCTTTGCATGGGTGCCTCGAGTCTCGCTGCGGCAACCGAATATGACATGGCTAGCGCCAAGGCGGATGACATGCTTGACGAATTCCTTGCCTAAACCTCCGTTGGCACCAGTAACAATTACCGTCTTTTCTTTAAAGGAGGTTGTGGGTTGAGGAATTCTGAGGATGAATTGAGTATAGAGAAAATCGCTAAGGGAAGGCATCGTGATATGCTGTGAGGTTGATTACTTACCTACTAGGTACGTACAAGTGTATTCTCAAGCTCAATCAGTTCTAGTCTTATACATCTTTTTTAGGCACCCTCAGTTAGGATCACCTCCCATCTTAATATTCTTGAAGATAAATCCATGGAGCTACGATGGCCAGCTTTATTGCTCGGTTCTAGTCGGACCATACGAGTCATAAGCAGACAGGGGCAGCTACAATGTCCGCGGACTTAACGGTCACGTGCCCAGCACTGGCTACATGTACGCCGCCCGCCATATTCCCAGACCTCTTTTTAGAAAATATGTCGCTATTGTCACTGATATTGCTTGGTTAAAAGCTAAGACACATTAGAAAATATTGAAAATGAATGTACAAGAGACCTCGCGGCCTGCTAGCAGGCCTCTACGGCGCTCCCGTATCCCTTTATCATGTGACCCCTGTCGCGCTAGAAAGTGTGTAACTCAACTTATATCCACGGAGTCAGGCACTTATCTCCATGGAAATGATTGTTGACACGATTTTCTAGATTGAAATGCAATCGGGAGAAACCGTGTCAAAACTGCACAGTTCGCCACGAGGCGACCAGTTGCGAATACCGCGGGCCGAAAAATGGTTCTTCCTTATCCGCTGCCCATCGCGATTCGAATGGAGACGCGATGCGCCAACGGATCGATAATTTGGAAGGTTTAGTTAAGAAACTCATTGCCGAGCGGCAGCAGCCCCCGTCGCTAGTAGCTGATGCAGCCCCTACTCCTGCCCTCGAAGGGTCCAGACCCGAAGAAGACCTGTCCCTGTCCGATGTGTCATCAAAACTTCAGGATGTCGCTGGGGCAGGCAAAACCGTGATGGATGGGATCCATTCAGTCTATGTCGGTGGTGATGATTGGTACGCCGTGCTCCAAGAGGTAGGGTACTTGTATATACTTTCACCCCAATGTCTCAACCTTACCCCTAAACGCTGCTTGTCTCCTCCCATGTTTTATTATTTTATTTCTAGTGACTCGTAATAATCACTTTACTGTATTTTGAATCTTCAGTGTAACTAATTGGCGTTAGATAAATGAGCTGAAAAGTGCTTGGAACAAAGAGCAGGATGATCAGAATGACTTCAACCTCCAGCCTCCCCTCTCACATACGGTCGATGGATCTAGTCTGCTGTTCAACCAGGTTAAACCAATCGAACGGATAGAGATCATCTCCGCGCTTCCACCGAAGCCTGAAGTTGATCTTCTAGTCTCCCACTTCTTCAATTATGATACCTTCCCTATATCTGTCCCTCGTAAGTCGCTTGCCATACATCAGATATGCCAGCATATGTACAATACTCACTGACATAATGGACAGCTATCCTCCACGAACCAACTTTTATGCGCGAGGTATGGTTTAATTCAAAATTGCAATAAGTCCTTAGCTGACTTTGCTTAGTATGAACTGCACTGGCAAGATCCCGATCAGACCAACTTCATCTGGTTAGGCCTCCTGTTTTCCATCCTGGGCATTACTATGCTCGCCTATCATCAATATGGGGAGCCACCGGAGTACGAAGGCACATCGGAGTCACTTTTCCAGCTTTATCGGATGCGCACTGCCCAATGTCTTCTCAGTGGTGACATCGCCAAGTGCTTGCCGTACACCGTAGAGACCTTGCGCTTCAACGCCACCGCCGAGCTGAATCGGAAAGACGACAATAGACGCGGGCTGTGGATCATGACGGGGGTTGTCGTCCGCGCCGCGATCAACATGGGCTACCATCGCGAACCCCCTCAACACTCGGGCGTCTCGGTTCTCCGGGCTGAGATTCGACGCCGCATCTGGTCTTCGGTGATGAGCATGGACAACATGTCATCGTTTCTCGGCGGCTTCCCACGCACGCTGCTATCTGTATATTCCAACACGATGGAACCACGAAACATCCACGACTGGGAGCTGTCCGAGGACATTTCCGCGCTACCCCCGCCCCGAACACTCGCCGAGCACACCTCGGTGACGTATCTCATCGTCAAGGGCCGCCTATTCAGCGCACTGAGCCGCATATCCGACGTAAACTACGGCCACGACCCAGCCTCCTACGAGACCGTCCTCGACATCGACAGGGCCCTCCACGAGGCCTACCAGAACATCCCGCCTCAAATGCAAATGCCCCCCACCGACGCCAACGGCAACCCCCCGCCCATCAAAACCAGAGCCAACATTTCCAATCTCAGTCTCATGGTCACGTACCACAAGGGCATGTGCGCCCTGCACCGGCGCTACCTCGCCAAAAGCCGCAGCGACGCCCGCTTCACGCTTTCTCGGAGCCGGTGCATCGCGTCCGCGCTCGCGCTCCTCGGCTACCAGCGATGCATCGAAGCGTCGTTCTACGAGAACTCCGAGGCCCGCCAGATGCTGATCCTCGCCGCGATGATCCTGTCGCTGGAGCTGGAGCTGCGGCACAGGGCTCCCGAAACGGAGCCGGAGCCGGATAACGCCGCGCTGCTCCAGGCCTTGGAGCGGGCGCGTGACGGCTGGGCGGAGGCGATGGGCGCGACGGATGAGGCGGGGAAGGTCCACCGGTTTCTGGCGGGCGTGCTGGCGAGGTTCGGTGGTTCCGGCCCGGCGACGGCTAGTTCTCATCAGGGGGTGTTGTTGTTGTCTCCGGAGACGCCGTTTGGGTTTCCGGGGCTTGGTGCGCCGGATGGGGGGTTCGCGTTGGAGAAGGGGGTGGACAATGTGGATTTCGATTGGGTTTGTTCATCTCTTGCTTTATTGATACCGCGCGAACGTTTAACTGACGAATATGTCTAGGCTTCGTGGGACGCTTTTATTGAGGAGAACAGCTATTACGACACTGGTGCTATCTATTAGCTGTTTGTTGGGGGGGGAGCTTACGTGCCACGGGGACACCCCTATATTACAACGGCGTTTTAATATGCATTCGTTCTCCGAAGACAACACGGTCAGAGTAGGTAGTACTTGTTGTTCATTTATTCATACAGCTAGCGTAAAAAGGCGTCCGGTACCATGTAGACGTACAGAAACAGACTTTTCCATCCTCAGTATTGGTACAAATATGCCACCCCTCAGTTCTAGAGCCCCCTAAATATCAAAAACAGCCCGACGTATGATATCTACCTACCTAGGTAACCCAGCAGGTACTTAGTAGACAGTTAGTTCCAACATAATAATCCCTATGGACTAGCCCCTCTCATCTCGACACTCTCCTGATCCACCTGATACTTGACCCTGATCCCTCTACTATCACCACTCAGCCTCCTCCAATGGAACCGATTCGAGCCCCCACCAATCGTCGTGACCGTCAGCCCGCCCTCCAGGCTGTCATTCCCCGTATCACCACTCTGCTGCCCCCTCCCGAACCTGGAAGACCCGGAGGTGGAGTAGGTGACCCACGACTTCGCCCAGGTGACGACGGGCGAGGCGCTCAGCTTCTCGCTCACGGGGCGCAGGAGCGGCATGCAGGCGAGCGAGCACGCGATCAGGGGCTCGAGCGCGGTGAAGAGGTAGAGCGTCGAGCCCGACCAGGTGAAGTCGCTCTGGTCGTAGCCGAGCGCGAGCTGGTACAGGCATATGCGGGCGATGGAGATGGCGCAGATCCTGGGTGTCAATGTAATGTCAGCGCACCTGCGCGCCTAAAAAGCCACATGACATGCTTTTGAAACGAAAGAAAAGAAAAAGGGGGGGGCAACGTACAGGGCGCCCAGCGCAAACATAAGACAGACGCCCAGCTTCCGCCCAATCGGCAGCTGCAGGCCCCAGAGCACGGGCGTGGGCAGCAGCGCGATGGTGGAGTCGATGGCGAAGTTCGTGGAGTGCACGGAGAGGTACGCGGCGTTGATGTTGCCGCAGCGGCCGGGGATCAGCTTGTTCCAGTTGAAGGCGAGGGGGCGGCAGAGGAGGAAGACGGTGAGGAGGTCGCCGAGGGCCCAGAGCAGGCAGGCGGCCATGAGGGCCCAGCAGACGATGCGGAAGCGCCGGTGCGTCGTGAAGAGGTGCAGGTACAGGTGCAGGATCGACAGCCGGATGCTGGTCATTGAGAAGGCCCAGAGGGCTTGTACGGCGATGAGGAGCTGGTTTGCTCGTTAGTGTTTAACTCGCTCGGAGGTATGTAGGTAGGTAGGGAGGTAGTCACCTTTCCAAAGACGACGAGCTTCTCGGGGGTCGCGAGGAGCTCGATCGCGTGACGCCCGAGACCGCCGTACTGGACACTGCAGATGAGGCAGGCCGTGAGAGCTGTTGCGCAGATCTGGCTGTATGATTAGCTTACCCATAATACAGTAGAATGCATCAATGTCAGTATAGGTGAGCGGAGGACGCCTTACAAATCCAAACAAAGTAAAAATATCGTGAGCGTAGATCTTCCGGCGGAGGAGTTGCTGGGACCAGAATCGGAGACAGAGGGCTCCTAGGGCGATGACCTCGAACATCATCGTCACCCCGATGATCATGGGGCCTTTGTCGGTTACTGCCATGGCTAGCTACTGCGGTGTCTGATCTCTACTCGATACGATAGTATACGATTGCCTTTCTTACACGCTTATGTTTCTGCCGGCTGAAGGTCGAAGTTATACGGCAGCATAGCAGAAAAGGTCGAACGAAATATCACGGATGCGGAGAGCAAAAATGCAACGCGATGCCGTGGGTGGGAGAGACAAACAGCAAACAGGACACCCGGGGGGTGGTGTGGCCGTTTGTGCATGTACATACTATGGATGTCTACCTACTATCCCCTTAACCGTCGCAAGGCAGCAGAGGCAGCAGATTACTATTATTAGTAGCAGATATATTTCTTTCAATCCATTATACCTACAAATATCCATAACCTTATATGTTGATCTATATTTTATTTTAATATAAATGCGGTATAAAGCTGGCTGGCGTTATTAATTTGAATTTAATATAAATCTTATTTTAAATGAAACTATTCTTATTTACGGCTTATATGTAAATATATGCTAACTTGGAAGCTTTAAATTAATTTTTAAACTTTAAAAAAGATGATTTATATAGCAGCTTTATTGATTGCGTATAAGCTAAAAATAAGAATATATTTTAGTATTAGGCTTGTAAGGAAAAAATATTTAAAAACGTTGTCGTCGAGGATTAAAAGGAGATATATTTAATGCTAAAAGAAAAAAGATGCGATTTTTTATAATATGGCATTATATATTTTTAAGTATTGTTAATATAAGTGGCGTGTGCAAAATTAAGTAAAAAAGTATGTATTTATCGAATAATTAAATTTTATTAGATATTGGAAATATGAAGCGATGGGGAAATTGGCTTGGCTATATCTTTTCTTATTAATAGTAATCTGTTGCCTTTACTGCCTTGCGACGGTTAAGGGGATAAGTGCGGTTAGGTATTGGCATTAATACTTGGACTGCCGTAAGGCATTGGTGGATTCGATGTATGTACATAGGTAGCCATAGCCAGCGACATATGTAACCGCCGCTCCCCCATTCCCCATCTATGTACCGATCGACGATTAGGTAACCACTTAGTGCATACCTTACATGAGGTAGTCTATCTATATCGGCCGTACAGATATTAATTATAGGTACTCGTAATGCATCATCGAGGTAGCATGCACAGTGATTCGAAGGTCTAGCTTAGGCAGTCATCAACGCGGTTTGCTTTACTTGATTTAAGGTATTACTTTTTCCTTTCGAGTACCTACCTACCTACCTACCTGGGGTTAGGAAACTGGCTATGGGTATATGCAGTAGTCGATCATTCCAAGCTTGAAGACTAGGCACATATGTAGGGAGGTAACGATAGAATCCTGCCGCAACACTGCCCATAAAAGACTTACGGGGCCGAAGTGCGTACTTGCTGCTGCTACTCGGTGGTTACTGCTTACATCCATGGTTTGTGTATGCGTGTCGAGGAGGCCTGGCCATTCAGGATGGATTTTTCCTTGGGTGGCTAGCTACATGTTAACCCGTACTAGGCATGTATGTACTTTGATATATTGCCATCACGCCTGCATTTGGGGGCTAGATTTGGGAAAACCCGCATGATGACCCCGGTAGTTGTATGACTTTAAGAACTACGAATGTAGTTTAGTGGTTCATGTAGAAATCTTGGATGGGGTTGCTCTATTACTCCTTAGCCTGGGAATGTCTAGGACCAAGAGATCTGCTAAAACCTCCCTGCTTACTAGGCACCAAACTTGTGGCGGGCCTACGTTATTAGTATATAGTATTTGCTGAGATATGCATCTGCAGTATCACGAATCACGATTTCCATTATATCTACTACATATTAGATGCCTACCTAGGTAGGTAGATAGATAGCAGTGTAAATATGCTATGCAGCCCTACATTGAGGCGCTCGTACGTACCGTTGCATATAAATTAGGTACCTACATGTATTTAGCCCACCTTACCTATCCACCTCCCATGTCAAGAGGCCGCATCTGGGCCAATAAAGCACATACGTCGTAACCACGTTTATCCCGATCCATATCCGTAGGAGCGTGGCACGGCATACAACTAGCTACCTAGGTAGGCATACTTTTAGCGCTCATTGGCTCCATCATTCTGCAGTAGGCCGGCCGGTCGTTGCTTACGTGGGGTCAGGTTGCAGTTTGAAGTACATTAGACGGGACCCATTGGAACCCTTTCACAGCATTTGCATCTCTAGCACGAGGTTTCCACGAGCCGGTTGGTTGCACGCATGGCGCCACCACCTCGCTTTCGTGTAGCTGTCCAGATAGGGGTGTCGTTGTATTAGCAAATCACCTTCGCCTCGATCTCAAACTGTAACATACCTAGGTAATCTTGGACTTTACCTCCCGGGTCCTTTCGAACATTATATTCCATATTGGACGAGAAGAGTTAAGATACGCGCATGATGTATGAGCTACCGAGGTATGTATCTACTTAGTTGATTACCACCCAACCAACCTCCATCTGTGTACCTAGGAGGTAGCTAAGGCTTAACTTATGTGCATACGGAGTCCGAGCTTTTAGATGCAAGATTAACTATGTACCTAGTAACTACATGTACTACGCCGCGATGTAACTGTACGATAGATGGGGTGTGCGGAGTTTGACCGAGTATTTATCCCGGCTATGATTTCTAAATTTAGGTAGGGCTACCTATTTATCACCGCCCCGAACCGCCCTCTGTTCGGCTAGCTTGCCGTGTTCCAAGGCTGGCGGGTGTAGTATCTAGCTGCCTAGGTAATCTGCATACTAGGTAATTACCTAGAGTCCGATTGCAGTCGCTGGAGTTGTCGGCATGTGAGCGAATGGCGCTTTTCGAATTTCACTCCATTGTTTCCTTGTTCCTGACTTAGAATAGGGATAAGTAAAGTAAAGTGAAGAAATAAGATAATATTCCAAACTCTCATAGGATTCCAAGGTAAACTAGGTAGGTAGATGATCACCATAGTTAAGATACCATGTTTCCAGGCGTAACTGAGCAAATGCAACCCATTACTTCTCCCGCCGGGCTTAAGAGGAAGGCAAGCCACCAGGAAAGCTGGGAGCACATTCAGGATGCGAAGGAGAGAAAGAAAGTCCAGAATCGCATCGCGCAGAGGGGCTACCGTAAGCATAAGCCCGATACTATCGTGTCCTCCCTTGAGCTATGTTGTGCATGCTGATAAGCCTAGGCGAACGTACCCGGAAGCGCGTCGAAACCCTTGAGCAGCTATGTCGGCTGTCCACTAGGAAATGCAGCTGCCTAGTAGACTGCCCCGGGTTGCACAGCGAAGGATCTAGCTCTATCTCTACCACTGAGACACTTTGTTCCTCGTCGCCGTATTCATCACCCTCTTCATCGTCATATGTGTCGTCTCCTAACACTAGACGTGGGAGTAGAGACTTGCCGAGTCCGCTTACTCCCAGCTCCCTATCATCTTACTTCCACAACATCGCGGGTCTAGAGATGGGAGATTACAGTAAGGCAGTGGAAGAAGATGAGATATTGGAAAATCAAGCTATCGATATATCGTGGGGTGCTGCCGATGCACTGCCCGGGGATGGTGCGGTGATAGCTGTAGATGACAGCATACAAGTCAGTTGCCATACATCGCCAATGACTATCAGGCGCTCAGACGGTAACATGAACGCGCCAGAATTCTCATCAATAGCCAAGGTAAAAGAACCCCTATTCGACTATTTCCACATCCTACCTACCTAAGCATTCCCCAAGCTCACAAAGTCCGCCAGACAACTCCCCAAGAAACTCCCACCCCACCTTCTAACGAACTATCCGCCCCCGACCCCTCCAGCAACGGCAACGGCAACGGCAACGGCAAAACCGCCCTCCACCTCGCCGCCGAGAGCGGCAACACAAGCATGCTGCACCTCCTCCTCCGGATGAGCGCCAACCCCCTCGCGCGCGACCATCTCGGACGCACGCCCCTCCACCTCGCCATCATCTCCTCCCGTCCCTCATCCTCATCCTCACCCTCCTCCACCACCACCGCGCTCCTCCTCCTCCTCCTCCAACTCCCCGGCACAATCCACGCGCGCGACCACAACGGACAAACACCCCTCCACCTCGCAGCCATATCCGGCAACGAGGAGCTGGTAGAGCGGCTGGTGGAGGCGGGGAGCGAGGTGGAGGCGCGGGATGCGATGGGGAGGACGGCGCTGCATCTGGCAGTTGAGGGGGGGCGGGGGGAGGTGCTGGGGGTGTTGGTGGAGAGGGGGGCGGATGTTGAGGCGAGGGTGGGGGTGTTATAGGTTAGGGGGGTTTGATGGGCATGGATGGTGTGTGTGTAGGATTGGTTTATGTAGGATAAGACAAAAACGGGGGACGGGGGGATGGCTTCGCCGTTAAGCGAACATACACTGCTGGACTTGTTAAATACCTTGGGCAGGTGTGGATACATGGCACGTTGCTGAACTGTTTATATACTAGGTACATTGTATTGATTATCACGAATTTGCTTGGATTTAGGTAGGAGGTAGGTATGTACGATATTGAGCTGCCCAGCTTAACTACCCAGTACCGATGAAGTAGGCATATAGATACTACTGTATGTACACTCACGAACGAATACTACTCTGATTCGAGTCATTCGTTGTATACACATGCATTAGCAGTGTGAGCCCCTTTCTTCCGCCCTCCTAATTACCACCGTTGTCCGGTTCCTCCTTGCTAGATCCTTCCCTTGGAGTAGAAGGTCTCGCCACGTCCGGCCGCGGGTGTATGCGAGGTCTACCCCGAGGTCGCGGTTCAGACGGCGGTCTATAAGTACGAGGTCTACCCCGAGGCCGCGGTTCGGATGGCGGTCTGTAAATCCGAGGCCTACCTCGAGACCGGACGGTACGGTGTAGCAGCTCACCAGGCGGTCGATACAGACGCGGTCTGCCTCGACGTCTCGGGCCACTGTGTGACTGTTCCGCGAGCAGTGGGCTATCTTCGGGTCTGCTGGGACGCAGATTCTCGTCGCGCACCTGCTCTGCAACACGAGTTTGTCCGCTTTCCTGGAATCGGTCGTCAGGCAGAGGGCCGAGGGGAAGCAAACTCTGACCCGGGAGGCTGCCGTACAACTGCTCGTTAATAGCAGGGGTTCCGGGCGGCACTACGGGCGGGGGAGCGTCGCTGTAGGACCTAATGGCGCGACAAAGACGGCATTCCAGAAAATAGCGGCCTTCGCCGTGGAAATCGAGAAACTGGAAGCCGTCGTGTTCTTGACCGCACCTCTCGCAGGTGCGGCGGCCGGTGTAAGGTCCCGCGAGCCCAAAGATAGTCGAGGCCGCTGCAGGAACTGGTGCAGGATCCGGAGCTAGGGCCTCAACCTAACAAAGATTAATCATAAAGCAATAACAAAAGATAACATGAGAGAGTCTTACGCTTATTGTCGGCGCGCGACAGGAACGGCACTCGGTCAAGAATCCAAGATCGCTGCTCTCGACAATGTCTAGAAACTCGAACCTATCTTTCGTTTCGCCGCATTTGGCGCAGGTGAGAACACCCGTGGGGGGATCCATTGAACAGAGTATAGTCCATAACTAATACTCTTGATTCAGCGGATCTTGATATGGGTGATCGTTGCTGAGTAACTGAGTAGGAGGTAGGTGGATGGGTCGGAGGGAGGGAGGTGAGTTGTGGAATGTAGGTGAAGAGGAAGCTTGCAATTGACAAGCCGACATGATTAAGAAAGAAAAAAGGTCAAAACAACTGAGCCCTAATAAGCGAGGAGCAACCTAAGGCACCAAGGTTTCCAAGGTTGCCTTAGGCATCTAGGTGCCTGGGTAGTGAGCAGGTAATGAGCTGGTATCTAGGCGGCACAGCTGGTTGACACCTTATACGTGAGGTTAGGTATTTTTCGCTGAAATCCCCTCCAACTGTCTCCTGTTGCCTACCACCCGCATTGATAATCATCACCATCACCATCGTCGTCACTTCAAGGCCAGCGGTCGGCCTTTGAATCTGAGGACATCAGCACGGTGAATGATGGCGCACGTACCAGGTCTCGACTCCAGGGCGAAGGGGCCTAGATATGCGCGCAGCGAGATTATTCAACCAATTGTGAAAACAAGCTGACTCAACAGCGCAAAGGTGTGCGACCGTCGATCCGGGCAGACCGACCCCCAATATTGGAATATCGCAGACGCCGTGGCTGAAACTATTAGATCTGTTCGGCCAACGAGAACATTCTGACGCGGGCAACGGTGTACCCTTTGCCCTAATATGCGATACTGCATGGAGAGGTGTCTTCCCTTCACCATCCAACTCCCTTGTCCATTAACCATTAGATGCCTATTCATTGGACGAGGTATCCAGATATATTTTGCCTCCTAGCGGATACGGGCAAGGCAGGCTGTGTACGACCTATCTGGTAAGTAAGAAGATCTTGCCACATGGAATGATAAGAATCATGATTGGACTTCTAAAGCCTTTGTTTCAACTTTTGACTTGAATGCGAACTATGTACCCTCTACCGTGCTAGGTAGGTTCAATGTTAATAGGGAAAAGGGGGGTGAATCCTTGGCGTTATTACACACATACATATATATATATATATACTTACCTAGTACTTAAGTAATTTATAACATCAAAATCATATGGACAAATCATTTAAGTATTAAAAACAAGGTTTTATGTAGCGAGGAAAATTTGTCGCTTGTGAAGAAGATGTATTAGGTATATTGCTAAGACAAACGTTTGTAGTAACCATGTGCTGCTGCTGTACGCGCCAGTGAGTCATTGGATTATTCCAGCAGAATTTATTTATGCATACCCAGCGATAGGATCTGAAAGTTGGCGCCGTACGTTCACTTAGCTCATCGTCTGCTCTTTATATTTTCTCGAGGTAGAATTCGCGTCAGGAGTTGTCATTAAGCAGAACCTAGAAGTCATTTTTGCTCGGAGATCTCTAGCATCCCCTCTAGATATTACGGAGGCTACCTACGTACAGCACCCAACTTCTGCTCTAGCCAGACCTCTATGTAGCCTTCGCTACTTTTGCAAGCTGCCGGGTGGACCATTAGGCGTGAGTTGATGTAAGTACGACGTGTGAAGGCTGGTAGCAACGCAGCGGTGGTTTATTTGTTACATCAGCACTACACGCTATCAAATAAGCCAAAGGAGTGTCAAGAATAAGCAGCCATGGTTTGCGAAAACGTCAGGGCTTACCGAAGTGATAATGACCCCCTGAAATCAGTAGAAAGTGGTGTGTAACACTTGCCATTTATAATCTGGAGTGGGGTCTTACTTTGACGACATGCTTAGGATATACTCACACGTACAAGTCTGGAGAATAGAACTTTCATCATGCCTAGGTACCTAGTCTTGCAGCGAAGGAGGCTTGCTCGCGAATTGCCACCCATCATGTCCGCTCGTAGTACACAACATTCTAAAGCTTTCGGAAGAAAATTCGAACGAAGAGGTTGCACCAGCCTTGTTAAAAACTGTACATAGGCAGCGACGCACCTTTCTTGCTGAGTTTTGCGAGGTCTTTCTTCTCTCTCACTTTTCAACTACCTAAAAATCCTATAATTTCATGCCTTAAACAGAAAAAAAAAAAACCCCCCAGCATCTGCTGCTTTGTTCACGATGCTGCCTAGAGAGCTCTCATTCTTCTTCCTCTTTTCTTGCCTTTGCGGTTTATCGTCATGTACCTCCTTCCCATCCTCGACCACACCGGTAGCTATCAAGTCTAGTACTGATGTGCAACTGGCTCTGGCACCAACATCGCCCCCGTTGGAGAACCTAGGGCGGAGAGATAGACCCCCAACACTTTGTGGTTTTGGCAATGGCGACGCAGGTAATGATTCGCTCATAAGATACCTACATTCGTCGTTCAAGCCCATTTTGCTAACCGATAGTCAACCTTAGCCTATCCCTGGAATTGTAATTCAGGGTACGCTTGTGCGGTAGATACATATTATTCAGTTCTAGGTTGTGTCACAAGCATGATCGATGGTAAATTGACTGGATATGTTCCGACGTCATGCTTGAACTACGGTCAACCATGTTCTTCAGTTGGCACTCGAACGATTTGCTGGTAATAAACGCGACTACCTCTCAAGGCTTCAAGCAAAGATGATCTGAGAAGCTAATGCTTTAACCTAGTACGAATACTGTGTATCCGAGCTGCTTGGCCAACGTATACACCGGATCTCTCTACTCGAAATATACGTTGCTGGCCTGTGGTGACGGCTATAATCGCCGAATAGCTTGGTTCGCTTCGACAACCGAGACGGCTAGGACGACTGGGACCGGAACAACGTCGACTCCTTTTATGATGATTCCCCAGGTAACCAATGTCATAAACCTAACAGACGGAACAAATGGTGATTCGCCACCACCTGGAACATTGACGACTTCAGACAAAATAACACTGGCTACGACATTGGGAATCGGTCTACCGGCCACGGTCGCCGGCGTCGTTGCGGCTTGGTTTGCTTACAAGGCCAGGAAGGCGAAAAAATTGAAAATGCGGGGTGAGAGGCTGGCGAGCAGTGATGACGACGCTTCCCATCTTCATGACATAGAAACCATTTACGACCCTTCCGTACGACTAGAACTGAAGCCAACCAAGTTTACGACGTAAATGTTTCGATCGAATATAGATATACTATACATTTTTTGGGATTGGCGCTAGGGTTAGGGTTTAGCAACACGATTCGATGAGCAGAACCTTTCTCATACCTATGTATCATGACATGCTTTTTGCGGATTCCTTTTACGGCAACGCAACAGCTTGGAAATAATGCTAGGTATATATCGGCCTCTGTAGCTAAATGGTTTGAGACGCGAAAGTTGGGCTGGCATTCTTACTAGGTACTCCTGGGGATGGGGAGTACACAAACAACCTTCCTTTGTCGTCTGGTAGTAGGTAGTATATCCTACCCCTGAGTAATGAAATAACACACCGTCATAAAAGACATATAGCCACTTCATTCTTTCCTTATATATCCAGTCATAGTGCCCCTATCCAATCGGAAATCTTCATTAAAAGGGGGAAAAGGCACTAACTACATATTCTAAGCAAAGTAGGAGGAACGGTGAATCACGAAGAGACTATTAGGCACATATGTAGCCTACAGCTCCCGGCTCCCTCTCTGGGAACTCGGGTGAGTCAATGGCGAGAAAGTCCCTGTGGGAAAAGTAGATGGTTAAATGACAATAGGATATAGATTCCCATAGTAGGCCGACGTCATGGACAGCGTTTGGGGTAATGGCATATTGCTATTTACCTACCTACCCACACATGTCTACTACTACTTCGGTTTGAGGCTTCCCTACCTATCGAGACTCATTATCCATGATATTCCAGGCCCCTGAGTATAATGAGTAAGCGATGACTGACACGCCTCATAGGTCTAGAACCAATTCTTCTTTCGTTTGCTACATCCTTGGCCACAACAGATCATTGCGAAAGCTCTGGAGCTTGTGGGGGCTACCCCATGAGAAATTCCCCCTTTCGATTTATCAAGACGGTCGAAACTGAGGGGGAAAAGGTTGCATCTTAACCTCGAAGCTATACCCATGCCTACCCCTAACCTAGGTACCTCAATCAAGCGCGCCCCTGACTGAGACATCACCGGCCTCGGATCCAACGGAAACCAAAACAGACAGCCTAGAGTGCGGAGGCAATTGCGAATGAGCGACGCGAGAATCATCTGTATCTTGACGTTGGATATTCAATCCCCACACGCTGCCAAACAGCCTAGTAGTCCAAGGGCACACATCTGCCGTTCTTGGCGTGGTGTATAATATAGATGACACCTCTCAGGGGGGAGCCCGACTAGGCCACATATTTGACAAGGACCCTGAAGGCTAAAGATAGCTTGCTAAAGTGCGGAGCGTTGCAGCCGGACAGCAATCTAGGTACGCGTCCCCCCAGCCGGCTAAACTGAGATGCTCCCGTTTCGATAACGATAAGATTGCCAAGATGGATATTGGCATCGCTCATCTATATTCCTCGAGTCGAGCTATGGCATCGCTTTACGCAGAGGTGTAAGTACCTACCTAGGTTAGGTAGGAAAGGTGAAGGGGGTGACATCTTGGATGCAGGTGGATAAATAGCAAGGCAGTGTGGGGGGAGGGGAAAGTTACATCAAACTCACCAAGGCTATGGAAGATGAGCCTCCGACGACGACCTCGTCGCCGTCATCGCCTGTCTATAAAATAAGGGTGTCAAGTACATAAGTAAGTTGGACGAAGGATAAGAACAATAAGAAGACAAGAGGAAGAGCATCGAGAGTTTGTCCCCGTAATCACATCGCCCCAAAATCAAAACCAAAACCAAAAAGAAAGAAAAACAAAACAAACCCACAAAAATGGCCATCTCAACCGAAGTGCCCCAGACCGTGGACTGGAACGGGAAGAAGGTGCCCGTGTACGCCATGGAGGTCGTCGACTTCTCCAAGCTGCTCTCCCAGGAGCCCACCGAGATCGAGAAGCTGGTCCGCTGCTGCCAGGACGAGGGGTACTTCTACCTCGACCTGCAGAACATCGACGGCCGCCGCATGCTCGAGGACCAGCAGGAGACCCTCAAGCTCATGTACCGCTTCTTCGACGCGCCCCTTGAGGCCAAGAACGAGTTCGGTCTTGTTGCGCCCCATCTTGGGTAAGTTTGTTTTTTTTTTTTTTTTTTTTTTCGATTGCGAGAGATTTAGCCTGCCTACCGAGTGGCATATACCTACCATAGTACCTACCTACCTACCTACCTACCTAAGTAGCTTCTCGTTTTCGCTTCACCACTAACACAAAACCCCCCACCAGCTACGAGCCCGTCGGCTCCCGCACCGGCGTCCTCGCCAACACCAAGGACGGGTACGAGATGATCAAAGTATCCCGCGACGAGATCCAAAAGGACAGCCCGCACCTGCCCGCCGTGCTCAAGACCAGCCCGGACATGAAAGTCCTCGAGCACGCCATCGCCGGCGCCAACATCGCCACCAAGACCATCCTCTCCGCGCTCTCCACCGGCCTCGGCCTCACCGGCGCCGCGCGCTTCGAGAACACGCACCGCAACGACCGGCCCTCGACGAGCACGCTCGCCATGATGCACTACATCCCCTCGGACCCGACCGCCAAGAACATCGGGCACCAGAAGCACACGGACATCAGCTCCCTGACCTTCCTCTTCGCCGAGCAGTGGGGGCTCCAGGTCCGCCCCCCGGGAGCCAAGGAGTTCGGCTTCGTGGAGCCGAGGCCCGGGATGGCCGTGATCAACGTCGGCGACTCCCTGCGCTTCGCGAGCGGGCATACGATGCAGTCGTGCATCCACCGCGTCGTCCCGCTCGACCCGACCGAGCACCGCTACAGCATCGCCTACTTCCTGCGCGCCGAGAACGACACCATGTTCACCGACAGCGAGGGCCGCTTCGTCACCGCCGGCCAGTGGCACGACGAGAAGTTCTTCGCCTTCACGAGCCCCCCCGAGATCCAGGCGCTTGCGCCCAGCTCCATGATCCTCGGTGGCATGACTGAAGAAGAAGAAGAAGAGGAGGGCGCTGCTGCGGCTGTGGAGACCAAGGATGCACCCAGCCCGATCGTCGGCGCTACGAACCTCAAGGAGTCGGTGCAGGTGTACTAGGCCTCCCTGGTTTTGCTCAGCATCGCTTTGGATGGGAGTCGTAGCACTGCCTACCTGCCTGCCTGGGTACCTAGTAGGTAGATAATGAGGAAACCGGGAAAACCCTACCCCCTACTTACTTAAGTAAATACCTACCTACCTACCTACCCACTGACGATCGTTGTCCCGCGAGGAACTCCCAAGAACAATCTTTCTCCTCATCCCGTACCCCTTACCCCTTACCCCTTTACTCTGTCACAGCAGACCGGTCTGGGAAACCCCTTATAAACGGCCTCGTACACAAGGACAGACAGATAGATGGAGGACATCGGTATACTCTTCGGATACACGTGTACCTAAGCCATGAATATGATTATCTCCCTTTGTTTTTACGACAACATCCGTTGATCAAAATTTTGATATATCATGAGATTTGCGTGACTGTCAAATCAAATCAATTGTAGGCTAGGCTAGGTAGGTAGGTAGGTATCTGCCTACTTATAACATCTACCCAATCCCTTCAACCTGGTCAAGATCTATCCAACCACCTAGCTACCCAAGAACCAAAGACCCTAAAGAAATAAATCGTGACGGCATCACACCACAGCCGGACACCTCCGAGCATACCAGGCACTTGGTCCAATATTCTGCCGGGCAGCGTTAAATTCCCATACGGCCAATACGATCTATAAGAGTGTCAATATCCTCCGCGCGTTGTACTCCCTGGATGAGTGCATGGTTAGCCCCGCCTATGCCCGCTCCACACTCGGGGCATGTTGCTAATTCCATCGGCATGCCGCATTCTCCGATAGTAAAGGGGTGGTTGTTTCTGCAGTAGTACCAGTGGCCGGATCCGGAGAAAGTCTTCTGCATTGCCTCGTATACTTCTCGCATCTCTTTTGTAGAAACGGGGGCGTAGAATGTACCGTCGTTGAGCATCGTCTCCGTAGCCTCGATTTCAGCCATCATGCCCCGTGTTTGAGCACTATACTCCTCCACTAGTTTCCGAGCAATAGTTAGGTGGGTTAAACCTTTCTCCTTGAGCTTTTTCATAGTTTCTTCAGGTGTAGAGGTAGTAGCGATAGTGGTAGTAGAAGCGGAAGTGGAAGCGGCAGTGACGGCAGCGGCAATAGGGGTATTATCCAATGACGATTCTGTGAGTTGCCGACTGAAAGCGCAAAATTGCGCAAAGTAAACGCGAGCTTCAGTTTCTTGTCTGGGAAGCTTCGAGCTTTTTGCTTCTTCTACCAGAACCTTGCATTCCTGCATTTGCTGCGAGAAGTCAAGCTTGAGCCCTGGGCGAGCTTTAGCTAGCTCCTTTCGATTCTTCATGAAGTCGGAAATGATAACGATATCGCATTTTAGAGAAATGGAGCTTGCCTGAAGGTGACTTTTCCTCTGAATCCTAGTCTCGTCAAATGCAAACGTTCCTTGGGTCCTTTGCTGTCGTATGGCATGCTGGACGTGGTCATCGACGCGCTGGAGTGGTTGACCTTCTGTCCTCACTTCGCCAACGAAGGCCCTCAATTTGTGCCAGAGCTCGAGAGCTTCGTTATATCTATCGCCGCCAACCCATTCGCGAACAATCTGGAGTGGTTTGAGGCGACCTTGATAACTTCTCAGTTTATTGGGTTGCTTGATTCGTGGTATAACTAGGGGAGTTGCTCGCTTCGAGATACGGTCCTGCACATCAAGTAAATTATCTGCTAGTTCCAAATATTTGGTTTGTGACCAAGAGATAAATTTTTTGGTGGCTTCATCAAGCATGGCGCGACGGACGATTCTACCATATCGAGCGATATTACGAAGGGATCCGCGGCAGTCTCCACAGACTTTAATCTCATCCATTGAAAAGGGTTGGGTAGCGTCGATAATTGCGATTGGATTTTCCTCGTCCGTCATTTTGTAATGGGCCTTCATGTCCATGGTGCCATCCATACTAGACTTCGTCTTGAAGTGTCCACAGTCTGGGAAGATGCAAGGATCCTCGTCCAGGTCGATTTCATGATATTTCATACCTAGGATGAAGTCGACCTCAGCCGACTTGATGTCCTCGGAACCACATTCTTGGCAGAAATCCTTGCTGGGGCACATCTCACCACACACTGATGGGCATTGATGTCCACAACCCAAGACTTTCTCACACCTTTTTGAGCAAGGCACCCAGTCACAAGGTGCAGCACAAGGCATAGTGCATTTTCCGTGTGCACAGCTCGAAGCGCATGTCGGCTCTGCGCATGGCACGCAAGGCTCGTGGCACTTCTTGCTGCATCGGGAATGGCTGCAACGAACCTCGCAAGGTTCCGGGCATAAAGGACAGGGCTTCTCTCCGTGGCACGACTGGGAACAATTGTGGCGACAGGTCGTGTATTTTCGACCACATTTCTGTCGGCAAACGTTGTGGATAGTCTTGATAATCTTGTCTCCTTTCCTTTCCTTGCATTGGTAGCAGGCACCCCGGCAGGAATGTCCACATGGCTGAGGATCAAGACACATCTTCCCACATCTGTAAGAATTGGCACTCACGTCTGTACGGCAGAGAACCTCGACCTCGTGGCCACATCCTGGCACAACTTTCGTAACCGATTCCTTACAATCAATCGTAGAGGGGTCCTGTGCTTGCCAACATAATGCTGAAGAGATTCTGTGGCCACACGGAAGCGTGATGTTGAGGCCATGCAGACGCTCATCGCATTTTGGCTTACAAGACTCCCCACAAACAAGTTTGCATGGATGCTGACAGCTCTTTTTAGGACGAGGACAGGGCTCAAGGCATTTGACGGCGTTGTGTAGATTCTCGTGATGGCATCTGTTGATACACGAATGGCCACACGGCAACCTCCTATCACAAGGAAGGATGCATCCTCCTTCAGGTGCAAGACGTAAGAAGTCATCAGGCTTGGACACTAGAAGAGGTGTATCAGGATGGCGAGGGCCTAGAGTATTAAATGTCAATAACTGTTAGCATCAAAGATCGGGCTTGACTTACACTGTAACTCCAATTCTGCTCCTATATTTCCATTTCTCCTGAGAATGTCTAGCACCTGTGCCCACATTGGTACGTGGCCATATGTTTTGGCGTTCCCTATCAGATACATGCCATGCTGTGCCCGAGAAAGGAGAACGTTGATGCGGTTGGTTGTGCTTAAGAAGCCGCATCTATTAGCCTCATTGCTTCTCACGAGCGAGATGACTATCACTTTGGCCTCTTCTCCTTGGAAATTGTCGACAGTTGCTAATCGGATGCTCTTGAGGAGAGATCTCTTAACGGTTGGCGGTCCATGCGGCTGGGCAATCACATTCTCCCTCATTGTATTGTCAGCTTCTACAGCTTCGATTTCCTCCAAGTCTTTCTCGCCAACTGTGATTTCGAACAATCTTTCCATTTCACGACGAAGTCGCATCAACTGTCCAAGATAAGGCGTTATGACAGCAATATCGTCCGGACCATACGACCCCTGCCTAACCAAGTGTTGAACGAGCGATACTGTCATTTCAATCTCGAATTTGTTCGTCCGTGAAGTTGATAATGGATCGAGTTGACCCGCCTGGTCCTCTGGTGATTTATGATCCATCCAGAATAAACGTCTCCTCATGCCGGAAATATTCGGGTATTGAGCCACAGCTCCGCCGTCATCCAAAGAAGGATATAAGGTTGATCGAATCAATTCTGAGACGTCTGGGTGCATCCGCCGTTGGGTCTCTAGAGTATCAAATGGCAGGATTGGGTCTGTGTCATATGCTGGGTTGATAAGGCGCTCAAACAGCGACACGTCCAAGGAATACTGAACCCCCGCGGGATTCGTACTTTGAAGGTCATAGTTAGCTATTTGGGGCCTTAGCTGGAGGTGATCGCCGATAAGGATGGCCTGTTCAACAGATGGGAGAAACGCTGTGATAGTGTGTGCCTCGAGAACCTCGCCTGCCTCCTCGCATAGCATAACTTTGCACCGTAATTTCCTTAGGAGCTCAAGATTTTTCGCCAGGCCAGTTGTTGTGACACCAACAACGTCTGCTTCGTGAAGACATCGTAGGTCAACGTCCCAAGACACCCTCTGTCGATCATCCTTAATCTTTTCGTAACACTTATAGTCATGTATGATTTCGGTAATAAGAGGGTCACGTATTTGACGTAGCCAAAAGTTGTAGAGGCGCGATCTTTCAATAAATGTCATGTTCCAAACGTCTTCCGTCTTTAGGACATCAAGCTCGCGAGGGGAGCCGATCCGTAGGCCACTGTCTCGCCATCTTTTTAGGAGTTGGCCAGGGCTTTGATGAGTCTTCTGTGTCTGCCATTCACCCTCCTCTTCGTGGCCAAATAGTGCATCATGGTGCCGGGGATAGAATTGAGAAAGATATTGCCGTAGTAAGCTCAGTTTTTGGCACGATGCAAGTTCCTCGATTGATTTCTTTAGTGAAAGAGCGATGTCGTCCCTTCTTGCCGAAAGTTCCCACATGGAATTTCTTTCAGCTCTGGTACGCTCTGCGGATTGAGCTACCATACGAAGGTTAACTCCCTCAAGTTCTTCCGCCTTCGATCTTGATCCAATTCGAATTACTTCCACCTTTTCACGCATCAGATGCACAAGCAACTGGTCAAGTGCGTGATTGGTGTAGCAAACGCAAAGAATAGGTCCGAGACTAGCTTTCCCCTTGTTTGCCAGTAGGGTCTTGATGATCTTCTCGCCCGTATAGCCTAGGCGCATTGGTGTTAGTAAGTTTAGATATTGTAGCTGGACATGTTTGTGGTATGATCTAGTTAATATAGTTCTTCGAATGAATGGAGGTCTTCAAAGGGTTGAGAATATATCACAGCATGTATATGGTACTTACTTTTCCCTGTACCGGGCGGGCCCTGGATAAGAGCCAATCTTCGCGAGAGTGCATTCAGAAGAGCTTTAGACTGAGTTTTATCGAGGGTAGAGTGACTTGCAAGCGTTTGGGGATCGAGGGGTTTCCTAGGCGAATGATGGAGACTTTCTCCGTCATCTGTTAGGCAACTTAAGTCGAAAGAGAACTCCGTCTTGGTCGTATATAGAGGAGGCTCGACGATGACTTCAACTCCCAAATCTAGGTTTTGTTCAGGCAGAGAAAGTAAGTCAACAAATGGAAAGTCGGTCTTTTGTGACATGCGTTGAAGGGCAGTAAGCGTGTGCTGGAATGAGGGGAGGAGAACACCGGGAAATTCGACGAGGCACCGTCGCTGCTGATCCCCAATATTCTGAAAGCATCGTAGTGCCTCACCAATATCGGCGGGGCGGGCCTCGGCTAGTTGTAGGTGAACATAAGCCCACTCTTCATCGTCGGCGAGTGTTGGACTACCAGTATCACCATCATCCTCTTCTCCCTTTCTAGTCTTTCGGCTCTTTGCGTGTGATATAATGGTACTATCGGCAACTACACAAAACAACACAGCCCCCCTTTCGGAGATAATACACACAAGGCCACCAGGTCGAAGTCGTTTAGAGTGTTCCCACCAGTCTCGACGCTGCTGTTGGTTCTTCTTAGATAGTGGCTGGTAGAACTGAACAAGTAAATCCATCCCCTGGATTATATCAAAGCTGACGTCAATAATTTCCGCCTCTTCGTATGCGTAAGTACGAAGGGTATTTCGGTCGGTGCGGTCTTGTTTACTTTTTGGGTTTCGCATAGCTTCGAGCTGCAAAGCAACCGTATCACGAAGTTGACCAACTGTATCCTCTCTCAGAAGACGGAACTCTCTGTCAAGGCGGCCCTGTATACCAGGTTTATGGAATAGGGTTGAATCAGTTGTAGGTAAGTACTCATTCCGCGTAGATGTGATTTCTTCTGGTGTAGGTAGAATTCTGATTTTGCAAATGTCCTCGTGGTCGTTGTCATGACGTGGTCCTTGTGCCGAAAGTCTTCCTGGAAGATCCTTCCGCATCACAAACTCCGCTCGTGTTACAGGCGCTTTCTTTCCTTCTTCTTCCTCGACCAGTGCATTCCCGACACCAAGCCGCCGCCAAATGTATTGTAGATGTTTCTGAGCCTGGAACTTAGAAAAGTCGTCTGAAGAATCGTGAGCAGCTTGAACAGCAGATTCGAATCTCTCAGCAATATGTTTATAGTTATCATTGATAATGTTGCTTGTGTTGCAGTCAATCATGATAGTCAACACAGAGAGTGAGAGTTCACAAGCAGATATGCCGTACCCATCTGCTTCGGATACGGATAAGATTGGCCAAACATTGAGCAAATCCAGAATGAAATCAAATAGCGGTTTCATTCTTCTGCCCCCAATTCCCTGGATGAAGTTACATATGGCGGCGACATGTTGTTCAAGCACGTTAGAATCAACGACCCGTGGGTGGGTGAGAAGTTGGAACATAGGTCGTATCTGATGAAGCCATAGGTGAACTTTGGTGGAATTCCTTATGGCCATAGGTATTTGCTGGTCAATGACATTCTTTATAAAATCAAGGCCAGCATCTTGGGCCATTAATTTCACTGTCTCCTGTGAAGCCCCAACGTCTCCATCCATTAGTTCGAGAGCAAGGTTGAAAAAACGGTCGCATGTCTGCTGACTCTTGACGGTAGATGAACGAACAGAGCGCGAGTTAGAGTGGGTTACTCCAAGCAGTCGCTTCCATTCCCTAAGACAGTCTTTAGCCGGGCCCTGGTCCTCTCGAGGGTTTCTACGTTGCGTGGATGCCTGGGGTTGGGCCCCAGAGGACGACGAGATCTCGTGGGAGAATTTGCAACGGCTCCCATAGTTGCAGTTGCCACGCTGGAAGTTTCGACATGGTGGTTTATGGTTTTTAGTAGGCGGGTAGCTAGGAGAGTATATTAGCCAAAAAGAAACGTTCGGTAGACATTATGATAAAATGCTATGGTTACCGGTTCATGATCATACGTATGCTCTACCAAGTTAGCTTAGGCAAACTATCGAGGAGGTATGGTTAAGTCGGTTGTATGATACTATCACGGTTGTGGGGAGGTAAGAAGAGGGATTCGATAAAGGCCTTATTTATGATGTAGCTTGACTACTGTCTCGGAAAATAGGACTTCTAGCCAAAACACAAAGATACCTTCCGAATGTTGAATATGGTGGGCATCTACCTAAAGAAGAACGACAAAGAAAAAACAATAAGGTATCCGGGCCCAGGAAGGCAAACGCAAGGCATACATGGGCTGTAAGGCTGCAATGCCAACAATCATGATTCTGCTATGAGGAAGCTTCATTCTGTGAGGGGTTGCCCGGAGGCAGTGTAACATGTGTGCTGGAAACGCCAATAACTACATGCATGTGTAGAAGCTGCTCGATTGAAAACTACATATTACCTAAGTTAGTAATGTACCTACATATGAGGTAGGTAGGTACTTTACTTCACTCGATGGCCTAAAAAACGGACTCGCGTGATATGTAGGTACATAACTGAGCTTGCGGCCGAAGTCTATTGGACGTAGATAGCCGGCGACTGTTTGGGCGTTGGCTGCGGACGACTACCTGGGTATCCAATGTAAGACAACTGTATAAGACATAACCACAACCGTAAGGTTTAGTGGAAGGGACTTGTGGGGAATGATATCTCACGCCACGGCAAGCGACAGATTGACAGGGCGAAGAGCCAGGAGTATGTAGGTATCTTCAATGCTGTTGTTGTCATTGCTACATATGTACATATGTATTTGTCTCGAGGGTTAACGTTTGATGTTGTACTTTTCAAGTTGCCCATTCGAGACCTGGGGTTGCTGCTAAACAGAGCACATATGGGCATGTTCAGCCTGTAACCAACAACGATGCCTACCTACATGTAGGTACATATACAGAGTTCCCATACGTGCTGCAAACATTGAACCATGTCAGCCCTCCCGCTCCCGATCTTTTATTTCGGTGTCAGGGAGACTGCTGTTAGTGATCCGTAACTCAAACATCCCCCACATGCCTAGGTTAGGTACTTATAAGGAAGATATCAGGTATGTAGCCATTAAGGTAGATAGGTACCTAGGTAGGTAGGCTTTGTATCCAGTTTATCGCAGAGCTATGTATCAAGGCAGAATTTGACGGGGAATCGGACCTTGCACCGGAGAAGGCTGTGATGCGGGTCCCGGGCAAGCATTTTGGAAGTACGACATATTTCTAAGGATTGCGAGAAACATAAAGTAATTGTATATAGGAATGATATCATGTCAAGAAAGTTGAAGAATGTTAGAAAGTCTTGTTGCTTGAAAATATTTATCAAGAAGACTAGTAGTAGTAGTTGTAGTAGTAGTAGTAGTAGTAGTTGTAGTAGTAGTAGTAGTAGTAGTAGTAGTAGGTAGAAAAGAGTATTACCAGGTAGGTTAGGTACTACTAGAGTTTATAGTGGTGCCAAGATTCAAGGGGGAATGAAAGTTATTATGAAACATTTGAACATTCAATACTGCTATAAATAAAGCTTGAATTTCTTGGACAGACGGGCATTTACGTAGTCGCGCTTGCTACGCCCTAGAAAGCCAAGAAGATGGAACCCCTTCCTTTTAGGATTAATGGCAAGTGATACGACGTAAGTCAGTCAACAAAGTTAACAAGTCAATTAACCTGTCAATTAACCTGTCAGTTACCAAAACCATTACCTACAATAAATAATAAAATGAGCCACATCTTAAGCCTAACATCGGCCGGGCACTGCGTGTCATCGGCCGACGATGCCTACCGTCGGTCAACCTCTCCTTGAGCCTTGGAGCCCTTGAGCCCTTCTGGGCATTGCCGCAGATCTACACATACTACAGTTTCAAGTGATGATGCAACTTCGCCTATATAGAATCCGCCGACAACTTCGGAATATAAAAGCCCTTCCGTCCCTAGGATTTCATGCGAATACAACTTTATCAAATTTACCAAGCTCAAGAACCAATTCACAACGCATCTTTACTTCAACTCAGAAATGTTGTCTAAATTTATTACTATCCTGGCAGCGGCATCTGCAACCCTAGCCATCACTCCTCCAGGCTTCGAACCAGGCACAGACTCTACTCTGGTCGTCACATATGGAAATGCCTCTGCAGAGGGTGGAAATGTCTTGGAAAGACTAGGTAAGCAACACCAAAACCAACATTTACTACATACCTAGTACCTACCTACCTACCTACCTACCTACCTACCTACCTACCTACCTACCTAGGTAAATAACCTACCTAGGTAAATATATATATTAACAGAACTCAACTGCAGACACCCAAAGCGTCCCTAAAGTTGGGACGCAGTCTAGATTAGAAGGATCTTCGTTTGCAGTGTTGATGGTGGACCTCGATATCCCTACAGACAGCCCTCCGGCGACGAACACCCTTCTCCACTGGCTGCAGATTGGGTACGTACAGGATACAGTACCAGTGTCCGTCAATACGGATTCGGGCACTGCAAATAGAAGTGCATTCCTGTTCAAGCAGCCATCGGAATCCCCGGGAACAGCCGCAGAATATATCGCACCCAACCCACCCGCGCGAATCCCCCTCTCCCACCGATACACGCAAATCCTCATCGACACCTCGGACGCTACGCCGGAAAATCTAGGTGTCCTCCAAGATGCAGCAGAAACTCGGCTAGGGTTTGACGTCCTCGACGTCCTGACGAAAGCTGGGCTGGCGGACAAGGTCTTGGCCGCCAACTACTTCAACGTGACGAACCCAGGCCCGGTGGAAAGCTCGACCAACTCAACCTCGAACTCAACCACCACTGACAGTACAGAGGAGTCTCCTTCAGCTACGACCCCGCCTTCCGCGGCGTCGATGCAAACAGCCAGCGGGATGCTTCTGAGTGTCGCATTGGCGGGTGTTATGTTCCTTACTCTATAGATTCAAGTATGTGGAAGGAGCGGGAAGGCAATTGACTGGCATCAACACACGTATATAGTATTTACTCACATAGGGAAATAACTACATAGAAAAAAAAATCATGCATACGTACATATGTATACCTATGTACTCCATAGTTATTTACACATGCATCAAGATGGAGAGCTTATCCATGCGTGCCGATGTCCATCCATTTTAGAGATCCACAAAAAGCCTCAGCGATTACATGCACATATGTATGGACCCGGCCTACATATCATCCATATTTACGCGTATGTATGTACTTCGAGCTCGGTGTTTCGGGAAAGGCAAAGCAAGGGAGATTATCCCCATCTAAGCCGCATAGACGGAAGGCCAGCTTGGAGATGTTCTGTACATGTACATATGTATGTATGCACGTGTGTACCTACGTCGATATTCGGTAAAGAGTGCTCATGTAACGAACAGTAAGCCATCTCTCATCATCTTCTACGTAAATAGATCATGCGGGTAAATAAGTATTACCGGCGAGAGACTGGGAAATGTATGCCGACTTGCTTTCGTTCGTCCCTCCGGACGTTCCAACATTGTACCGACAGATTTCTTTGATTAGATCAAAGTAACTGCCGCGAAAGTGGTCAATGCTGGGAAAAAAAATGTGTTTCGGGATTTTATACATACATACATACATACATGAAGAAGAGCTATGGATAACTAACTTATGTACCCATCGCTTCTTTTTTTGCTGTTAGTTGGTATCGCGTGGCCAATCACGGATGCGCATGTTGTATTGTTCCAGATCTAGAAACGGTTTGCCTGCCGGTCCCCCCCCCCTCCTTGTCTTGGCTCCCCCCCTACCCGTACTCCCCTACCCCCTTTATTCCCATTGTTGCTCCAAACTCCAATCCTTTCCCCTTGGCAAAAGTGAGAGCTTCCCCGCAAACAGCAACGACGACAAGAAGAAAGCGTTCCTCAAAGCTCCCCCACTTCACCGATGGCCGATTTACCATAGCTCTCCGACGGCTTCTGGTACGACCTAGCTTTGAGTAACGAGTAGGTAACTAGGTACCTACATATGTATTTTCCCATTGACCGTGCCATAATCGTATCGTTATTTTAAAGCATTGGGGACTAGCTAGTGACTCTTAATACATGGGACGATGATGGTATCGTACCTACATACAAACCTACTATGTGCATAGGTAAGTAGTAGCTCAAGCCTAGGCTTTCCTCGCTAGGCCTAGTGGTTAGGTAATTGAGCAGACAGCTCTCGACCACCTTGGAAACTCAACTCAGCTGACGAGCCCGTTCGCTGGCTTCGGGCGGCGCCCACTAGTCTCCTTTGTAAGGGCGAGGGGGTTGCGGGACCAATGCCTCACACACCGAAACATCGCCGAGCCCTCTCCGGCGGGTATCCGAGCTTCCCTTTCGCTGGGGTCAATTGAACCACATGGATTATGTATGGATGGAGAACAGACTTGGATCATCTATACACAGTTCATAACATACACGCGTGCGGAATTAGGGAAGGGAAATTGGACCCTATATGCATCATCGGGATGTCTCGTGCGCGTTCAGATGTTCTGGTAGTTTGGTAAGAGTGGGAAAGGGAAGCGGGATTGCCTGGTCACTAGTGTAGTGTAGGTAGGCAGGTACCTAGAGATCAGTTGAATGTATGTAGCCTGCTCTTAGTTACATGCTCCGTGTGTATGTACCAAGCAAGCGGCTACACAACCTAATAACGTACCTACATTAGGTATACTACAAGCTATTTTTGAAAGCAACGGCGATTACCTACCGCTGGCGGCTAGTCTCAGTTGTTGATCGAGAAAAAAAATAAGCAGCTAAGACATTCTCCGACAGTGCCCGCTCCTCGGCCCTCCTCGTACTTGCTGTGGATGTTGAGAGGGTGTGCTACTGGCGAGAGCTGCCGTTGTAGTTCCCGTTGGAGAAGAGGTGTTGTTGTTAATGTCTTTTTTTTTTTTTTTTGGCTTTCCCTTTGTTCGGGGTTCAGTTCCAGTCCATAAAAGGAGGTTACCTCCCTCCATCGTAGCAAACACTGCTTCCTTCTTCTGCTTCCTTCTTTGATCATTCTACTCTCATCCATTCGTCATCTTGTTCCTTTTTCCTCTTTATATCCCTCTCTCTCTCTCTCTCTCAAGAAGCCCACATAGATTTGGCTCACTGAATCGCACACGAAATCAAACTCTAAAGTCCTCTCTCCCATATATATAAGTGTAAGCAGACAGAAGCTGTCTGTTCAAGAAATCTAGAAACAAGTTTCCAAAATGGTATTACTCGCTGCTCGCTCCCTACTATCTTCTTCCTATGGCTGCACTCGTCCCCTCTCTGCGCGGGCACTCCCTACAGGCACTGTAGGAGCAGCAGCAGCAGCAGCTCGTTCTGTTAGCACTGCTCGACCTCGCTCGTCGGCACTGCTGCGCTTTGGCCTATCGTCACGCGTAGCAGCTCTGAGCTCCTCGCCCGCGCCTCTACTATCCTACCCTCCTCCACTACTACTACGAATACCTGCTTCGACGCGTTTACTAACTACGAAACGTGAAAAGGTCAAAGTTCTAGCTGTTCTGTACGACGGTGGCAAGCACGCCGAGGATGTACGTATACCAAACTCCCTTTCATTACACTGTTCCTATATATGATGCTTTTTCTCCTACTTCGCATTTTCTTGTTGGCTATATACTCTTCTGCCGTCTCTCCCCGCAGTGTCGTATCTTGGCCATATGTCCGTTTGGTTGTCCAATGGCAGCGACTCTATGCGCGATTGGTTGAAACCGGCATGCAATGGGCTGTGTCTGGTAACTGTATGTTAGGCGGCAGATGTATAGGCTGAGCCAGATAAAAAGGAGAGAAGGAAGAAGAGGGGTGAGAGAGGGGAAAATGGATCGAAAAGCGATCTAAGTGTGGGGTAATTGTTGAATTGAAGGTTGAAGAAAACACCCCGTTGTATGCATATCTATATCCATATGGATAGAAGGAAGAAACAAGGACTGTTACGGTCATACTGGTTACACTGGTCACACTGGTCACATTACAACACTCTCCACTTTACAAAAACCAGAAAGCTAATCCGTTCTTTTTACCCAATTACAGGTGCCCGCCCTACTAGGAACAACCGAAAACGAACTCGGCATCCGAAAATGGCTCGAGGACCAAGGTCACACCCTCGTTACCACCTCCGACAAGGAGGGCGAGAACTCCACTTTCGACAAGGAGCTCGTAGACGCTGATATCATTATTACTACTCCGTATGTCAATACTTCCTTCCTACATACATAATACCTTTCTCTACTCGCCTATCTACATATATCTACCTACCCAACTACATATCTACTACATGTCTACTAGCCATCTTGGCGAGGCGATATAAGTTACCTACTCCAACAACCCGAAAGGGAAGAGGAGGGATTAGAAGGACAAGAAGAAGTTGGAGCAACACATAAGGAAAACATACTACTGCAAGCGAGCAGCCAAACACAAACACTATGCAACCTTGAGCCATGCGACTAATACACCATGTAGCTTCCACCCCGGCTACCTAACCGCTGAGCGACTAGCCAAGGCCAAGAACCTTAAGCTTGCCATCACCGCCGGCATTGGCTCCGACCACGTCGACCTGAACGCGGCTAACAAGACGAATGGCGGCATCATCGTCGCCGAGGTGACCGGTTCCAACGTCGTGTCCGTAGCCGAGCACGTCGTCATGACCATCCTGATCCTGGTCCGCAACTTCGTGCCCGCGCACGAGCAGATCCAGAACGGTGACTGGGAGGTCGCCGCCGTCGCCAAGGACGAGTACGACCTTGAGGGCAAGGTTGTCGGCACCGTCGCCGTCGGCCGCATCGGCGAGCGTGTTCTCCGCCGCCTCCGCGCCTTCGACTGCAAGGAGCTCCTCTACTACGACTACCAGCCCCTCAAGCCCGAGGTCGAGAAGGAGATCGGCTGCCGCCGCGTCGACAGCCTCGAGGAGATGCTCGCCCAGTGCGACGTCGTCACCATCAACTGCCCTCTGCACGAGAAGACCCGCGGCCTGTTTAACAAGGAGCTCATCTCTAAGATGAAGAAGGGTAAGATACCATCACCTACCCCTTACCTCTACTCCCAATGCACGTCACGTGCAGCATCTCTACCTAACTTACCTACCTACACATGACATATAAACATGACTAACCAACAACCACCAGGCTCGTGGCTAGTCAACACAGCGCGCGGCGCCATCGTCGTCAAGGAGGACGTCGCCGAGGCTCTCAAGTCAGGCCACCTCCGCGGCTACGGCGGCGACGTTTGGTTCCCGCAACCCGCGCCCAAGGACCACCCTCTACGCTACGCCAAGAACCCGTTCGGTGGCGGAAACGCCATGGTTCCCCACATGTCGGGCACGTCGATCGACGCGCAGAAGCGGTACGCCGACGGCACCAAGGCCATCCTCGAGAGCTTCCTCTCCGGCAAGCACGACTACCGCCTCGAGGACCTCATCGTCAAGGACGGCGACTACGTCACCAAGGCCTACGGCCAACGGAACAAGGCTGCTTAGATTTGTTTTACCTATTCATTCAAATCCTCTTGCCTTACCATACCCCTACCAACAATGGAAGAAATAAGTAAAAAAGAAAAAAAGATCAAATTTTATCACCTAACCTGGTTACCACTGAAAGGATATATGTCATTATAACGAGACGAAACGGAACCGGATGGACGATGGACCAAGGGCGGTTGATCCCGACCCCGGCATATATACAAGATGTAACTGATGAGAAATGTTGTTGTTGTATTTATCCCCACACAACGAAACCTCCCTCTCTGCTTTCAGAAGGGTTTGGTTCGTGGCTAGATTAGCGTAAACTAGCCATTATTTTGAATATGATGAAGTTCGAAATACCTCCTGCTGCGTTTTTCCCTAGGCCTAAGAATCTCATGGTGAATAGATAAGTAACCTACCTACCTACCTTAGATATGTATGTATGGAGACTTGCCCGTCTAGCAAAAAAAGCCCAGTCTTCTGCCGAGCCTAGTGGCCAAAAGTTATCTCGAAGCTATGGATTATTGCGGGCAGGTGTGATACTTCTTAGGTAACAGCTCACCACTAGTTCGCTCATCCCATCCTATCTCCCCCCTCTCCCCTCACACTACCAGAATACCTACCTACCTCAGCTTACTTCCACAGCCGGGGTTCCACTGACGTCTCTCTTACACCATGATGGAGGAGCAAGCCATATCACGGCGTCAGAGACTCTCTACCTTTCGCCTCGCAACAAAGGGGTTGCTTTCTCTAGTCCACTAATACCAACCAGCCTACCAGTTCATCCAGGCTATCAGTCAGCCTAGTACGTCCTCTATCGCTACTATGTAGGCAAAGCATTCTTACTCGCATACCTACCTGCCTGCCTATTTCGTAGGTATCTATCTGGCTCGAGGGAGCATTTCGGCCTTCATTCATCGGGCATTGCAGACGGATGATAGGTATATAGATAGATACACTGGGTCGGTCCTCTGGGGGTTTGTGGAAAGCTGGGGGGGGGCTTCGGGGGTGTGAAGGGATGGAATATTTGCGATAGTGTTGGCAAAAAGGCAACTGTTCTGGTTGGAAAGTAGGTACCTAGTATTCTGAAACTAATTATCGGGCATGCTTATTAAGTATTTACCCTACCAACTAGGTACGTACGTAGTAGAGCAAGAAAAGAGTGCAAGAACATCCATAGGTAGGTACCCATATCTTGAAACAGTGTTTTCTCACTCCTTGTGATGGTCTTAATGTACACACCATGATGCATAACAGAGCCTCCCCATAAACCTCGCTCCATAATCGAAAAAAGTACCTTATGTGCCTAGATACCTAGGTAGGCTTGGTATTTTATATATAGCACTCCAGGGCTACGTAAATGCCTAATACATATACATACCTATGTACTGTAAACATAAAAATTCATCCCGCCAGTCCTATGCAACACCCAAGACCTTCATTTCCCCATACCCTGAAGATGGCAGGTAGGTATGATAAACGCCGAGACCATGCAACCATCCCAAATCAGCCCAGTACCCAGCACCCCTAGGCAGAAACCTATCTGTCTACCTAGATATATACCCAGGGTATTCATTACTCCTCATCACTGCTATCAACCAAAAACCCCGCTCTACGCCGCCTGGTAGATGGCTTAGAAGCGGGCAGATCTTCGTCTTCATCGTCGTCGTTATCAGCATCCGCATCAGCATCAGCATCAGCATCTTTCATCTCCTCATCGCCATCGCCATCAGCCGGAGCCGACAGTTCTTTAGATAACCGTCTTCGCTTAGCGCCCGGTGCCGAGCCCGTGCGGGGACTAGACGACGGGGGCATGTCATCGGAGTCAGACGCGCTATCCTCTTCCGCAAACCCAATGTTCTTCTTCTTCTTCTTCGCATTCGGCCGACTGGTATCATCATCGTCAGACTCCTGCGGCAAGATGAGATCATCATCATTGTCACTATCACTATCATCCGCCAGCAACACCTGGGCTTTGCGCTTCTCGACCAGTTTAGGCGCGGCCGATATCGTAATTCCCGTCGCTTTATCAGCCGCAACCGCGCTCTGCTGTTGGCGGAGCTTCTCCTCGTTGGCGTAAAACTCCGCCCACCGTTCCCCGTCATCCGATTCATCATCGCTCGCATGCACGAAGAGGTCGCTCTTGAATCTCTTTGCCTTGGCCTTCTCCCGCTCCTTGCGGGCCCTCGCCTTATCCTCGAGTTGCTCCTCGGTGGGCTCCTCGGCATCGCTACCACGGCGTCGTCGCCGGCGCGTCTTCTTTGGCTTGTCCAGGAAGTCGTCTGCTACCTTTCGCGCTGTGGGGCCACCCGCGGGGAACAGAATCTCATCATCATCGTTATCGACCCCATCGTCATCGTCAAAGACAGCCTTCTTGCGTGGCGCGGCCTTCCTTCTTAATTGATCCTCTGCTAACTTGCCGTCCTCAAAGGTGGGCGGATTAAACTCCGCCTGGTTAATTAAGTCGAGGGATTCCTTGAGTTGGTCAGCGGTCAAAGGCGGTGGGATGATCCAGGCAGATTCGGGTGTCTCGTCAACGGATGGAACGAGGCGTTCAAACCCGACCAGCTTCATAAGAAGTCGAAGGTGAGAGTTTTTGAACATGGCAGTGCGACGGGCATCGTTGTCGGGTCGAACAGCTAATTATCATTAGTTGCAGCTCATGGCCAATGCGATATAAAGACTTACAAATATGCGGTGGTTCCTTGACAGGTTTCTCCGTGTTTGGTTGTTCGGCCTCATTCTCTTCGCTCACGCCAGCTTCCACTGAGGGTATGGCTTTTTCCATTGCCTCCCACGTCCTCCTCTCCGTCTCTGCCTGGGATAGCTGGCCCTTGACCCATTTGACGTGATCAGCTAGGTTCTTGTCTAGCAAAGCACTAACCACGATCGCGATTTGTTTATCATGTTCTTCAATATGGCGAAACTCCAATTCGGCCGCTGGTTTGAGTTGGGATGCTGATAGGGTCTGTTTCTCGTAGCCGTACTCCAGATAATGCGCTGTTGCGTTAATTTTTGAGAAGAGCATCTCTATTATCAACTGAGGTCGTTCCTCCACCTTGCGGATGCACTTCTTGAGGATCTGTTTTACCAGCTCCTCCCATTCCTTGTACATTGTTGAACTCTTGTCCAGCGGCTCTTGGCCTTTTATCATACTATAAAGGAGTTGGATGATGTCAACCCGGAAGAGCATCACACTCATATTCTGTTTGAAGGCTATCCGGTAAAAGTAACGATGCGCTCGCTTCAGCTGAGATTCGTCCAAATCCTTGTAGTATTTCGTGAATTGGACGAATGTATCAACTACACCTTGGGGAGTGAATCGAGCTACGAATCGGTTGAAGTCGAACTTTCGTTCGCTGGATGTTCGCTCCGCGCTCGCCTGGTCATTCTCAGAGTCATCTTCCTCTTCCACCACAGGGTTCTCTTCATCCTCCCCGGAAGCCTTGGCAGCCTTCTTCTTCTTTCGCACTCTTCGTCGTGACCGCACTTGCATATCCACATTCTGTTTTGAGAATGCTTCCAGAACGCGGAGATAAGTATGCGTAAGCTCGGTGCACGCATCGAGATATTCGAACCCCTGATCTTTGTAGGTCTTCGCAATATTCGCGATCCTGTCATGCGTCTCCTCTTCGTAGAATATACGGCTGAGAATATTCTCTGCAATCTCTTCGTCCTCTTCATTTCCAGATTCTGACATCTCCTGAACAGTCAGTAAAATCTGTGTGAAGCAACGCATCGCAGCACATAGCTCTTGCCAACGCTTGCTCTCCATGGAGTCGCCAATTGCCCTATTCAAGGTGATGAACGTCTGTTGATTGAGAACACCAGCTACAAGGTTGAAGGAACTAACTTCCTCTGTGCTAGTTGACTTGCGATTTTTTGCCGCCATCTTCCTTGCTCTTTCGGCTTCTAGAAACCATGCAACTAGATAGAAGAATTGGCGTGAATGGTACTCGAAGACATACTCCTTCTGTTCGTCGAGCTTCTTCCTCACGTGTTGGAAAAGGGGATTGAAGCCAGAATCTAAAAATTCTTCCACGAAATCCTTTAGTTGTTGGCGTGCCCTTGTATTTAATGACACCGGCGGTCCCAGATCCTTTGGCTCCATCTCGTCTTTCCTAGGCCTTCGCGGCGGCCGATATACTTTACTATTGTCCATCTTGTGTTGTCTGGTTGCCGCATCAAGCAAAGCATCCTGTCCCGTAACTGTTGAAACCTTCCCGTCGCCTCGATCCACCCAGATCATGGTGCCCCACCGATTATGTCTGGACGGAGCTTTGCGATTGTAAGATCGATGCATTGCCGCTTCTTTGCTCATCATGGTCGCAAGTTCATTCGATTTGGTCTTGCTAAGCTGTTTTTCATCCATGAATAGCTTATTGACATCAACACGCTTGACCAAGTGGAAAATGATCTCCATTATAATAACGCCCTCCTGATTAAAGTCTTCTCCCATGTTCGAGGCTACTGTTAGGATGGTGAGAAGGATATCTTGGTAAGAATAGGCGTCTATTAGGGCCGAGCGCGAGATCTGAGATTCATCGTCTTCGTACTTGATGCCAGGGGGTGGTGAGATCATGGCTATATTTCGTAGAAATAGTAAGACGAGCTTGATAATTCCATCGTCGCGTGTAGATCGGTCGCTGCGGGACAGAGCCATGGAAGGCAATGCAACTCGGACGGCGGTGTGGAGTATCTGGGCGGCATCGAAGTTGATAATCGCACGCTTATAACCAAGCTGGGCGAGCTGTAGCACGGGAAGATGTCGATGATGATTGACGGTCATCTGGTCGAGTTCGCGTTCCAATGGCCAAGTTAGGGGCACCATAATCTCGAAGCAAGACAAGGCAGCTCTCGCCTTGAATTTATTGTCGGTGGCATTTTCGGGCCAAGAGGCGAGGATGTGTAATAGATCGCCTTCGACTATATTCGCTTCGGCCAAGCATCGCGCAACGTCCATGCGGTTCGTCTTCTCGTCGTAGAATCGAATCCATTTTTTAATATCCCTAAGAACTTCAGAGGCAGAGTCTCCAAGCACATATCTTCCTTCATCGTCAGCACTAAAGCCACCGAGCTATAACAATTGATGTTAGTAACCAAGCTACTAAACGGGATATCTAAACCGAAAGAAAAAAAAAAAGTAAAGCTTACAGCGGAGACGAGACTGTTGATGTGCGCCCGAACCTCGGGATGCACTACATCAGTAGAAGAAGAACCCTCTACAAACTCCATGGTGGCGATGAGGAATGTCTTCCTATGCCAGAGTTTTATGAGTGTTTTGGTTTGGTTTGGTGGTGGTCATGGAAGTGAAAGCCAATCTGATAGAGTTGTACAGGGTATGTAGTACTAGTAGTAGTATGTACTACTAAATAAATAAATTGAAAACGCGATAAACGCGATAAGAAGACGCGTTTCAATTTACATGAGCTCCAAACTGGGGACTTTTGGTTGACCCACAAATATCCGTATCCCGAGGCTATCCGGTAACCCTCAGTGTATTATTCCCTGTACTCCTTAGAAACTTGACGTAAGTCATAAACTTCTATTTCTTCGATTATTCTTAACATTCTAAAACCTCAGCAAATAATATAAACCCAATGGCAAGCTCAATTGGTAGAATAAGAGCTATACAGCTCAGCCGTCAAATTAGACACTTCAGCTCCAGCTCACCTCGATGTGCAGCTCAAGTGAAAAGCCTAGGTGTTTTAGGCGCGGGCCAAATGGTGAGCGGTCTTCTTCACATGTCATTCCTGACTTCATTCACGACTCAAAACACTGACACAACAACACCCAACTCCTCAGGGACTAGGCATTGCTTTGGTCGCCGCTCAGAAAGCTGCAGTTCCCGTCACACTTATAGACTCATCACAAGCTTCTCTTGATAAAGGGATAGCCTTTGTAGGTTAGTGTCCAGCGTACTCCGAGTGCCATCGCTCTTCTCAATAGGAACCGGAAACGCTTATTGGAAAATGTAGACAAGCTATTGTCTAAGGATGTTTCCAAATCGCGCATTACCCAGGAACAAGCCGACCAGGCGAGATCCCGCCTTACGTTAAGCACGGCTATTGACGAACTATCGGGGGTTGACTTTGTCATTGAGGCCGTGCCGGAGATTCCTCAGCTCAAATTTGACATATTCGCTAAGCTGGCGGAGATCTGCCCGAAGCATGCCATCCTTGCCACCAACACATCCTCTATATCCATCACTAAGATTGCCGCGGCCACCACCAAGGACCCCAACGATACCTCAGCGAGTTCGCGGGTAGTCTCGACTCACTTTATGAACCCGGTGCCCATACAAAAGGGCGTTGAGATCATTAGCGGACTGCAGACAAGCCCCGAGACATTGGATACCGCCGTCGCTTTTTGCAAGGCTATGGGAAAGATCCCCTCCGTGTCTGCGGACTCTCCTGGATTCTTGGCGAACCGGATTCTTATGCCGTACATCAACGAAGCGGTAATATGCTTGGAAACCGGTGTCGGTGATCGGGACTCTATCGATGCCATCATGAAGAATGGCACCAACGTGCCGATGGGACCGCTTCAACTTGCTGACTTCATTGGTCTGGATACTTGTCTAGCTATCATGAAGGTCCTTCACCAAGAGACAGGGGACTCCAAATATCGGCCAAGTGTGCTGCTCGCTAAAATGGTGGATGCGGGCTGGTTGGGAAAGAAGAGTGGCAAAGGGTTCTATGACTATTAAACAAGCAGAATGCATTGTAAGGCATCTTATATGTAGATGCATGTCCAATTATCCCCCATATATCTTTATTTAATCCAAGTCATCTAGGCAGTCTAGAGATGAGTGGCCCTACATGGACAGGCACGTGTGGTACGGGGTAAAATGATACAATTCAAAACCCCTATGCTGGCAAATCGGGACCAATGCTGATGATAAACAGTAAACAGTTTGCAAATGTAGACTGAGTGTCATATGCCATATTTCGGAAGAGAAGTCCATGCCAGCCAGCTTATTTCAGATCGTGAAGAAACGGGCAATGAAAGGTATCACTGACGAAATACATGAAACCAAAGAGAATCAAGCCGGGAAAGTTCATAGTCTGAGCAATGGACAAAACAAGCCCAGTGCATTCGCCGCATCGTTTCCTAAACACAATCTTGATACAATGTGAATTCATCAAGATCCAGACTCAGCTACACATAACTACAAAGTCCAACGGCAAGGGTACTCGGGCACTTACTTACAAGCTGGCACTTATGCACCCCAACCACATGTATCAGCAAGCCATTTCAAAGTATGTTAGACAAGGGATAATCTCAGTCACTCTACTCTACTCTACTCAACTGAACTCAACTCAACTCAACTCACATGCGCACACAAACCCCAGCAACACGCATTAAATCAAATAGGATATCATACCAATGACATAATTCGCACCTCACTTAACCGAGCCTCGAACCTGTTGTTTTTTCTTAAAATAAGAATTAAAAAAATGAATTCGACCTTCTAGTCTACGCTATTGGGTATCGCCTCCACTGAACCAACTAACTCCTCTTCCTCCTCCACCAAAACAAAAATAGGGAAACAGGGTGGTATTCTTATCTGCCCCAAAAAGGCACACAAGAGAAAAAAAAAAAAAGAAGAAAAAAAGTACCACCCCGCCCATTAAGTACCATAGTAAGAAAAAGAATAATAAGTGTGTAGTAGGTATATGTGTAGTAGCGGTTTAAACCTACAAAACAGGACAAAGGGGGGTGGGGTGGGTGGGTTGGGGGCGCGCGAGCTGCATAGGAGGAGGGTAGGAGCCAACGAGACGTTTCTGTTTTTCTTTTTCTTCTTTTCTTGAGGACGCAAAACGAGTTGATGATATATTGTCTAAGCTGGCGGTACGGCACTGTTGCGAGCTACCGAGGCCCCCCCTTTTTGCTCATCTGTCCCGGGCTCGTTTTTTTTTCTTTTCCTTTCTTTTCTCCCTCCCTCCCTCACTCACTCCATTATACGCAGCAGCGCGCCCCCCACCCCCCTCTCTCCCCCTTTCCTGCTCTTCCCTCCTGCTCTTCCCTTTCCCAGTAATAATAATAATAATAATATTAAATCCCTTGCACCAAAAAACGCTGTCGTTACGTTGATGCCCTCTCGTTGCAAATAAAAAACAACAAAAAGAGCGCATCATCCTCGTTTGCTTCGTTTCATACCGTGTGAAGATATCCAGGTATTTAAGTTAGGCATACATTGTATTGTCTTTTATTTAGCTGAGGTTCATGACCATGGGGCCCGCGACCGTGATGTCGTCGGTCAGGACGCCATCGGTGGGCGCGGCGCTGGTCAGGGTGACGTAGACGGTTCCGGCCAAGTTGGGGGCGAGCGCGCAGCCCTGGGCGGGGTCGAAGGGGGAGAAGGCGGTGCCGCCGGGGGCGGCGGAGTTGGTGAAGCCGCAGAAGGCGGCGCCGGACGCGGCCTCGCTCTCGAAGCTGAGCATCGTGCCCTGCGCGAGCGCCATGACGCCGGCTGCCGGAGCCGGCGAGGTCAGCTTCAGCGTCGGGAACGCCGTCAGGATCAGGTTCGAGCCGGCGGGGCACGACGTGATGAAGGGCGCGGCGAGCGAGAACACGGCCTTGGGGCCCAGGGGCGTGTCGAAGGGGGACGGGGACGCGGCGACGCCGGAGGCCACCCGGATGAACGACTGGTGTCGAGCTTCGATCGTGAGGATGGAGCCAGCCGCGCTGAGGATCTTGGCGTCTGAGACGAGGGGGGCGGCGCCGAGGTAGGCTGAGACGCCGACGCTCTCGAGAACGGAGGCGGTGGCGACCATGCCCGCGGCGTCGGTGAAGCCGAAGTTGTACTGGCAAGGCTGGACAGGTTGGACACCGGCCTGTGCGATGGAGCTTTGTAGGAAGCCGACGTGGGCGTTCTCACTGGCGCCAATACCCTTGAGGTCGGCGAGTTGGACCTCGTTCAAGCCGAGGGCCAAGAATTGGTCGTCTCCGAACTGGGCAAAGCCTTGCTGGTAGAAGGAAGCCTCAAGCCATTCTAAAGTTAGGGCGCTATGATATCATGTTAGTGACACATCTAGACGTGATATATATATGAAAGGCTATGCATACAATTGAAGGATATCGACATCTGCTAGGCCGAGGGCAGCAGCGGCTGCGTTTTGACGCTTGGCCAGGCTGTAGATGTGGTTTTGTCTTGACGTCAACTTGGGCTGAGCTGGTAGAGCACAAGCCACGGCGGCGAATCCTGCCACAGCACCCGCAATCTTCATAATGGAAGGCATATTGTCTGATTAATGTTGTTGTTTAGGTATTTTGATCTCCGTGTTCGTTTCGAGTTAGAAAGGCGACAAACGTGGGGTGTTTGAATTTTCGTCGAAAAAAAAGAGCGTTTCGTCAAAAATAGTAAAAATGAAAGCAAGACCAGTCTGGCTGTTCTAAAATAAATTTCCCACCTGGGTATTACAAGAATTACAATATATTTGAAAAAGGAGTGATGACGATGATCCCACAGGGAAGCAGACCGGCGCTTTGAATTCGGAGTTGGACACGAAATGTACGGGATGAGAAGGAAAAGGAAGAAAAGAAGCTGAACGGATGGGGAAACAGCACTTCATTAAAACCACTTTGGCATGTCGGTAGATTGGGAATGTGATAGACAATGCGGGTCACGGAAAGAGGGTAGGCCGGCGAAGGGTAGGGCGATCCCAAGCATCGGCCCCTTGAGGCTCCTTGACAATAGGAACGGCGTTTTGATTTGCTACTGTGTAAGTGCTAGATAATGTCCATCTCCTGCGAGCATCCGACTCCGAGAGGCAAGGGGGGGTAAGGTAGGTGCCCCCATACAATACTCAGTACCCTAGGAGCAATCTAGATTTTACATTGGGTATTTTACATGACTACCTAGGGTAGGTAAGTAATACTATGTAGTAGTATAGTACTACTACCTGCTACTACCTGCTACCACCTTCCCGTAGGGTTGGAAACAAGGCTCCGTGAAGGCAGGAGGTGGAAGTAGCCTCGAAGAGGAGGAAGAAACGAAACAAAAATATAGCAAGTAAGCTTCCAACGGGCCAATGACAGCCGGGGCTATCAATTAAAGCTGGTTGCTTAATTTGAGATGAAATTCCTTGCTAGGTCCGGGCATGAGATCTTTGTCTTTTCGGGTAACGAGGGTTGCAGCCAAGAACTGTGGAAGGACGGCCGAGGGCGGCGCACGGGGGTCCTGGAGCCCAGCCTGCCTCAGATGCTGTTTCAAAGAGCGGACGGCCAGCAAGCCGAGCTCTGAAACTGGAGACTTTGTACTTATATATCCATTGATTCGTCCATTCATACTACCTAGGTACTGGAAATGTTGCCAAGCAATTCCTCCTTTACATCCTTTACATAACAGTAACGATGATGCAAGGTGTCTAGGGTACACTTAAGCTTCAGACGCACTGGCGTAATTGTTGTGAGACGGCTTGGTAAAAGTCGGGATCTGCTCCTAGATCCTATTGAATTTGGTAACGAGACCCCGTATCCATATTTATGTAGATTAGGTATGTTACCGTATGTATGTAATCAATCTCTATGATCTCTTTGATCTCTTCAATCTCTTCAATCTCTACATAATTAACTGAGGGTAGGTTAATAGTTAATAGTCACGATCTGTAACTATTCCGGTAGGTCAGAAGGTAAGCAATCTCACGCTGCTGCTAAATAGTTAAATAGTTGATACAAGCACATACCAACGATAGTTATTTATCAAGATGAAAATAGGAAGAACTTACAGTAACAATATCATATTACTGTATTATCAACCTATGCTGCACCAAGTTGTCAACATTGAATCTTTCTTTGAATCCCAATAACTACTACCTAGGCAGTTTATGAATCGGGATTAGAAAGATAAACCTGCATCTCGAGTCTCGACTCTGTAATTTCCAAGTTCCACATCTCCTTTTTAGTCGATAGCCTACACTACCAAGGTAGGCAGACCGCCTACTATTGGTGGAGACGGGGTTAAAATGACAGGAACAGTAAATGTCGTATCCTGAGTTTCTCGTCGCCGCTAATCCTCAAATTACCAGGCACCCTTACAAGATGGTACAGTGCAGCACTGCAGCAGGTGTAAAATACCTCAGATAGTGTGCTATGTACTATGTAGGCTTGAAGGTGGAGGAGAGAAGAAGATTCAGAGGGGAAAAGAGGAAAAAAAGAATTCAGGGGGTAGTTAACTATAACAGTTACAAAGTACATCCATGGATATGTAGATCTTCAAGTTCGCACGGGCTATTATGTACACATCCACCAGATTCCACACTTCTAAATACCTCCGTACAACAGTTGAACTAATGAGATTAGATCTCAATCTTGTAAATCAACATTGACTTGGAAAATCCGGGCCCTAAATGTTCCCGAGGCTAGTGATGCCTTATGCCTTATGTGCTAGGTTAGGGAGCTTACATAGCACACTTACATACACGCCACGTGAGAGACACACTTCGGATCGAGACAAGTCCATCTCACGGCATTTCATCCTTGTCCGGAAAGTAGACATAAAACAGTTACAGCAGTGACAGATTGCACATCCGTGAATTCCATCTTACCGGGTTTGTCTGAGCTTTTTGCAAATGCCAAGTATTACTCATCCATGGATCAATACATCAATAATATAATTACATATGTATACTTAATCCATATCGATGGATATCTTCACCTGTAATGCCCCCCGTAATCCGCCACCCCTATACCTCAGTATAAATAGGGAGGCGTCTAGGACCTACCTACCTAATGGGTAGGTAACCCCCCTTCAAGTTCTCAGGAGAATTTCATTTTCAGTCCTGTGGAATCCTTCTTCACGAATTACTAAATGCTTATATCTTAGTCGAGTTGCTCTACTTTGCTCTGTTCTGTTCTGTTCTGTTCTGTTCTACTCTGTTTGGCCTTGAAGTGTTAATCATGTCATCGCGATTGCAAAGACGTAGATAAATGCTTTCTTGTTGGCACAACCTCGTATATCTCTGTTGACTGGCAGTTAACTAAGTTTCCTCTGCCTATCTCCAAAATAATCCACTTTTATCAACACAGTTAAGAGATGCACTTCGTTGGGTTGCCGGCCAAGGAAACGGCCTGTCAATCTACCCTACTTTTCCGCTGTTTGCTATTTCGCTCTACTCAATTCAAACAACATGCCAAATGCTTCAGTGCTCTATCATGCTCATTACTCCTTCATGTCTCCGGGCAAAAAGCCCCTTACAGAGCATACGGGTTGAGCGAACGGATGGTCAAGCAACTGTACGCTTATTAGTTTCTTTCTCCTCTTGTGGACGCATGTCAGTTTCACTTACGGTGGGCTCTTGCTAAGATCCGTCTTGAGGATCACGGGTACTCTGGTCATTTCCGTTACATCTTGAATGTAATCACCGCCTTCTTCTCTCAGGGCGAATAATTTGAAGTACTTCTCCTTGTTCGTGAGTCGGGTTTCCACAGCTTCCGCCATGGGTACCTTCGAGTCTGACCTGGTCCGGTGAAGGACACCTGGGTTAGACGTGGATCGGGCTGGAGAACCCGGAACACTTTGAGTCGGGCGTTCTGCCAATGACGCGCCAGCCATAGCCTCGGTGATATCCGAAGCATTGTCGTCGTCGTCGTCAAACAAAGCGTTTACCTCGTCTGCCGATATGGTTCCCGTCTCCGTTTGCTTTCGTGTAGCCTCCTCTCGCTCCTTCTTGGCCCTCTCAGCCTCTTCGGCCTGCCTAGCGGCTGCCATCGCATTCGACATGCGCTGTGAAGCAGCTGCCTTGGGTCTTTCATCTTCCGGTACGTATGCTGAGCTCGGGACACCCTTCTCCCAGTAAAGCTCCAAGACCCTCTTCTCCTTTCGGAACTCGGCCTTCTTGAGCGGTAGCTGATCGCAGTGTACTCGCTTTTCAAAGCCCCACTCCGGGATCAAGACGTCAAAGGCAGATTCATAAACACAGATTACAATGCCTTCGCTAATGAGATCGCCATTCACCTCCTGGCGTTTCTTGTCCATGATTCTGCAAGACTCGATGTGAATGCTTTGTTCTTGAGCGTTCTGTGCGGATTCTTTCTTGGTGTTACAAGATTCAATCGTCTTCACCAGATTCTCAATATCATCATTGTAGTCAACCTTGCCTTCGGAAAGAACAGCTTCCAGCTGACGATGGACAATGATGTCGGCATAGCGTCTTGTGGGGGCTGTGAAATGAGTGTAAAGGGGAAGATTCAAAGCATAGTGGGGCCAGAGTTGTCTGTTAGTCTTGCCAGTAATGTAGTACTTGGCGTGGTGCATACTCTTTAGCAGGAGAGTCTCCATACCCTTACGAATTTCGGAGTCGTCAATCTTGAACAGGCTGTTTTGAAGCGTGCCGCTGCTAGTGGTATCCATGTCATATCCAAGCGCCCGCATGCGTTCGACGAAGGTCTGTAAGCGTCGAGCATTTGGTGCTGACTGACGACGGAGCAGAGCCTTCTCAGGCAGGCCTTGGGCAAGTTTTTGCGCGACAGACGCATTGACTTTGTGAAGAAGCTCTTCAACAAGTTCAGTGCCAGGCGTAGCATCAAAGATGTTATGTTGGATAGGAATATTCTCATCATCAAGCTGGTGAAGTAGCCGAAGAGGGGCCATAGGCTCGCCCTCGGAACCTAAGCGTGACTCGCGGAATTTCTGCGCGACAGCCTTGAGTCATGACGTTAGTAGATCTCCTAGCAATGCAGACTTGGGAATTCCTTACATTCAGTATCTGGACATCCTTAACTTGAACGGTGTCGTGCTTGTATCCAGCTTGGTTTGCAAGAGCATCGTCGAGTTCCTTCAGAGCCAACGTCGCGCTGCTCTTGATGATACTCTTGCCAATCCAAGTGTCACCCTCAGCCACTACACCGGTCATAGGGTTAACCCGGAAAACAACACTGACAGTGAGTCTATCTTCACCGGGGCTAAGTGTGCAAAGCTCTGCAGCAATCCTTGGGGGGAGCAGTGCGCAGGTGCGGTTGACAAGATGGACGGCAGTGCCGCGCTTCTTAGCTTCTCGGTCGACGAGTGAGTTTGGCTTGACAAAATGAGTAACATCAGGTACATGAACACCGATCTCAATCTTTCCGTCAGACTCGGTCTTGACGTGAACGGCACTGCCAAGCTCTCCGGTCCCGGCCAGGTTCAATGTAAACGTCTTCTCGCCGCGGAAGTCTCGGCGTGAGCTAACAACAGCTTCGTCTTCTTTAGCGATAGACCAATCCTGAAGGCCAACGCTCCGGAGCACAGCTTCAGAGAACTCATCAGATGAGAAGTTGTTGTCGCGCAAAAGAGCGTCAGTTTCGACCTTCAAATCGCCCATCTTACCCAGTTGTTCAACAAGGGTTCCGAAGGGATGCAGCGATGTGATGGGCCAACGCTTGATGCATGCAACAAATATGCGATCGGCATAGTCCTGATGCTTCTCAACAAAGTCTCGGGGCGCTTGCTCAGTAGGAATTGCAATAAGAGGAACACGCTTATCAGTAGGCTTAAACCAAACGATCTTGGGCTTGTCTTGTTGGCGACTATCATGAGACCGACCGCCGTCTCGGGCGGCTCGTTCGGCCTCCTGCTTTTCCTTCGTCGCTTGAGAGCTAGGGCGCAACAGACCAAGCGTGCCAGAAAACATTTGGCCGGCAACACGTTCGATGACAGCAACAATGTGTCCTGCATATAGAGGTTTGGATTCATCATTGATTTCCTCCTCTTCAACGAGGAGAAGACTCTGTCCTTCCACCTCGACGTCATCATTCTTCTTCTGTGTAGGCCTCTGTCGAAGACTGCCACGTCGACGGATTCCGCCTTCGCCGTTGGCAGCTTCTTCTCCGTTGCCAGAAGTAGACTGAGCATTGCCGTTAGTAGATCCAGAACGAGTATCAGTAATATCCTTCCTCTTTTTCTTTTCTTCTTTCTCGCGCTTCTGAGACCATACTTCGTCAACGTCAAGAAGCTCAACAGCAACTAGGTCGCCCTCTAGGGCTCGGTTGCGGTCCTTGCTACCGCAAATAAAGATGTCCGCATCAAGTAGGCCATCCGAAGTAGACACGTACGCATCGCTGCGATTCTTCTTGTTCACTCGGAGAATACCCGAAACAAGCTGTCCATCACCCAGCAGTGCGGGCAAGGTGGCCTGGGGAAGATATGGGGTAAAGAGAGTCTTCCTCTGTTGCTGCTGCGACTGCTGGCCGCCGAGTTGTGGTGCATGCTGGCTCCCTTGAAGACCAACGAGATGCTGACCATTCATCTGAGCAGCTTGGAGGGCTTGAAGCTGGTTGAGCTGCATAGGGTTAAGCTGCTGACCAGGATACATTTGCATCATTGGCATCTGCCCAGGAAGTTGCATAAGCTGGGGTTGGCCAGGGTATTGGAATGCCCCGATATTCGAGATGGACTGCTGGCTCACTGAGCCACGGTTACGATGGCCTGGCTGGAACCCTGGCTGGCCCTGACCAGTTTGCTCCTGACCCTGGTTCTGGCCCTGCTGCTGGTTACGCCAGTTGCCCTCAAAGTTGCGCGAGGAAGTGCGAGCATGGCCGCCGCCGCCACCGCTGCCACCGCTTACGACACTGCTACGGCGACCACCAAAGTCAGTAGACTCATTATTGTTGCCGTGCATGGAGCCGCCGCCACGAGCGCCGCCACGAGAATTGGAGGCCATGCTCTGACTTCGTCCATGTCCGCCACGTCCGCCGCGGTTGGATGAACCCTGTGCTATAGGGGTATCCGCAGCGGCAGGCTTGGGTTCGTCGGCATTAGAGCTTTCCGGAGCTCCCGCGGCGGGGAACTGAAAACCCGAGGTTGTTCGTTTTTGCTGAGCAATTTCAGCAGCTTTTTTGGCGTCTGCCAGGGCTAAAGAATGTCTTCGCTGGTGACCGGCGCCTCCACCTCGCCCTCCTCGAGATGCATTTTCGCGGTTCTGCTGACCAGAAGAGTTATCAAATTGCCCAAAGTTGGACCCGGAGGCTCCAGCCGAAGGAGCCGGTGGAGGTCCCAAACCCATGTTGGGGAGAGCCGATTGGTTACGACGGTGTGACATGGGTTGACTTGGTCCCATAGGAACGTTCTGCTGCTGTGGAAGCTGGTTGGGGAACTGAAAAGCCGTCTGTGGTGACATATTTGCCATGCCTGGCTGCAAGGGATTGAAAGAACCGCCAGGACCTAGCTGGCCGGGCTGCATCATTCCCATATTCATGTACTGCTGTTGTGTGGCCTGTATCTGTTGCTGCTGCTGCTGCAACAACTCGATCTGCTGTTGAATAGCAAGTTGCTCCACTAAAGAAAGATGAAGCACTACGGTTAGCTTCAAAGGACCTCATAATCGAATGACAGCTAACATCAGGCAGGCAGGCATAGATAAGGAAATAAAGGAAATATATTCACTTACTTCCAGGGTTTGCGAACATGCTCATCAGCGGGGTTAGCTCAGAAGGGCTCCTACGATGGGCGATATGAAGTCGACGGCCGGTAGGTCCGGGCACGCCTCCCGCCTGGGGAGCAGGCTGTTGGTGCTCCATATTGGGCTACCTCTACCTAAGCTGTAAGATTGTACGTTGGGATGCGACCAAAAGTAGGAATCGATCCTGAACTTAATTAGGAAGAACCGAATTGAAAGTTGAGGCGACAGCCAGTGTAGTGGGGGTGGGCACTCGAGTTGCTTGTTAATTTTGACCAAAAAATTGGTGGTGGTGTGTGTGTGCGTGCGTGGTGGTGGTGCTGGTGGTAGTTGCGTTCTTCTTTTTTTGGATGATTGCGTGGACTTTTGCGACTAACAAAAGGAGGGTAAATGAGAGGATTGAAAGAGGCTGCAAAGCTGTTGTGTAAATATCTGAATCCCAAGAGAAGGAATGTGAATAAAGTGCTGAGAGAGGGTGTGATATGATTGTGATGAGAAAAGATAGGGAGAGAGACGAGACGAAACGGGAGGGAGGGATGTGGTGATGGAAGATGGAAGTTGGCAAGCTTTGAAGATTTTGGGAAGATCAACTCCAATGGCCACCTGGATTACGCTGGATACGGGGAAGAGGACTGTGAGGTCAAGACTAGCCAGACTAGAACGAAGACGGGCGAAATGGGGCAAAGGTCTTGGCAGGACAGGCCTTAGACAAACTATGGAATGTTGTGATTGGCCAACTTCTTTGAAATGTGGTGATGCTACGAGGTACAGTACAAAGATAGTACGCCTGCCCCTGGTCGTGTGTCTAGAGTTCTTGCAGGCAAGTTGCAGGCAAGTTGCAGCCCAGTGCTAGGTAGCCCAGGCTGCTGCCAGGTAGTAGCCCTAGTAGCTCCAGGTAGTCTACCTACCCACCTAGTCTCAACGCCCGAGCTCAGACTAGGGCAACCAAAAGGTGTCCTTGTTCCTTGTCCTTGCGCTTAAACGGCCTACTTTTTAGCGATTGTTTTGTTCGAAGACAGGATTTGTATAATAGCAACTGACGAGTCTTGGAACATTGAAGTAATGAGGACGTAAAGTCTATAATTATACATATCCTACCTGAGGTTATTACAGCTAGCGATGTATTGTACGGATTGGTATCATACATATTGATACCTAGTAATATTGAATACTTACATATGTACTACAGTCAATATGTACATATGTGCATCACGCAAAGTAAGCTAAGGTATATGTACTGTACCTAGACTTTTAAACTTTGAGATGCTTGTGTGGCTCCACGGTTTCTCTGGAATTGACAGCTGCGTCAATGGATACATCTACAAAAAGAAAGAGCCAGACGTCGAACACTACTAGCTACATCATGTACATCAGGTATGTATGTACAGCATCTCAAGGCAAAGCATGTACTGCTATATACATATCACGTAATGTGTACTATCATTGATGTTGCGAGTGGGATTGATCTATTGAAGCCTCTAGATGCATGTGTCTAAGAACCTCTGGGATCAATACTAGGTATGATATCTGTGTACTTATGTACAAGGCAGTTATTACGAATGTTGATACATAACATACCTACATATACCTACATGTAGTACATAATAGTACACACATCCATTGATTGACAGCAACAACATTACGGCCAAGCTTGCTCAAACCCAGTTGCATATAACAAAAGAAGTGGCAGCAACACTCAAGTCCTACTAATCTAACCTAGCGTAATAGATACCCTACATGTAGGTAGGTATCATTGATAGATGATTAGTACAAATCCATCGCTACCGTCATCCCCGTACTACATGATGCTTACATAGTACACATAAAAGTCTACATACCAGTAGTAATATTCATGTGAGCTGGCCCTTGGAGTAAAACGAATGGTACTTGAAACACATATGCACCTATAGTAAGCTAGAACATTGAAGCAAGTGACCAGGGCTCTTGGAGGACTTTACACTAGGGAAGCTTCGCAGGTTGAACTTAGTCAGGCATGCGTTTAAGCTGCATATGATTTTGCTGCTTTATAGATATTCTATATTATCATATTCATTCTACTTCAGCAGGAAAATGTGATGTCAGTGTCATCAATCTGTGGTTAGTTGGTTAGTTGGTTAGGACCGTTAGGTAGATATTGTATCCATTTCAATGATGGTACCGTAATAGTATGCCTACTAATATTAGGTACATGAACCAGAAACAGGGAGGCCCCAACCTCAAAGGACCCAAAGCTATTATTAGGTGCATATGGGTCAACTTACAAGTCAGGCAAGCTCTAAAAGAGCAATGGTCATTATGGACTACACCAGTCTACTACCAGTCTACTCATATCGATATAAAACATTGAATACGATGGATAACTATATCAACCTAGTACCTGTCTAGGTAGGTAGGTATTAACTAAGTGGACATCAAACAGGTACGTGCATTCACACATATCAAAAATATGGGTGGGTTGAAGCTAATGTTGATGACGGAGTGATTAATGTAGGTGGGCACCTAGGTACCTAGGTTAGTATTTAAAATCCGCTAAAAGCTTCAATTGTAGGTAGCTTTATCTAGTTGAAGCTGTTGATGAACGCCGAAGTATATATATACAATTTGGCGCGAATAATAAACAATTGCTTTTTTAGGTGATTTGATATCCATACATGTACCTACAGCTTTAGATGCTCTTTTATTCAGTTTTTTATTGTTTTGTTTTGTTTTGTTTACTTCTTTAATTAGTGTTTTCCTCCTTCTTTCCTCTTCGCAACTGATAGAACTCGGCGCAACTCTCCAAGACTCCAACTAACTACGTAGTGCGACTAGTTAGTGCTATTTCACCGCCCCTCCATTCTTACCGCGTTGCCTTCTTGAAAGAATTATGCCGGCAGAATAACGGCAATTCGGTCAATCTTTTTTTCCAAAAGCATCATCCTAGACCATCGCCAATCCCATTGATTTGGAACCTTTCAATTTGAATTTCATTTTACCCATTAACATATTTCCGCTCACAATCCCTACCCTTGACTCACGCGTGTCCTACATATACACCAAAGGAGTTAAATAGACTCGGGACTCTTCATACTCTCCCAAACCGTACGACGCGCACACGATTATTGGCGGAAGTCATCTTGCCATTATTCATTCACCCCAGCCTTAATAATTGTCGATACATAACAACAGCTTCGTCCACAGCTACCTACTGACTGTGTCTTACTCACGAAGCGAAGCCAGATTTCTGCGATCCGCAATGCAGTAGCAAGACTTGCAGAACGCAATGGCTGATTCTTCCCCTGCCGCCGGCAGATCACCTCGATGGCCTAGTCCTGGCCAGCCTCTTGTGCCTAGCGTCCTCCCGACAGTTCGTAATACAGAACTCAGTCACCAAGATGCTTTAGAGGCAGCACGAGCCGAACATGACCGTGTCCGCGAGACTGCCATTAGGGTCTTTTATGAGCACAAGTCACAAGAGGAGCATAAGAGGCTCAAGGACGAGGAGCTTAGGATCCAGCTAGAGCAACGACGAGAGGAGGAACGAATTCGTCTTGAAAAACAGCTTAGAGTCGAAGAAGAACGTCTTCGGGTTCTAAAGCTGACAAAGGTCCCTAAGTTGCAACCGGAACCACCGACCCCGTCGGCTCCAATTGCCCAGCAGCCGAATGGCTCTATTCCTACCCATGATCCTACACAATCCACTCAGCCATCGACGGTGAAGTCAGGCACGGCATCAAATATGGCAGCTTCTTTGTTCGGTAGTCAGCAACCTACCGCGTCGAACGGCACGATTGGCCATCCCGGTGCTATAAATGGCGTGAAGATCGAGTCACTCTTATCACAGCCACCCGGCCCATCACCAGCTGCACCTCAGGCGAAACCTCCCCGTCCCCTTTCTCCCTTTGCACAGCCATTCAAACCAGCCGTTACTCAAGTCAACGGGATAGCAGCTCCAATTCCTACTGGCCCTGATCGTTACATCGAAATACACAAGAATCTAAAGAAATTGCGAGCATCCCTCACACAACAATCCAAACTATCTCCAGCTTTGAAGCAGCGGATGGGAGACATGCGCCGAGAGTTAAGAAAGAATATGGGCCAGCTTGTGGGAGAGAAAGGTGGTAATAGACAACAGGTATGTTTCTTTCACAAATGCTTTAGATCCTATCTTAACATGCAATAGCTCGCCGCTATACAAGCGTTATTCGACCAATCCCTCGACGGCACCGTCCCCAGCCAGCTAGTCGACCCTTCGGAATTCATCACCGACAAAAGAGAACCAGTAGAGGGTGCCCGATATAACGAACCCCAACTTCCATCACTCTATATCTACCTTTTGAACCACTTTGCAAAAGCTGTGATTAACCAGTTCATTAATGAATGTGGAGCCCAACCCAAAACTGCCGATCCTATCGGGGTCGTCGTAGCGATGGTATTTTCTAAAGAGGTCTACCTATGGCGTGGCAAGAGCCTAATTGACATCTTAATGGCCAAGTTCCGAGTGGCCTGCCCCGTTCTCTTCGGCTATCGCGGTAGTGAAAAGACAGAACAAGGCCGCCTCCGCCTTGGATGGAAGAAGGGTCCTGGGGGATGGGTCCTGGAGCAGCAACATGTTGATCGAATGAAAGGTCTAGCGGCAGGATATGCCGCAATATCGTTAAGAAACTTCTCCGCCTCGAAGAATACAAACCCATGGCCCCCCTCGAAGTACTGGACTGCCATGGCAAAAATAGTCAACACGCCGCCAGCCGAGATTTCTAACACCCAATGCGTAGTTCTCCGATCTATGATCGAAACTAACGAAGAGCGCTTCATCCAGTTCTACGGAAGCGCAGCCATTGCTGCACTGCGAAAGGCCCTCAAGGAACTACCCAGTAAGGCGGTGGAACAAACTCCGGGTGTAAAGGGCTTGAAAGTCCTGGGAGTGATCTTGGAGAGGGATATCGGATTGGAATTATAAACGGGCCTGCCTGTACGATACTCGGATATAGATATGATCTTGGCGGGGATTGGTATAAGGGGATAACGACCCTGTTCTGTTTTACGTGTGGCGTTGGTGGGAACTGGCACATAAAGTAAACTAGCATAAAGCAGGCGTCTAATGCGGCTAAGATAGGTTGCTACTACTCATAGCACCTTGGAATATACCCAGTGGGGACGGTATGAGGACGAGGAGTAATATTCTTGAGGATATTTTTTCTTAATTCTATTACTGACGTTGCGTCCCTACGTAACTTGGTTCTATACAAGAAAGAAAGCAAGAAGAAAATGAGAAAACCACCAGTGATACTCGTCATGTGCCTTTGCATTCACGCCAAAAGCCACTCCCCGAAAAGGGGGGCATCTATGTTAATGAAAATCGCAATTGAAAACGCCCTTCCCTTCCTTCCATCCATCCATCCCTCCCCCGTAATATCCTTACTTATAACACGAGTAGCAGCACCAGTAGTATGATCAAGACCATGATGAGCACGGCGATGCAGCAGCTGCTGTAGCGGTCCTCGTTCTTGCGCATGACGTGGTTGAGCTTCTGCATGCCGGTCTGCAGGCGGCCGCCGACGCGGTCGGCCAGGGTGTCGACCGTCTCCAGCATCTCCACCTGCTCCTCGAGCTCCCGCCCCATGTCGTCCGCCTGCCGCCGCAGGTTCCCCACCGTCACGAACACCCCGTCCAGCTGCTGCTCCTGCTCGTGCATCATCTGCAACTGTTGCTGCTGCTCGAACTCCGTGTAGTTGTCGTCGTCGCCGCCCTCGCTCTCGAGCGCGAACGCGCTGGGAGGGGGGAGGTCGCCGGAGGCGGCGGCCCGGGCGCGCGCGGCTGCGGAGGAGGAGCGGTTTTTGGGGGCGCCGGACGTTGTGGTTGCGGTTCCGGTCTTGCTCAGCTCGTCACGCATATCCTCGACCTCGCCGCCGACCTCCTGCACGAGACGCTTGCGCCGCGTGACTTCGTGGGCGGAGAGGCCGTACCGCGCTGGGTCGGACTCGGCGGCTTGCACGGACTCGACGAGGTCGGCGAGGTCCTCGGCTAAGGTCGCGAGGGCATGCTCGAGGTCGGAGCGCGCGGAGGCGAGCTCGGGGGAGGTTTGCGAGGTGGAGAGGCTGCGGATGCGCAGGTACGAGGCGAAGAGGGGTCTCACGGTTTGCATTTGCGCAAGAACATCTCTGTTGGGTGGGTTGGATTGGTTAGTTATTAATCATCAATGCTTGCTTGTGTGTAGGTAGTCTTGGGAAGGGAGGGGAAGGGAAGGGAAGGGAAAGAAGCTTGCGCACTCACTGTTGGACTTGGAGGAAAGGGTCCTCCTCGTTCGTTGAGGACATCATCCTGCTGGTGGCTTCAAGATGCGCCAATGCATCTACCGGCTACATCTGTGCTCTACAGTGGGTATTTCTCAGCGAACATCCAGTTGTGGAATTGGTGTATATGTGCGTATATGGTGGATGATGGATGGCATTCAAGATGTACAACTTGGTATGGAATAAATATTGATTAAAGGGATTTGCAGAAGACGCGGCTTAGACGAATGACGTGGTGGTATGAAGTACAGCAGTATGTACTACTAGTAGTTACTTCGTACTTTCTTTTATGGGGGATCGGCAAGCACAGGCATTTGTGAACGTGGACCGTAGCAGCTGCCAAACAACTGTCCTATGTTTCACACAGCGCAGATTTTAGTTTTTCGGTCGTAATTTTTAGTAGCACGCATTAACATACCCTAGGACCTAACTAAATACATATATGTACCTAACCTGCTATATTAACATTTGGATACCAATCATTATCACTGGGCAATATCAAATTATTGATGCCCCAATTCATTTTGGATTGCTTCGTTTAATTTTTTTTGTAACTTCAATCTCATCTCAACCATCCATTAACATCACGACAGACTCAGGTGTGCAAATATGAGGCCGGACAAACCCCTGCCGTACCCAGACTGTTGGAACAGCACTGAGGAATATGTTGAACAGCTTCTTAAGTTCACCACTACATCGGACACCTTCCAGATACTATGCGGAGGAGTGCATATTCTGGATTTCTTTACCAACGATCCTGGCCTATTTCATACTACAATACCACAGGACTGGCAACCGTTCCTCTTAGAATGTGATCCAATGAAGCTTCTGGATCTCCTTATGAGGGATGATCTTGATAATTCTCCAGATCTTCAAGCCCCAGAGAGCTTGGCCCAGTATATCAGGAGTATAAGGAAGTTCTCGTTGGCAAGGAAGTTCTCTCCTAAAAAGGAGAAGCTTCCTAAGCTGACACGTATGGTCTCAGTTGGGATGAAGCCGAAAAAGATCCACGAGGTGAGCAACTTTGCGAGTTACGTGGACACGCTCGCCAAGGACATCGCTGCCAATTACCATCAAGAAATCACACATTTTGTCGATTTCGGGAGCGGGCAGAACTATTTAGGGAGAGCGTTAGCAAGTTCTCCTTACAATAAGCAAATTGTTGCCGTCGAGGGTAGAGAACACAATATCATCGGCGCTAAAGAACTCGACATGCATGCGGGCCTTTCCGAGAAGCAAAAGGTTATACGTAACAAAAAACTCTGGTTGCAACAACTTGATAGCATGACCCCTCCAGACCAATTGGATGAGAGGGCATTAAGAAGAGCAGCAAATCCTATAAAACCTATAAAACCCTCGGGCGAGTATGTCCCTGATTTCAGACCTCGAACGGAATTTGCACCCATCTACACTCCTGAGGAAGGCAAGGGATTTATACGTTATGTCGAAGGAAGGCTCGAATCGGGAGATTTGACGGACGTGATCAACCAACTTGAAGACGACCCTCTTGCTGAAGAGAAAGGACGGGGTGACCCAAGTCTGATGGCCATTTCCATTCATTCTTGCGGAAATTTATCGCATCATGGTATCCGGTCTTTAATTCTCAACCCACGTGTCCAAGCTATTGCCATCGTCGGCTGTTGCTACAACCTCATGACAGAAAAGCTAGGCCCCCCCACGTACAAACACCCGTACATGAGACCCAGTCTCCAAGCCCTGAATGGGCGTGTGGTTAGAGAGTCTGAGAGACGCGACCCACAGGGATTTCCGATGAGCGATCGGCTATGTAGCCACAATGATGTTGGGGTTCGACTCAATATAACAGCACGCATGATGGCATGTCAGGCCCCGCAAAACTGGACAGAAGCCGAAAGTGATTCCTTCTTCACCCGACACTTCTACCGTGCCGTTCTACAAAAGATATTCTTTGACCGAGGCGTTATTTCCAAGATTCATCACAAAAGTGATGTGGAAAATGATGCCAACTCATCCCAGAGTCCATTTAACTTCAGCACAAATCCTGTGATCATCGGCTCTCTCCGAAAATCGTGCTATAAATCGTTCGGGTCGTACGTGAGAGGAGCGATCACCAAGCTCACTACCAATTCGGAATATCATGAGTACTGCGACATAATCAGGGAGAAAATGATCGATATCACCGATGAAGAGATCGCGAGATACGAAGAGTCATATGGCCCGCGTAAGCGAGAACTCAGTGCCATTTGGTCCCTTATGGCTTTTAGCGCTATTGTGACCGAGTCCTTGATAGTGACCGATAGATGGCTATTTCTCCAGCAGCATTCCGAACTAGTACAAGATTCCTGGGTGGAGGCAGTATTCGACTATCGAGAAAGTCCCCGAAATATGGTTGTGGTTGGCGTTAAACGGGTGACTCCTTGAGCCGAACGGGCACTGACGTCTGTCTTCACCGAGCTGCAGCAGTATAGAATCAGCAATCAAATCAAAAATCGACTGATGTCAGAATCCGGGGTTTTGCAGATCCCGCGTCAATTGGGCCAGTTGCCTGTCCTCACCCCCGCCAGGTTTGCCATCCAGGCGGTTTAGAAGGTCACCTTGGGCGTTAGCCGGGCAAACCGGGACGATAATTGGGCATACAAAGGTCGATGGCATGCATGAACCTGCATCAATGATCAATGGGCCGCGGCAAAGTTGCCTAACCATAGGTATATGTAGGTTGCATCGATCGATCAAGCCAGTGGAAGTTTGTCCTGATACAAACCGATTTGAACAAATGCATCATGCCGAAAAAAGCATACTCGAACTTTCACCGTTGCTTCATTAAAGAATTTTAAGGGACCTGATTCATGTCAAACTCTCAATATGAACACTGAACATGGGCTTACTGTTTAAAAACCCCCCAGCTCTCGATGACGGCTTAATACGCCTAAATGCTACATACAACCCCACGCGTGTCTGCAGACTAGCCCTGGAAGCAATTAATTGTACCGAGACTGTCATCTCCAAGGTAGCCATCAGCATCGGCTAGCGAAGGCAGTCCCTTCGCCAAGGAAGGGACTTTTCTAGTAGGGATTATTAGCGGCGCCCGAGAAACGAGCTTCATAGCCCCTCGATGTGGTCTGGTTTTCATTATCCATGACGACAGCTGTGCCTAGTTTCATCTATATCTTGCCGGACTAGCCTGTATTCGTATTCACTCCCACGCAGGTGGAAAAGAAAGGTACCCGGTGAGCCAGAAGTAATAGAATCCTGGCTCTGACAACTGACTGGCGCCGTCATTCACACGTTATTGCGCGATTGATTCCGTATGGCACAGCAAAAAGTACACGTAGGAACCCGAAGAGATACTACAGCGTATGTATAATGCGTGGGATGAATGATACTTCAAGTCCGGAATACATCACGTCCGGCTGCCGTAGGTCGAGATGGTACGGAAGACATGGTTACACTCGGCTCTAGTTTCGAGGGCTTAGGACTGTGGCCGGACCAGTATTCTGAGGTGCAAGTGGAAATGATGCCGATATTGATTGATCAATTTTTGTGATCAGAGGCAACTATTGAAAGATGAAAGATGACATCTCGAGTCGAATATTCGACATGATATCACGCAACTTGTCGTGATTGTAGTATTCAGTGACACAAGAGACGTTCGATATTATATTTCTAGTCGCAGCCTCGTTACGCCAACCTTAGACAAATGGCGTTACGGTGTTACATGTAGTGGGAATCTGTGAGATGCGACAACGGTGATGAAGATCATTGAGACTCGACACCAAACAGCTTCGAGATGGGAAAATGCGGGGCAGCAAGGGGGTGGGATTCGTATGGAGATACATACGTACATATCCATTCCCCAGCAAATATGCAAATATCTCGGCCAGAAAATGGATACCAATGCACCGACAACTCATGCATCAACGGTAAATCTCCCGACCTCAGGTACCAATGGACGCCCCTTCATCAATGTCCGCATCGTTAGCCCATTACGTCCATAAAGGCTTCAATATAATAATCATACAACTCACTGAATCATACAGTTGCACCTCAGATAATGCACTCACCTGCATAGCATATTCTTCGTCTACCTACTAGGTTAGCCAAGTCGATCACTTCTGTTGTGTGACAGAGCTTCCATCCAACTCGTTCTGCAGTAGCATATTGCCTCCCTCCTCCAGGGCTTACCTACCTATCTACTAATAGGTAGGTATGGATTTGGGGGAATAGGAAACGCAGCCCACCCCTCTTGGGCAGACATCATCATGCAGAAGAGAAGAAACTCCCTTGCAGGGGAGGTCAAGCAGGATACATCTCCCGGTAATTCAAGCTCCAAGCCCCCCACGCGGACCAGCGTTGCAAAGTTGCACCCTTATGAAAACCAATCCTGCAAGATTCTCCCAATCTCACCTAGCTCCTCCCCAAGCTCGACCATGTACGCGTCGGGGGGAGCTGTTGTCAAGTCGAGCATAGCGCAGCCTGTAGATGATATGTCGAGAGTGGCTGCATACATGTATGCTGCTCGGCCCCCCTTTCTGCTGCACCCCTTCTGCACGCCCTCTGCAAGCCCACTGCAAGCCCTTCTGCATCCTAGCGGATTACCCTTTTAGGAGCAGATGGCGTGCATAAGTGCGAATAGGTGGTTAGCTTTGCGCCCAGGAACATCAGCCATGTATGTTCGCGAAGCTTTCTTCACTACCTACTACCTACATACATACTAGGCACCTACTAGGTAGGTAAATAGCTAGAAGTGGGTAAGTATGGTACTATGGTATCTACCTAGTAGGCAGATTACACCATGCCGCCCAAAAAAAAAACATAAATAAACATTGGCATCCCTCGCATTCGTCGGTTCATCTTGACCTCTAATATAGGTGGGTAGGTATCGTTACATATTCACCAACCAAGCCCCTCTCGGTGTTTCTGGTCATCGAGGGTTATTATCTTTAGACCCCTTACCTTTAAGGGTCTAATTCGGGTTGTTTGCAGCTGCGTCAACTTGCATTATATCCGCAACAATAGATGAGCGACTACGGCCCGTCACAGCTAATCCCCTTACTTGGACTTCGTCCCGGAGGCCGCGACGGCGTCGATCCTTGTGGGACTCCGCCATCCAGTAGTCCAATGGTGCCATGTCACGCTATCTAGGTCTATCAAACAGACCCTCAACTTTGACAAGAGTTTATTCAAAGATATTATATTATTCCGTCGACGAGACGGTCTAAGACTAGTGGCCCCAACGAAGTCTAGTGTTCTATAGTATCTCCATTTCAACAGCCCTACCGAGTCTTTAGTCTCCTGAAGCAAGCTACTACTAACCTACATAAGTTTTCTTTATCTTTGCCGCGCCTATCTAAGGGTTTGGATCTTACTTGTTGACATTGGTGTTTTATTAATTCTATTTATCCCTTCCCTCCTCTTTCTGACCTACCTACCTATTTAATCTGTAATTTTATTTTATTTTTGATTGACCCTTTTTGTCCATCTGATCTATCATCTCAAAGGATCTTTGAAAGGAGCCAAGAGAATCCGGAACTCAAGTCGGAACAAGCCATCTCACCAATCATAGCTCATCACAGCTCAAGCCAGGCCCTCCGTGATAGGTCATATCTCTGTCCGTGCACTTTTAGGGGTCCTTTGATCCCCGATCTTCGGGGGTCGAATGCTCAGGGCCACTGACGGCGATCTAACCGGCGTCATTAATACGACTTTGCCATTATGAATGCTCAGATATCATTTCTTGTAAGCCATCCCTTGCCTTTGCCTCTTGAATTCATGACACCGGGAACCCCGTTTCGATGCAGCAGTAACCATAACTGCTCGCCACCACAGTTCCAAGGTTATCTTGAAAATCGAGATACGAACGGGTATCTCCATGTGCAACACAAACCAAGAAAGACTCATTACGCATATTCTGGTACAACCTACGATGCACGCGACCAAAAACATGTCGCTTAACTCCTGACTAGGTAATTAACTATACTAACTTGTCTCACTCTAGGATGGGACGTTCCGCCTAATACACATACCGTTGAACCTGTACCCAAGCTTTCTGCAGCCCATCCTCCAGGTCCTTCTTCCTCAAGGCGGGGATGACCCCCTCGCCAATGAGGCGGAAGGGCTCAGTATCGACAACAAACATGGATTCCTAAACATAAGCATAACCCCCGTCGAGTGTTCAGTAGTATGCCACAGCAACTGGGCTCAAAATGTCTTTGAGCCAGTCATTAAACGTCTTCCCGCAAATGTCGCCAAAACCGTTACGATATCCAAGGATACGTACCTAATCCTGTCGGTGATCAGTGCTGGCATGGATGCGGGTAGTAGGGTGATGGACTTGACCTCACCCCTGGCATTAGCTGGTGTACCCATCTTCTTCATTACCACTTACTACTCGGATTTCATTTTGGTTCCCAGTAAAGATCGGCAGACAGTGGTACAAGCACTGCTAGCTCGAAATTTCGAATTCGACAAGGACGAGTCAGCATTTGTATCACCAAGCGCAATGTCTCATGTTCGTGGCAAGAGTTCGAATAGCGAACCTCCGTCGACACCACCGCCATCTACCGTAGCAGAGCTACAAGTCCGCGCGTTTGACCTGTTAAAAAAGCGAAATGTCGTTCCATACATTAGTCCTTATCTCAGTCTGGTTCAATGCTCGGGCCGGAATCCGTCACATTTAGTAGATTATGGTCGCCGTCCGAAATTAAGCAGGCAGGCGTCCGGAAACGGGCACCATCGGAGAAGTTGGCTGGACAACGTGGACACGAAACTATATACCAGTCTCATATCCGTTCTGGCCAACCAGCCTAGATTTCTTTCCATCACTTTAGCTCAGGAAGACCCTCCATCTTTACTCCTAGACAGAGAATATCTGGGCGTTTTCGGTGATTCCCTCGTAGGCGACACGGAAGGCGACCTCGTCCCCATCTTTCTCGATCTCGTGAATCTCCCGCTAGAGGCAACGGGTATCGTATCAGGCGTTGCAGGGCGGCTCATTGCCGAGATGGACATGGAGGAAACCGGCGTCAGCAGCGAGCTATCGTATCTTTCGACGGCACGGGCCGGCGCAGTTATTCTCTCGAGTCAGCAGGCCATGAAAGCGCTCGAGGTTCTAAAACCCCTTCTCTACAAGGAACAATGAGAGGCGCCCCTCTCCCCCAGGAAAGTGGCGCTGTGGTTGTATCTACCTAGGTGTTTGGGCATGTCATCGATAATAGGGCGGTTTATCCGGATGGGAGCAAAAAACGAAAGAAAAAAGAAAAGGTGTTATGGTCAACGAGCATGAAATCATGGCATATTAGACTTATAGCGGTTGGCATTTGGCTGCATGTCGAGACTTGGGTCGGCATCTCTGCTCATTGGCATCAAAAACCACTCCCCTTTTTTGGCGGGTTGTATGTGACACCATTTTCAACTGGTGATTTTTGTTTTTGTTTTCGTTTTGTTTGGGTGGCAGATGTGAGGAGCATATAGGTCGAGTAATAGTGCATCGCGGCTTGCGCTAGGTACTGCCAAAGTACGCTGGCTCAGTATGGCTTGGCTGACTGGCTGACTAGCTGGCTGGCTAGGTGGATGGATGGATGATGGATGTGTCTAGGTTAGCCGCTTGGTATCACGGAACATTTGGCTGGTCTAGTTGCTTTGCATGTCAATCCGGCGTTCTTTGCATTTGCGTGTGTACCTGAGTAGCTAGTTAGGACTTTTGAGTGTTATCATCAATGTACAACTTGTATTTGGAACACTTCAAGGACACAAGCTTGGCTGGAGATGCTTTTCCCCTATTTTGTGCTACTACTATTAGTAGTACCTAAAGCTGCGAATAGAGTTAGCAAACGAACTGACATATTTCAGCTGAGGAGAGAAGGCTTCGAATGCAGGATCCTATTCGTTGGATGAGAGGGTGTTATAGCGCTGACATACTAAACAAATGCAACCTAGGTCGTTTAGAGGCTGAAATGACCCTGCATATGCGGTATATCTCGGATCTATATGATCTATATGATCTATATGATCTATATATATTATGTCATGATGACCTCGTGGACAGATACGTACATAGTACTAAATATCAGATGACCACCAAGCTGGCACCAGCTAACTTTACCTAGTGGCCCGTGGGGGATCGCAGGGTGATCCGGTACCCTTTTCAGCATCTCCATTAGCTCTACCATGATTGGGCAGTGGACACTTCCGCTACGCAATCCAAAAGCTAGGGCTGACGGTGAGAGCCAACTAGCGGCTACTTGTGGGAATTCCAGTGGCGCATTTGGCGATCACGATTTACATTTGGTAGACCTAACAACGACCCCCCGAGTTTCCCTTCGAAATAGGTAAATAATGTGCAAAGCTAACACTTCTAATAAACGTTTCACGTAAGACCATGTATGTATCATACTGGTCTCTTGCCCTTTGTTAATTAGGTACTAGGTAACCCACCTAGGTTGTTCAGTAGTAGATAGTAACACGGCTTCGGCTCTCTACCCGTCCCCCGTAGGATCGACGGTGAAAGGATGTGGCGGCTACTCCCGTCCCTGATTGCGAGCGTAGCTATCGGACAGAACATAGTCGCAGCATATGAGGTTTTCGACCACGGAAGCCAAAAAGTATTGATCCCGGAGACGCCGAGAACATCGTCGGGTGGCTTGGACTTTGAAGCCATCGCTGCTGGTAATAGGCAGGATGCACAAAGCCCGGCGTCGTGCGCAACTTGCGAGGTGAGAGTTTACTTACGTCCCCTGAGGCCCATGTAAACGGTCGTTTATATACCTACTGGAATAGGTATTCATCGAGATGAGTTTATAGTTACTGACTTATACCAAGGGCATCCTACTACAACTGAAACTCGTTGCCTGGAAAGGCGATGATTTCTTCATCAACGTCGCGACGAAGCTGTGTAAACTCTCAGGCGTATGCAGCACCCCAACCCAACCTTCCTCTCCTTGTTAAAAGGGGGGATCCACCCACCTAGCTGCAAACACCAACCCGCTGACACATCCATACAGGTCGAAGACGACGACGTCTGCGAAGGCTCCATAGCCCTCGAGGGCCCCATCATCGCCAACGGGCTGCGCCACATGTCCCTGGGCTCCCGCACGTCGCAGCTGGCGTGCGTCGCGTTCATGGGCCTCTGCCCGTACCCCGAGGTGACGGCGTACAACGTCACGTTCCCGTCGCCGAAGCCGGAACCAGTAAGGCCGGCCCCGAGTGATGGCCTGGAGCCGCTGTATGTGGTGCACTTCTCCGATATACATGTCGACCCTCTGTATGTCGTGGGTGCGACGGCGAATTGCTCGAAGCCGATTTGTTGCCGGTAAGTACCTACCTAAGTATGAAGCCCCTGAATCCAGTATCACATATGTATCAATAGCAAGACAGCATGTATCCCTTACCAACGTACCTTTGAATATGAGTTATTTATAGTTATAGTAGTTCTGAACTCGAGAATAATTTCATTTGCCTACCCTACTTCCCACAACCCCTCCCCCCCTCTCTCAGCCCACGCTCCTAACCAAAAACCAGCGAATACACCACCCCCTCTCCCCCCGCCGAAACCCCCATTGTCTCCCCCGCCCGCTTCTACGGCGAGCACACGTGCGACACGCCCGTCAGCCTCGAAGAGAGCATGTACGCCGCCATCAACTCCCTCGTTCCCTCCTCTTTCGCCATCTTCACGGGCGACATCGTCGACCACGCGGTCTGGGCCACGACGACGGCGCAGAACAAGTTCGACATCGAGGACGCGTACGCGCGCATGGCGCGCGCGGGGCTGCATGTGTACGGCACGGCGGGGAACCATGAGGCGTCGCCCGCGAACTCGTTTCCGCCTACTGCGCCGGAGGGGGGGAAGAAAGGGGATGGCGGTGATGTAAGCGACGAGAACAGCGCACAGTGGCTCTACGACGTGCTCTCGTCGACCTGGACGCAGTGGATCGGCGCGGCCGCCGCGGCGACAACGCGGGAGTTTGGTGCGTACTCCGTGCGGCACGAATTCCCCACCAGCAACGACACGAGCAAAACCGGCACCCTGCGCATCATCTCGCTCAGCACGAACCTGTACTACGCGCACAACTACTGGCTGTACGAGGAGCCGATGCAGACGGACCCGAGCGGGCAGCTAGCGTGGCTGGTTGAGGAGCTGGATGCTGCGGAGCGTGCGGGAGAAAGGGTTTATATTATCGGGCATATGGCGCTGGGGAGTCGGGATGCGTTCCATGACGGCTCGAATTACTTCGATCAGATTGTGGTGCGATATGAGGGGGTTATTGCGGGGATGTTTTTCGGTACGTTTTCTTCCCTTCTTATCCCCTACCCTCTTTCTCTTTACCCCTTAACCTACCTACCTACTCTTGAGGTGTGGTTGCTTACGAGAGAGGGCAGGCCACACGCACTTCGACGAGTTCGAGCTCTCGTACTCCGACTACTCCTCCCGTTCTCACCGCACCGCCCTCGCAACATCGTACATCGCGCCCTCGCTCGTGCCCACCTCGGGACACCCCGCCTTCCGCGTCTACACCGTTGACCCCGTAACCTTCGGCGTGCTCGACGCCACCACCTACATCGCCAACATGAGCGACCCCGCCTCCTTCCGCGGCCCCGGGGGCCCGAAGTGGACCAAGTATTACTCTGCGAAGGAGGTTTACGGGCCGCTAGTCGCCAACCTAGAAAAAGAAGAAGAAGGAGGAGGAGGTGTGTGGGACGAGAAGCAGGAGCTCACCCCCGCGTTCTGGCACCGCGTCACCGACGCGCTCGAGCGCAACGTCACGGCGTTCAACGAGTACTTCGCGCGGCGACGCCGGGGCTGGGCCCACCCCAGCAGCAAGGAGAGGTGCGACGACGACCAGTGCCGCGGCGCGGAGATCTGCAAGCTGCGCGCGGCGCGGGCGCAGGACAACTGCATACCGCCGGGGCTGCGGCTGGACTTTGTGGAGGAGAGTAGGAGGAAGAAAGGGGGAAAGGAGGAGAATTGTGGAGGGTCGGTTTTGAGGGATGTGTTGGGGGTGTTGGCGAGAGATGCGGATATGCTGGCACTGTTTGAGGATGTGGTTGTGCTGGATGGGGGGTTGCCGGGGTATAAGGATGTGTAGTAGATGGGTAGATTTTAGAGAGAGAGGGGGTGGTATTGTAGTGTTGTGATGGATATACATACGTACATATATATATAATGATGAGACTAGGTTGTTTACTCTTCTAAGGAATTTGGCATCTTGAATACACTGGTAAGGTGTTAAGACAAGATCGGGAGCCAGCGGCATTGTAGATGTGTCGGTGATGATTTAGTTGTACAAGGCTTGGAGCCTCAATCCCATAACTCCAATATTATACAGTCACTTAGGTACCTAGTATATACCTATATATCCTCACTGACCCACGACCACTTGAAGATATGGTATTATACACTAGGTACCTACGAAGCAGCTCATATCTACCCGATCTCACCTAGAGAGATAGAGTTCGTTATGGTGTAATACCGATATAAACAGAAGACACTCTTAGATATTCGACATGAACCCTCAGTCTCTAGTAGATCTTCTTGTTCTTATGATATTTTTCTCAACGCTGCCACAACACCGATCTGGTTATAAAGCAGTAGTAAGTATTTTAAACGGAGTCTGCTTCATCTGTATAGGTAATTAAGAGATTTATTTACCTTTGTATCGACATCCATGTTGTATCTCATTTTTGAGTCCCCTTCTTCATAAGCTGGACAATGGTGTGATGCGCTTGGGTTATGCGTTGTAGTATTTTTCAGGGTTAACCTATTGTCTTACTACGGACAGCTCAAACACCACGTGGTATAGTAGTTATGTACCTAGGTTAGTAAATCTAAGATTTACTAAATCATCCTTTTTACAAAATAACGCTTAGGAAATGAAAACTCTCAAGTTCTAGTTTAGGGTTAGGGGAAGAGATGTAAGTCAAGGTCCTGCGGAACTTGAGAAAGAAACGATGTTTGAGTTTTGAAGACCCCCTTTCGTCTGTTTGAGAATGTTGGTACTCACTGTAACAGAAACATGCCATTGCTTTCGATGGTAGTATTCTACCGGTTAGATATGTAGGGACTTGGGCTGCTTTATCGGTCACTCGGCCCATGTTGACAGCTTTGGCAGATCTTGGGTCATGCAGGAACATTTCTATTTATATTGCATGCAATCCATGGATGAATGTTAGGTAAGATGTAACTGAATATGTTGGAGGAAAAAGGAATAATGTATGTTAGAATGTATGAAGAGATCACCAACTTCATCACACCTAGGTTAGCCTACTAACATCTACATATTCACGGATGTGTAGATCTGTACTTGATACAAGGGATAAGGATGTTGGCGAAGTGAGGCAACCTAGGTAGTATGAGGTTGGCGACAGGGTACATCATATGCCCAGGTATAGATAGTACTAGGTATGGTAGTAGTAAGGAAGAGTACATGAGGATTAGGTCGTACTTAATAATACCTCGTATCAAATAACGATCTCAGGTAAGTACTACTAGTAGTAATCATTAACATATATATCTCGAATGTAACTTGGACTATCACACCTCGAAATGTACAACTGAAGTGATTCACAAATTGTACAAGTTGTTGATTTTTATATAAAAACATTAAAGAACAAAACAAAAACAAAAATAAAAGAAAAGAAAAGAATTAAATGCTTGGTCTGCGACCGACGCAACTGCGGGCCCGGCCGTCCTTGGTGGACCTGCTCCGACGGGGAAACCACGGGCAAAGCCAGAGCCCAAATTCAAGTCGACCAAGCACGCCTGCGTCACCTGGCAGCAGCAATATTGATACTACTAGTAGTACTGGCAAGAACGCTAAAGCCACAGCTGATCAGATAGCTGAAGCTTCTACCCAACCACTGCCCCCAAGTCCTATGCCATCACCTGCAATAGCCGTTATCAACGCTAGCAGTACCACTACAGCCACTACAGCCACTAATACCACCACTACCACTACCACTACCAATACCAATACCAATACCAATACCAATACAACTGGAACTGGAATTGAAATTATAACGTCAACGTCCACATCCACATCCACACCTGCACCAGCACCAGCACCATCTGTACTGCTACCAGCACCCACAATCACATCCACACCCACTCCCAAATCCACTTTCACATCTACATCTACACCATCGACCCCGAGCTTGTCACCACCACCTTCACCTTTACCCCCCCCTGCAATCTCTATCTCATACTTCCCTCCAGCTGCAGAGCAGCCTACTCCTCCAAAACCGACGAGCAAGATGGCTCCGGTAAGCTAACATTTTATTTTCTCTAACCAACCAGCCATCCAATCCAATCCAACATCCAACATCCAACTAGCAGCATAACCAGCCACTCCGCATGGAAGCTTGCAACAGCATCATACCCAGCTTGACTGAGCTTCCCTCTCCATACTTTACATCTCTAATACTTACTTTTTGGAAATATAGAAAGCAAATGCCGCAAATGGCGACCAAGATAGTCTCAACAGCGGTATGCAATTCTATCCTCACTTCCTATTGCTCCCTGTTTTGTGCAACCTAGCTGACCAAGTATCTGTATGCGTATAGGCAAGATTTACTCCGTGTCCGGGTTCGTGAAACTGCTCCCGTAGCTCTTGATCTCCCCAAACTGACCAATAATCAAAATAGACCCGTCGTTGTGGCCGAGGACATGATCGGAGTTGCCATGTACGAGCTTGTCAGAGTCGGCCACGATCGTCTAGTCGGTGAAGTCATTCGAATCAACGCCGACCAAGCTACCATTCAAGTCTACGAAGAGACTGGTACGTTGTCTTTTCTACGAGATACCTGCCCACCTACCCACCTACCCACCTACCTACCGTGCTAGCATGCCTAGTAAATCTAGTTAGGGCAATTAACAAACAGAGCTAATATCAAAGCATAGCTGGCATAACCGTCGGTGATCCCGTCGCCCGTACCGGCAAACCTCTTTCCGTCGAACTCGGTCCTGGTCTATTAAACAACATTTACGACGGAATTCAACGACCTCTCGAGAAGATTGCCCAACAATGCCAGAGCATTTATATTCCTCGCGGTGTTGCCGCAACCGCTCTCGACCGAGAAAAGAAGTGGGAGTTCACTCCTACCCTAAAGGTTGGCGATCACATTTCTGGTGGTGACGTCTGGGGAACTGTTTTCGAGAACTCCTTCATCAAGGTGCACAAGATCTTACTGCCGCCACGAGCCAGGGGAACCATTACCAAGATCGCTGGAAAGGGCGAATATACCGTTGACGAGAAGATCCTCGAAGTCGAGTTCAATGGCACCAAGACCGAGTATGGCATGATGCAAACCTGGCCTGTTCGTGTCCCGCGACCGACTACCGAGAAGCTCGCCGCCGACAGCCCCTTCATCGTAGGCCAACGAGTCTTGGATGCTCTCTTCCCCAGTGTTCAGGGTGGTACGGTGGCTATCCCCGGTGCTTTCGGATGTGGCAAGACTGTCATTTCCCAGTCCGTCTCCAAGTTCTCCAACAGCGACGTCATTGTGTATGTGGGTTGCGGAGAAAGAGGAAACGAGATGGCTGAAGTCTTGAAGGATTTCCCTGAATTGTCTATCGAGGTCGAGGGCCGCAGGGAGCCCATCATGAAGCGAACTACTCTGATCGCCAACACCTCCAACATGCCTGTCGCCGCCCGAGAAGCTTCCATCTACACGGGTATCACGGTTGCCGAATACTTCCGTGACCAGGGCATGAACGTAGCCATGATGGCTGATTCCTCTTCCCGATGGGCTGAAGCTTTACGTGAAATCTCTGGTCGTCTCGGAGAAATGCCTGCTGATCAGGGTTTCCCTGCTTATCTCAGTGCCAAACTAGCCAGTTTCTACGAGCGTGCAGGCAAGACGAGCTGCCTCGGTTCGCCCGAGCGCGAAGGCAGTGTCAGCATTGTCGGTGCCGTCAGTCCCCCTGGTGGTGATTTCTCCGATCCCGTCACTACGTCCACCCTCGGTATCGTACAGGTCTTCTGGGGTCTCGACAAGCGGCTAGCGCAACGGAAGCATTTCCCGTCCATCAACACGTCGGCGTCTTACAGCAAGTATACCAACACGCTGGACAAGTGGTACGAGAAGGACTTCCCAGATTTCCCGAGACTGCGTGACCGTATCAGACAGCTACTATCCGACTCGGAGGAGTTGGACCAAGTAGTGCAGCTCGTCGGAAAGTCAGCGCTATCGGACCCTGACAAGATCACCCTCGATATGGCAACGCTCCTCAAGGAAGACTTTTTGCAGCAAAACGGATACTCAGACTACGATCAGTTCTGCCCTATCTGGAAGACAGAGTGGATGATGAAGCTTATGATTGGGTTCAACGATGAGGCGCAGAAGGCTATCGCTCAGGGTCAGAGCTGGGCCAAGGTCCGTGAGGCCACTAGTGACCTTCAAGCTCAACTCCGAAGTCTTAAATTCGAGGTACCAAGCGAAGGCCAAGAGACAATTAGCAAGAAGGTACGTTACTATGCCATTACTCTCTAACCCTTCCTTTAGTCTTCTTTCTTTTTGGCTGCTATAAATTAATGGAATACTGACTTGAACTTATTATATAGTACGAGGCTATCCAACAAAACATGCTGGATAAATTCGCTTCTGTCATGGACGAGTAAAGGGAGTAGTAAATGTGGTGCTCTTACCCGTGTGAAGCGGATTTGCCTCACTCAACTTGCCTTGCCTTATCTTGATCCCATTGCCAGACACAAGAAGGTTGTACATAAGACAGAATTCTGGGAGGAGGCTCTTATTTTGAAGGGGTAAAACGATGAAGAGGCAACGAGTTGGGACGTGTAAAAAGCCCCAAGATTCAATGAATGTTATAGTGTTAGGATTGTTGTAAGTGCTACGAACTGCTAGGTATCGAAATTACGTGAATCCATAACCTAGGTATTTACGTTTTTGACCCAAGCATGTACGTTCATATGGGCATGCCTTGACCGGTTTTTTTTCTCTCTCTCTCTCTATGACGCTCTGGTCGGGTTTATAATGTGTTCATCTTGTGTGGATGTTCTGTGAACTGTGTCAAACAACTGAAGACATACATACATTCACGAAAAAAACTCGTCGCCAGTTCTTCTTCTCCAGACCCCCAACCCCCCTTTTTTTTAAAAAAAAAAAAAAAAAAAAAAGTAAAGTAGAAAAACAAATATCAACGAAACTTCTCTCAATTTAAACATGCAAATGCGACGCGCATGATTTTTGCGCATGCTCATGCTCATGCTCATGCTAGGTACCTAACCTAGGTACAGTAGCTAGTACTGTAGGGTATGTATGTAACATATATGCCATGCCATGCCATGCCATGCCATGCCATGATCACCTTTTTTCGCATTTCAACACCGTACAAACTTGAACCAACAACAACAGACAGGCAGACAGACAGACAGACACCCTACACCTTACACCAGATCATGTTCATGCAAGACGCCAACTCCGACCCATATCTTGGTACAAGTACAGAAATGAAAAAAAAAACCCCCCCGAAAAAAAAACACCCGTGAACCTATTCCCTCAAAGGGGAAAGAGGGGGGTTCCAATGAAGAAGGCCTGCTTGCCATTTTTTCAACAAAAATATTCACTCGCACAAAAAAAGAAGAAAAAATAGCGAAAAGTTTCACTTTGCCTTTTTGCCGCGTCAGCTACGTACCTACCGCCAAAGCCTCTCTTGCTGGCGGGTCTCTTCATTATTTTCATCATCCATCACTCTCCTGATTGCCCTTAGCAGAATAGTACTATATTACGCAGATTTGGTAATATCGGTAGTTGCATGCTATAAGTCTTCCAGCTCCAGGTCATATCACGACTAAAGGCTCTTCTGCGGCGGGGGGTCTCTCGTTACCATGCTCGTCTCCAGCCGCTTCTTCTTGTCGTTCGGATTCTCCACCAACCGTAGCAGAATCATGGCTATCCGGGCTCTGTTCCTCAGACTGCTCGGCTCCGGCTTCGGCAGCAGCGGCAGCGGCAGCGGCCTCGGCCTCCCGTCTTCTTCGTTCAGCTCGTGCCTCCGCTTCCACCTGCGCGATATGCCTCTCAGCTACTCCTGGTGCGATACTAGCGAGGAACAGGATTCCGGCGCGCTCCAATCTTCTAGCTTGGTCCATCAGCCAATTCGTGTTTGCGCGGCGTCGCTGCTGCACTAACCGGGCCGCGGCATTTGCGGGATCCATTCTATCTTCGTGTCCTGCGCCAGCGACGGCGTTACCATGATCGGCTCTTGCGGCTGGTTGAACAATTTGACGCTGGCCGTCGGCAAGGGGGATTAGGTTCTCCAGGTGTCGGCGGAAGGGGATCCAGAATTGTTCGGCCAGAGGATTCAAAAGTCCCGTGTTCACCAGAAACAAGGTGATGGCAATAGTAATAACGGTAACCCAACGGGACCAACTGGAAGTAGGCGATGTAAAGAACCAAATGAAGAGACCTAAGCGGATGACCATCCATATGTGAGGCCATATCTGGGCTAGTCGAATGGCTTGCACTTGCGGGTTGTCTGCGCGTGCCATAGCATGCCCAAGGTGAGGCTGAACGCGAGGCGCTTGAGGCAAATTAAGTTGGGCTGGCGCTTGGGGCTGGCGCGGTTGTGGTTGCTGTTGGGGCGCGTTGTTGGGTTGGGCGTTGGATGCATGGCTCCGTCCGATTGAAGAGGTTTGTGGCTGAGTTGTTGGTGTTGGTGTTACAAATTGTTGGTTAAAGGGATTGACTAATGTTGGCGGAAAAGGTCTCGACAAGAATGGGTATCCGATGGGTTGGTTCATGATTCGGGCGGGAGGGCTGAAGTACGCCTCTAGGCTGCTATTGAGCAATAGAGCACGCGGGCCGGTAGGAGATGATAAAATGTACACTTCTGGCGTGCCTTGAGATTGGACTTGAGATTGAGTTGTTGATTGGTTCCTGGTTCCAAATGCTCTTAGGGGGTCTGGGGTGGCGGTGCCACTGCCTGCTCTCGATGGAATCAATGGCGTAGTAACTCCAGGTGGTATGGGATGGTGAGCTGCGCCAGTTCCAAGATTTGCTAAGGAAGAACTGCTAGCATTCCTGCGCATGGCATCTGTCATCGCCCTTGTAGCTGAGCCAGCATCTGCAGCTCGCAGAACATTCTGAAGTTCGTTGCTAGAGAATTGGCCCCCATTTGGAACAGAACGTGGCTGCGAACTCGAAGTGTTCGCGGTATCGGTAGCTGGGAATGGGGAACCAGTTCTCATCGGTCGTTGTAAAGGATTGTTCACGAATGTCTCGTTAAGGGTGATGCGCCATTGCAAACCACCAGGACCATTACTCTCACGGACTGTAGTACGGGTACCGTCTGGTTGGAAGGGCGAAGTGGTTCTCGAGGGTGTGCGCGCTCCCAACGGGCCCCGGATGTTAGTGGTAGGCATGTCCGGCATGTCCGGCATCCCTGGGGTGCCTGGGGTGCCCGCCCTTGCAGCTTGGCTATGAGCACCTGCGTGTGCGCTCATAGCTCTCATCCATTGACTATACTGCTGTGGTGTAAGACTTGGCGGAGGGTTCATGGGATGGCCGGCAACGGGAAATGTTTGGATGGGTCCTTGAGGGATTCCGAACGTGACGTTGTGGTAATGGGGAACTCCAAATCGCACCTGAGGTTGAGGTTGCAAAGGGGGGGTGTAGTGTTGATGTTGATGCTGCTGATGCGGTAGACCTTGAATTCCCGCTGAGTTTCCCGCCGCATGCCCTGTTGACTGTTGAGCTAGGGGGGCTGGGGGGGCTGGGGCAGATGTCGGGTTTGTGGTGGGAAAGGGACTCGGTGTCGACGAGGTATGACCATCGGACGGTTCACGTAGGACCAAATGTAAAGTCTGGGGTTCCATCGAGCGAAGCTTTGAAATAGAGGCTGATTAGACACTTGCACAAACTATTTGGTTTAATAGAACATCACATACCGCTTCCTGGCCGAAAACTTCAGTCATGGTCTCACTGTCGCGAGCTAGCAAGCGGCCTCTATGGATAAGGCGCTGGGCTTGGTCTACAGGTTTCGCGGCGACAACATTTCGGATCCGTTCTTTCAACTGTTTAACAGTCAAATCCTCGGGAAGTTCCTTGAGAGTAAATTTCCCTTGTACGCCTACGGAAGGCGATAGGATGTGTAGTGTAAAGGTGGGTGAATCGGAACCGGCTTGAGAGGTTGCCGATCTGGGAAGATCGGATGCCATCGTGAATGAACTGCTCGGAGCGACACTCGGAGCGATACTCAAGAGCAAGGTGGCGCGAGAGAATAGGCGCTCAATAATTTAGGTTGCGTAATCCGACCTAGATACCCAAAGTTCAAAAGTCTCAGGCAATAATAGGAATCATGTCAGGCAAGTAATCAAGCAGGAAGATCCGTCAAGATTTCCGGTAAGAGTACACGTAGCGTCAATGAGTGTATACTACAATGTAGGGAGTGTGTAAGTAGTAAGTAGTGAGGTAGCCTTGGCTTTGTAATAAGTTATAAGAAGTAGCGAGGTATCAAATGAGCGAGTTGGATTAGATTAATGGGAAGATATGGGAACAAGAACCTAAAAAAGGAATTGGGAGGAAAAGGAAGTAAAAAAAGATGAAAAATAGTATGGAAGGAATATTCAAAGGTAAAGTTCAATGTTGTAATAAATTAAAGATATTGTTGCTAGACTTGCGCTCGCCGTCGAACACTTGCTAGTCCGACGGGAAGGTGTCAGTTTCAATGTTCAATGCAAGCGCAAGCTGTCAAGTCGCATTGCTTACCTAACTATGTACGCTTAAAAAATTGGGACTAGTTAACTGTTCTGCTGGATACACCCGTTATGTTATGTACTATGTAACTAAATGTATCTTAGGTAACTATTGTACATCAATGTACATCAAATAGTAAAAATAGCTGCGTCATTGAGGGTCCAAACCTCCATATTCTGGTACGAGCTCTGGTACAAGCAACCGCTTACTGCAAACTCACTTTTGCAGATGCCTACCCAGTAGCTTCCACGACACTACTCGTACTAGCTTCATATCATACCTTCCCCAGGTTGACGATAATCTGTAATGATCAGATTCTTGGCAGTGGTCATTGCCTTTAATTATGTAGGTTAGGTTAGTCTGATCTTTCTGACTTTTTTCTTGTATACACCAAACTTCGAAGCTAGATCAACCACATAACTAGCGCATTTATTGTATTTGCTCTTTTCTAAAAAACTCAAATGAGGTTATATTGAGGGTCCCAAGGGTTCTGAAGGGGGTTTAAAACATAAATAAAGTAAGGAGGGTTATCGGAGGATAGAGTAGACATGTCAATGGCAACATTATACTCGGCGCCAATCCGAGGACATCGGCCAGCTCCCGCACTGGGCCGTCATATAATATCACCATGTATGCTTCGGCAGCAGATCTTCGCCGGCGCAACACGACAACCTACCAGACAATTCGTCGCTACCTCCAGATCATCCTTCCACCGAACAACAAACAAATACCAAAGCAATGAGCGGTTCGGCACCAGACTACGCGGTGCGCTAAAAGACACAAAAGTAAAATGGTATCCTATACCAGTTGGTTTAGGCATTGGGTTCCTCGGCCTGGTTCAGTTCTACAAGACACAATCTCGCGAGAAGGAAAGGATTGAAAGAGAAGGTTTTGAGGGTGAGGAGGGGCGTCCTAAGAAACGACCAAGAATACGACCAGAAGGGCCATGGTATGTTGTATACTCTCCACTAGACACCTCTACCTAGGTAATACCCTTTCACCAATAGCTAACATCTTATGCTCAGGCAAGTTCGAGTAATGTCGACGTTGCCCTTGAAGGCCATGTCCAGGTTATGGGGCAAGTTCAATGAGCTCACTATCCCGTACTACCTCCGCGTCCCCGGCTTCAAGCTCTACGCATACATCTTCGGCGTGAACTTGGACGAAGTCTCCGAGCCAGACATCCGTGTATATCCAAACCTCTCTGCCTTCTTCTACCGAACACTGAAACCCGGCGTCCGACCCCTGGACCCCAATCCGAATGCGCTGCTATCGCCAGCCGATGGGCGTGTTCTCCAGTTCGGCAAGATCGAAGGCAACGACATCGAGCAGGTGAAGGGCATGACCTACACCATCGACGCCTTACTAGGGAAGAACACACCCACGCCTAGCCTATCCGACAAGCAACCCGAGCCGGTCAACCAATCCTACAAGCCCACAGCCCCAGGCCACAGCGGCGAGGAGCTCGTCTCTTCCGAAGAGGAGTTCGCGCGCGTGAACGGCATCTCCTACACCCTGCCCAACCTCCTGTCCGGGGGCGACGAGTCCCACGACAGCCCCAAGCAACAGAAACTCGAGGATCAAGCCGCCGACCCATCCAGCCCCGGCGCCGTCTCCGAAGTCCGCGCTGACCTCGCCCTCGGCGAGAAGCCCTGGTACGCGCTGATCTCCCCGGACAACCGCACGGCCCTCTACTACGCCGTCGTGTACCTCGCGCCAGGCGACTACCACCGGTTCCACTCGCCCGCAAACTGGGTCGTCGAGCGACGGCGCCACTTCGCCGGGGAGCTGTACTCCGTGTCCCCGTACCTCCAACGCACGCTACCGGGGCTCTTCACGCTAAACGAGCGCGTCGTCCTCCTCGGCCGCTGGCGCTGGGGCTTCTTCAGCTTCGTCCCCGTCGGCGCCACCAACGTCGGCTCCATCGCCATCAACTTCGACAAAGAATTGCGCACCAACTCCCTGCTCACCGACACCGCCGCCGACCGCGCCGCCGACGAGGCCGCCGCCCGAGGGGAGCCCTACGCCGGCTTCGCCGAGGCCACCTACACCGCCGCCAGCGCCGTCCTCGGCGGCCACGCCCTCCGCCGCGGCGACGAGATGGGCGGCTTCAAGCTGGGGAGCACCATCGTCCTCGTCTTCGAGGCCCCCGCCGCCGGCGCCAATCACCCGGGAGCCAAGGGCGGGTTCTCCTGGGCTGTGGAAAAGGGGCAGAAGGTTAAGATGGGGCAGGCCTTGGGGTATGTGGATGAGGAATAAAAAAAATGAAGTGGCTTGAAAAGATGAAAACTCCAAAGAGAGAAAAGGTCGAAGATGCTGTTTGTTGTTGTATAGCTAAACCAACCTGGCACATAAGGGCCTTCTTGTTGGTGCAATATAGTTATGAAAACCTACCTACCTACCTACCTAACCTAACCTAGGGGGTAAACCACAAGCCAGATCTATCCACCAACCTACTGTACTCTAGGTATAACTATATGAATAAACAAACAAATGAACAAATACATACCTATACCCCCCTATACCTCCCTATTACCTAGGTACCTATATAGTCTATGTATCATGGGGCTTGCATCGTCACACTTGTGAACATGACCATCTTATGCTGAACTGCTGCTTGCTGTATTAAGTGATCTATGTGACCCGTAATTTATCGAACTTACTTATCTAACGTATAGGCACCTAAATAGTTCAGTCAATGCAAACTCGGAGGACCGGTGTCCCAGGACGTACGGCATTGGGCAATACAGAATGGGCTGCTCTTGGTATAATCATATTTTCTAAAGATAAAACGACACATCCGGTCACTACAGGCACATATTCGTCACGTCATTAGCCTCGTCTACTAAAATAAGTCATAGTGCCGAGAAGAAACGTGAGGAAACGCCCAATAAAACAGAGGTCTATGAAGATTGCATTGTCGTTTGCAAGGTAAGCCCGTGCCGTCTCATTACCCTAATCCTTCCTCAAGACGCCAGTCAGAACTGGACTAGGTACCTAGTCAGCCAGTCCAAACCCTCGATAAATTCCATACACTAGAGAAGAGCTACGCGCTCCCCAAACCTCCTTTCCGTATCTTAGCTAGCATCGACGATTCGTCGTTGGCTGTCTTAAGATGGTCCCCTCTTCTTTTTTTTTATTCTCTCTCCGTCTCCAAGCGTGATTTCCTCTGCAACGCTGATCAGTTATATTGAGGCTTCGCCACTGTAGAAACTGGGCATCGCGTGAAACGATTGACCAAAGTCTCAGCTAGGACCCCCCGTGCTGTCGACGATAGGCGAGTTTGAACGACATAGGGAAATGACATAGGGAGTCTTCAAGTATGTACCGGAATTCAAGATAACTGGTGGGAGGTTGGCCGAGTTGACTCGCCACCAGACGTGGAACAGGGCTGCTAGATGACTTTATCGAACTGATGTCCACCTCATTCTTAATGGGGTGATCCATCCCAAAAAAAAGTCGCAGCCCAATACAGGTGCCGAAAAACAAAGGGCTGTGTGAAAAAGTATGGCTATGTGAATCGAAATAGAGTTTTCCTGGGGTTTGTGTAAACCGGGTTACCATCACTTATGAGATCTATCATGAAGGAAGCCAAGTACTGTGTAAAGGCCATGCATCGCAATGCTCGGGCTGGAAGAAAGAAGAGCAGAAATCACCGCTGACTTCTAGCGGACCCTACCGAAGTTTGTCGTTCATGGGCGGCTGCACGACGACTGCCTCGGTCAGCATCCTGCAGCTTAAGGGAATCCAACCTCTTCTGGTTATCATCCGACATCGAATCAGCCTCTTCGACCCGTGGTAATATGTTGAGCTGCTTCGTGGAAACGCTGGGCTTATCAGAGGTCCCATTAGACTTCCTTCGATTGGCTTGCTCCGTGATAGCGGCCCACTTCCTTTCTCGGAGAGCTTCTCTTGAAGCAGCATTATTCTGCTGCTCAGTATACTCGTGGGAACAGTCGTCAAATAACTGCGGGTTAATCTCCATGAAAAGCTTCATCGCATTGTACACCATCCCGTGGATTGTTCTGCCTCACGTTAGCCTCAAAAACTGGTTTGGTTATGTGTTGAGTTAGCTGTCATACCTATTCCAATGGCCCTTGGAGTTCTCGTAAAGTGGTGCAAACATGATGGGTAGGATTATCTCGACATTGTCGCTGACAAGATTGCAGAAATATTCATTGTTCCAAAAATATAAGGCCCGTTCCGCGACTTGAAAATGCGGACTTGCGACAGATTTCGCAAGCTGGTGGAACAAAGGTTCCTGAACCTTGGCAAACTCCGCAGGGTCCATTACTTCGAATATGTCCTCCACCTCGTTGAGGTACATAACCTCTTTCGTGCTGTTAACTTTGGGCCAGTATCGAAGCAGACCCAACACGACTTCCTCGGTGAGAGACGCATCCTTTTCAAGGAACTGAACAATGCAATAGGCAAGCTGGGGGTGATACATGCTGAGGCTCTTGACTTTATGAAGCGGGAGCAGAACCCTGGTCAAGAAAAGCTTATGCTCTTCCTTGAGAGGCAGAGCGAATCCATTGATTATGGATCCTAGGATTTCAAGCAACTCGGCCACACCATTGAATCGCTCCGTTTCATACGTAAACTGGAAGAATACGTTGTTGATAGAACGTCTGATGAAAGAGCGAAGATTCAAAAACTTGCCGTAAATTCGATGTAGGGTGGTCTTAAGGAAGTCTCTCTCACGCGGATCCTCCGAGTCAAAAAGTTCCAGGAGCTGAAGGACAAAGCTGTGATCGATATAAGCTTTTGCGATGTTTGTGTTGAAGTCTTGGCTTTCGATAAATCTCAAAAAGAATTCGTAGACCACCTGGATGTGGGGCCAAGCGACTTCGAGGACGGGCTCGTCCTCTTCGGGGTCAAAGGCTTCCCCTTGGGGGTTCATCGGCGGGGGGATCGGGCGGAATAGATTCTTGGCGAACATCTCGACAACTCGGGGATACATGGGTTCTGTAATGACTTGACGGTTATTGGCTACGTAGTCAAGTAACTCATGTAGGGCAAGACGCTTGATCTCCTTGGACTTCATGTCGGCACTGGCATCATTAAAGTCGAAAATGACATTGCACTGGTCAATCTTTTGCATAAAGAGCTCCTGTCGTCGGTTGGGGGGCACTTCGTGGAATCCAGGTAGCTTCTCAAGCTCTCGGTGGGTCGAGATGTCGATGCGCGATGAATTTTGTCGTCTAGGTGTTTTAAGTCCCTCAGGAACATCTTTCGGGGTTTGGTGAAGACGGTCAAACATCAGCGACTTCTGGCCGGCTTTGGGCGGAGCAAGGTCGTGCGGCATAGTCTCAGCGGCGCCGGGTGGGGGAATATGCTATGAAGATAGGTTATTAGCGGATAGTTCCAATACATAATAAGAACGATGGCAGCATACTGGAGCACTTGGGCTAATGACCACAGTTGGCGGGAGGGTGCCGTGTCGAGAAGGGGTCCCAGCGCCATTAGGCGACTGCTGAGGTCCCAAACTGACAAATCTATCAACGCCACCTTGGGTAATGACCTGACTAGATTGGCCTTGCAAGGCTGGGTTCCCATGATCACCGCCGTGCGTTCCAGCGTTATTTGGGGGAAGGGGCTTATTTCTAATGTCGTTGAGAGTCGACGTGGATGAAGAGGGGGTTAATACAGGCGATTGATTCTCTCTCGAGCCGCCAGAGGAGGGGGAAGCGGTGCCATCCTTGGTTTCCTTATTCTTCTTGGAGGACTTGCTGTCACTCTTGCCTCTCGAGAGCTATCGGTATAGTAATGGTTAGCTTATAATTCACAAAGAGTATGCCAGTGACAAAACATACGGCTCGGCTGAAGCGCTTCATCTTTGTAGGTCACAGCCCTACGAGATTATGGCGGGGTGGGGACGCCCGACTCTCTCGTCTCGTAAGGGTGCTGTATAAAGGGTTGAAGAAAGAAGCAAAGGTTCAATGAGTTAATAATGGACGCGTCGCAATTGTAAGAACCGAGTCCGAGTATTGTCGAAGGAAAATGGCAATTGGGTACCAAGATTGGGGAAGGGATGTGAGGGTGTGATCGATTAGGAAAAGCTATGCTGCTGAAGTTCACGGTCTGTTGTGGTTTGGAGGAAGAAAGATTCATGAAAGTTTAGGCGTAAGGATGCAATGTGGTGCGGTACGTGCAGTGAGTGCAGTGAGTGCAGTGAGTATACAGTGCTCAGGTGTTTAGTGTGTTGTGTGTGTACCTAGCGTAGCAGGGTAACAGTGAACACTAAAGAGGTATGTAGAAGGTAGAGAGTAGAAGTAGAGGTTTAGAGAAATAAAGTAGAGGTAGAGAGAGGGTGTTGCTATTACAGCTGCGGGTGTGGCTGTCGCGTATGTATGTACGACTGGTCAGTTGAACTGGCAGCCGTTACAGCAAGAAAATCATTAATAGGTTAAGAGAAGAAAAAAAAAGAATGAGAAAAAAAGATCATGCAAGATAGCTCAAATTGAGCCTCTTAGCTTAAGAAACAGGCGAATAGATTTCAATGTTTGACAGGTCTAATAATAAGAAGTTCGTTCCCTATTGAACATCAAGAACATTGAACATTGAAGTTTGAGTTGTCGTTGTGGAAGGTGGAGAAGGGGACTCCTGTAGGCGGGTTCAAGCTTGGTTTAGGGACTCCGGTGATCTTCCAGGGCCAAGGGGACGGGCAATGTACCCAGCAACAGCCAACCACTTTGCACTTCTTTCCTAACTTCAGTGTTTCCACTAGCCCAGTACGGTTAGCTACGGTTAGAAGTATATGTACTTAGGTAGGTACATATGTAATATTTTATGTGATTATCCAGCTCTAATGTTGCCAATATGTTGGTAACTATTGGTAACTACATAGTACAGAATTATGTATCTACCAGTAGCAACATTTAATATCATCGATGTGTTTAGTTCAATGTTGGTGTGTCGATCTCGACGGACCCAGGTTCCTCTAGTAACAAAATCTTATTAGGCACACAGATGTTGTGTTTGGATATTTTTACCTATCTACATAATATATTCACCACAAAAAAATATCATATCACCTTAACACCAACGAAGCGCTCCCAAGTCTGACCGTCCATGATCTACAGTACGTTCTAGATACCATGTACCAAGGTAGCCAGCTTATGTGTGTACTTTATCTTATGTATGCAGCTTAGCTACCTAGGTATAAGTATTCTGTACATACATGTGATGCCTAGTACTAGATAGTTACGTGCATCATTAATTATAAGCCCTATGTAGTATGTACATGCTACCTTATCCATGATACCCAAGGTTATGTAGTGCATTCCTTTGTTCGAGATTCCCAGTTGCTGCCAGCCGGCGGTCTGTGTGACTGGCCCGAGAGGACTTGGATAATGGATTTGTTCTGATTTAATGATGCAGAGCCGCGTCGAATCATAAATTAGATAGCGGGGCAGAGAGGGTCTCTATGGGCATCTGGATGTCTCGTGAGCTGCAAAGTGACTAGTACTACCTTCTGTAGCACCTAGGGTAGCCTGGGTAGGGACTCTACTAGGGAGTCTAGGGACTTGATACCATCAAGTCCTTGATAGGTACATACCTAGTAGTACATAACTTGCATACGCTGCTTGGCACATTCCTACCCCAAACACTACAATTCAATTAACTAATAACTAAATACGATAGTACAACCTACGGCATAGTACACTGGCAGGAGACACTGGACTGGTCTAACCATCAAAGTTCAATGCTAATCACGTATTGATGAAGTAAGCCGACGCCTATCCCCATTTCGAAAGGAGGTGGCCTTTTTGGTATTGGTAGATTATTGAGCTAATATGTGGCACTTGTAACTGGGATACAGTGCTAATTAAAACCATTTTACAAACATTTGAACATTCTAGAGTTCAAGTAGTACATGGTAGGTAATAAACATCCTACCTCAGCAGCTGCTCAGGCGATTATCTTATTTTCTTATTTTCTTATTTTCTTGTTTTCTTTTAAAAGCATCAGTTGATGTAGCATCTAAATTATATTCGTAAATTACCTACCTCTCGTATCTATCTTGCGTACTCACCTTTCCTTCATAGGCTGAATACCCAACACCTAATAACGTCAAATTAGACTCCTTTACTTTTTTTTTACAACCAAGATTGGTAACAAACTCGGTAACATTCATATGGCATACAACTTAACTATATGGATTAAAAGAATCGAGATTATTCGAGTACATACAAATGATACAATAGATACAACGCACGGTCCATGATACGATATATTATTATATCCAGTATCAGTGCTAGGTGTTTGGGTAACCTAGGTGTTTGGGCTACTAATGAAATCGTCTACTACTTACATTAAATCAATGCCGACCTACCTAGGGCAGGGTACTTAGCTAGTACTGTGCGCAATCTATATCATTGCCCACTGTCTAAGCCAGCCAGTCAGCCAAATAAGAATTGATAACCACCAATCACGATGATGGAAACAGATAACCTATATCGTTTTGAAGGTTCAGACGATGCCAGCGATACGAACGGGGCCCCAATCCTAGAAGTGCCTCATAGAAAAATAGTTGCTATAGAGCATCCTTGCGTTATCCTTAATCTCGACAAAGGGCTCGCTACATTTGGCCAGGAGCCTGACTTCCAGAAAGTAGTTGTCCTCATATTGATTCCGAATATAATAGACAAAAACCTGGTGCTAACCTACCGTTCATAGCTCCTTGTTGACAGGGCAGAGCCGAGTTCAGTCCCCTTGTGGTTTCGGCCTGACAATCCTACGTCAAAGCCTATTGTGTCGCATCATACGGCTACCAATAATGTCCTGCTCAAGATAACCGTTCCCAAGAGGACGGGAAGGAAACGGAAACGTGGGAGCAACGACCCATTCACGGGTGAAATCAATGTCACGAATGGGACAGCCACCACTCCTGAAGCTGACCAAGTCAGCTCAGTAGGCCGATATGACGCCCCTGGGTCTATCCTCCGAAAAATGCAGGATAGCGTCGATGATTATTCTGTGGAAGCTGTTGGAAATGTCAGGGTCACCCACAGATATCGAGGCTTAGCAGATTTCCAATTCGCCAACACGGAGTCTTCATTCTTAACAAAGACGGCAGAGCATCTACTACCAATGAAAGGTAGATATATTCCTAAGCTCTCCACGGCTAGTCAGAATTTGATGCTGACCAAATTTTAGTCTCGAAACTGCGGGAAATCAAGTTTACCCCAGGCGTAGCGACGGGTCCTAACCAGGAGATAATACCTCCGCCGCATTTTACAGACAAACTCCTTGGGTTTAACTACAATTATGAGCAGAATCCAAACACCAAGGTAGAGGGAGATGAGGTAGGGAAGCCGCAACTGATTAATGTTCAGGGCAGGAAATTGCACTCGTTCGGCTACTTTATCAATCACGGCGAATATCCCGTGCCGCAAAAGGCCCGCCAGGAGCCGGAATTGAAGATACCGGACGGGCTGATGAACCAATTGGAAAAACTGATGGAAGAAAGACCTATATGGACACGTCGTGCCATTCTGAATCGTATAACAGGCGATTATTCGGACTCGCTCATGCGAATTGCCCTCCAGCTCATTGGCTATCAATTCAGGGGTGGGCCATGGCGAGACGCTTTTGTGAAATACGGCGTGGATCCGCGTTCAGATCCCAAGTTTCGGGCTTACCAAACCTTGGCCTTCAAATTGGAGAGGAATATTGTTGGAACGAAAAAGATGACTTGGGAGGCAATTAGAAAAGGCCAATTCAAATCGCGCGCGAGGGGGAAAGATCGCGACAGTCATATTTGGAACGGGGATAACTATTCCACCGACGGCAAGTTCTGGCAGGTCTGCGATATCGTAGACCCATTCGTACGCGACATCATTGAGAAGGCGCCTTTGCGGCCGGAGTGTGACCTAAAAGATTCTGGATGGTTTTACAAAGGCACGTGGGCCAAGGTCAAGATGATCATGAAGGTGAAGATGATAGCCATCAAGAAGGGACGTATGGGTTCAGATAAGGACAACCCACAGAGGCCAGGGTTCCTTTACAATTCCTTCCTCGAAGAAAGGATACAGCAGTGGCCGGACAAATCTGACAAATCCTTTGGCCTAACACTCGAACCGTTTTTACGTCCTATAGAGGAAGAGGACAAAAGATACTACAGACGTCGCGGCGGAAGAAAGAAGAAGCAAAGGCTCGATGAGCCCATCACGGCAGAGAAGCCGTCAAGTCAGGGTGGTGAGGGCGGTGATGAACCGGGCAGTTGGGATTCGGATGGCATGATAGACGAGAACGGTGAGGCACCAGGTAATGAGGAGGATATTCCTTCCTTGCCAGACCGTTCCTGGGATGATGATGTTTTAGAAGGTGATATAGACATTGACGACGGGGACGAAGATATTGATGAATATGAAGAAGAATACTACGAAAACGATGAAGGAGAGGAAGAGGAATACGGAGGTGAAGATGATGATGGGGTAGTAGGTGATAACTTTATAGAAGGCACCTATGACTAGCCCCAGCCAACCAGGTACATAGGAATCTACCTCTTGTCATTCAAGAACAGATATCATATGCATATACTCACATATACTCAACACCACAACCAGATCCATTTTGTGTTTTGCTTTGCATGTTAATCAAGATTCCAGATTCAAGGATGTCGGATGTCGGTACATACTACCTACCTAGTAGTACAGCATTACTAATTACCAACATCTACTAAGGTAGGCACGCCCGCTGCTAACACAAGTAGTGCATAACGCTAGGCGCAAAACAGCAAAAACCTCGGCAAGTCCCCGCAAACCCCGGAGAGAGAACCAAGCTCGCATGTAGTTATATACATACGTCGTAGGCACCATCATACATACATACATATCCGCCTATGAACTGGAAATACTAATCGATCAAAATCAATTAGTCTCAGACATTGAACGCCGTCATCAGTATATCACCTTGAGCAGAGTTCTCAATTCTCCCGGTTTTCGTTTTCTTAATTCTATCTTACCTTACCTTATCTCTTTACTAGTAGTAATCCGTAATACACACACATACATACACCATGGCCGACGAAACCGCTCTGAAGGACTTCCCCTCGCTCTTCTCGCTCAAGGGCAAAGTCGCCGTCGTGACCGGCGGCTCGAGAGGTCTGGGATTGAATGCAGCTTCGGCGTGAGTAACCCTCTTTCCCTTTCCCTCCTTTCTCTCCACCCCACAGAATTCTCACTCACTCACGCGCACCTACTCCTCCAGCTTCCTCCAAGCCGGCTGCGCCCAAGTCTTCATAACCTCCCGCAAAGCCTCCGCCTGCGACTCCGCCGTCGCCCAGCTCAACAAGCTCCCCAACCTACAGCCCGGCGCTCGCGCCATCTCCGTGCCGGCCGACAGCTCCACGCTCTCGGGCATCGAGTCGCTCGTCGCCCAGGTGTCGCAGCACACAGACCACGTGGACATCCTGATGGCCAACGCCGGCGCGACGTGGGGCGCCCCCTTCGACACGCACCCGGACGCCGCGTTCCAGAAGGTCATGGACCTGAACGTCAAGGGCGTGTTCCTGTGCATCCAGAAGTTTGCCCCCCTGCTGCAGAAGCGCGCGACCCTCGAGGACCCGAGCCGCGTCATCATCACCGCCAGCACCGCGGGGCTGGGCACCGCGTCCCTGGGGCAGGCGGCGACGTTCGGGTACAGCGCGAGCAAGGCCGCCGTCATCCACCTGGGCCGCAACCTCGCGGTCGACCTGGGCCCGCGCCACATCCTCGTCAACTCCATCTGCCCCGGCTTCTTCCCGACCAAGATGGCCAACGGGCTGCTGGAGATGACGGGCGGGCTCGAGAAGCACGCCGCGCGCAACCCGTCGCGGCGCCTGGGTCGGCCCGAGGACATCGCGGGCGTGGTCGTGTATCTGGCGAGTCGCGCGGGCGCGCATGTCAATGGTGCGGCGATAGAGATCGATGGTGGTTCGTTGTGGAATAACGGCGAGTTCACGCTCCCTCCCGACTCTAAGCTATAAGTAAGACAATGAGTCGATTTCGGGGAATGCCAATGGAAGTTTAGTCATGTATGTACACTGCGAGATTTTGTAGCCTAGTTTTTTTTTTTTTTTTTTTTTGGTATGAAAAAAGTATATGCTTTATATGCTATGTTCTCATTTTGTGATATCCCTTTTGTTGAAATGCGCTTCTAAAATGCTTGGTAGGGCTAAGTAGCCTCTTGCTGTCCTCGGCGTCGTTGCGCCAGGGGACACCATGGTAATATGTAGGTAAGTCAAACTCAGACTCTCTCTTAGATGCAATGCGTGCCTAGGCATCAAGCATTTAAACGCCGGCAAAGGTTTATAACCTAATGAGCAATATCGACGACGTCTGCCCGGATCTCAGATCCAACGTCTAATTTCCGCGCAACCCAATGGCTAGCTCTGTATACCGTTTGGAGCATGCTCTGAGCATCTTGTACATAAGGCGCGGGCAGGCCCGTTTCCCGCTTCTCTATTGTGAACCCCATCCGTTCTACCAATGCTACGACCTCATCGTCCGTGAGTTCGAAGCTTCCAGGATCGGCAATGCCTAATGAATTATTCTCTTCATCTCCGTCCCCATCATAGCCGTGATGGCCGGGGACATGATTCTCCCAGTGCCATAGTAGAGGCCCAACATTTATCAGGACGCCGCCGGGTTTCAAACAGTTTCTGATGACCTCAAGGTAACGGATCAAATTTGGTGCTGTGTCAAGAAAGAAAGCAGCAGCTACTGCATCGTAGGTATCTTTGTGGCTCTCGTCACCATAAAGACACAAGAAGTCGGCGGCACACATCTGCATCGAACCAATTCCTTGCGTCTCGGTGAGTGTAGCCTGAGGATGTATGTCTGGGATTTTATACGACCTGAATTGACTCTCACGGCTCTGATGATTTGAAAAGGAGTGTATCCATGGGTAAATGGTGTGCTGGCCAGCTTTTTCGGTGCAATTTAGAATATAGGATGATGCTAGAAGCTGGTGATAGGATATTTCATTACCTTCGGTTAAGTACCCTAACCGACAGAGATCAAATACTAAGCGTCCCAGGCCGGCACCAGGCACTAGCACCTTGAGTGGTTGCCGGTCAGGATATCTAGCCTTCTCCACATCGAGAGCCCGGTATATGGGGCCGTAACAGGCGTCACGCTCTACGGCACCCTCGGCGGACCAGTCACGGTAGAACTGCCTGATAGTACTCCGGGCTTTGTCGAGGTCATTGTATTTAGCAATGCCGGACCATTCCTCGGGCATGGTGAGCTCCGCATCCGAAGCAGCTTCATTTGGGCTAAAAGAACGTAGGCTAAACTTGACAATGATGCGAGCTAATTCTGCATTGCTCTCAATGGCATCATCTATCCGATTCAACACGTCCAAATAGGAGAACGGTGGCTTCGCCAACAATTGCCAATGTGCCTGAGGAAGAGCATAGAAGGCCTGCCTGCGCAGATGGGTACAGTTCAAATGCGCGGTTTTTGCGTATTGACTGTATTGGATTTGTCAGCGCGTGAGATCAGACAGCTTGTGCAGGTAAATAGCCAAGTAGGAAAGGTGTATGATGCCTACTGGAAGCAAAATCACGCGCCCCCTCTCTCACACGCAGAGCCATAGGCATAGAATATAGTTAATTGGAGGATACGGCGGCCTGGTAGTACTAACCTGAATGAATCGAGCGCACAGAAGATGACTCTAATCTCCTCTGGGTCCTCGATTGTTTCTTCAACACCGTTCCACTGGGAATCGTGGCCGTAAGCTCGGTTCTCTAGCTCCATGACAGTAGCAATAGGCTGGCTTGAGGGAAGAAACCGGAAGAGGAAAGGAGGGAGGGAGGGAAAGGGGGGGGGATCAAGTAAGAAGAAGAAGAAGAAGAAGAAGAAGTACAATGTTGAAGAATCAGCAACCCAAAGATAGAAGTCCCGTAACAAATCAGTGACAACCTGTGATAACTTCCAAGGTTGTGATGCTGGTGGGGCAGTCTGAAAGAAGGAGGGGCAAGACACGGTCTTAACGTCTTAACGTCTTGGTATGTTTTAACGATGAAGAGAGAGGTGAGAAGATAGAAGATAGAAGATAGAAAGATAGAATATGTTCAAGTATCATCGCTAACTCAGTCACATCTTGCTAGAGTTTAAGAATGGTAATCACACTACTTGCATGGTGATGAATTCTTAATGTTCTTTATGTTCAAAGCTTCAAGTCTTCAAGGCGTCAAGACACACAGACTGGCAAAGTGGGACAAACAGAGCAGTTGAACCAACTGTTGCTAGGGTAATCAAAAGAATCCATCCACAGGCCATGGATGTGAGAAAATGGAAAGACGGATGGAAATAGTTAAAGCTTAAGTTTGTCCGAATATGCATATGTAGGTGTGGGGTAAGTATATACTATAGCCTAACTCTCTACATGAATATTGATATAGTTAGTTATACCAAGAATCGATAAGAATAACTTATTGACATAGACATATGTATGTAAGTGCCTACTAGCTTAATCCACATAAGCATACAACATTGAACGTTGAACGTTAAACGTTGAAGTTGCCAGCGCCCATCTTATATCACTGACCAGTAGATAAACTTGGAAGCATACACATAACCATACCATAATGGACGATGCAATCAATGAACCAATACAACTATCGTTTCCCTTACCACGTTCGTTGGATACAAGGATATATCTCCGTTTGACCATCAAACAAAAGGTCATCATGTTGTTCCTTACCACAGTAGCTGCAGAAGAAGACAACAACGCTGTTCCCATGGGATCTTTCGTCTATGCCTTGCCTGACGTATGTAAACTTATCACCCCTTGATTGCCTCATGTCTAACTAAAGAAAACATCAACTCTTAGAAATACAATCCCAGCCAGCCATTATCTACCACAATATATTCAGTGGAGGCTACGCTGGAGTTCACTACACGCTTAGCTAAAATCCTGGCTAAAAAGACTCAGATGCCTATCTATGTAGGCAACTCCATTAGTTTTGCTAATACGGGCCTTGGTGGGACGGTGGAGGAAGAGATGGAGGCATTCAAGAAGGTCGTCGAAGTCACCCTTGCCAAGCTTCAAGGGGTTATCAAGCCACCCGACTCCTTATCCAATGGAACGAGCAGCTCGTGAAGAAGATGAAGACTAGTCCGACGAACACACTATCAACTCACACGTAGTGATAAAATTTCAGGGTTGCTGGAATTATCAACGTGGCATTAACTCCCATCCATGAGATGAGATGCGCGTTTCCTTCGTGCGTAACAGCATCGGACACACAGGTGTGGGATATCACAAAGTTACACTACCTGAGAGCATCAACGAGACCATAATGAAAGCACTCATCCAGTAACTTCCCATCTAATTTTAGAATATATTTCTCGGCTCCGTACACAGCAGACGTACATGTAGCCCTTGGTCCAATTGGCTCTTTCCTTCAGAGTCTCTGGCGTGTCTAGATAGGTATCATGTATATAACTTACATGTATACCGTCATTCCTCGGCCTCTTCAGTCTCTATAAGACTTGCTACCTACATATTTCTCGTTTATTAACAGGGTGTTGAGTATATCACCCGTGTGGTATCTTAGGAGTCGTGTTTCCACCACCCCCCCTCAGTCGCTCGAGCTTAAGCTTTTCGACGAATGAGAAACGAATCGTAAACCTCATCCAACCATCACATTTTAGTTACTCTAACTAGGCTGGTACCTAAGAAGCGGCTATACCTACCATCTTTGGCGTCGCCATAAGTTCTCAAGCTTAGGAACACTACATAGGTATAGAATAGTACTCAATTTGACAAATAACGCCTCCGAGAGTTTATACAAGCCCTAACACTCCTACTTAAGAATAATGACCGATCTACATCGAATCGGTAGCTCGGACGGTTATCTACATACGTCTTGATCCTTGATCCTCTTAACATAGGTGCAACACAACCTCTGTTGTTTACACTCAAGCTATGCCTAGCAGGCAGTTCCAAGCAAGATGCCGTTTACAGAGGCAACGGATCAAATAATCTCCTGTGCAGATCCCCGAGTTACACAGCATCCGCCAATCGAACCTTCATGGCTCAACGAAGGGAAAACAAACTGATGGCGTCTTGTCATTTGACTACTTACTACCTGGCCACTATTCGTGAATTAAATTAGATTTTCATGGCTGTGAGGTATGTGCCTTTCATGGATCTTTCTATAGACCCTGGCCTCTTGGTCACGCTGTATTTGGCCTACTGTGTAGTACATACCTCCCTCTCAAGGCATTATGTACGTATAGATACATCATAAGGGGTTAGATATAAAGTGATGTCTTACACAAGAAGCCGGCGCCAAAGGTTGCGCCTGTTATCGTATGTGCCTTAGAAGTTGGTGTTCACTCAGCTCTTCAAGGTTGTCGTTGATAGCCTTTTTACGTGAAGTCATTGCCAACGCAAAGGAGAAAAAGGACCGCCTTCACTGACTGTACCCTTTCTCCTGCATCTACACTGTCCTGGAAAGTTGTTTGACTCAGTATCACCCGGATATTGGTTTTCGTTCCACAAGGGCTCGTTATATGTAGCGTGTTAGTCACTGCCATGAACATCATACAAATGTTGGTACCTACCTACATGTATGTAGATATATATACATATTCGTATTCTAGTCCAACCTGACGTCTTACAAACTACGACAGCATAGTATCATCCCATCCACAAAGGCCTGGACAAGTCCCGATGGGACTTTGATGCTTTTTCATCTTTTTCATATGCCATGTGTCAGTGGCTGCTTTTCCCTTCCTTGGAACAACAGACTCGTGTCCTATGACTGTGGGTGACATAAAAGGTCACATGTCTAGATAATAGGTCACAGTCTGGTCAGCCTGATAAACTCGCTTTTAGTTTCCCAATACAATCAATACAACTTCTAACTATATGTATGCTATATGTACATAGGTATGTGAAATATGATGGATCTGCCCGTCAAAGAGAGTTAGGACTGTACTATGTAGTTCAAGACGGTTGAATACAGAAAGTTGTCCTGGTGAGTACTAGACACCGGCTTGGCGCATGGGTAAAAAGGCACGCGTTACGGAGTAACAATATCATACAGTATTATCGCGTATTCAACGTTTCCAAGGTTACAGGGTTCCAAGGTTTCAACCAGCAGCTTTTGAGGCATAGGTGTTCCAAGCTAAAGTGAACCAAGTTCTTATGTTTCGTTATAGCGCCGCTTAAAATGATTGTCGCTAATGAATTCCACTTCTAACCTTCAGATGTCATTAAAACGTTTTGCTAACAAATTAACAATCCGTGCTACCGATAACCACCAACCCTAGGTAGGTAGTAGGTACTGTACCAACTACTACCAAGTTACCAGCGACCTGATATTTATTGCCTTCTTGGGTATAGTTAACTAGCTAAACTCCAAGCTACACAGGTACCTACATCAACTCGCTACATATGTAAGTTTCCAAGGTTAAGTCGGGGGTGGGCCCCTTTCACTATGCGCTACGATAAGATACCTCAAGGCTAGTACTTACTGAATACTGGGGCTATTCACGTTGGGGTTAGGTACCTACATGTACTATGATACGCCTCGCACGCCGTTAAAAACAGCAGCCAAAAAAGTTCCTCAGTGGTGAAAAAAAGTGCCCACGCCCATGATCATAACCATGACCATGACTACCATACCCCACCATTGCACTTTTTTTTTTGGACATTTTTCTCAAAAGAGAAGTCGAAACCCTTCAATCATGGTTGAGTAAGTACCTAACCTAACCTACTAGCCTAAGCCTTAAGGTATTTGTACTGCAAACCAGCAGGAATCTGGGTTGAATCGCAATACGGTCATTTGCCCTTTCTTTCCATATTCATTGCGACAAGTTCAACTCAGCAACAACATTAAAGAATTGAAGGTTGAAAAAAGAGCAGGATTGAGAGAGAAAAGAGGGTTTCTCTTTAATATCATTGATCTTACATACCTAGGTCCAAACTACCTACACAGTAACTTATTATCTAACCTAGTAGCAAGTTACTTGTTATTCTCACCTTGACTTCCTTGTCCTTTTCTTTTTATTTTTTTTTTTTACTTTTTTACTTTTTTATTTTATTTTTTATTCCCCCCAATCTCTTCTTTCATATCATATCATCCATTATCCATATCACCAAGCACCTAGTTCATCACCTTTAGGGACCCCACCATCCCCAAAGCCGATGCTACTGAAAATCAACACTTGAACATCCCTCACCTTCCCTCCCTCTACACCACATATTCCCCCTCCCTCCTTCTTTAGTTCTGAGATATCTCAAAGTGCTTTCGAATTCAACTTCGTACCCTCGAACGCGCATACCTCTTGAACTATCCTCAATTTACTCAGCTGCCAATCATGGCGTGGCAGCCGTCGCCTGAGTCCTTGAGCACCCTCGCTGCTTGTCTCAAGGACTCTCTCAGCGGCTTTGATGTGTCCGCACAGAAACAAGCCGAACTTGTGCGTAATTCCTTCCCCCTTTTCATCATATTGTCTCGACTTGGGCGATTTGCTCTAAGCCTTAGCTCATCCTGCGACGCATAGAGGAAGGCAATATTAGGCTAACACAGGTCCCCTCTTCGTCTAGATGCTCACCCAAGCGAAGTCGTCTCCCGATATCAATAATTACTTGATCTATCTGTTATCGAGCCAGGAGCCTCCGTCTGGTCTGCAATGTTCCGCACAGGATTACTTCCTCGTGCGCTCCGCCGCCGCAATTATGCTGAAGAATAACATCAAAACAAATTCCAAGCCGTTGCCCGAGAGCAGTCTCACTCTAATTAAGATGGGGATCCCTATGTGCTTACAGGACAAGAATGCCCAGATCCGCAACTATGCAGGTAACATCACCACTGAGTTGATCCGTAAAGGTGGTATCATGACCTGGCCCGAGCTACTTCCGGAACTCTTGAAGATGATCGGCAATGAGACCGGCCAATATTCAAACGAAGCGCAAGAGGGTGCCATGGCCGCCATGTCCAAGATTTGTGAGGACAACACTAAAATGCTAGAGCGCGAGGTGCAAGGCCAACGACCACTGAACTTCATTCTCCCCAAATTGATACAGGCGACTAAGAGTCCCCTGCCCAAGGTCCGCGCTCATGCCTTGACCGCCATCAACGTTTTTACTCCCCGGAAGTCCCAGGCCATGCTCAACTCCATCGATGATTTGCTCCAACATTTATTCGGTCTCGCATCGGACTCCCACAACGATGTGCGCAGACAAGTATGTAGGGCATTTGCTCAGCTTGTCGAATCTCGACCGGACAAGATTCAACCCCACCTCCCTGGCCTTGTTGATTATATCATCACACAACAAAAGAGTGATGATGAGGATTTAGCTACTGACGCGGCCGAATTTTGGTTGACTGTTGGCGAACACGAGCATCTCTGGCATTCGTTAAGCCCGTTCATCGACAAGATCATTCCGGTCCTTCTAGAATGCATGGTATACGGTGCTGAGGACATCGCGCTTTTGGGGGGCGCATCTGATGATGAAGATGAGGAAGATGAGGAACAAGATATCAAGCCCCAGTTTGCAAAAAAATCGTCCGCGCGACAGGCCAACGGAGAAGGCCCTGCAGACCCTGCGCAAAACGGAAACGCATATGAGAAGCTAGCGAGTATGGACGATAATCTCGAGGAGGGTGAGATTGAGGACTTTGAAGACGGGGATGATGCGAACCCAGATGAGCGATGGACTCTACGAAAATGCTCAGCCGCGGCACTGGATGTTTTTGCCCGTGACTTCAGGGACCCGGTCTTTCAGTCGATTTTGCCGTATCTCACCAAACACCTAAAGCACGAGGACTGGCCTTACCGAGAGGCTGCGGTGCTTGCGCTGGGTGCCGTGGCCGAAGGTTGCATGAATGTTGTCACACCTCACCTTCCCGAATTGGTCCCGTATTTGATCTCACTCCTGAATGACCCGGAGCCGGTAGTTCGACAAATCACTTGTTGGACATTGGGTCGTTATTCTGCTTGGGCTGCAGATTTAGCCGATCCTCACCTCTTCTTCGAGCCCATGATGGAAGGCATCCTAACTAAAATGCTTGATAGCAACAAGAAGGTTCAGGAAGCTGGTGCATCAGCCTTTGCTAATCTTGAGGAGAAGGCCGGGAAGAGGCTTGAGCCCTACAGCCTCCCGATTATTCAGCAATACGTTCGATGCTTCAAGAAGTACAAGGATAGAAATATGTATATCCTATACGATTGCGTGCAGACGTTGGCCGAGCACATTGGGCCAGTTCTAGCGAGACCCGATCTTGTCAACGAGTTGATGCCAGCCCTCATCGATCGATGGACTAAAGTCTCGGATCAGTCTCGAGAGCTTTTCCCCCTATTAGAATGCCTGTCATATGTCGCGATGGCGTTGAACGATGCATTTACCCCATATGCTCAACCTATATTCGGCCGATGTGTCAACATCATCCATCAAAACTTGGAAGCGTCTCTGGCTTTGGCAAACGATCCTTCCCTTGATGCACCGGATAAAGACTTTCTAGTCACTAGCCTGGACCTTCTCAGCGCTGTCATCCAAGCTCTCGATCCGGCAATGTCTTCCAAGCTCGTCCAAGAGTCCCAGCCTGCATTCTTCGAACTTCTTACTTTTTGTATGGAAGACCCTACAGATGAGGTACGCCAGTCGGCGTATGCACTTCTCGGAGATTGCGCCAAATACGTGTTTGAACAGTTGCAACCTTCGTTGCCTAGTATTTTCGCGGTACTTTTGAAGCAACTGGATTTGGACAGTATATTGGACGAAGATATAGACAGTGGATTCGGCGTGGTGAACAACGCATGCTGGTCCGCAGGGGAGATCGCCATCCGACATATGTCCAACATGGCTCCATACGTTCCCGAGCTCTTCCAGCGATTCATCGAAATTATTACCAACCAAGGTATTCCTAAGGGGGTGACCGAAAACGCTGCTATTGCTTTAGGACGCCTTGGGCTGGGTAACGGCGAACTGCTCGCTCCTCATTTGGCAAGTTTTGCCGAAGAATTTCTCACTTCGATGGACGAGGTTGACCCCTCTGACGAAAAGGCGACTGCATTCAGAGGCTTCACCGCTATTGTTGAAAAGAACCCCATGGCTATGGAGAAATCTCTCTTGCATTTTTTCACTTCCATTGCTCGATACAGAGATCTCAAATTACGCAGTGAAACCAAGAGTGGTCTCCATGAGGATTTCCAGAAGGTCAGTGCGCTCATCTCGATATTTCAACTACAGCAAAATTAGACAGTATTTAACTAACGTGAATCTAGGCTATCGGCATTTATCGCCAAATCATTCCTCAGTTCGACCAATTCCTGAACCAGATGCAACCACAGGATCAACAGACATTAAGGACGACCTACGTCTTTTGAGCAGTTGCTATCGCAACATCAGTCGTTGGACCGAACGCATACACAGACTATCCAGTGAAACATTCCCTCGTATCGTTGAACACTTTCATCGCCGTTTGGTGATATCAACGTTTGGGTTAGGTATTGAATTGACAATTTATGGTCCCGGAAATGACGAGCTTGAAGCAGGTTGGCTATGTCGACAGCATATGATGGATGTAGATCTAGATCTACGTCGAGTTACGTGTTAGCTCATTAGGCTTCCGCTCGAATAACGACCTAATAATGACAGAAAGAGGAGGAAATGGTAAACAGAGTCACGAATGACGAGGCGTATGCAACGTTCAGTAATAGATTCTAATGGACATGGCTTGGCTGGCGATGAGGAAAAAGTCATACACGAAGATGATGTATGGCGTAAATAACTAATCGTCTTCGATGGATGACCCCGGACCTAAACGCCGTCGGGATTTGGTAATATGGGACGGAACTTTCGAACCACGGTCCGTGTATGGAAAGGCATACAGGCCCGGCGTTTTACTACGTTCGAACCACCACCACCACCAATACTAAGTAGATAGCTCGTAGATAGATAGCATAGCAACTTCTCCCCCAACCCTTCGCTTCCCTCTCTCCCTCCCTCCCCAACGCCCCCCTTTCCCACTCCCACCCCCCCTTTTTTTTCTCTTGGCTTTTGCTAGGAGTATTGAAAGCTACAAACGGGCTAGTAATTTAGAAGAAAAAAATGCCATACGATACGATATAAAAGTGTAGATGAAGAAGAATGAAAAGCAAAACAACTAAGTAAAAGCAGCTAAGCAAACGGAACTATGTATGAAATAGTGTATCAATGATGGTGATTGATCGGGTAGAGAGAGGTACATACATAGTCTAGAGTTGTATTTATATACATACGATACCCAGGTAGATACGGATGATGTGTTCCAAGTTGGCGTGACTCGAGTATGATGGCTTTGATATGTATGTACACATCTCTATCTAACTTACCTAGGTAGGTAAACAACTACACTACAGGATGTGATAGCTTCAATGTTTATTTGTATCGGGGTTCAAAGTCCCGTCCGGGTTCACTTTAGTAGGTAGGTAGTTATGATACCTACCCCTAAGTTAATAGACACGTCTAGGTTAGAAAAGTTGATGTTACCAGGTGCCTAGGCACAATATATATCTACAGATACCCACATAGTGAAGATGACTCTATCATGGATGAATAGCACGAACTGTATGTAGCATGTAGGGAAAGGATATCAATATTTTTTTTTCTACTAGCACATATCCTACTCTCACATGTTGCATCAACTTTGTGGTACACGTCCCCTCGGGCGTAAAGTTCCGAGTAAGAAATACACAGAAGGGCTTTGTTTGCCACTACCAACCACCACGTCCTCGATGTTCCCAGCCTCCACGATGGCCCGCGCCGCGATAATTACCCCTTCCGCCTCTCCCGTATTGCTGGTAGCTTCCGCCGCCTTGGTGTGGTGGGTGCTGCGGGGGCGGGGGCGGTGGTGGAGGTGGTTGTGCTGGCCACCCCGCCATTGCCATACTCTGAAGCCAATTCGGTGGCATATTCGGCGGCATATTACCGACGGGGGGCATCGGCGGAGGATGTGGAGGATGGCCTTGGTAGTGAGGAGGAGGCGGCGGCGGCGGCGGTACAATAAATTGATTAAAATCTGGGGGCATCGGAGGGAAGGATTGGGGAAAAGGGGGTACGTTGGGGTGTTGATACGGAGCATTTGGGTGCGGTGGTTGATTCTGAAACATCGGGTGATGGTTCCCGTTTGAACCGGCGAATGGAGGGCCGTCATACGGACGGGGAGGCGGAGGCGGACTCCTACCTCGTGATGGTGAGAGCGAGCGATTATATCGGGGATCTCTCGAGCGCGAACGTGAATTTGAACCACTATATGACCTTCGTTTGTGTCGCTCTCCGCTGTGGTTTCGCCTGCGACTTCGACTTCGACTTCTGCTCTGGCTCGGGCTTCGAGAGCCAGACACTCGCCGTCGCTTAAATGCAGGCTGTGACAAGCTGCGCGAAGTGCTACGAGAACGTGATCTAGAACGTGACAAGCCACGCCCGCGACTGTCATTCCTACGGTCGGTAGCCTTCTTGCGACGCTGCTTCATCTTCTCACAAAAAGCACGAGACCAGCCATAATACGTTTCCCCGTCGATAACTTCTCCCGTAATTTCATCGAGTACAATTCTTTGTCCGAGTTGATCCATATCTTGGGCGGACCGATCGACGTCGCGCTGATCTTTATTGTAGATACGATCTACATCGGCAAGTAGATCTTGAACAGCCTTGACCAGAGTCTTATCCGCCGGTCCCGCAACAAATCGTAGAGGCTTAATCATGTCGGGGTTCATCGGCCTTGTTGAGTTGGGCTCGATGACGGGTAGCCAATTTGCGGCAGGTAGGTCATACCATGACACGGCTACATCGCCATGCATGGCTGGCATGATAAATGGAGCATCTTTTGCAGATTTAGATGCTGTAGCTGTAGCGGCGTCGATTGGCGCATCGGACTTGGGAATGGAATTAGGCGCTTCGTGGATGATAGTCGTAAGTTTTTGAGTGAACGCTTGCGGAAAGAATCCATTTTCGCTCCAGAAGTCTACGAGACCTAGTACTTTCTTGGATTGCTTCGGAGAGTTGGGAAAAGCTGCGGCGGCTCGGACAAGGTCTGGGAGATATGGTTCCAGCTTCTGTGCGAAGCTCGAGTCCCCGATGCGGACGTTAACATGGTAGAGCACATCACTCAGGACATAAAGGATGTGAAGACGCTTCCGTTTCGCGGAGGGTTCGCGGGCTTGTCTACTAGCAGCGACATCCAGGGAAAAGGATTTGGACAATGCTGTCAGGTATTTGCCCAAGGCGACAACCCTAGCAGGAGACTGGACCAGATTCTTTAATATCCACTGCTTGGTTTTCTACGTGGCGACTGTTTAGCCGTCGCACAAGACACCAGTTTTCAAAAGATTGTGTTGCTCAAACCTGAACATTGGGCGAGGAGCATCGCGAGATGGTCGCGTCGAGCAGTTGAAGAAACTCGTCGATCTCGCCGCGCGGACATGACGTTGGATCTGGACGAAGGAGGACGGCGGAGAAGGAAACTCTAGCTATTGCTAGCTGCGGAGATGCCATTTTTATAAAATTGGTAGGAAAAAACGGTCATTAGAAGTGCATGCTCTTTAGTTTGACGGTAGTAAGTATGGTTCAAAGTTGTGAATAAGAAGTTGAATTTGGAGGATTTACTATGTAAAGGTTAGAAGGAATTTAGACGAATTAGAGATATCGGCCAAAAAAACGCGATGTTGCCGACCTCATTGATGATTGGACATGTTTGGCATACATATGTAACTTTGGACCTTGATCAAGGCTTGATGTACAGTGGACCCAATTAATGCAGGGGTCAGTTTTGGTACCTACATGTACATATGTATCTATATATACATATGTACTTACCGAGTATTAAGCGCTCTACAACAGACATCATAGACGTAGGTATTAGTATAGGTAGTTAGTTAACTACATGGAACGAAAAATTAATTGCGCCGAAAACCATTCAATGTTGGCGGTCCTCACGACATATCTCTACATTAGCACCCAGACACATAACACTATGTGGTTTCCTTGGTTTGGGTTAATCAACCTAATCAAGAAATGCCACAAATGTGAGATAGTGGGCTACAAGACCAAAAAGAGAAAATCTATGTCCTCGGTGAGGCTCGAACTCACGACCTTTGGATATCCCAACCTTGGAAGGTTGAGTCATAAGAATATGAGACCAACGCTCTAACCAACTGAGCCACGAAGACTTATCATAGAATTGTGCTTGAATACAACTTAATTTTTTTGTAATTACCCCGCTATATATCTGTAGTGTGTATCATACCACACAGCCCCACGTTAGCTTCTCACGTGATGTTGGTACTTAGTGCTACTTTTACGTACATATTATAATACCTGATGTCGGCATCGTGGCATCGTGAAGAGATGCATTGTACTTGCTGTGGATGTTGATATTAATCTATAGAAATGAAATACTTAACGCACGGATTTATCACGCCATGTGCCTCTATTCGGGCCTAGTAATGTTCTTTCATAGAAATCAATATTGAGAGTGGTGAAATTTTCTGATATATCTAATATCCCGTTTGTATAACAGATACAGGGGATTATTTGTACAATGGAGTGCTCAGTATTTACATAGGTATGTAAAGCGTATAATGATGCCCTAGGTTGTCGATCCCATAAACTGCCAAATCAGCCCATCCATGTAGAGAGCACGATGCTTCATTACGTTTACACAACTGCAATCTCAGGAGCACCGTGGACTCTTGTTTTGCTCCCCGCCCTCGTTGATACATAGGTACTAAATTGTATACACGAAAAGACTTTGCAATGTTCGTCATAAGGTCTTCAAAGGTAATGGCACAAACGGCCTAGACCGTAGACCGCAGACCACTGCTACGAGAATCGATCGCCTTTTGGACTCTTATACGGCGCTGAGCTCTCGTATTTACTCTTTTCGAATACTTGTTGGCCTTCTGTAGCTGGTGCATGTCTTGTTGGAGCTGGATCGTTGCTTGCTTCTTGGCTTGGCGAGCCTGCCGTGTCTGTTCGGGCTGGAGTGCCGTTGCCGTTCGTCGAGCTAGGAACGTTGCTGGGGTGTTCGAGGGAATCGTTCCTCTGCTTCTTTCGGCGGTTATCCTCGAGGCGTGCGGCCCTATCAGCGTTGATGCTCCGCTTGGCAAAATAATAGGCTCCTCCGCCAGCTATATACCGCCAGTGTAAGTATAAGAAATACCGCAAGCGTCGCAAGTTGTCCACGGGTACATACCAAGGCAGAGAGAACCCCAGCCGAGCCTAAGCAATAAAACAAATAATTAGTCGCATGGTCGATTGGACAGCTCTAGAGCTCTCTAGTTTGACATGTTTGACATGTACCTACCAGAATGATCTGATCTGTAAGAAAAAAAAAAAGGTTAGCCTGTTGCGCCACGAGAGATGTTTGTAGGCCCTAGTTGGACACATACTGTATTCATCTTAGGGGTTGGCTATGAATCGCTTGAATTCAAACACCTAGGTTTCTTGTAGTGTAATGAAAAAGGATATGGCTACAAAATAAGGAAAATGGTTGGATCAAGTGGCGTTGGGAAAGCCGATAATTATAAAAAGACTTCAATGCTGTAGTGCTGTAGGTAACCTTGAGCTTTACTTGTAAGTGGCTCAATTTATCGGATCATGATACGATAAATAAGGCATAGATCCCTGCAAGCACTCCCGTCACCTTAGTGTACCTACCCAAATGTAGTCACTTTTTTTTTTAGGGCTGTTTTAGGCTCGTACATACCTACAGTATCTGGTACCAGCAACATTTTGAACCAGGGGTAACCTGCATTTAACTTCATCAGTGGCGTTAAAGTCATTGGCGGCGTAGTTGCCACTACCACTACAGTCTCGGAATTTTGGATTTGCTATGTGCCTAGGGTATTGTACTCACAATTGCAGGGATTAATTACCAACATAAGCAACTTAGAGGGGTACATGTATGTACCTAACTAACCTACCATACTTGGTACTAATTGGATAATTTTGGATTCAACATGAATTTCAGAGTTGAGGATTACGTATATAATGTGGGTACACATCAAATAAGTACATTTGAACTTCTACATATTTCAACCCATTGAATGTATTCAATGCGCCCTAAGATCTGCAAATCTAATTGCACAAGGACATGTAACGTATCTAGTAGTCATCTACTGGACAGCAACTGAACCAAACATACCTACACATAACACTGAACCTTGACTTCTCCCATGTCTAGTCACCGACCGATTAAAACGCTCCTTAATAAATTACCAACCTCGACAAATTCCGTATCATACCTATATGTAAATTACCTGTCAGCCTGTTCACGTACCTTACATACTTCACCTTACCTTTAACTACCTTTGCTTTTGCCTTGGTCTTGGTCTTTGCCCTGCCTATAGACATATGCACCTTGCCTGTCTAACCTTTGCGCTGCATTGCTATAGGTCAGGTTCTACCATAACGATTGGAGAATCGCCATTGACGGTGAAGATTGGCCAGACAAAGAGTCAGAATATGAACACGATCGACAACCGAGACACCCCATTGACACCCACAGCATTCTGTCCAGCATCACCCTTCTTACCCACCCGGACTTGAAGGGTCTAGTCGGCCACGTGCCTATTCGTTCTACGAACCCCCTTTAGATTTGAACCAAGCCCGACCAGGAACCGCCCAACATTTGGCAATCGTTTGCTACTGAATTACATGCTGGAAGGTCCTAGGATATCAACTTGTAGCCAGTGATGTCGTGGGAGCAGGAGAGCTGGCATATTGTAGGCTTGTAGAGACTACGTCCCATCAACATGGATTCCAACGGCCCGGACGGGCTTGATGACTCGTCCTTGGTAAGAACCACTCCATCCTGCTTTAATGGCATATGACACCTGTTATTAGACGCTGACTAGTACAGCAGAAACCGGTCTCGTCTTTGCGGTCTCATTTCGAGAACATGAACAAACAGCCCAAGGAGGGCTCAGCAACCACCCAACCCCCACCTACCACAACACCATCCCCGAAACCACCTCCAGTACCGGACACGAGACCGAGTGGCAGCGTCAATATTCCAGTAGAGAATGGAAGACCCAAACCAAATTTGAATACCTCAGCTCGACATTCTATCCAAATCGCAAACCCACCACCCCTAAGCCCAAGACCTATCAAACCACCTGCCGTCTTGATCGATCCGCCTCAGTCACCACCGAAAGGAAGACCGTTCCCGGCGCCGCAAGGCGATGCACATGCTTATCTTACACTTGACCATTCTAGACCTCATAATGCATCCGCTACTTCTTCGCCGCGACCTCTCAGCATCTCTAGCGGACCAGATACTCCAGTTCTTGAGCCCCGCCGTTCTCCCAGGCTTCCTGGCACTAACCAGCCACCATCACCGCCGCCTCCACGAAGGTCTGCTGAATTAAGAAGAGACCGTGAGACTAGAGCGTCGCCGCCGATCCCGCCGCCCGTGAACCGTGCCGAGAAACCATCCAATCGACTCTCTAGATTAATGGGAAATGCTCCTAAATTGGAACTAGCTCCTCAGGTTGCAGACCGGCGTTCGCCTTTTAGTAGTCCTCCCTCTAGCAGCCCTGAGGATAATGAGCCTCCAGTGCTCCCGAGCCGACCACCACGACCGGTGTCCCAGAAGGTACCACCGAGGACTAATGCATTGTCCATGGGCTTCGAGCCTCCTCCGGCCCGTCACTCAATTGCAGGTATACGCCGAGACAATGAGGTCAACGGATATCCTAAAACGCCTGTCACACCTCTTTCGGTAGACGATCGGCCTGCTCTTCCAGCTCGACCATTAAGCATACAAACCATTACGGATCCTGCACCTTCCCGAATTCCAGCAACCCCAATTGCAAGACCACCCCCTCGGCCACCAAGGGCCGTTGCGACAACCGCTAGTGTGGCAATAGATAATCCCGTGTCTTCTCAATCCAAACGTATATCTTCAACACCGACTACACAATTTGCGCCTTTACCACGGACTCATGGGAGATCTTTGACAGAGGACAAGACTTCCGAAAAGATTTCGAAAGACTTTCCCGATCACATGAAGAGAGGTGGTACAGACCAACGTACCTTTGACAATCCAGTTCATGTTCCCTCCCACCGTCCAGAAATCGTCGCTCAATATCCCGATACAACTAGGATAAACCGCCGTCCCCCCTTTCCAAGACAAGGCGCTCTCGAAATTTCCACCAAGTATGATACGAGAGTATTCGATGTTTGTGGACAGTACGTTTGTACTACGGGCCATCTCACGCGAGTTTGGAGCTTGCTTGATGGCGAACAACTTGTGAGCTTCGCTCATGGAGAAGGTATTAAAGCGACTGCCGTGGCGTTCAAGCCAACCTTGGATATACAGGACGAAGGGATGCGCCTTTGGATTGGCACTAATGTTGGCGAAATTATCGAAGCCGATGTTTCGTCCCAGAGTATTATGAATACTAAATCAAATGCACACAGTCGGTATGAGATTGTCAAAATATACAGGCACTACAACGAGATGTGGACTCTAGATGATGGTGGAACGTTGCACGTTTGGGGACCAGACGAGGAAGGGGTTCCGAACTTGGACGTCAACCCTCATCAGACCTACAGACTCCCCAAAGGACATACTTTCTCCATGATAGTCGGCGATGAGTTATGGCACGCGACGGGCAAGGAGGTCCGTGTCTTCACACCTACCTCTGGTGGTCGAAACCAACTGCAGGTCCTTATGCGACCTTTAATTTCAGAAGGAGCAGGCGAAGTGACGTCCGGAACCACTCTCAAGTCACAGCCTGGTAAGGTCTTCTTTGGCCACAATGACGGAAAAGTTAGCATATATTCTCAAAAAGACTTCACATGTCTCAGTGTGCTCAACGTTAGCTCATACAAAATCAATACCCTGGCTGGGGTGGGAAGCTATATATGGGCTGGCTTCAATACTGGAAGGATTTGCGTATATGACATTACAACCTCGCCTTGGGTCATCAAAAAGGATTGGCAAGCCCACAACAATCCGATCATCAAAATCATTGCAGATCCCGCTGGCTTCTACAAGCTCGGGCGGTCCCAGGTTGTCACGCTTGGGGCAGACAATATGGTGAAGCCGTGGGATGGGTTGCTACAAGACGACTTCTTAGAAAACGAAATGAAGGCTCTCGATACGCACTATTGTAAATTCGAGGATATCAAGCTTTTAGCCATGACATGGAACGCCGGGGCCTCGACTCCCAACAGCCTAAGGTATTCGGATGCGGATGCCGTATTCATGCAGAACCTATTGCAATCAAGCGATTCTCCAGATATTCTGATTTTTGGATTCCAAGAATTAGTAGACCTGGAAGATAAGACTGCTACGGCGAAGCGCTTTTTCAAGCCGAAGAAGAAAGATGCGTCGGATCAAGAAAAAATGAGTCATCAATATCGGGACTGGAGAGACTTCCTCGTTCGATGCCTGGACGATTATATGCCGGCCGACCATCTTTACCATCTTCTCCAGACGGCAACCCTGGTTGGCCTTTTTACTTGTATCTTTGTGAAATCGACGCTCCGCGATCGTATACGGAATCTCAGCAATACCGAAATCAAGCGTGGAATGGGAGGTTTGCATGGAAACAAGGGTGCTATCATTGTACGGTTCATGGTAGACGATACTTCACTTTGTTTTATAAATTGCCATCTCGCTGCCGGACAATCGGGAGCAAACCAACGCCATAATGATATCGCGGCGATCATGGAAAGCTCGCTCCTGCCCGTGGAGCGTGATCCGAGTGTGCGTATCGACAGCTACACGGGGGGTGGTGACGGTACCATGGTGCTCGATCACGAGCTGTGTCTGGTAAACGGAGATCTAAATTACCGTATTGATACCATGTCACGGGATACGGTTGTGATCGCGGTGAAGCAGAACAATCTTGCCAAACTCCTGGAGCGTGACCAGCTCCTGGTTGCCCGTCGGCGAAACCCAGCATTCAAGCTTCGGGCTTTTGACGAGATGCCGATTGAGTTTGCACCTACGTACAAGTACGACGTAGGAACGGATAATTACGATACTAGTGAGAAGAAGCGGTCTCCGGCCTGGTGCGATCGCCTCCTTCACCGAGGTTTTGGCAGAATTCAGCAACTTGACTACAAGCGGCACGAGGTGCGGGTGTCGGACCACCGACCCGTGAGCGGCCAATTCAAGTATACTGTAAAGTCTATCTCGCCTAAGAAACGGACATTAGCTTGGGCAGACTGCCAGCAACGTTTCGAAGACCTCAGGGCGAAGGAGGCAAACGCGGAGATGTGAGTGCAGCGTTCTTGTAGTATTTCTAACATGGATTACTCCAAACAGACACTGACTATGAAATTATAGGCTATACTATCTCACGAAGATCATCGGGTATGACCCGCAGACAAGTACGAGGCTAATACAAGAAAGAGCTGGGTAGGATGGGGATGGTTAAGCGGAAGCGGAATAGATGTTGAAATAGATATGTGCATAGAAATGCGCAAAGCTCCAGCATTCAAAAGGGCCAGAGAGCAAAGAGCATAAGACCGTCGAAAAGAGATAGAAGGCGGTGTAATTATGATGGTTCTAGGTACGACAACATTACGAGTTCTAACCTAGGAGCTGGTTAGAAGTTGGGCTCGTCATGAAGAGCCAGGGAAGAGCCAGGGAAGAAAGAGCCAGAAAGAGCCAGAAAGAGCCAGAAAGGGTCTTGTTCAAGTCTAAGAAAGGACGACGATAGAGCATTGTCGTAGGGAATCCAAATAAGAAAAACATGAGTAATGAATGAGTAGGGAAGTTGTAGAATTGTGAAGTGTACTCGATGTATTCAAGTACATGTAAGTAAATACTTCGTAAAGAGGGTACATGTAGGTAAATATCTGGGTAGATGCATACCTTGGTATTGGCGAATGTATTGGCGAATGAGGAATTATGAAATAAAGTTCCGTCATCGGATCTCGGGTTGATTGGTTGTATGCATACCGGTGCATGTAAAGAACTGACCTCCAGGGCAGCAGGGCTTACTTGGTAATAAAGTTGGTATTTAAACCGTATTTTCCTCTTACCTAAGTTACCTTCACTACCTCCTTTCCTCTTTCATGAAGCGGGCTGGCGGTACCTATAATACCTAGGTTAGGGTAGTTTGGAAAGGAAGGGGTAATGATTTCCTAATCATAATTATCTAGCTCGAGTCTTCATGTGGAGCATTTCCCTCCTTTGCCTTCTTTGCTCTAGTAAACTGACAAGTAACAGCTACGTACTAGGTACTATATCACTGTTACTATGTCGTATAAGTCTTTTCTATTTCCATTTTCATACTTTGACGTTACCGGTTACTAGGATCGGGGGCCGATACTAGCTAGCTCTTGCCCTTTTTTTTTTTTTTTTTTTTTTCTTACTTGTTAGTTTTGTTGAAGAAAGGTATTGTATATGTATACCCAGGTATATAAACTTGAGACGAAACCCTTATTTCAGAGGAAGTCTTCTAAATTGTATTCTATTCTATTGTGTTGTGTTGTGTTGTGTTGTGTTGTATTCAAGTTATCTACATTGTATTGAAGTGACATAATACACACCTACAGCTAAGTAGTGACTCGACTAACACACCTTTCTCGACAAAGCGTTGGTCACGAAACTACATATTTCATAGTATCTTACTTCGGCGCGGATTATACCCAAAGCCATCCAAAAAAAACTCATCAAGAGCACAGGACTTATATAAATCGAGCGAACGCCGTTGCCATTATTCTTCTTGGGGCAGAATATAGAAACGGCGATAATACCAAACTATCGCTAGTGAGGAAAAAGCCTTCCCCTTTCTACTTTGTGGGTACATAAGTGGCAAAAAGAATCAAGAAAAAAACCCCCCGACGATGGGAAGCTTTACAGCTGTTGTGAACGGCAATGCCGAATCCACCTACCCTGAATCGAGGGTGCTCATAATCATCACCGGAGGCACCATTTGCATGCAACCGTCGGCAGGCGGTCTGGTGCCTGTTGATGGATTTATCGACAGCGCAATGGCCCCCAGGCCGTCATTCAATGACATGACAGAGAGAAGTACGTGTGACTTCCCATTATGATATGAAATTTCAAGTAGCGTATTGGAGATACAAGACGGGATAGGAGAGACATATATAATATAGGGGGGCATGGCTAATTCGACGCAGTTCCGTTAAGCGCCGTCAAGGATGGTAAGAATATCACGATAGATAGCTTGCGCACGCCTCCAAGCTCATACTCGAGGCATATCCGATATGGTGCTCTCGAATTCTCGCCGCTACTTGACTCTTCCAGTATTAGTAGTTTCGGCTGGACGCAGATCGCGACTACTATCCGGGCAAATTACCACCTCTTTGACGGCTTTGTCGTGCTTCATGGAACCGATTCTCTAGCGTATTCAGCCTCGGCCTTGTCTTTCATGATGGTAAGTACCTTTCCATCCACGACTCCGTATAATTACCTATGCAAATCAGAGAGTACTGATATTGCTTTAGGAAGATCTAGGCAAGCCCGTTATTCTCACAGGCTCGCAAGCGTCCATCTTCGCGCTGCAGTCAGACGCCGTGGACAACTTACTTGGCTCTCTCATCATCGCCGGCACATTCTTGATCCCGGAAGTGTGCCTTTTCTTTCACCACACACTATTCCGCGGAAACCGCACCACCAAGATCTCCGCCTCGTCCTTCGAGGCCTTCGCCAGCCCCAACTGCGACCCCCTGGCCAAAGTCACTAGTCTTGGCGTCGACGTCAACTGGGCCCTCGTTAGACGGCCCACCAAGATCGCTCAGTTCCAGATCTTCTCGTACCTCGACACGGCCCACGTCGCCTGTGTCCGCATCTTCCCCGGAATCAAGCCGGAGATGGTCGACTACGTCCTCCGGGTCCCGGACCTGCGCGGGCTGATCCTTGAGACGTTCGGCATGGGCAACGCGCCGGCGGGCGTAGACGGCAGCCTGACCAAGGTCATCGCGTCGGCCGTCGAGCGCGGCATCGTTGTCGTCAACATCAGCCAGTGCACCAATGGCTTCGTCTCGCCTCTCTACGCCCCCGGGTTCGCCCTCGGCCGCGCCGGCGTCGTCTTCGGCCACGACCTCACCTCCGAAGCCGCACTCACCAAGCTCTCCTACCTCCTCGCGCTCCCCGGCATCTCCTCCGCCAAAGACATCGCCGAACGCATGGGCCGCTCGCTCCGCGGCGAGCTAACCGAGCTCGTCCGCCCCTCCTTCTCGCACCCCACCGAGAAGAGCCTCGACACAGCAATGGCCGGGTCCAGCCTGACCACCGCCGAAACCGCCTTCGCAGCACTAGGCTACGCGATCGCGGCCGGCAACGCCAAGGCCGCGGCCGAGATCCTCGACGCCGACGGCGAGGACGTCCTGCAGCGCGCAGACTACATGGGCAACACCGCCGTGCACCTCGCCTCCGTGGGGCCCGAGCCCGCCATCCTCAAGGACCTCCTCGTCCGCGGCGCCAGTGTCCACGCAAGGAACCGGGCTAACAACACCCCGCTGTTCCTCGCTGAGCGCACGGCCAACGCGGAGTGCGTCCGCTTGCTGCGCGAGGCGGGCGCGAGGCTGTGGGTTGAGCAGGGGACGGGGGTTAGTACTTAGGTACGGGTGTGGACTGGGCGTTTTATGTATGTGTGAAAGAGAAGAAGAAGGGGGGGGGAGGGGGGCTTTACAAGTATCCTCTAGAGAAAGCGTTTGGCAGATGTGGATAAAGGGGGGTACAATACCTAGATAAGTTGTTTCCGGCAAAGAATATTAAGCAGATGGAAGCGTTCATCTATATATAGTGTTGGAAGCTAAAAGCTAGTAGGGTTGGTTATAGGCGCTCGGCGTTGTTGAGTTTGATAAATAGACTGACTAGGTATTGTACCTACCTAAGCTACGCAGGTTAGAGGTAGATATTTAGCGTTAGGCAGTTAGATTATCTACCTATTATTTATTCAAGATCGTGATGAGGGTTACGTTCGTGATTTAGTAAGAATTTTTTACTGCAGTTGTAACTATGTATGTCTTGCAGGCTTTCAAAACGAACGGGCTTACCTAAGAAATAACACTGGAGGTCACAGAGGATATCTATTACCACTAAAGGGAGATTTCATTCATTTATTTATATTCGTAAATATTACAGGTACATAAATAAAACGACTGAGACGCGAGTTATCGTGGGAGTTACGTTACGTGTTATAATTTCCGAACCCTTTTCCAGTCCAACTTAACATCACAAATGGACTTGCTGAAGCTTATCCGAGACCCCTCCGTCGTTGGTCCCAGGTAGGTCTGGGATATCCTGTTGAAGTATCTAGTTAGCCACCAGCGTTCTGTTCCAGATACTGATTCACGTAGGTATAGGGGGTATGTTTTTATAATGAAAAAAAAATGGATAGCTCTTACCTGCCATGCTGCCGGATCTCCAGCGCCACGAACCCAGCGCGGCTCCCCCCTTGACTCGACAGAATCGATCACCAGATGGCTGACCTTGGTCCACAGGTCGCCCTTGATCTTGATCCAGTCTCGGTTTTCGTAATCCTTGCTCAATTTCTGGCCTAAGCGTACGGCGCGGAAAAGCTTGATGGCATGGCCATCATCTTCTAAAATGTGCATGCGGTGCAATTGTACTATAGGTAGAGAGTTAGCATTCTTAGCTTGATAGGTACGGGGGTATTTTTCTTACCATCTTCCGAGTCCGATTTCTCATCCTTCGGGATGTACGAGGCAATGTTGTCGAGCGAGAGTGGGGGGCAGGCTCTTGCGGCATACTGGACAAGATCCATTCGTATCTTCCATTCAAGAAGTCGTACTTTACTTTCGATGGGAATCCAGTCCTGGCTACTGATGACTAAGAAAATAGGACAGACATTTATATGGTGCCTTTCCCGTGTGAGCGAATACCGAAGAGTGTATAGATAAATAAGGTGGCTTACATGAGGAAGAAGTCAAACTTGGGTTGCTTTCCGGGATGGAATGCCGCAAGAGCACCTTCATAGATCGCAGTGTGATACATCTCCGCCGTCCTCTCCTCCAACTCCTCTGGCTTGACCTTCACGCGGCTCGTTACCTCAACCATCTCGTCCCATGCTCTAGCCAAGACCCCGTCGCGAATCTTGTTACCGTCTGTCACCCTCGCAGAGTGAGCGAGCTTCTCATTCGACCTGACTTCCTCTAGGAGACTCGCAATGCTAGGCATTGGCGCTAAGGTTGACTTGGAGGCTTGCTCGGTGGTGAGTAAAAACTTTTTAAAGTTGTCTTGATGGACAGCAGCCTGTGCTAGACCCATGGCGACCATGGCGGGCTGCTTCCACTCGATACCATACATGAGCTGAATTATGGGATGAAGAAACCCTTGTAGAGGAGTCAATAATGGCTAAGATCATATTACTATCAGGCTGAAAACGTACCGGCAAGCATTCGAATCAGCATATCCTCGCTTGTGTCATCACCCTTGAATAGGTATTCTTTCAACACCTTTTCCCAGCCAAACTTGTCGATCTCCCCTTGAAAGAAGGCGAGAAAGTCGGGATAATATCTTTGGCAAATGAGTTAGTGACGTCGATCGAAAGGTATACCCGAAGACGAGTTCAAGTATCCAACCACCATTTTCAAATTCAAGTCCATATTCCTAATAGTAGTGTTTGCCCCCCAGATCAACTTACTGTTCTTTGCCGAGACGACTCTTGGCTTTCTCCCAGTCATTGAGTTCCTCGATGACTTTCTCATGCTTTTTCATAGCTGGTTTCTGGTACGACGAATTCTCTGCATAACCCCTCCTCAAGGTCTCAGCCGAAGCACCTGTGCCGTATAGAGATAGTATGTGATGACTTATACTGTGTAATAGATTAACACCTAAGCTCAATGCCATAATAGAGTCTGTAATAAGAATTACTGGTTATGGAATCCATCATCGTTGAAGAAAACATGATGTGTCTGATTATATATAAGTAGTTAGCAATTCCGTCGTCACTCGGCAATTGACAACCAGAAACTCGGTATCTATAGCCCTACCTCGAGGTCTTCCTGTAATATTTCAGTGGCCTGCTTCGCGGCGGGCTCATTCTGTTGAATTTCCCAGAGCCCGGTATTCTCGGGAGTGATATGTATGGTACGTGATGTCGCCATACTTGCTAGATTCCTGCGTATTGAGATCTCATTTACTCTTAGACTTCGTTTTACAGCAACACGAAGAGACACGCCGATGATATTCATGGGTGGATGACTTATATGCCATATGCATACTTATCTACTATAGAGGCACGTGTGGAGTTATATACTTGGTTTTGGAGACTATACCGAGCCCCTCGCCGAGCACGACTCGGCCTCCGAATTTGGTGACGAAGCTTACAAATAAAGAAGCACTATAGGTAGATAGGCAGGCAATTCTTAAAAAGGGGGGTGTGGGGAAGAAGCATCAAATGCTAATGACGGCGTCGCGACGGGCTTGGCTTTATAATCTACCTATGATGTTTCCGAACTGGCGGTACGGTCAATGGGCTTGGCCTGGATCTGGACTATGATCAGCCGTTGTGCCATCCCAAGAGTTTTGGTGGGTGTCTACATCCAATGGATGTTGTAGTAAGAAAGAAGAAGGAAGATACACATCTTTGGTTTCTATGCAAAGTAGTAGAAAGTACCATGTACGAAGTACAGACTAGGTACAACCTACTACCTACGTACAAGGTCATGGTACGAGTAATGAGCGAGCATGACATCATAACCCCCTCGGCCTTGTGCAACATTATAATTGGAGAATCGTTAATCTATGCATACAATATTCATAAAAGCAGCATAAACTGTCGATAGGACATTAGGTAAGCATCACCCCCCTTTTCGCTTTTGAAGCGACGACAATATTCAATATTGTAAATACTAGGTATGCTTCACACCCACATGTTATTTGGAATCAGAAAGTTATACCATAGAATAAATTTTGACTGTATGTGTGTCTTTGTGGACCAGTTCATTGTCTTTATAGTTCAATTGTCTGAATGAACTTCGATATGTACTCTTATATGATAGAAATTTTGGTGGTTGCACTTAGAATATATGACACAGTGCTGAGGGTCCCTTGAGTTTTCATCTGCTCAGGAATACATCTCCATCATGATATGCATACTGGGTACTTAGGTAGGTACTTGACAGAGTGACTCTTAGCACTACACAAAATCCCACCTCATAAATAGTATTATTATGACCATGTAGACAGAGCCTCTCCTATCATGCCCCCCTGACGTGGACATAAGAAGGGGTGTCATGAGAACAGCGGCTCCCATCAGATCCCTCGTAACATATATGTCAACACCTAGAAATCGAACCTTCGCTCGGATGACTCTACATAGATCCTGAGGTAGCTACTCTTGAATACCACTTCCTCCCCACCGCGTACATAAGTACCTAGATAGTTACCCAGCTAAAGAGCAGAAACCAACACTGTCCTCTTCCAAGGAGAAAGATAAAACCGACTATCCAGTGTAGCTACGCAGTTGCGTTACGAGTGTTATCGAACGATAGCGTCCTATCCCGTGACAGCTTCCAACGCATGCCAACAATCACATCATGCTGGCAAACAAAGCCCACAATATTAACTATCGCCCGTGAACCTGCTTCACACACGCGATTAGAAAGAGAACACAACGCGAACCTCATTGTCGCCTTTTTCCCTTATTTCCAAACCGAAAACTCCACATCCCTGACCCTCCCCTCAACCGTATCTGCTCCTTCCCTCCCAAAAGTCGAATCGTATTCTTGTCCCCCACCCTCTTTTTCGACTTCTCGTTTCAACACGACCAAACAGCCCGATACCCAAATAAAACAGCCCCTCCTCCAATCTTCTCCTCCTTCTTCTTCTAGTCTCAGTAATGTGCCATCAATACTGGTACATCTCAAAGTGTTTAGCTCAATACCATCAACCCGCAACATATCGTGGCAAGAAGCGCAACAGATACTGTCGCGAAGCACTCAACGCCCGCCGCTTCGGACACTGCGAAGCCGGAATCCAGATCGTTAGATTGCCTGACTATACCGCCGCCTTCCGGTGCCATTACTGCAGGCAGAACGCGGGAGGACTTGGAGGCGCATCTTCGAACCCAAACCCACCTACACCACCCAACGACAAAATCGGCAAGGAAAAGGCCCACGCCCACAGCAGTCTCCCTTCCACCCCGCCCCAATCCTTCATCATCATGCTGCTTCGCTCAGCCAAGGCCAAGGCCAATGCCGACGCCGATGCCAAATGCAAAGGCAAGGCCGAGGAAATAGACATGGACATGGACATGGACATTGACCTCCCCAGCAGTCCTGACAACCGCATCAGCAACACTACAAAAACCACAATCAAAACCAAAACCAAGGCCAAAGGCACCACCACCACCAAGCGCAAGCGCGCCAAAACCCCCGACCTCTTCGACTTCGTCTTCGCCAACCCTCTCGCCGCGCTAGAGAAGGAGTGGCTTGAATCCCAAGCCACCAATGCCAACAACAACAACAATACTACTGGCACGCAGGAGGCCGACTCAGACCCAGACAATGGAATCTTCGTAGTCCGCAGCCCCGCAAAGCGAGACTCGCCCGCAACAACAACAACAACAAAAACGGCGCGGGGCAAACGCCCACACCGGCTGAACAGTCGGTCCAAGTCTTCCAAGCCCGACCCCGTCCCCATGTCGGAGCGCTACCCCTACGGATTCCCGGGAACACGAGAAGCGGTTGCTAAAGCCGTATTTGGCGACGCCTCGGTGCGATTGCCGGATTTCGAGAAGCAGCAGAAGAAGGAAGAGGAGGAGGAGTAGGAGAAACAGGGACAGTAAACAAAAACGAAATGAGTAATTCTGCACAACGGTGTTTATTTCTCGCTTATTCTGCCTCCCTGTATAATGTATATAAAGATCCAAAAAGAGAGACAAGAAAAAGCGGGGATAGGCTGTTTGCAACCACCGACTATGATAAATGCGTAACCATGGTAGGGAGACACAAAATTAATCGTTGTTATTAAAGGCAGTCGTGTGTGCTCTGCCTATTGATGAAAGTCATGATACTTACAAGTTCAACGTGTGAGTTGTGACGGGTACCTACATCTAAGCACTGCATTACGTAGTTGAAGGGATTGAGCCTACTACAATAGGAGGAAGTTGTAGCTAAGAGCAGGGTATATATGTATCATACCACGGTCTCAAGTTAGTTCTACGTAGGTCTTGTAGTAGGACGTGTAGGTGGACATTCTCATAATTCGCATCACTTGGCTCGCAGTAGGAGAATAGAGGTTCGGAGAAGTACGCAAAGTAGGCTCGATTCCTCGATCCTGGAGTCCTTCAGCATCTAGTTCCATGAGTTATGTGTAAGAGAGGTTGATGACCAGTTTTGCAACTGCTGTTGTACTTAATGGGGGATGCCTAACTCGCCTCTAAGACCTATCAGCTTCTCAGGCCACGTTTCTCGCATGTACGCCTCCCGCAATGACTCGTCCTGTTAACGATACTGCACCAAGACGTTTTTGTTGGCCTTCGGCCCCTAAATTCATTGCCCATTTCCTTGATTGTAGCGCGTTTTTCTCCCACAATTCCAGAGGTATGGGTAAAACCGCCATAGGAAGCCAATGACTACTTAATACAAAAGGTATATCCGGGGCGTCGACTTTCCGTCATTGCTGGGATCATCAACATGCTCATTGCTGCATGGGCCGAAGCCCAAGAAACCCCGTGGCAATTGGGGAGGTACCATACCCTTATCATGGACCACAAATGTATCCTTTTACTTGAGGAACATCTCCCCCCCGTTTCGCGGTGCTCTTGTGCGGTCCAGATGATCTAGCCCAAGTAGGACATCGTCTTCTATGGTGCCCCCCTCATCAAAAAGTACGTCCTCTGCTTCAATATTAGCGAATCGTGTCTCACAGGTCTTGCGACGACATTCATACCGTCATTAATATAGTTTGGTTTCTGATAACGTCGTATAATAGCGAACTTGATCTTCTCGAAAGCCTTCCCTTTGATGCCCGTTCGCTTCTCCAGTCGTTTCTTCGTCTCGGAGAATGCCTCGCCCTAAATCGAATCAGTATTGCTCTTCATGTAGGGGGTAGCATACGTACCTCCTTAAGAAGGAATTTGAATGGAACTCCATGGACGCGGCTAGGGTCGTTCTGAAAATGAATAACCTTGATGAAGTCTCTTTCTTCTGCGTCTATTTCTTCCTCTGGAATCCTTTCGGCAATCACATCTGCGTAGTCATTGATACTGATTACGGGGTAGTTGGGAGGGAGTTCTCGGAAAAACTTGTGGTGGTGAATCTCATAAACTCTGATACGACCGTCTTCCCGTTCGTCGTTGATTTGGGCCTTCTTTGCAAAAGCTTGAACAAGGTCCTCAATATGCCCTTGCTTGTTCACCAAGACATCAAATGTTTCCTGTAAAATTCTGGTGAGAAATATTCCGAAAATGCTGCTAGACAGAACTTACGGCTTTCGTGATCCCTTCACTCAACCAGGTCACCTTGACATTCTTCTTAGTATCGAGCTCTGCGAGGCTCATGTCCAATACTTCGAAGAAAAGCGAGTTAGGCTTTGTCTGCATGCTCTGCTGTTGGGTGTAGTTGTAGCCACTCGGATTGAGTATGACGCCTAAAGTTTGGCTGACTGCCCTTCTCACGGCTGCTTTGGGACTTCCCGTCGAGGCATTGGCTGTGAAGAATCGGATATGGGTGGGATCTATTCCTAATTGCTCGCCCACTCGTTCGGAAAGTTGATCATAGGTGATCTTGGTGCTGAGAGTAAGAATGAAGCTCTGATAATTCGCCTTCTCGCATCGTGGATGAGGATCGAAGCGAACTTCTCTTTTGTTGCATAGAAAGTCGTAGAAGCCCTTAGCATCTTCATATCGGTCCCATCGCTTGGAGATTTCCTCAGAGCTCTTATCTCCAAGGCGAGGAATCTTCCCAAGAATTTCACCCGACTTACGATCAGTGATCTTTTGGAAACATACAATATCGCCATCTTGAAGCTCAGCAGCTTTTAAGGATTGCTTTGCCTTGAGGCTATCGATCATGGATGGCTTGATCTCCTCCCACATGGCTAATTGCTCTCCCGCCGCAAGTTTGTCGCCCCACCCCATCTTCTTTGCGATTATGGGTACAAGTTCTTCGACCTTTTTCTCTTTGCTGACGTATATGTGACCAACACCTTCAAGTGTTTGCCTCTCTGCATCGAAATGTTTCAGGAATAGGAGGATCAAGTCATTCTTGACAATGACGCCATTAGCATTGCCTTGGTAGGTGGGCCAAATAGCCTCGCCTTCGGCATCGACTTCTTCCGCAACCTCTGCCCATACTCGAAGTGCGTAGTCTCGTGTAGTGGTAGCCATCCGTTGGTAAGTCTCATCTATTGTTGGCCTCGGGTCCATGATCGGCTGATCGGGTCGGGTCGTCTTGTTTTGGCGGTTGACCATAATCCATAAGCGTATTTTTCTAGGATCCTCGCCAAGATCTTGACCAATCTGTGCCGTCAGTTCCTCAATAGTGGTTTGCTTTTTTGTGCGGTAGAACTTGGGGGCTGCAGGGTCGTCTGCGGGATTAGCGTCAAAATTTGTGAGATCAGTGCCTCCGTGGTGCTTGAATGTCTCCTCCGTAATTACTTTGACGGGAAGATAAAGATGCTGTTCTTCACGTTCCCTCTTCTTCGCCTCGCGAGCCGCCGCCTCCTCATCCAATCGCTTTTCTACACGAAACAATTAGTACAACTTATGGTTCAAAAGAATCAATGGACACATACGCAGGTGAGATGGGCAATCTTCTTTCTTGACTGGCGTTAGGACCTGGTCTAGACGAGATTCCCGAATATACACCAACATGTACGCACTCATTTGTCGCATGATCGGTGTCTTCTTCTGAAGGCCTGCACGAGACTGCACGAGCGAAGCCGGGTATTCGCCCCCATAGTTATCCTCAAGCGTCTCCCTCATGGTCGCCTTTGTGACTTTGTCGTCATCGAACTTGTAGAACCAACCATCCTTATTGGGCTTCAGATATGCGTAGTAATGGCCCGCATTCAAGTCTCCGCTATGCACAAGAACGCCATGCAGTTTGTATATCCATGGCTCAGACTTATCGGCATCTTGGTCTAGGTAAGGCGACACATCAAGAAACTCGGGGAATTCGAAGCGATCATTGATCTTCATCATAGTATCGCGTTGAATGTCGTACTCAAATCTCTTCAGATGCAAATGTAGGACTTCTGGGAAGCTCTTGAAGATTACACCCTTGCGAGCATCCTGGTACTTGAACTCCTCACCTGCCCAATACTTGTTGTCGCCGTCGAGCGTCTCCTGCTGGATGTAGTCTTTGAAGCTCTCCTCAAGATTCGGAATCCCTCTAACATTGAGTTGAATATCCCAGAAATCTTCAATTCGGCTAGACTCATACTCAACGTCGATGCAAGATACATACGTCTTTATCTTGCCGCTAAGCATACGAGGAAGGGCGTCTTCAGCAGCGGTACCCTTCATTCTCTCTTCCATGCGCTCAATGAGTTTTCGTGACAGTTCCTGCACATCTTGCTGCTCAAAAATATGCCGTGTATCCCAGCCAAAAGACTTCGTGAGCTCGTTAGTGCCCACGGCCGAGTTTGATATCTGAAGCTGATAAAACAACCTCTGGAGTGTGTAGGCACTGTTGGTTATGCTCTCGTCTTCTGCCGTGGGGATTTCGTAAACGGCCTATGATTTGTCAGCTCAGTTTCTCTTGTAGGGCTCTTATATGCGAATTGGTCCTTTATAGAGGGGTATAATATAGTCTAACCTTTCGAAAAGCATTGGTGAAATATAAGGACTGGAGTAAGGAGTTGAGGTAACAGGTAGCACCCTGGTTCTTGAGACCAACATAACCAGTTTCTTTCTTGGAGTCGTAGTTATTAAAGTTGTGCCATAGCACACCGGTCTCATCTTCGACTACTCTTACGTATGCGGTGATGTTGACAGCGTCATTTTCAACAAGGGGCCTACCCGAGTTGTCCCATGGCTGCTGAAACATCTTCCTAAGTTCGAGGAATCGCGTGAAGCCCCAATCGCTTTCTTCTTTCGTAAAACGATGATGTGCAGTATGGTGGCAGAATAGAGCAGGATCGTTAATATTCCACATTACCAGTCCGAACTGTACGCAACAGCTCCAATCATCGGGTATGCTGCTTGAATCCTGGAAGCCATGCTCGAGGTATATTGATGACTGGTCGACATTATTGCCAAATGGGAAGAGAAGAATTCGCCTGTATAGTTAGGTTAGTAGGCCCCTTCAAAAATACAAGATTGGGTGTATGTGTGTGCTTGCCATGGAAATCCACCAGCTTCGAATATTGGACCGTGTTCCTTTTTGGAGAGGGCCCTCCAGTTTTCCACTGTCCAGGTATTGACGGCATCTTCCAAAGTCTTAGGTTCATCTAGGAGGGGTGGTAGAACGGTTTCTTTCATAGCATCAACTAGATTGAAACAATATTGTCAGCAAATGTCTTGACCGGAAGTATCTCATGCACGTCATTCGAGGTCGCACGCACAATCGTTGGCCAAAATGGCATTCTCGGGATTATCAGCATCATTATCTAGTTGGTCTGGGTTGATTTCCGCGATCTGGTCTTTCTCGCTCGGGGCCGACTGAATGACCATCTCATCCTGTGTGTCCACCATCATGTCGTTGGGTGAGTGGATTTCGGAATCGTAGCTCTAGTGTGCGAGAAGAGGACGAGGATTAGCAAAGTTCTGCTGAAGGCGAAGGCGAAGGCAATAAGAAGAGGTAAAGTTCAAAAAGAAAATTAGGTGGAATCAATGTTTACAGTAGTAGAATTAGGTTGGATTGTGAAGTTCTGTCGAACAGATAGGTAGGTTTGATAGGTAGGTAGAGAAACAGTTGAACAAGGTAAACGTAGACAGCGCACGAATCAGGAAGGATTGATTCAATAAAGAGCGACCATCGCGTGGCGTTTCTTTGGCTTTAGGCACTTCAGTGCAAGCAGCGAAAGAGCAGATCATGAAACAGATAGACTTACCATGATTGCCAGGCAAGGAAGTATAGTAGCAACTATGTCGAATTGTCTGGGTTGCCGACTGGCAGGTTCGCGGTGCCGTACGTTCCTCCCCAACGGCAGCGATCAGAAAAAAAATTATGTAGTCAAGATCCAGCTGCACTCGGCGGGGTTATAAATGGTGGATGGAGAAGGCAAAGGTGGAGGGAGATGATAGTTACAGCTCAGCAGTTGAGTTAAGTAAAAGGGTGTTCAAAGCTATCAATAGCTTAAGAGGATGACGTTTGTGAGAAAATGCGACTAGGCGCAGTTTTTGAGAATGATAGAGGTGGATAGGCAGAAAGAAGAAAAATAGAGGGTGAGTGAAGCTTCAGGAATTGCTTCATTGAATGACAAGGTCGAAAGGCGCTAGGTGGTGTAGAAAGTGGGCTGTGACACAGTCGGATCCATACGTGTACATGTAGTCTTCTCTCAGTGCGGTAGTCTCGTATGTACCTGCTTAGGATAACATTTGATTGTAGGTAGTAGTACTACTATTGTATGTAGGGTAGAAGGCAGAACAGACATACATATGGTGCAGTGGGGAGGAGGGCGGGTCTCTACCGCTACTACTACTAGTAACATCAATGACTGAACATTGAAGGTCTGGTACATTATACCGTACATACATATTGCATACATGTAGTAGTGTAATACGGTTTACCAAATATCTGCTACCTACTAGGTACTAGGTTAGTGGATTGTACAATACTTGAAGTCAACTGTAACAACGGATCATTTGAAACTTAACGCTTAAAGGGATGCCCGCCAGTGGAATCCAAGATCTTTCAAGCTCAAATGTTCTTTCCACACTGAACATTAAATCCACAGGACCTACCTAACCTAGTACATATGTACATATCGATACCTTAGTGCCCATTCATGCTAGGCATACATCCACCAATAACAAGTACAACGCAAATATATGCTACATATAATATAATCTGTCAACACTAATGATTGAAGATAGTCAAACGTACATTACCTAGTATGTACTTATTAAGAAGCCTTCTTCCCCTCTGGTTATTTTGTTTGTTATATCAGTACTAATTGATTGAAACCTTGATGTGTGTGTCCAACATGAGCACTACCTAGTAGACTATCTACATAATACGTCCTAGTTATCTGTTAGGTACCAGAAAAAATATGTGGTGATTAAAATAAGCCCCGCCCCCCCAATTGGGGATGACGTTGCTGCTTACACAATTTAGCCCAAAACATCAACTTGAATTTGTGTGCTTGAAGTTCTTCACCAGGTAATGTAGTACATAGGTACTGTGGCTTTTTTGTAAGACAACTTGAACTTCAATGTTGATACTAGGCACCGTTAAGTCTTATGTTTTAACTTAGAAGTACATATGCATATGATAGTAGGTAGTTAGTTGCAAAACCCTTCTGCTTCATTGATTCAAGTTCTTTTTCATTAGATTCCAAACACGTGCAGAAAGAAAGAAAAGAAGATTAATTAATGGTTATTAGTATCAACCTAGTGCAGCTTAGCTTAGTGTACTGAGCCCAGGAAAGGTTCAAATGTTGTTAATTGTTGTTAATTAGTTATTACGGAATACGTAATAAAAAGAATTCAAGGTCGCGAATCTAACAATGACCGTATTGGGGAAATGTGGGGTATACGGTAAAGCCCAACCTTAGTAAATAACTTGAAGAGTCACAGACCACCGTCACAAACTACAGTGTCATTGTTACAGTCACAATTGAATTGTAACCGTTCTAGCGAAACCGGAATATTTGAGCTCCTCATGACAATCTGCGGAAGCGAGTTCTAACTCAATCCCGATTCTCACAAACAATTATTTGCTCTTTCTCTTCTACTCCTCCCTTTTTTTGTTTTTTTCTCTCTCCTTTTCGTCTCTTCTTCTCCTTTCAATTTGTAATAATCATCACTTTGGCATGGAATCGTCGGCATGTTACCATTCGCGGTGCAAAATGCCACCAAGACCTTCCGGTTGACTACCCACCCAAAAGCTTCAATAGCTTCAATAGCTTCAATAGACACATCTCGGGCCCTTACTCATTTACCAGTAACAGCTTCGAGAACCATAATCAAACTTCAAACCAACCCCGGTAGTAGTAATTGTAGACGATGGACACATTCCACTAAATGGAGACCGGTGCAGGTTCTAGATGAGTATGATAGCTTAATTCTACTGCCACCTACCTAGGGTTGCGTAAAATGCGCATTATAAAGTAAAGTGCGCGTATTATTCATAACCCCTGTAAAATGCGTATTATACCGTATTATTCAAAAGTGGGTCACGTGACCACCCTAACCTAATACACTTAGTAGATACCTACATACAATAAGGCTTTACACTCTGAAATAATATGGAAGATTTACAGGATTTGAAGCTAAAGAATATGGACATTTTTGCCATTTTCCCTATGCAATGGGGCGCCGATTTGATCATGCTCTTCGAGCACATTATGATCAAAGTCCAACGCAATCTTCAAAGCTTAGTTCAGCCGGATCACTTAAACGACATACATGTATCGAGATTTGCGCGCCTTAAATACCTGTAAAATTAGGTAATATCACCAAATTTTGGTGCAAATTTTACTCCACTTATGTACCGATCCACTTTTCCATTTCGGACCCACTGCATTTTATAATAAAATGCAATATTATATTTGAATAATACGCGAATAATACGTTTGAATAATACATTCCGCAACCCTACACCTACCTACTTATCTGTTCTATGATATGTCGTGTGACTGACAGTAGCTCGTCTTTATGTATCTAGATGGGTAGCCAAGGAAGCTCGCCCGATCAGCTTGCGACAATTGATGGTGTTTGGCCGATCACTGACTGAAGGACGGCTGATCAGCTCTGCGAACTATGTACGGACCGAGCTGCCCACGCGGATCGCCCACCGCATTCGCGATATGCAGCGCTTGCCCTACGTCGTCGTCACGAACCCGCATATCAGCGATGTGTACGAGCTCTACTATACCGCCTTCGACACCTTTCGGCGCATTAAGGAGGTCAAGACCCTCGAGGACAATGAACACCTATGCAAGGAAATATCCAAGATGCTGCGCGCCCATTTAACCGTAATCCCCAAGCTAGCTATGGGCATACTAGAATCTAGCGGATTGATGCCTGCTGCCGAGCTTGACCATTTCATGAATACCATACTACGATCCGTGAGTGTTGCACCACTATCCAAATCTTCCCAAAATAAGCGCCGTAGCTAATTCCAACCTAAGCGAATATCACGTAGGGTCATCGCAGAACAACACCTAGCTCTAACCGAAACCTTTAACTCCCATTGGTTCTCGCCGGGGGCCAAGCTCTCCGAATCCGAGTTCATTGGCGAGGTCTTCATCAAGTGCATGGCCAAGGACGTCATCGAGCACTGCGCCAAAGCGATCCGCGAACTTGCACAATCTGCCAATGGCCCCGACGCTAAGGTCCCTAAGATTAACATCAACGGCCACCTAGACGCCTCCTTCCCCTACATCCTAAGCCACCTGGAGTACATCATCGGGGAGCTCCTACGCAACTCAGTCCAGGCCGTCATCGAAAAGCACCAGGCAAACTGCAAGGACAACGACTCGGAGCCGCCCCCCATCGAGATCACCGTCTGCGAAGCGCAACAGCACGTCATCATCCGCATCTCAGACCGAGGCGGCGGCATCCCGCGCGACGTCCTACCGTACCTGTGGTCCTACGGCAAAGGCCCCCTCAAGAACCAGCGCCTCGAGAACCTCGGCCAAGTCCCCCTCATGGCCGCCACGCTACAGGAGCTCCGCGTCGACGACAAGAAGAAGCACCTAGCCGGGCTCCAGGACGAGCGGACCGGCCACGACAGCTCCCTCTCCTCTTTGTCTACCCGCCCGCCCAACCTACGGCTCGGCATGGGCCTGCCCCTGAGCAGAGTGTACGCCGAGTACTGGGCTGGAAGCCTGGAGCTGCACAGCCTCGAGGGGTACGGCGTGGACGCCTTCCTGCAGATCTCCAAGCTGGGGAATAAGAACGAACAGTTGGCCACGAGAGCAGCGATGGATGCCGTCTAGTGAACGAATTGCTCCAGCTGCATGCTTTGTGTGTATTTAGACTCGGATGCGTTACATATGGACTTGAAAGGTGGGTTTTCATGTCTAGCGTCGTCGCAAGGAGCCACGTGCTTGATTGATTCGGAGTGTAATTATAGAAGGATACATGATTAGAAACAAAAGGGGGGAAAGAGCACAATGCTACACAGGGTGTCGTTTCACTGGTATCATAGAAACTTGTGATTACATCGTTAAACTAAACCTAACTGATCGGTAGAAAGAGGAGGCGCACAACGAACCCCCAAAAGGAGAATATTTTGATATCGCAGGTTTCGTCCCCAATAGGCCCATCCACACCACAAGCTCTGCCTGTCCCATCTACAAGGTGCATATGGGACGGGCAATCTGGACATTACTCATCCATCTCCACAACGCATGCAATTAACTTGTAAGCATATCCATCAACGACCCCCGTCCTGTAGAATCAGAGAGATTGCTGGAAATCCAGCAAGTCCCAACTCCATACTCCCTATTAGACGGGAAGTAAACTAGCGCTGGCAAAATTATCGATCGTTCGTTGGAGAATAGGGTATAAAAAAAGGGGGGGTATTTTAACGACGACCGCTGCGAGCGACGCTGCCTTGCATTGCCTCAAGCTCGTTTTCGAGCTGCTTGATTTGAGCATGGGTCTGCTCAAGATCCTTGTTAAGGCGGTCACGCTCAGCGATGAGCTTCTGTTCCCATTGTCGGAATCGCTGCTCCTCGATCTTGACTTGCTCAGTAAAGCGCTTGCGAAGAGCTTCCTCCTCCTCCTTGTACTTGGGGTTGTCCAGCTTGCGAGGGCGAGCCTCTCCGAACTTCCGCGTCTCCATCTGTTGAGCACGGTATGCTTCGTAGTGCAGTTCCTCAGTGGTGTGGATCAGGTCAAGCATGTGCGTGCGGATGAGGATCGAGCGCAGCTTCTTGAAGTCACAGTGCTCTTCGTTCTCAACCTCAGCGACACCCCACGAGTACTGACGGCCCTTCACGATGCGGCCATCTCCAGTCTTGACATCCTTCTCCGAGCCAATAACAGCGAAGGGCATGGCGGCCATAAGACTGCGTGCGTGCTGGGCGGCGGCCTCATCGTCTTCCTCGATCGGGGGCTGGTAGATTTTGATGCTCTGAGCCTCAACAACGGCACGAATCTATGTGACTGTTAGTATGTACAATATTTTGATATTAGGTGATTAAACACACCTTAGCCTTGAACTTGGCTAGGTCAACAGGGCTCAGAGTGTCAGCCTTGGCAATAACAGGGATCAAGTTGACTCTGGAGCACAGTCGCTTCATCACTTCGATGTCCAGAGGCTTCAGGGTGTGGCCAGTAGGTCTGATGAAGTATAGGCAGGCATGGACACGAAGGTCAATCTTGTCCTGGCGGCGGGGTTGTTGCTCCTGAAGCATGTACGACTCGTGCTGGTCATCCAAGAACTCGATAATGGGCATCCAAGAATCTCGGTTGTTGACATAGTCACCAAAACCTGGGGTATCAATGACAGTTAGGCGGACTAAGAGGGGAAACAGTTAGTAAAAAGACGATAAGTTAAAGCTTGAGGGGAAATATTAGTACCTTTGAAGAACTTCTCCTCCAGTTCGGCCTTGGTGATCTCGATCTCCACAGTCTTGTCGACCTGCTTCTGATGTCGTCGCTTATGGTCGGCATAGTTCTTGATGGTGGTCGAGAAAAGGGTGTTGATGAAGGTAGTCTTGCCCAATCCAGATTCACCAGCAACCTAACGCTACAGTTAGAATTATATAGTTCTATACATAATTTACAAGATAAACAGAATGTGATCGGGTATAGTACCATAATAGTAAAGGCAGCACCCCTCTTAGCAACAATCTTGTGTCGCTGGTTTGGCAAATTGGCAATGCCAATTGGCGACGCGCTTTCAGCGGTGGCAGGAGGCATGGTGATAATAGGTATAGATTAGCAGCTGTTGGACAGACAGGCAGACAAACAATTCCTGTTTGTTAAAGTGATAAGTGAATGGGGGACCCAAAAAGTTGATCAAGTGTAGGTTAGGCCCGGACACGAGATGGTTTGGAGGATGGATGATCTTTTCAGTTGTCAAGGGAAAAGAAAATGGGTAATGGGTAATGGGGGTCGACGTTAATGTTGACAAGAAAAAGGTTCAAAAAGGTTTCGGGCTACCGTGCTTTCAGAACTTCAGGGGAAAGCAGCTGCTTTCTCTCGCCAAATTTCCCAAGGATAGCACAAATATCTTGCAAAGTGCAGGGCAACCCCGAAAGCTACAGGGATTAAACTGGTTCGTGAGTGGCCCCTTTCCCCATTTTCTACTGGTGGCTCGAGCGTCGGAACGTCCCAAGCCTTGACCGCCTTCCATCAATTAATACGGAACATGCCTACCAATGTACAAATTATAACAAATTACGAACAACTTCTAGCCTAATAAAGTTAGCCATACATTAAATCAAACAAATGGGGTGGCACTTGGACGTCGGCACTAAAACAAATGCTGTATGCTGATTGGTTATGAATCTGAAGCATTATCAAACTAGGTTAATGTAGCTCTTTTGCAGTCTGGAAAATTATTATCTTATCATAGATAAGATATGTAGAAAAAAAGTTTGGGCAAGACTTACACTACTTACACATCAAGACGAATAATCTTGACTTGCTTGTCGCAGTACGAAATTGACTTTCTTTATAAAGAATAGAACATGTCTACATACAAGATGGATCTATAGTGATACTTACAATGAAGACAGACTTTAGAGTGAGAACCTTTACCCAATTCATTATATCAAGTCTTTTAGCAAGTCTTTCGATTCAAATATACTAAACAATTCGCATAGTTTTCCAATCTCCTTGGAACTGTCTACTGCCAGGGCAATCTATTGTTCAGCCCTGATGGAACATGTTTGTTCTCACCCGTAGGCAACCGAGTCACCGTCTTCAACCTTGTAGAGTGAGTCGCATTATTATATATACCTTTATATACCTTGGCTAGCTGTATAACTAGATGTGGTGGTCTAATCATAACCTCTTAATAGCAATAAATCATATACTCTACCGTTCGCGCATAGGAAGAATATCTCGAGAATCGGTCTTTCACCACAGGGTAATCTTCTACTCTCTATCGATGACGATGGCCATGCTATCTTGACCAATGTTCCGCGACGAATATCTATCTACCATTTTTCCTTCCGATATCCTGTCACAGCTCTTGCGTTCTCCCCCTCCGGCCGCCACTTCGCTGTAGGAATAGGCCGAAAGACGGAAGTATGGCAGGTCCCATCTACTCCCGACTCGAATGCAGAGGGCGAGCTAGAGTTTGCGCCTTTTGTTCGTCATCACACCCATATGGGCCATTTTGACGATGTCCGCCATATCGAGTGGTCGGCCGATTCGCGCTTCTTTTTAACCGCCTCCAAGGATCTAACAACTCGGGTATGGAGTTTGAATGAGGAAGAGGGGTTTACCCCTACAGTCCTGTCAGGTCATAAGCAGGCTGTCATCGGAGCATGGTTCTCCAAAGATCAAGAAACTATATATACTGTCAGCAAAGATGGTGCTGTCTTTGATTGGCAATATACCAGACATCCCAATGCGCCCCCCAAGGATGGAGACGAAGATGATGCCATGGACGTTGATGGGGATGATATGCGCTGGAGAATAGTTCAAAGGCATTACTTCATGCAGAACAGTGCACATGTTAGATGTGCTTCCTTCCATCCTGAATCTAATCTCCTGGTTGCTGGCTTTTCCAATGGGATTTTCGGTCTATACGAGATGCCCGACTTCAACACCATTCACACTCTGAGCATATCACAAAACGAGATCGATTTTGTTACGATAAACAAGAGTGGGGAGTGGCTAGCTTTCGGTGCCTCCAAGTTAGGTCAACTCCTTGTCTGGGAATGGCAGTCCGAATCCTACATTTTAAAACAGCAAGGTCATTTCGACTCTATGAATTCATTAGTCTATTCTCCCGATGGGAAGAGAATTATCACCACTGCCGACGATGGAAAAATCAAAGTCTGGGACGTTGATTCTGGATTTTGTATAGTCACATTCACGGAGCATACGAGTGGTGTAACTGCATGCGAGTTCGCAAAGAAAGGCAACGTTTTATTCACCTCCAGTTTAGACGGCTCTGTACGGGCCTGGGATCTGATCCGGTACCGAAACTTTCGAACCTTCACGGCACCGAGCCGACTTTCTTTCTCTTGCATGGCCGTTGATCCCAGTGGTGAAATCGTTGCCGCAGGGTCCCTGGACTCGTTCGACGTTCACATTTGGTCTGTGCAGACTGGTCAATTGCTTGACCAGCTATCAGGCCACGAAGGCCCTGTGTGCTCTCTAGCCTTCTCGCCGGATGGCAATACCTTGTTCAGTGGAAGTTGGGATAGGACAGCCAGGATGTGGTCAATCTTCAGCCGCACGCAAACCAGCGAGCCTTTGCAATTACAAGCCGATGTCCTAGATATTGCGGTCCGTCCGGATTCTGCGCAGATTGCGATCTCTACATTGGATGGCCAATTATCGTTTTGGTCAGTATCTGATGCAGAGCAAGTCTCGGGCCTTGATGGACGGCGAGATGTGTCAGGGGGTCGCAAAGTTACTGATCGTCGGACTGCTGCCAACGTAGCTGGCACCAAAAGTTTTAATACTATACGATACAGCACCGATGGCAGTTGTCTCTTGGCAGCAGGAAACAGCAAGTACATATGCCTCTATTCTGTGAGCACTATGGTACTCTTAAAGAAGTATACTGTCAGCGTCAACCTTTCGCTGTCTGGAACGCAAGAGTTCTTGAACAGCAAGTTACTCACGGAAGCAGGGCCGGAGGGGCTCCTTGACGATGAAGCCGATCATTCGGACCGCGAAGCTCGACGTGATAAACTACTACCCGGTTCCAAGCGAGGTGGTGACCCATCTGCTAGGAAAAAGTTGCCTGAAGTGAGGGTAGCGAGCGTGGGCTTCTCGCCTGCTGGCACCTCATTCTGTGCTGCATCAACTGAAGGCCTTCTCATCTATAGCGTGGACAATGAACTCCAATTCGACCCATTCGATCTCAATATGGAAATCACGCCTGCATCCACTCTTGCTGTCCTCGAGAATGAAAAGGACTACCTTAAGGCTCTAGTTATGGCATTCCGTCTCAACGAAGCAAGCCTCATCAAGAGAGTATTCCAATCGGTTCCACATATGGATATCCCATTAATAGTGGAACACTTCCCTACTGTATATGTTGGAAGGCTTTTACGATTCGTCGCTGCTCAGACCGAGGAATCTCCCCACATTGAATTTTGTCTATTATGGATTAAATCTTTGGTAGATAAGCACGGTTCCTGGCTTACGGCAAACCGTGGCAAAGTCGACGTGGAGCTGCGGGTTGTTGCAAGAGCAATTACGAGAATGCGGAATGAGATCAAGCGACTAGCCGACGAAAACGTATACATGGTAGATTACCTACTTGGGCAAGCTAGCACGAAGAAGCCGGATACAAACGACCAAGGTCTAATCACGGATGAAGGTGATACTGCCGTTAAATTACTTGCAACAACAGATTTACAAGATCTGAAAGACCAAATGCGCGCTGAAGATGGAGCAGACGATATTGCATTTTCCGAAACTGGGTGGGTGGGCCCAGACTGATGGGCGCTGCCGTTGCATAAGAGAAAACAACTCGCAAGAGACCTTCGCATGCGGCTCAAAAGGGGGGGGGCGGACACCAGGCGGTCAGTCGGTTGAGCTGGCTTTGCACCTACACCTTCGATCCTCAAGAGGAAAGAGGTATGGCCCATCTTACAACTCAGGCAATAAGTTGTTCAGGGCAGTAGCTGGGGGTGTCCAGGAAAAGATGCAAGAAGCTGTTCTAGATACCCCTTAAATAGCATCGGTGGTCTTATGTAAGATAATATCGGACATAATTGAGTGTACCCATGGCCTATATAAACTCACTTAACGTCATGAGGGCATTCGCTGCATCATGGTACTTGATTATTTTATAAGCCAATATACATCGTTATAATGACTCGCTCTCTTGCGTTAGCTTTACTGATATCATCTACTTACCGGCTACCTACCTAGGTGGGCAGTCGACTCCAAATGTCTATGTTCCATGAAGTTTGATGCTTAAGCTAGACTCAGTATATTTCTAAGCCATAATCTTTCCGTCATGTATGTCAGATCGTACTACATGGGTCAATTTGAGGACAATATTTTGGATGTATTAACAGCTGATGTGAAACAGCGTCAGGCGACATAGTATGAGCGTTATGCGTGTGATTTCAGCTGAGTAGACGGTGAGTGTGGACGGTGAGTGCTCAATCCTATGCGTGTTAGTGCAGCATTTCAACATGGAACTAACATACATAGCTGAGATGCATGTCACCTCTTTAGGGGCTTAATGAGATTTTCTCCTTACTAAGCTTTTGAAGACTTCATACCTAATATATTCCTACGCAAGGAACTCAAAAAAACTTGGCTTCTCCCATTAAAAGAACCATACATACCAGAGAAAAGATCGAAAAATGCAAACATGGAGTATGAGAATGTTTTCCACACCATACTTCCGAGCATGAGCTCCAAAATGTCTCGCATGGTCGGCAGCTGCTCGAAACCTGACTGCGAACACCACAAAATAGTCGAGAGCATCCTAAAGCTCGCAGGACTCCGTGGGATTGATCCGTTCTACGGTCTTATAGGAGGTTGGTTAGGAATCGAGCCGTCACATCTGCTCATCGCGATTGGTGTCATCTGGGCTTTGAGCAAAGTACTCCGCCAACTGTATAACTTTCTTCGCGGCGTCGTTACCGAGCACTTCATGAGCAGTGTCCAGGTCTCTAGCCGCGATACCGCGTGCAGATATTTGCTAGATTGGCTCGACTCTCAGCCCACCATGGCTAACTCGAGACACCTGAAAGCCGAGCGTATGATTACGAAGACGGAATGGATAGAAGATGATAAGTCTCTCCTGGGCCGAGACCGTTCGGGGCGTTATATAAACTACTCTAGCATTCCGACTAGAATTGTGAGCCCAGATCAGTCATCTCCTGCTTAACCCCTGAGTTTCATTCATTCACTGACATCCTCTATAACAGAAACCCCGGTACGACCCGGCAGTAGGGAAGCACAGTTTCTGGTGGCAGGGACGGTACTACAGACTAAGGCGTAAGCAAAAGACATTATTCACCGAGCCTAGCCAAGGCCAGTCCGTTTTTCTAAACCAAGACGACATCATCATATCTTGCTTTGGCAGGAGCCCAGGTAAGAGCCCAACCCCCCAGTCTACCATTATATCTCACAACAACAAACCCCACCCCCCCTTTCCCCCCTTTCCCACTTCTCTATTTGCACTTCACATCTAACTACCGTAGAACCCATCAAGCACCTCCTCGCGCACACCCGAGAACAATGGTTCGCCGCGCGACAAAACACAACCACGATCCAGCGGCCCAGCCACAAAAAATCATCCTGGAAGACGGTCGCGGACCGGCACGCGCGGGACATCAGCACCGTGATCCTGGACGCGGCGCAGAAGCAGCGGGTCCTGGCCGACCTGAACGAGTACCTGCACCCGGACACGGCGCGGTGGTACGCGTCGCGCGGCATCTTCCTGCGGCGCGGGTATCTTTTCCACGGCCCGCCCGGCACGGGGAAGACCTCCTTGGCCTTTGCGCTCGCGGGCGTTTTCGGCCTCGGCATACACATCATCTCGCTGCTGGAGCCGAGCTTGACGGAGGAGGAGCTGTGCACGCTGTTCGCGGAGCTGCCGCGGCGGTGCATTGTTTTGCTGGAGGGTAAGTGAAGTGAAAAGCACGCCTTGCAGATATCTAAATCAAATCTACACCACAAGCATAAACGTAGCAAAAGTCAAGAAAAGGGAGAAAATAAATTTGCTAACCAGTAGTTATCCACCCCTCACAAACAGACATCGACACAGCCGGGCTCCAGCGCGCCGAAGACCCCACTCCCACTCCCAACCCCAACAACCCCGACCCCTCTTTACCCACCCATGCCCACGCCGCCGCCGCCGCCGCCACCTCTGGGGTCCAACGAACCGGGATCTCGCTCTCGGGCCTGCTAAACGCGATCGACGGCGTCGGCAGCCACGAGGGGCACCTGCTGATCCTCACCTCCAACTCGCCGGAGCAGCTGGACTCGGCGCTGATCCGTCCCGGCCGCGTTGACCTGCAGGTGAGCTTCACGAACGCGACGCGGATACAGGCGGCGGGGTTGTTCGTGAGCATGTACCAGCACTCCTCGCTCTCTTCTCCCCCCTATTCTTCACCTTCACCTGCCACTTCTTCTGCTTCTTGTTCCGAGGTGGAAGCAACGAACAAAAGCCTCACTGCCACGATCACCCCCGACACCCTCTCAGCCCTCGCCGAAGCCTTCGGCGCCAAGATACCCGAGGGCCAGTTCTCGCCCGCGCAGATCCAGGGGTACCTGCTGAACCGCAAAACGGCGCCGCGCCAGGCGCTCGAGGAGGCTGACGCGTGGGTGGACGGGGTGATGAGGCAGAAGGAGCGGAATAGTAAGGTGTTGGGGTTGGATTTCTTTTGAGTACTAGGTAGCAGTGGGATATTTGTGCCTAAGTTAGGTACCTAGTAGGTATACAGTCGATGTATAAACCTGCGATCTGGCGTTGTAAGGGGATCTATTAGAATAGAGCACAGACCGTGATGGGGTTACTAAGATCCCGACTTTCAATTTACTGTTATTGTTACTTGAGAACGGGCTGTGGATTTATACGAGTGATACGCCTGCCGAGAGTCACCATTAAAAAAGCAATCGTAGTACTCACTACGTTTCATCCATATATTTCATGTGCCCTGGTAGGTACCTCATCTATACATACATTATCACTAGCCTTACGTCTCAATGCTTGGCCCCTTTTCCTCAATACTGACAATTAAATCATGCTGTACTTGCAGGTTCTGCGCTGAGCTTAGTGATCTCGCCACAGTCGTCTCGTTCTTCTCAACCACGATGCGCCTTAGGGCCTTGACTAAAAACCCGGAAACCAGATCCACGCTCCAGTTATCCGGTATCACCGACAGGATGTCGCCAACGTCAAACCACCCGCCGAATTTCTCTAGGAGCAGGCCTGTCTGCTCTACACGGTCACTCACGTCCTCGAGGTTGAGAAATTCCCCGAGCAAAGCGCGGAAGAGCCGCGCTTGTTGATCTTGGGTCGGTGGCACACTGTCACGCCGCTTGGGCCCTTTCAAACCTGCTGGGCTAGGGGGTGGTTGACTTTGTTGAGCCTGGTAGATGGTATAGATGCTGGCTCCACCTCGGAGACAATAAGCCACAGCTGTATCGTAGTCTCCAAGGTGGTGGACCAATAAGCGTAGTGCATCTTCGTGCTTTCTTTCCCGGCCCGCGAGTATTATAGTCTCCGGCACGAGAAGATCTTGGGCTGTGGTGTTTAAGCTTGCGATCCGATCCTGAACCACTGCTGAATCATAGTCGTAGCTACCACCAAGTAGTTGTAAAAGTCGCAACCGGCTGTGCCAGGCTTCATCATCGGCTGGCGCATTGTCCGTTAGAAATTGGCGATACGTAGGTTTTGGCGGTTGGAGAGCCCGATATGCTGTGTAGGTTGACAGTACTACTTCGCGAGCTTCGGGTGATGTCCGAAGGACAGAAACAACTATGTCGAGGTAGTATTTTATGAGCTCGTTCACATAAATCGTATGGCCCTTGCCGAATACTAGGTGTTCCAGATAATACTTCACCGCATCTGGAGCCTCTTCTCGGAGAAGCTGCACGACATGGCCAGGCTCGAATTTTGGCGCGCGGCCCTTATCCTCAGCAAAGATTTGAACACCAAGCTTTGGATTTCGATTCGCAAGCCAGATACCATACTCTTGAACCAAGGCCTGGTTGCTGATCTTTGCGAGGTACTCACGCACACGTTGCTCGCCGTCGGTCAACTCGCCCCCGTCATCTCGTTCACCCTCGATGATACGTTTCCAAGTAGCCAACACATCCGATACCAACTTACGGCTCTGATAGAATCTGCTGAGAACGTAAAGACGATGGTATGACTCAATCAAGGTTTCTGCTCTGTTGAAGCACTCGACCCCCGTATCCACAAGCTCGTACAAATCTGCACGTACAGATCTTGCTTTGGCTGGACCAGTGACTGAGTTCTTGTCGAGTTCGAGGAGGACAGCAAGTAGAGCAGCGTCAACTGTGCGGAAGACTTCATTTTCATCTGGTATACTGCCGAAGCCCTTCTTCCGCCGCCAAGCGGTCAGGAATCGCCTCAGGAAGTGTAATACGGGCTGCGATAAGGTGCTCATGGTTGGACTACCCTTGTCGAACTCTCTACTCGAAATGAATTCTTCGGCAGTCGACTTGACTCCTCCAAAGATCCATATCCCTCGCTTCGTCTCGATTACCTCGTTACGGACTCCGGGAACGAGGGATAAAACAACTCGGGGGTCTAGAAGACTGTCGACGAGAATTTCTTCCATAGCTCGGAGTTCCGAGTCTGAGAAAGAAGTATCTTCCGATTTTAGGAAACTTGTCAACAAGAAAATACCTACTCGTTGCCGTATGTAACCAAATGTGAGAAACTCCAACTCGGACTTCGCGTCCTTCCCACGAAAGGAGTTCAAGATCGCGAAGAAATCTTTTCGTTCAGTCGATGGCTGGTTCAATGCCGAGGCCATTGTTTCTACCTGTGCATCCAACCGTAGAATGAGGGGATTTCGAACGGCCCACCATATGTCTTTCCCAGCCCATACCGCTATACGAGCAGTGCCCCCTGCAAGACGACGAGCAAATTCTTCCTCCTCGGCATTTCGTGTTGCCTGCCAAGCATCAGGTAAAGAGTCTTCACTTTGTGAATCAGCATCTCTCTCGAAAAGCTCCCTTTCTTTAAATAGTCTCTCCATAGATGATGCAGTTCTCGAATCAGCATTCTTTAAAAATACTGTAGGCGTGTCTACTCCTCCGCGAGAAAATGGGACGAATCTCCGGCGGCGCAATCGATCCACAATTTCTGGGAAATGTGTGGTCTCCGTTCCACGGAGGGACCTTATTCCTATATTGTGCAGGGGATTGACGGGTGAGCCAGTTCTTGGGGGTTCAAGCCAATGTTTCGGGGGCACATCTTCAGCTCCGTCGGTATCCCAACGTTGGATCTCAAGGCCATAATGAACACCATCGGGGAATTCTCTCCCCATCGAAGCAAGAACGAATCCCTCGTCTTCCGGCCCAAGAGATGTTCTCGAAGAAGACAAGTCCATAGAGCCCCCATCGACGATGATCTCCTTAGGATATCGATCGAACTCGATAGTTGGCCTCGTAGGATCACCATCTAAGTTTACGAACATGCCAATGCCTGGCTCCAATGGACTTGTGCCAGTAACTAATAAGAACTCTTCGGGAGTTGGAGATACGATAAGTGGTTTGAGGATGCCGGACTGAGATTTGGCAGTCGGGGTGACTCGACCCTCTTGGCTCTCATTTGTGCCACCTGGGGCTAGACCACCAACGCCAGCAGTTTCTTCCGACGATTTTTGACTTGTCACAGGCGGAGTTGCTCCTCGAGATATGGGTTCCTCATCCTCCGAGGTGCGATGCTCCTGTTTCCTACTTGCGCCAGTGATGAAGTCGCCTAAGCTAGTCCCTCGTCTATGAGCGGGAGGATCAGGACTCGCTGTCTGTGAGCGAGATTGCGCCGAAGAATTACTCCGTAGCATTCCACCGCCAGAGCTTCCAGAAATATGTTGAGCCTGACCAACAATATTGCCTGGCTGGGCTTCGTCTAACGATGAGATTGACATTAAAGGAATCTTCAGTTGTTGGTTGATTTCAAGCAGTGCATAGCTTCGGGAATCGGCTACACATGCAATTGAGTCCCTCCTAACGGATATCGTGCTTCCAGCAAAGTCAATCTTCTTGATCGGCTGAGCACCGTCGGCTATGCTGGCTACTTGGATCTTCCTATTTAAAGACAATAGGATGGTGACGCCTCGTCCATCTTGGTCAGAACTCACTTCATTGAGGTCTACGCCACCCACCCAGCTACAATTTCTAACTTGTGTCGAACCAAATACTGGACTGAGCTCTGGAAGGGAATAGAAGGTGAGTGTCCAGTTGCATAAGATACAAGCCTTGCCGACAGATGGCAGCAATAGAATATGTTGAACACCAGGCCTTGTGGCATTGGAGGTTCCAGCCGGTTCGGAAAAGCCGGGACGTAATCGCGAAGCGAGGATAAAGGTCGAGAGACTGGATTTGTCCCCGGGATCGGGAGGTATCTGGAAAAAGTGAAGCAGTTCCGAGTCCGATGTGCCTACGTATAGGTGACTGTCTTATAGAATTGTTAGCTAGTTGAAGCTGAGCGCAGGAGATTCTAGATAGGAATAAGATAAGTCATATGCAATGCGCACCTAGATATTCGACACAATTTATCTTGATGTCGTCCTGGGTGCCATCTTCAGACAGCGGGACATCAGCGAAAAGGCTACGAAGAATGAAAGGTCCAGCACCCCACTCCTTCAGCGAGCGCCTCTCGCTCTGGGAATCGGAAGCCATGATGAATGAGGAGGCATTATAAGGCGACAAGACTCGACATATCTGATTGTAGTATTGTAGATTGGTAGATGGTTGATAGTGCTAGAGATAAATGTAAATGTAGATGTAGATGTTTAATATGCATTGCTGGTTAGAAAGCTGAGGTAGATACTAGATAGTAGATAGTAGGTGCTATGTACTATTTTAGGCATTACGCACATCCCTGCATATGCACGTATGTGAGCAAAACTAAGATAACTTTAGGCAGGAATATTACCGTTTACGTACGGCGTAGTAGAGCTACAGTGGATGGTTTAGACATGATCAAGCACTAACGTAAGGTGAAGATCCCTGTAACTACACTAGTAGATTACAACGAACACGTTCAACCTTCAATAAATAACTAACCTTAGTTAATTACATGATACATTGATTGATGTATCAACTTCAATACTCCGAATCCAACTTGGAACCGAAATACTTGTTAACCTTAGTTACCTATCTACTTGATGTAATTCATTGATTGATCTTCCTAAAAATTAATACTAATACCCATCTGATGACCCAATAATCGTGTCGGCGACATCTGCCAAAAACCGAATCGACGACAAGATGGCCAACGTGTCAGGGTCACCCAAAGCTGCGCAACCAGCATCGCATTTTGTTACTGACGAACAAACTGGCACCTCTGGACTGGATGGAGCCAACCAGTTTCAACTTGCTATCTCGGCATGGAGAAGTACGCTTACGTCCTGGGTATCTAGGTTGTCTACGCTGATTATTGATACTAATTACCGATAGACATCGATTTGGGCTCGTTGGTGTCGACTCTCGACAACACTGCTTCGGACATTGTCACTTTCCAGAGGGACTCTACGGTGCAACGAAAGGACTTGGCGCAGAAGACGAAGGACTTTAGAAAACTAGACGATGCGACTAAACTGACCGAGATTAAGGGGCTTTTAAAAGCCTACCAGACCTTCATTGACCTCCTTACCAACCATTCCAAATCAACCAATTCCGCCTTTCTACAAGTCTATTCCGCCCTCGAAAATGCCCCCGATCCCTATCCTCTGCTAGAAGCTTCGGTTGACTCTATGCTCGTGGCCGAGGATACCCTACCAAAGCTCACCGAGGAGAACCAACACTTACAGACTAATGTCGCGAAACTCACGTCACAATTAGAAGAGACCGAATCAAGACTACAGATCGAGAGCGATAATCGAAAACAACTAGAAAGCAAGCTGGAGACTAAGGTTAGAGAAGTGGAAGAGTCGTGGGTCGCAGTCCTAGATGAGAAGAAAGACAACTGGGAAGCAAAGGAGAAGGCATTAGAGGACAAGATTGAGGCACAGGACAGGTTACTGAACGAGGTCAAGGCCAGTTACGAGGTCAACCAACGGCTAAAGGGATCCGAAGATGCCGGCGCTGAGGCCAACCACGGTCATGTCACCAATGCCGAATTGGAAATGGTTCATTCCGATCTCGAACGAACCAGTGCCAGACTTGCTGAGGTCGAGGCTCGGAACGAACAATTGCGGCTAGAACTCGCTCAATCCAAATCACAAGTCCCAACCCAGGCGCCAGCTTTAGAAGACGATCCTGGATATATACGCATGAGATCCGAAAATTCATCCCTCATCCGCAAACTCGACTCGTCAAGGCTCGAGAAGGAGGCTTTCAAGAGAGAGATCGATACAAAACTTAGAGGCTTAGAACGAGAAGTCGGTCTTCTAAAAGAGGAACGCGATGGTTTAAAGGCGAAGGTTCAGAAGTGGAATGATTATGAAGATGTCAAACAAGAACTAGAGGTTCTTAAGAGTATCGAATTCGCGACGGGCGACGATGATGACGTGCTGGCCGCTTCAGATCCGAACAGCTCTGCTCCTAAAGGAAAGGGGGATACACTGGAGCAGTTACTGTTAGCCAGGAATAAGAAGTTGAGTGACGAACTGACCATTTTAAGGGTGTCTCATCAAGACCTCCAGAGTCGGCTCGAAAATCTCCAGGAGGAAATGTCAAAAACGAATGCAGATCTAGAGAGGTCACAGAATCTCAACGCGCAGCTGGAAAATGATTTGGCTAGCCTTCAATCTGAGGGACAGAACGCATTCCCGTCTGGAGCGTCGGTTGCTGGGACGTATACTAGGTATGCTCCGTCTATAGCGCCGGGGAGACGGGGTGGAAGAACGTCGCCCACCTCATCCATCATATCCGGCTTTGATCCGCGCACTACAGGGGGTGAGCCCATGGGTGGTGGCTCTGGAATTCTACCCATGATCACTGCTCAGCGGGATCGCTTCAAGAAGCGGAATGCTCAGCTTGAAGGAGAGCTGTCAGATTTGCATCGTACCGTATCGCAACTACGACAGGAAATTGCAGCTTTACAGAGGGACAACCTTCAACTGTACGAAAAGACGCGGTATGTGTCGACATACAATCGTAATGGGCCCTCTGCGGCGTCTTCATCTGCAGCATATTCTTCGAATCCAAACCCTTCAGTGGTAGCGATGGGTGGCACAGGAAATCCTGGGATCACGTTAGATCGGTACAAGAAGGCGTACGAATCGAACATCTCGCCTTTTGCGGCTTTTAGAGGACGTGAGTCAGCAAGAGCTTACAAACGGATGAGCTTACCGGAGAGGATGGTGTACTCGGTAACGCGTATGGTGTTGGCCTCACGAACAAGCAGAAATCTATTTGCAGCGTATTGTGTCGCATTGCATTTTCTGGTCTTCTTCTCGCTATATTGGCTAGGTACGGCGGACGCGGAGCAGCACGCGAGCAATCTTAGCCAGGGTCTAGCCGCCGCCGCAGTAGCGGGAGGGGCAGGCGGCGGCAACGCTGGTGGAAAGGTTCCAGCTGCTCATGCCGGAAATTGGCAGGAAGAAGGTTTCAATGGGCACTGAATATCCTACCTAAAAGTGAATATCCAGGACATTTACCTACCTCTGTATCAATACTAGCCGGCGTTTGTTTAATACGGTGTATCATGCATCTAATCTTGTAGGTACTTGATAGTGACCTATCTCGTGTTGAACATTAGACTGCCTACTAGGTATGTAGGACACTAATTTGCCATTAAGGGTGCATTTACACGTATCCCAATGCTCTATTAATGGCATGTTGATATCCATAATCTTAACCCCAGATTTACCCCTTGCCGCCAGAAAGAGAATATCGATGTTCACTGATCTTTGGATGACTACGAAGAAAGTTGGATAAGACACCTCCCTACCTCCCAAACTAGGTAGGTAGGTAGGTAGCTACATAGGTTGAGAGGGGGGATCACAAGACCAACCGTCGGCATCAGTGTCAACGGAAACTTGATCGCCGTATCTATAAATGGAGCAGTCCTCACTTCATGCCAACGTCACGAGCGACAACACAAAGGGCTATGGGCTATCCCTCCTGCCATCTCCAGCCGCCACGTTAGATAACCATGCACGCAATCTGCGAGCGGGCCGCTCTGAGACAAGATTCGTCAACCTAAGGAGAATCTGGACTGATTGGTGGGGAATATCGATGATGGGCAAAGCCATTCCCAGGGCAGATGCTTGCTGGTGATCATCTGTGCCCGGTGGGAATACCTACCTAGGTACCTACCTACATAGTGCAATATCTACGTAACCACCACGTTGTTGTAACCAGCCCTGTCTTGAACGCTTGCCCATCCAAGACTTCCATGCTTCACGTACCGCTGGCCTACTACTAACTAGTACATACATAATACATATTGTATTAATAATAATAAAAAGTGTGTACAAAGACTCGCGTACAACGTAGGTACAAATAATATGTAGTTGTCCAACCCTCGCCCGCGTAAATAGGTAGGTATGTACTAGGCGAGTGGCCAACCAGAAATCACGAGTTCCCTTTCTCGGCCGCGGCTGCAACCCACACCCGATACTTGGTATGTAGCACGACAGGCGGGGAGAGAGACCGAAGAGGCTGGGCGAGAGTAGAGTACTGTGTATGTAGTAGGTAGGTAATAAATATGTAGTATATAGTGGTTCATGTCCACACCTAGGTAGGTAGGTAAGGTAGGTATGTAGGTACCTAGGTGCGTACAAAAGGGTATAAAAGATATTATCGCCGTCGGACGAGCGAGACGCCTTCTCTATTCAGCACCACCTGAGACGAGGCGACATCAAGGAAGTGTAAATTAGAAAAAAAAAAGCCAAGCTGCAAGTAAGTAGCATTCAGTGTAACACTTCAATCAAAATGTTGAAGATATTGATCTGGGCATCTGGAGGTAGGGAGATTGGGTACAATAGTACATAGTATTCAATGTTCAAGTGGCTTCTATAAAAGAATTTGCCCGAATTTCCAAGATCTAGCCGGTAGCTTAAGTAACCGAGACAATTTAAAATGGGTTCTAATGTTGGTTATTTTTAGGTGATGGCGCGCTTGTTGCTATTTCTGGATGTTAACCGCTTATGTGTGGACACTTAACAAGGAAATGAGGGGTCAGGTAGCAAATTAACCCACATTGTCCCCGCGAATTACGGGCAAATAATCAACAGTATCCACTCATTCCGCACAGACACAGAAGCACGAGATCCTCCCCAAAGCTTCTTTTTCTTCACTGTCTAGCCAACTATCCAATGAGGTCTTGCCATTCTCAATACTTTCCAAGATTCAGAAAATCTAGGTCGGTCTTAGAGTCGCAGCAACAACCATGGCCAGCCGGATCTATGAGTTCCCAGACCAGAAAGCTTTGATGATTTACCACGATGTAGGCTGGTATTCCTTACATACGTACCTAACCTACCTAGTATGTCCTATGTATTCCGTGACTCGTCTATCTAACCTTGCTTTGGGAAATGCTTGGTGTAGATACTGCTACCTGGTACCAAAGCTTGATCCTCCCTTGCAGATGCCAGATGTCAAATGCCCTATGTAGGCAGGGTGAGGTCAAAAGACTCGCACGTATGCGGTATTCTGCAGCGACATTCCGACGGACATTACATTACTAACATCATGTGCATAGAAGCCCTCACTTGAGATGCACAAATTGCAAAGATGCTGATTCTCTCCCTAGGCAAATTCAATACCAAGATGATATTACTCATGTCATAAAACATGAAGCGTTTTGCCGCCTTCAATTACTGTACCCTTATTCATCTCTTGAAGATACACCAAGGAATGGGAGCCAAACAAACATTAGACGGGTGGCCGAACAAGAGGCGGCCTGGCGCTTGCGGACAGAACAGGGGACCTTTGGGCGTCCAGTCACATCGTCCCTTGCGGGTTCTCATACCCTGTCAACGGGTCCTAGCTGCAGATCGCTTGGCTCTCCATTCAGATTCCCATGTTGACTTTACAGCAGGGATTGCCGAAAATCAGAATGCTACCATCCTTGCGTCTAGCTCTCGCCCGGCTCACTTTCCACCGCAGAATCATAGGCAAAATTCTACTTTTGCTTCTTCTTGATCTTACCCCCTGTCCGGCCAGCCAAGTTACCAAGTATCCAGTACCGATTTAGTTGTGGACCCTGGACGGGTGCCACGCCGCCGTGCCGCTGAACTGGGGTACGGCGTTGTGTATCTATTAGTTGGATCATCTTGGATGGCTAGGCGGCGTTTCTCGTAGACTGTGTTATGTACGTACTGTGTAGGTAAGTGTGTGTGTGTCTCTCTGTATGGGCGTTGATAAATCCTTCCCAGCCCACTCCCGAAAATGTTGTTTAACCACTGTACATACATCTTCAAGACGTTTTATCCTATATATCTCTTCTCTTCGGGGAGATCTTTTCCTTTTACGTTTTCCTATTTTCTATCTCCTTAGTATTTCCTTGATCTTTTTCTTCATTTCGCTATCTATCTATCTATCTATCTATCTGGGTCGGGTTTCTTTGGGTTTTCTGTTTCTTCTTAGTCTTTTCACACATATACACACGTACCTCTATACAACAAGACTAGTAGTACTTTGAGAAGTCGAACAAAGAAACCATTCCGAATTCCGATACGACCTTCAACCATTCACCTCCTCGTAGTATTCCATTCGACTCAGATTTCCATCAAAATGTACGCTTCGACGTTATTGGTATCATTACTCGGTGCTTCGACCGTTATTGCAGCTCCAACATGGCCGACGACCAACTGGGATGCCGCTTCGCCTGAGGGCCTCAAAACCGTATCGGAATATTTCAACATGCTAGCAGAGAAGGTCCAAGTAGGAAGGTTTATGTCAGCGGCACCGGTCTGTGATCTTTCAATGGCTCAAATGGATACAGGTATGTCTTATGTATATGCTGGTAAAATCATCTGATGTATTCTGACTAACACCATTCAGCTCCTGTACCATTAGAGGCTCCCTCTTCTGGGTTGATATTGAAGCATGTGGCTATAGGCCGTGGGACGCAGAACTACACGTGCGACGTGAACAATGCCACAGCACCCCCTACTCAAGCGGGGGCCGTCGCTACTCTTTTCAATGCAAGCTGTGTAGCCGCTACGTATCCGGACCTACTCAAACTCCTACCGAAGCTCGCGTTGCAATTTGATCTCACCCCACTGGAGGACGTGCATATGGGCCCCACGAACTTAATCATCTCCGGCAAGCATTTCTTCCCCAACAGCACGACGCCGTTCTTCAACCTCGACACGAACCAGTACCATCTTGGCGAGGCGGGATGCGAGAAGAATAACCAGACGGCGGCGCCTGCTGATGCACCAACGGGTCGACAAGGTGAGAAGGCTGTTCCCTGGCTGAGGCTCAAGACCCGAACGGGCGCTACGGGTAACTTGCAGGAAGTCTACCGAGTAGAGACAGCTGGTGGTAGTGCACCGGCGACGTGCGCGGGTCAACCTGCTTCATTTGAGGTGCAATATGCAGCACAGTATGTCATCACCCCCTTTCCTGAATCTTGCTGGATATCTCACTAACATGGTACATAGATATTGGTTTTATGAGGGCACCTCTTAAGTGAATTGAGCAAGCTTGCCATTTCCAAAAGAAGTAAAATTTAAAACCACTCAAAAAGGGAAGGGGACACGGGGTATACTGTATGTAATAAGGGGGGTAGGCATGATATGGGTTTCCTCGCCTGTACTCATCCACCACGGGGAATGTGTGACAGACCTCCCATCTGGTCGAGGCACAGTACACCTCCATCTTCCCCAGGGCGTTCAGGGCAGACACGATATCCAGCGAGTCACGCACGCGGCATTGGAAACTACGAGGCGACGAAGGAGAGAGGCATAAATGTCTCCTTTTTTTCATGATTTATACCATTTTTTTATTTTTATTTTTATATCTCTTACATAGTATTAGCGATTCATCTTATAATACTTTTATAAAGACAGGTGCCTACTCCGTATATTAGGTGCCTGGTGGTTTCTTCTCATCTGATTTCATCTTTCTTTGATGTTTGGCGCACACACCTAAGCAATCGTGATTGTACCAATAAATCCTCCACGCCTACGTCCATCTATCTACATACCTACTTACGCGATAGGTACGTAGGGAGTATCAAACATACCAATATCATACATGATAGTACATCTCTTGTAGGCCCCCGTCCGATCCGACGTTCACTTTAAGACCAAAAAAAAAAAAAAAGATCTCCTGCTTACCCCAGATGTAATGTGCGATCGCCCACCCTTTTTGGCGGTTTTGGGGTTACGTGCGGGTGATCGGCGCCAGCTATACCACACTCGATCTCTCTATTTGTCTCATAGCAACCTAACCTAGTTACCTACCTACTAACCTACATAAGTTAACTTACTTTAGTTAGGTAGGTGAAAAGTAGGCACTGGCTGCATAGGTAGGTAGGATTGCCATGTGGCACCGTGGCTTTCGGGCGGCGTGGAATTTCTTCTTTCTCCCTCTTTGATCTCCCCCCCCCCCCCCCCCCCCCCTCCTTAGCATAAGCCCAATAGGTAACCTAGATGCATAAGTGCTAGTGATCTATCTGAGTGGTCGCTACGTGCGTTACAGCGTATGTGAGTTGCATAGTTAGGGAGTAACAAGTTATACGTACGAAATATATATGTAAGGAGGTGTGTAGTGTGTATGCGATGCAATCAACTCACAATACCTGACTATAACCATACCTACCTCATCCCGCCCTCACTCCCGTCCGGGACCCGGGGTTCAGATGATCTCGGCCACCTAGGTAAGTTACCTAGTGTGCTCGATGGATTTTCCCTGGAGTGCTTTAGGTGCCTGCCTACTTAGCTAGCTACCTACCTTCATAGTCGAGCGCCTTGCTTCCTTCCATTCGTTCTGACGTTGATCTAGTTGGTATCGTACATAAGAGCTTGCCCTACCTATCAGGTGCCTATATATATATATATATAGATATCTGTCCAACCTCTTCGGGAAGGATAAGCTTGTACGTACGAATAGAAAGTCGAGGGCCAGCATGAACTAAGCCCGGGAGGCGTAGATGCCTTGTCACATAGATACCTATCTCGTCGATAGTCAAAACCCAAAATCGTGGCTTATAGTACCTACTGTAAAGAGTACGGAAGGCCGCGATTCCGGCCGGGTTTGACGTCAGCCCGGTAGTCTGTGCCGCTGTGGATGCTACAGGCAGGGACCCACCGGCCAGGATCTAATTTTTGACGGCAAAGTGAGTAGGCGGGGGGAGTTTCTTTTTATGTCTCTCATGGGAGGAGTGGTGATGAGTTCCTATCCCTCGCTGTTCTAGAAGAATACGCTTGAAGTGGAATTATGGGCCTTGTGTGCCACACCCATTCTCTATGGATGAGATCACGAAGTAATTCAACAAATATGATAGTTTTGTACTTGCCTAGGTACTTATTAGCCTTAGTGTGTACGTTAGTATGTTATGTAGGCACTCTACCATGAACAACCGTAAGATTCAGCTTCGTAGCATGGTCTCAAGGGATGACTACCTATCCTGTAAACATGCGCGGGCTCTCTACGATAAATCTTAGAGATGATTCTACCTGAACCAACACATGCCCATAACCACTCGTTGGGGATACACGGTAGCGAAATCTGCCCGAACCTTCTAGCCAAGACTGATCCTAACCCCTAGCCTGGGTATTTCCTTCCTTAGGTACCTAACCATCCATTTCCACATCCCCATCCCCACCCCCTTTCTTTCTACTCTCTAGCCGTTGTCTCGTCTTCGCCTTCGCGTCCTCGATCCACTTGTTGTACGCAGCCTCGCCACCCTCCTTGAGCTTCGCATCCACAACACGGCTGAGCACCGCTCCCGCGAACCCGACGAAGTTGTGCCGGCGCAGCGCATTCTCGAACTGCCAGTCCCTGCGCTTTTGCTCCTCGCGAGCCAGCGTCTCGAAGTCACCCAGCTCCCGCGCCGTCGCCCGGCGGTCGCGTACCATGGCTAGAAGGTTGAAACGGATCTCTGAAAGGTCGTAGCGCGCGACCCGGCGCTGCAGCACCTCAGTGACCTTGACGGGGAAGTCCTCTGCCGTGCATGCGCCGTGGCTGATGGGCGCCGGTTGTAGGCCGTCAAGCTCGTATAGAACACCGTCGACGGGTGTGTAGGCCACGAAGTGGAATGCATCCTCGGTCTCTCCGCCCGTGCGCTGCGTCTCGTCAACGAAGGGGCTGCTCTTGGCGAAGCTGTTATGGGCGTCGCGGATGAGCTCGCTGTTACTTAGCGCCTCGCCACGAAACTCGGGCGGTAGTGCCATGGTGAACTCTTTAAACTCGTGTAACGGACCGCCGATGTCTACCTCGCCCTCCTTATTCATGAGCACTGAAAGTAACGCCTGCGTGCCGCAAGCATTCTGTATTGTCTGGGCAGCAAACCAGATGCGTTCGGCTGCGTCGTGGTCGAAGGTGCCGTCGAGTGGTTTATCGGTCGATGTGTATGGCGTATCTGTCGGGTACTTGAAGAGGAAGATAACGCCGTGGACAGGGTATAGCGCAGCCAAGGAGTCTGGCTCCAACGTCAGGAGCTCTTCGAACTGCACATCCTGTACGCCCAGGTTATTGAGCAGAAATGTAAAGACGCCCTAGGTAAAGGCCAATTAGCTTCATGGATAGAAGGCCTGTATACTAGAGAGGTCTGCTTACAGCATCCGACTCGACTACATCCAGGAGGTTAGCCTTAAAAAAGAATACTCTTAAGGGAAGAAGAGTAGAGATGGGAATTAACTCAACTGGTATTCCAACCACCACTCATCTTTTCCTCAAGCTTGCCAGGGCGGGCAAGACGCTGTTTGTAAAACCTGCCGAGTTTGCAGCTAACCAGCTCAAATGATTCAGTGGGTAAAGCTGGTGTTAATGTTTAATAAGTACTAAAGACCTCTTCAACTAAATAATAAAAACGTGCGTGGAAACGTCTAGATGTGAAGATGGCGCAAACTAGAAATACAAATGTTTGAAAAATGTCAAGAATAATGTTTGAAGCTGCATGCAGGTGTGTATAATACATATATGTACGTACATGGGTGGTATGTACCTTAGGTAGGTACAGTATCTAGGTACCGACTACGCTTACGTATTTCAATGTTGAGATCAAGTTCAAACATGCCGATGGCATCATTGATAAGATAGGGCGGTCGAACTCCGGCTGATTGGATTGACCGACTTCAAGTTGACAGCCCCTAGAGATACTTGAGAGTTGGGTTACAAAAAACCACGTCTTCGTTGGCAGCTCGACTTCATCTATTATTATTTATGCCTCTCTTCGTACACTGAATCCATGAATCCATTCTGAAACCACCTAGTAACAATGTCCTGCTATTACAATTATCCGTGATGAGGTCGGCCTTTCCAAGGCTAAATTCGACCTCGAGAAGGGTAACCCAGTCAAGTTTCTGCAGACATCTTGTAATATCGCATCAAGCATCTCTCGTGTCTCCTTCACAGCATGTTTCTTTGCACTATGTTCATGTAATTTCTCTTTCCATCATTTTCATACCTCGTGATAATCCCTGTTGAATCATGCATCCATCCAGAAGAAAAGATTGCCAAATATCCACAGGATTAGGTCTGCAAGTGGCATTACACGCCGTGCTTCATTTTCCTTGTCTAATTTAGTCAAGGGAGGGTAGATCGTGTTCGCGTCCTCGAGGCTGAGGGCGGAACTGAGATCGGGCGTGGCTCTCCAGGACATGCACCTCACCCTTGTCCTCGGCCGAATTGCCTCGCGAGCTGGAATCAGTGGCGGCATTCATGGCGCTATCATTGTCAACCAGTTCCACTCCATCCTTTCGAATGCTCGCCTGAAGATGGTCGGGCATCATTTTCTTCAGTCCCTTCAGCCATCCGGGGAGGTCCCTCGCGCCGAGACCCCAATCATAGACTTCCTTTTCCTGCCAATTCGATGGGGTGACTCTGCCACCGGTAAGTTGTACAACAACCCAGATCATGGTGTTAAGAACGACATAGACCATCATGCCCCTAAAGTTATGATTAGCTAATGACTATTAGTATAGCTTGAAGAACTCACGCAATGAGGCCGTAGGCAACGCTGTAGCTAAAAGGCATGAATGCCAGTGTGACAAAGGATGGGACGGCATCACCAATGTACTGCCAGTTGATGTTGATAACCTGACGGATCATCAAGCAGCCAACCTTACAAGACAATGTTAGCAGCTCCCTTATAATTTAAGTGTACATAAGCAAACTTACCAAAACGAGGGTCGATCCCGTAGCCCAAGGTGGAACAGAGGCAAGAATCGGGGCGAAGAAGAGACAAATCAAGAAGCAAACACCAGTTGAGATCGCAGTCAATCCAGTTCGGCCACCTTCGGCAATGCCTGCACCACTTTCAATGAATGCAGTAACGGGCGAACATCCGAACAGAGAACCGATTGAGATCATGATCGCATCAGTGCAGTAGGCAATGGTCGAGCGAGGAAAGTCACCATCATCTCTCACAACGCCACAAAACTTGGCCATTGAGTATAGAGTCGCAGTACAATCGATGATATCGACATAGAGAAAGGTAATGAGCGCAAGAGCGAACTGAGCACCACTAGTTCCTCGAAGATCCCAATCTTGAACATTTAGGACGGACTGGATTGGGTGGAATGCGACAACTTGTCTGAAGAAGGCGAAGCGCTCCTCACCAGCTTCCGTGTAAGGGAAATAAGTGAATGGGGTGTTGCGACTATAAATTGTCAGTTGCATTTCTTAATCAGTTCTAGGATAGTACTTACGGCCAGGACATGATAGACACGATTCCAATACCAATGACAATGGCACTCTTGACCTTGAAGGCCATCAAGAAGGCAACAAAAATGCCACCGAGGAAAATACCAATCCACATCTATCACAAATGTAAGTCAATGAGTTTTTGAGATCGCTTGGTAGGAAACTCACGCCTGGGTTCGTCATGATATGGCTGGTGCATTCACCCTTCTCGTCAAGATACTCTGCAGGGCATCCACCAATTGCTAAGGGGGTAGAAAAGCCCCCAGTAATAGCACCAATGCCAGCCGAGTAGGACAGACCAATCTCGGTAAGGAACAAACCGATACCAACACCACAAGCCGTCTTGATAGTAGCTGGAATCATTCGGACAAGCCACTGTCGCATTCCGGTGAGGGCTAGGAAGATGAAAATAAATCCTTCAACAAAAATAGCAGTAAGGGCAATTTTATAAGGGACCTCGCCCGTACCATGCCAGCCGACGACCTGGTAGGTAAAATAGGCATTGAGGCCCATGCCTGGTCTAAGAGCCGCGTCAGAAACTTATAATGGCAAAGAGCATATGGGCTTATAGTGGACATACCCAAGTGCAACAGGGAGATTCGTGAGGAAGCCGAAAACAATACTGGATAGACCAGCAAGAGCCGCAGTGGCTGTGATGAGATCTCGCTTAAGTTCTACCGAAAAGTCAGCTCTAATCTGAGTTCAACTCATACTAACCCTAGGATTTTGATATACATACCTGTCTGGCAACTGGCATAGGCGAGATCGCCTGGGCAGCCGGGCTCGGATTCAAGTGGGCACTCACATGTGCCACCAGAGTCCGCAAGAACAGCGGCCTTTTTAGTGATCAGATAAGTGAGCGATCCATACGGATAATAAGGAGTGTACTCACATTGACGGCAACGATGTAAGCCATAGTGGCGAAGGTGGTCAAACCAGCCCGAATCTCTCGGAAGAAGGAGGCGCCGCGAATGGCTTTTTCCTAGTTATGGTTAACATATTGGATTGTGTGGCGGGGTTAGGAACACGATGTGGACAGCTAAGAGTCATGATGTAGATTATATACATCATACCATGGACATCGCGAGAAAAGGTAGGTAAATACTTGGGAAAGGATCTGGGAAGTGAAGATGACAAGTAGGAAGAATGAACTTACATGGCCACAGCCATCCAAACGGAAAACTCGACCGAAGGTAGAACGGTTGATGGCTTCATCGAGAGCGCCCAGCTTGCTCATCGCCTGGTCGATAAATCCACTAATGTTGAACATGATGTTTTGCTTGGGCGACAACGAGTCGCGTCAATGAAATCAAATACAAAGCGAGTGGCTAGTAAAGATTACCCAACGAAGGGAGATGAATTGGTTCCAGTTAAGACTGGTCTGATTGAAGATGTAGACTGTCAACAATGAATGCTATCAACAATAACAATGGGAAGGAGAGTTGTCAAACGAATTGTAAAACAGAGGATGAGTGAGTGGTGTTGATTTGAAGAGGATAAGACAAGGAGGGGCACAAGGGTGTGTGGAAGTATACGACTCTGAACTGGTGCCAATAACTTGATTGACAACTTGATTGACAACCTGGAACCAACCTAAGAAGCGCAAAAGACGAAGTCGAACAGAACAGATCGTTGCACCGGAATGCGTTTGCCGATTTGATCTTGCGCACTGCACTAAATGCGTGCCTCGTCAGTTACAAAGGAAGGTTCCTTGCACGTTTGAGGAATCGTACGAGAAAGGAATAAGAGAGGGGAGTTGTGTGAGAAAAAGGTTAAGTAGAAAGGAAGGGACAGTGAAGAACGGGGTCGAGGTGATGAATGTATGGGTATGTCAGGCATGGGGAAGTGCAGTTGCAGTGGTGGTTGTAAAAGTATTGACTCGGTACCTAGGTACAAAGGCAGGTGGAAGTACTGGAACTTGGAAGTACATACATACATCAATATTGATGTAGATGTGGGAGGTGGAAGGAAGGAGGTAGAAGGTAGGAGGTAGGAGGTAGGAGGTAGGAGGTAGGAGGTAGGAGGGAAGAAATGGATGTTGTGAAGCAACGGAAGAGGGAAGGTGCAGGTGTGCGTGAGGTGTACACCAGTTCAATGATTCAATCTTGGTTGCTCCGTTACTTGTGTTGCTGGTTACTGGCTGCTGGCCTACATACCTAATCCTAAGTTATCGACTACGACAAGCTCTCTTTCTTTCTCATTCTTGCTCTTTTCAAATGCATGTACTCGAATCAGGCCTGGCTAATTAATACCTTACCTACCAGGAAAAAATGTGGTTTAACCTCAGGCATCCAGATTTTCACTCTACCAACAGCAGTGCGAATATGCATATTGACAGTCAACATTGGATTGCTAGGGCTATCTACTCTCCACTGTCTCGTCATCAAAACACGATAATTGTATAGAGATACCTAAAGGGGAACCAAAAGAAGACATACCCGTATCTGCCCTAGGCATATAAGTCTGCAGGCAAGTAATCTTGCTAACGATCTCCATTCGGGGTTGGCCTCGGTAGTTTTCTGTTAAACGTTGCCAATGAGGATCCTGTTACTTTAGAATTCCATTTGTGTGCTAGTCTAGTGAGGATGATGTCCACGGATGTCTTCGATAGTCACCGAGTCGATACGGTTCTAATGACAGCCGATCCCCTTTTACCCCAAGACCTTTCCTGCTCGTTCTCTCAGAATTTCTTGAATATAGCTAACAACGATAACAAATTGTTATAAGTAAGGAGATGAGAGTCATGAGACCAGCTGAAAGATCTAGGTGCATCCCTGCTCGGCCATAAAACTGGGCAATCTAGAGATCCAAAAACATCCATCCGAGAAAGATCAAAAGCTTATATTGAAAGCAAATATAGCTTTGTGGAGAAAAGGTCAACATATCAGAATAATACTACAACTCGAACGAAAAAGTAAATAATCATGCCTCTACCATTATTGGCCTCTGAAGTTATAACTCATAGCCTCCCCCCTTTTTATGAGCCGCCTCACCACCTAGATATACCAGGAGGTATATGCACCACACCAACCTCGCATGTGCATGTGTAGATATATCAGCTTTACATGCATTGTGTGCCTACCTGCTTGCTGCAACTGTGATTCGGCCCTACGCTAACCTACCCCCTTTTCTGTCCCTCCTCTCACCAAAGGCCTCCTGAGATCTGGGGATCCTATGATCCTACCTAGTGATAATGAATTGGTCAGCATTGGACAATCGCAAACACGCAGGTCTCCTGCAAAGCTTGCTTGGCTTGTTCCACGAACTGTAGATGATTGATAAAACCCCTTGAAAGGCTTAGTATGGGACGACATGGGACTACACGGTAGGCAAGCAAATGAGACATGCGGGAAAATTCGCCAATTACCGAGATATACGGCAACACAGGCCATTCTATTGCTGGAGCACAGAGTGGGGATGGGACGTGTGCCCATGCCATCATATAATTCCCGTGTAAGCCGGGATATGCATGTTGTATTCGCTCGCCCAAGAGATTCTTCATGGCTAGCGAGTGTGACAAAGGTAGTAGCAGGAACCGATAGTACATCTAAAGCTAGGCCACGGAAGCGAATCGGAATGGAATACACAAGGACTGGTGAGTAGGAACTGAGTCTATGTGCGCATCTACGCCCGAGGCAGTGGATCGAGTGGCGTTTCTTGGTGTAAGTACATCACCTAGTAGGTATGCAAGACATCACCACCAAAGGGTCATGTTGATAATTGGTTGCCAGAGTATATAGACATACGTTCCTCTTTCAAAGCTGTCCAACACAGTACGATGTAGGTTCGTAGCTGGGTCTAGCTGAGTCAAATGCGGTGGAGACTTGTCAAGACCACCCGAAGGGAAGAATTAGCGATGCTTAATTATGAGTACCATCCTAGTCTGGTGAATCCTATACTAAATAAAGTATGGCCTTCTCAGCCCTTCAATGATTTTTCCAATGCCTAGGTCTCTATACCTAATAGACCAAGTCTCCCTATCAGGATTCAGCCTGAGAACCTCCAGGTGGCTCATCATAGAGAGGGCTATCATGCTAGTATCCAGTCTTACAACAATATCTCATCAGTCCCTCTCCCTCCTATTTCAGGTGGTAAATTATCGACCTACAGTAGTATTCTAGTGCTAGAGTATGTTCATATAGGGGCCAGATAAAGTGGCTAGAGAACCTAGAAATATGCTCCGAGACTCCAGAATTATCTTAGTGATGCAAGGGCCACATCCGATTACCTTGATTGCCACTCCCGGCAGTATAATCTAGGTAGGAAATGTCTACTATTGGGACTATCTTACCATTTTGTAATATAAACAGCCCTATAGCCTGAAGAGATTTGCCATGTAAGTTTTATAGACCCTCACATGACCCACAGATCCATCAAACCCCAAAGAAATACTCCCTCAAAACGCTATTTGTCATAGACAATATAAATTGGCGCTTGAATAGCAAATAGCAATTATAATCGGAGTAAGGGACTTGGTTTCCCAAGCTATCTAGTTGAGATTGATATGAAGAGTTCGCTATCCAGGTAGCGTAGGGGATATTTATGAGATATATGTGTTTACCTAGGGGACAATAATGTCATAAAATTGGCGGGGTTTTCCTCGGCTTCTTCAAGTTATCTACATTCTGCTCATGAAGAGGCGTAATCTAGAGGCAATGGATTGCCATTTATCCTATCTAACCCCTCATTGCACTCGCCAAATATTTTCGAAGCAAACTATAGAGAATGCGAGACCAAGTTAAAAGAATACCCATACGGAAAAGGAGTCTATACAAATTCGAAAAAAAAACCTGTTAGTTCCGGGCACAGTAAGGGGTAAACATAGTCCATGGATTTATTCAACGAAGAGACGTAGCCTACGGAGAATCTGAAATGTCTCATGGCAATCGGCACATGGTGTGTTCATTGCCATGCATTAACTTATGACCTGGTAAATCGTGATTGTACTAGAATCAAGGAACTTGGTGTGGATTCCAATGGGTTTGGGGCATGATTTTCTTACGAGATCGAGAAGATTCGTCTTTGTGCTAATCACTACCCCTTTTTCAATGAGCTCTTTTCAATACGGGCGTTAGTGGTAACGGGCTTTCTTCCATAACTCTGTTCCATGACTCTGTACCTAGAGTCACCGTAGACATTACATAGTAAAAACACATTCCGTCACCGAACCCCCTCACGCGAATATCCACATTCAAATTCTAGGATGAGGTGACTACGAATACCTACCTACTTTGATTCTGCGAAACATGGGAATGCCTGCTATTCCACGAAATTCTTTGGATATTATTAGGTACCTCCTTATGTACGATGAAAACACCGCTTCAAAGGTCAACTTATTTTTTGTGGGTATGGAATTAGGCAATTCTAGACTTATATCCCACGAAGACTGAACAGTTGACTTATCAATACTATTGTTATACAGGAGAATATATAGTATGAGGAGGAGGCCGGCCACATAGCACAGGCAGGGATTTTATATGGTCATGTCGAGGTGTCAAAAAGAGAGCTAAAGCAGAGCCAAGTGAAGCTAAGAAGAGCCAAGCAGAGCAAGGTAAAGCTAAGCAAAGCTAGCAATAGCTAAACCGAACCAAGAAAAGCTCGAGGTGGGAAGTCTCAACGGGAAGATGCGTTAAATGGTCCCCTCGATCTGATTAGCGCACCTTCCCGTAATCCATCTTCGGATCAAGCAGGTACGAGTGCAGGTAGTAGCCACTGGCCAGGTACGGGCCCAGACCCCTTGTTACCTTGTATGTACTATCATACAACTATGTAGTATCATACTAGTATGTACATAAGTTTTGAAGTTGTACATACTAGCTAGTACATACAGTGTCATACACGTACGTACATGAGCAGTATAGTACCTTCCTGAGCAGATAAACATTTAATATTCATTCAAAACCGGCTTGACTTCTTTTTTGCGCTTCTATGGATCCTCTGGTCAGCATCGAATATGTCTCACTATTCAAACTAACTTTACAAGCTGCCTCAACTCGTATCATCCGGTCGATGTTATCACCAAGTGTCCTTTCTTCTCCCCCCCTTATCAAATCATCCAATATTCACTTTCACTGTCCTACTTTACCACTTACAAATTTCCACATCCTTACTACGATTTGATCCTAATTGCGCTTGTTCTATCAGTGAAACGATCGAGACCAGTCGAGTTGAGCAAGTGACCAAACCTGTAAACATTATACTATAACCTTCGTACCCAAGAAATCTCCAGTTGTGCCATAATTGGATCCCTTAGTTAAGGCCACAATCGAAGAATCTAGGATAGATTCTTCTAATTCGAGATTATGACATGGCATGTCTAGCATTTATTAAGAGTTGACTCCAGGCAGAAATTCGGCTGGTCATTGAATTCAAACACCCTACGATTATAGACCCTCGCAGATCATTATACACCAAATTCGAGCGCTTATTCCTGTAATAGAAGTTATATGATCTATACGACAGAATCCAACGATTGGGAGTCTGATAGATAAAAATCGCCTATCATGTTTGATGTTCTGTGGACTGATCCCAACCGGGAACTTGTTGGTGAGAGAATGGTGAGAAAAGAGCAAGAGGCAAAGATGAAGGATCAGGAAAGAAAGCAGAATCCAGGTAGCAACCGCCAATCCACCTCAACCGACAGCTCGACTTCAAGTGATCGTGGTTTCGGGCTCTTTACGACTAGGAGCCGAAGAAAGACCCCAACACCATCTAGACACAAGAATTCGCCCGCATCACCAGCTCTTTCAGCTAGTAGCTCTAACAGAATTAATCGGTCCTCGGCGTTCTGTGTAAAATCTTTGCTCCTTCACCAGGATGGCTCCGAGACTACTGTCAAACCTGCCGAGGGCGGGTTTCTCCCTGTGCAACTTCCCGAGATTGTTGACGCTTCCAGTATATCGTCCCCAGGTAGGAGAGTCCGATCTTCTGGGTGGCTATCTATTTCTGACGATTTTCCATGACATTAGACTCCACCCTCTCGAAATGGACACAGCCATCCGCTGCTACTGACAGCACGGGCGCTGGAGCCTCGGCAAGTGACATGATATACGTTCCCAAACCAGAATATCTTGTTCAAACTTTAGGACCGTCCTCGTTCATCACTAGGACTACCGAGGTCACATATTCGGCCCGTGACCCGGAATCAGATATTGAACATATGATTTCCGAAGTCCACATCTCCGCTGATCGGACAAAGGCTCCAACGCCGCCTATGCTACCAGACTTGCCTGAGAGAGTGTAAGCCCCCTAAAATATGAATTGGTGGTCGAGCTGTCCTCATAGTATTTTCTAGGAACCCCTTGGCATTTGATGACCCTGGCTCCATGTCATCTCCATCTCAATCACCTCAAACCCCGCCCCCTATCGAGCTCCGAAATAATATCGGTATTTATACCCCGGGCTGGAGCGGCAATGATAGATTGGGTAACCCAGATGCTTGGAAACCTCCTCATGAGTGGGATTGTACTCTTGCGAAGGAAAATGCAGGCTCGTCGGAGGAGGGGAAGCCGCCTAGTCCTTCGGGGAGCGACGATTCGGATCAATGCATGTCTCCAAGTCTCGCAGCGCTACAGCGTGAAGTCAGAATGATGGCTGCGGCCAGCCCAGAACTTATGCTCGCCAACATCAAGTCTAGCATGGGGCATGCGCCAGACGCTATGGTTTACAAAGAGCTCGAAATGGCCAAACAACGTTGGCTATTTTCTGCACTACAACAAGAAGGCTATGCCACGTTGGTAGAGAGAGTGAATGGAAGCCCAGAAGTTTCAAGTTCGGCGAAGTCTCCCAGACCGCCCAAAATCCTCGCGCTATACGAAACCGAAGGTGCGTATCCCTTATGAAAGGGGGTCTTTAGAAAGCTAGCTGACAGGGCGATTAGCATCTGCTTCCTTTCTTGCAGCTTTACATCCACAGGCCTCGATATCTCATCTTGGACCCAAACCAATATCACCAAACCTATTCCCAAATGTTCACCCGATAATGGTGCCAACCATATCTGCCTCTGCAGGTTCTCGAACACTTGCACCCCAACTTTACTCGACTGTGACTTGCTTACATATGCCTGCCCTGTTCCCTTCAAGCGAAATTCCACCATTGCTCCGTCATGTTTATCGCTGTTTGACTCCTGGTGGTGCTCTGCACCTAACTTTAATTGACCCTACACCAATATCCTCTTCAATGGGACCGAAGTTGCGGCAATGGCTTTTCGACAAACTCCTGATACAGCTTGAAAAGCGTTGTCGCACGACTTACCCTAGTGGCACATTTCCAGCTTGGCTGGCAGTCGCGAAACTCCGTGGGTCCGGAAGTACTATCACGACGGTTTCGGTGCGGGCTGTGCATGAGGGCGCAACCACAGCGGAGGATGGGGGTGTCCAAGTGCCCGTGGAGAACGAGCTTCGGTGCCTTATTGCGAGAATGTTGTGGCAGGAGATATGGGGGAAATATGTTCACGCAGATCGATGGTGGTGGGAGGAGGAAGAGATAATCCAGGAATGTATCGAACGAGGGACTTACTGGCAGTATTCCTATATTGTTGCCGTCAAAGCCAAGTAAATGGCATAGCTGAATCGTCGCCTATCGTGCGGGAACTTGGAAGATGTTGGAATGCGATATTGGAACATGGAGAAGAATGGCTCTCGCACCATCTCATCGCATAAGCGTTTCGGGACGAATGATTCTAATTATTCAACAATATTCCGTCCTATACTGACGGAACTGCTACATGCCTCCAGAGCAGTTCATATGCGAAAATCTGCTATACTCCTTGCCATGAGGATATACGCTACCTAATTTACTAAGGTTAAATGGTTTTAGTGGAAAGATACCCGGATGCAAGTTTTGCAACATCAAACTATTACCTAGTAACTAGCATTTATTGTTACAGTTGCTCTGTGCTTGAGTTTATGCTGAATTGATGCCATTGTTACTCTGATCATTGTGATCAAGTGATAGAGGAAAAGGGATATCATTCTTGGGTACCTGGGCATGTATCGTGTCCCGAAGCACGGAGGCGCCGAGAGCAAACCGTAGGACCACTAAGGAGAAAAGCATGGGCATATTCAAATGAGGATGGATCTTGATAGTGTTGTCAGTCGGCTCATGAGCAAACCATGGTGGTGATTTCCAAGTACGGAAGCTAGGGAGTATGCGGCGCCGTTCCTGAGGAACAGACACTGCAGTAGATCACAGCAAACATGGGCATGTGCATCTTGTGATGCGGGACACATACGTTTGAGAAGAAATGCAGTTACCCACCAATTCATCGGACGAGTACAGAGGTTCCCAGCGTTGGAAAATCAACCTGTCATTTGTTACAGATCTTGAGATCTCGCGTGCAGAGCTGTGGTTACGCACAGCATCAGACACCAAGGTCCTCGAATAAACTTGTGTCCCAAGCATGTCCATGGACAGGTACATAGGCAGATAGGTGGTAGCATACTTGCCTATGTGCATACCTACCCAGTATATGGTAGATCAATATGCCGTTCCAAAGTGACGTCGTCTCTGGGACGAGATGAAAATTCGAAAGACGTATCATTTGCAGGACGGCTCATTTTCAATGCGCCTCGCCTCTCAGTCGGCCCTCCTTTGCCTACCAGCCTAGGTACTAGGTAGTTAGTTATATGTATTGTACAATAACTACCTTCTGCCAGTCTAGGTACCTATTCATTCCTATTACAAGATGATGTTGGAAAGGGGCTTGGCACGCCAATATGAGACTCGATTCCAAGGAACATTCCATCTTCTAGACTGCGCCGCAATAGATATAACTATTATCTACCTACCGACATACATACGTACCTGGTACTGCTGTCAGCCTGTGCCGCTCGATATTGGATAGTATCGGCATTTTGTCGATAGTTACTGCGGAACGCTAAAAGTTCGGTGACGGCCCGGACGGGCCCTAATATTACTCATTTAGTCGTGACAGGTAAGTTTTTTTTTAAGGGGGGGATTCTCTTGTCATCGCCCCGTATCGGTATCGCATCGGTATCGCATCGTATCGTATCGCATTCAAAGCCAAAACCAGAAAGTCGTCAATGCTTTTGTCGCCTCGTAGGGATATATATATAAATATGGAGATGTTCGGCAAACGACATCCGACCCATGGAAACATTGAACGTCAGGACACGTGGGTGTGCAAACTTGCGGAGAAGGCCGTCTCGATTTTTTTTTTTTTTTTTTTTTTTTTGGTTTTGGCACGGACGACGCCACCACGAACGACGTAATAACTTATTATAAGGGCTCCAGAAAAGAAGTCGGATATGAGAGCCTTAAGAAGGGGTTGATGATCGTTTATCGGAGTTACTAGTGACGGTAGTGCTTACACATCTACCAGATTTCTACCTACCTACCCGGCAGTTATTCAAACAATCCTGGATGAAGAGTTCTCGAACAAACCTTACATACACAGAGAGAGTACCGATACCATTTATTTTAGTGCTGGTAATCTTAATAAGAGTAAGGCTACGGGGGAAAATCCAGATGTCTAAACAAGGGTCATAATACATACCTACATACCCTAGGTACATATTAACTATAAGACATGATTTCATAGTTTTAGATGGCACTACGAGATATTTCGCCTAGGTAACCCTTCCAAGACCCCCAGTGATCAACCCAGGGACCCTCGCAAATAGGGGAAAAAAAAAAGGCCAGAAAGCCCCTGCTAAAAAGAAGAAGGGAGACAGACATACTGACATATGTAGTTAATTATGAATAAAAGAGACATGGTTCACCTTTCAAGCCCTACACTAACTGTGGAGTACCCATCTTGGTTCGGTGTTGCATGCCTTATCTTACCTAGGTTAGGTAGATAGTTATGGCTGTGGGTTGGAAACCGAGCGCACTGATCATTTTCAATATTCTCCATTCAGAAAAAGGTAGGTTATTAGTTAGGTAGGTAGGTAACTATGTTAGGTTGCTGAGGATGACAGCCCAACACATGCCTCTACACCTAGGTAGGCAGGTGCGGATTTTTTTTTACATCGCATCGCATAAAATTTTTTTTTTCTCATTGTAGTTATTGGCACGAACCCGGGTCCATGGGCCGGAGGTGCTGAAGGATGCATATGCATGCAGGCAGTACGACGGTGAGGCTTTCCAACGGTTTGAGAAAGGCACTGGGGAGAATTAAAAACGTCTGAAATTGTTTCAACTTAGTTACCTAACTAGTTATTTGGTACCTAAGCTTGTTAGTGCTTACATATGTACTTGCCCAGGACCCCAGGTCGCATTTCCACATTCTTCTTTTTCATAGATATATAGTAGAGGTTTTGCTGATGATTAACTACCTAGTATCGATATGGATAAATAAATACCACATATTACATGATCGAAACCACGTTAATGCCTACAAGAAAGAACGTGAAGACATCCATCACTATTTATTACAGGGACCTATTGTAGGTGTTAGTTAGTAAGTGTATAGAGCACCCCAGATCATTTAACAAAACTCCAGGGCTATAAAATCCCTCTTTACCTATTCGAGCCAGACGCTTGCAATTCAGAGGTTGCGATTGGTTGATGGTGGCCAGGATGTGTGCTATTGAGAATAAAAATAGGGGAATAGGAAAAAAAAATGGATGGATGACCTACATACATCTAGTTATCTACTGTACATATCCAGGCTTATTGTCCCAAAACACGCCTCGCAAATGTGTTTCACTTTACCGGGTTCGTTCACATGGAAATTGTCAAATACACCACCAATGGAGGTAGGTAGGTTTGTAAGCAGACACATGCTTGGGCATACATACGTCACGATTCCAGACGAACTTCAATGCCGTAGTACTTATTACATATGTAAGTGGTATTGTCTGGTAACTCTTCATGTCCGAGACCAAACCCCGAGTATTGAAGTTAATTACCTATTCATGTAAATCTCCTACTGAATCCAGTCGACATTAACTAGTTACATGCTAATTACCTAACTACGTAGTGAGTAGGTTGATATGTAATCAGCCTTATAGACAACTAAGTTACCATTCTCACACCGCCCCACCCTTTCCCTCCATTAACTTCCTACACAGTACCATGTGGCATGTGCTATGCAAATACGCTATTACCCCAGGACCACTTTGCCAGTTAATATATTAGTGCAGTTAGTGCAGTTAGTAGAGCGGAGGTTAGGCCATCAGGGGTCCTTGCACCATGGGGCAGTGCGGATTCCGGAATGGTAGGTAAGGGGGAAAAGGTTCCCACTTCCACCCATGAATTATGTAAGTTGCCTAGACCTAGCAAGTACATAGTAAAGAACTTATCCCCAAGACAAGGTCAAGTCATAATGTTACGCACCCAACCAAACCAGTCTCTCATTCCTTCATTCGCATTGTCTAACCTGCCTAGAATCTGTTATAGTATCTATATACTATCTATTAGCTCTATGACATCGCAAGCTGAGTTGGGTGCCTAACTAATGTTCAACGGTGGTTTGGCTAGTATAAGATAGGATGATCGTCGATATTGATAGACAAAGTTGGTGAAGAGAGTAATAAGTGTTTGAACTCCGATAGTGCCATGTGAGCCTCCCCCATCCCCCCCCCCCCCCCCCCCCCCCAGCCTAGCCTGGTCTCCATTTATGCATAATGCCATTACTGTGTAAAACATACCTAGGTGAGAGCCCCTAGTGCAGTCGTATTGTATGTACCTCGTGAGCCGGCATTTCATTCCGATCAAGCCAATGACACCGCACCATTCCGCTTTGTCTCATTCCCACCTTGAAGTGAGTTCAGCTCGATGATGGCTAGGGTGGGTCATATGCCAAATAAGGTCGTTTCCGACCATCATCATAAGTATCAATCACATTGATAGATAGTGTCGTTAAAATCTGAAGTAATGAAGGATTGTAAATTGTTAGTTGAACTACCTAGATGCCTAGATAGAAGATGCCGAGTTATACTGCCACGCCTTTGAGCTCCTGGTTAGAGTTGGACACTCCATCACTGGCGTTAGCCAACTCCGTCATGCTCTCCGTCTCGACATCCTTGCGCGAACTTCGGCTCGAGAGCTTAAAGGTATAGTTGCCCATTTCGCGACCGTACCGGGAATTGTTGTCGGGACGATGGCCGCCTAGGCGTGCTTTGACATCCGCAAACGTGATTTTTGCGGCTTCCCAACTAGTCGAGACGTAGATCAGGCAATTCCAGAACCCCTGGAGTGGGAGCACGATTGCGCTCATGATCTCTAGAGTCGCCGATACATCCTTCGCTTTAACGAGACCATATACACGGTTGGCCGAGGAGGGAATCCACGTAATGAGTAGTGCCGTAAAAAAGAGGATCGCACACTTCGAGTAGGACCATGCCGCATTGTTCGCCTCGTAATTCGCTCTTCGCTTTTGTGTCTTGGATCGAAATCGGCCGGTCATTGGCGTCTGTGGTAGATTATTTTGAGAGGCATTTCCTTCTTGAGTTTGACCGCTAGGCTTGTTGTCAGATGAAATCGTCACCGAATATGTTTGCTTAGTTGGGACAATCCGGCCAAACGGGGCCAGGTCGAGTTCATCTTTGTCATCTGCCGCAGATTCTCTCGTCACTGTCACCTCTGTCGTCTTCACCGAAAAGGGGTCGTCCATGGTCAGTGGCTCTGGGCCATGGGCACTGTTACTGCCGCCAAAGTGACGTAACTGCTTGCGCTTCTTGAATATCTCACCCCCTGTTCTGATATATATGAACATAGTGATCATGATGACAACCCTGAAGAAAGATTTAGCGTTATGAGACGAGTTAAGGCAACAGTTTGCGACTTCTTACCAGACCGGTCCGTAAAAAGTAGCAATCCGGAAGACGTCCCAGTCCGTGGATATCCAACACCACAAAGTCGCATTTCCATACATCCTGCTATATCCTTCCTTCCTGACAAAGATATAGGTGAGAGCGGGGACGAACGGGATGCCATAGCATAGTAAAAGATACCAAAGCTCCATCTTGCGAAGTCTGGCGGCATCGAATTTATGGTAAAAGGTCAAGTAAACATTGCACGCCATTGCCAGTGTCCAGAAAGCATCGGCAGGCATAAACCTTTGTCAATCTTTAGTAATGTGATCCAACAGAATGCTGTTCATTGCTATAAATGCTTACATCTGGATGAGGAACCCTTGGAATTGGCACCCGAAAGAGTCGAGGCTGTCAAGATATCCTCTTGACATCAGCGTTCCGACGTTAGTCATCATGTTGCCGAAGGAGGCGTAAAAGACCAGACGGTTAATAGGCTTGTGGAAGGCTTTGGAGCATAGGAAGGTGATAATGACGAAGAGCGACCCGAGCAACGAGCATCCCGAGCCAACGCGCTCGATGATGCTAATAGCCCGCAGCTGCCCTTCTGTTAAGTCGCGCGCCATCTCGGGCGACGTTATCGAATCCGAGGATTGTAGGTATATGGTTGAGACAAACAATAAACGAACTCGAGTTGGTCGGTTCGGCAAACGAAGGACGGGCCTACTAAGTTAAGGAGTGGGTGGCCGGTTAATCAAGGCCGCTAAGTGAGCCAGCTCAGTAGTGAAATGTATATGCAACTCATCGATCACAACTGAGTGCCAAAGTCCATCAAGTTGTCTAGCGCGTGGCACCAGCGTCCGGACCTCGACCGGATCTTATAACTAAACCGTCCGCTTAAGTCGGCCTCATATAAAGAATCGTAATATACAATATACTACAGGGTTCATGCCCTGCCTCTGGACGAGGGTATCGAGATGAAGTGCCTTGGAACATCTTTTGTTTTTCTCCAAGGGGGGCATAGGCCAGCAGATATGCAACAGCCGGTTCATGACCGGGATATCACCCAGAACCGCACTAAGCAAGGAGACCTATGTCAACATTGTCAAGATTCAGCTCAGGGACCAGGTGTGCAAGTTGGACACAGACTAGAGAAAAGGGTTCCGGCTTTTGGAAGGACAACCCGAACTGGAAGCCAATCAAGTGGTGCAATAGAAACGAGGAAAAGTTCTATGTCAGGTACTCTTGGGACACGGACAGACGGGGGGGAAGGTAAGCTAATGTCCACTAGCAACAGTGATTTCAAGCACGTAAGACGCTAAGGCTTATAATCTGACCTGTAGTATGTTCGCGATGGTTGCCATTTCGAACGTGTATCCGAGAACTTGCACGGTACCAGCTTGGGGTAAGGATCTAACCAATCGTGGACGGCTTGGCAAACCCCGGAGCTTGCAAGTAAATAGCCGAAACATCCAACGGCTCCGCAAAAGTATCTAAGCCATTATCTTCCCCAACTTGGCTGGCCAGGTCCCAGTTTTGTCAAGTACCGTATGTACCTTATGTATGTAGTTACATATGTCAGTATCAATGTCAAAAGCTAGCCCATGCAGGAACCAGTCCGGTTCAGGGACGTACAGTATATAATAGTATGCAAGCAGATGAGGAGAAGACCGGCGAGTCCATGTAGGATGATCTGGAAGATTGAATCAATGATGATCAATGATAGCCTTATAGAGTAGAAGAATGAGCTGTATACCAAATAGGGGGCTTTTGGAGATTTATTGCTGACGCGCGTCTGAGGGCTTGATTTGTACGTACAGTTAAAGAGTAGGTAGGTTGGTACTTAGACAACATAACATGCATGTAGTGCACTTCAATGTTGCCATACATACTACTAGTAGTAGTAGATTTGTACATAATATTGGTTTGCTAAGCGGCCTGATGCATGGCAAATGTAAGCGGCTCACGGACCTTCTCATATATATATCGTGTGCATAGGTACCTATATACCTACATGTAGGTTGGTATAGAGAAGTCAGCTTCCAAGTTTAGTTTACAGGTACATATAGTCAAGTTACCTGTCAATCCGTCGATCTTCGAGTAAGTCGTGATCATTGTTGATTATGAAGTAAAGGTGGCTTGATCACATGGCATATAGATTGTTAGAAGAAGAGAGAAAGATGTATCTGAAACAAGCTTGAATAATAAAAGATGTAGGTTAGTTAAGTAGGTGACGACTTCCACCCACATACATAGTCGTACCTACCTAACCTACATGTAGGGTACTTTTAATATGTATATTACAGTATGTGCTACGTATATTAGGTACATGGGTACGTACATAAGGTAGCACTTGCTTCTAGAGTCGGGACATTTGTTATATTCTACGAGTCAGATATTTCATCTCACCCCCAGCCCGTCTTACTCCTTTTATCCTCGTACAAGTAACTTATGCCATGTGTCATGTGCCATGTGCCATCCCTTTGCCATGTGGTCTTCTTACCCATGCCTCATCCTTATATTAATAACATTTCAATATTAAAATATCTATAATAACGTTCTTGATGCTCTCAGCTTATACTACCTACATATCTATCTACCTGGATATCACCTTCGCTCTTTTTTTCCGTTACATAAAATTCAACTACCTACGTAGCCTTACCGGGATAATTACGAAAATTCCCACGATCTAGACCTCAAAAGCTGAACACCCTCGCCAGTGCCGCCTATGCCTTAAACCTCAAGCCTGAACCTTCATTTCATATGTCACTTCCATGTACCACCACATATCATGACTTAAAGACAGTTGATATTGTGGATATAGAGGTAATTGCCATGCAAAACATGGCCAAAGGTACAGTCACCAATATAGTCAGAGAAACTTACGGCGTAGTCGCACAAAATTCAAATCAATCGAACAAGATTTGCATAGTAGCAGCTTCGCTTACAATGCATTGCCAAGCTGTCACAGGGCGGGAACCTAGAAGACGCAGAGCATCATTGTTACGCGGGGATCTCCAACATCTCCCCAGACACTATGGAAGACTTTGGAAGTTACATATAATTGACCTACATGAGAGCTGTCTTCGTTCTATCTAGCCCCCCAGGTAGTCCCAAGGTAGACCCTTGACCCAAGCCGTTTGCTGCTGTGCCGTAATTCTCCTATTAAGGCTATCTTACAGAGACCACCAGTGTGGTAGCCTTTCAACGCCTATGAAGGACCAGGATCCCGCGGTTTGTCGACCTGGTTTCCTTCTCGGAGTTTCAAGAATCCAAGACGGTTGCTTGTTCACACTATGTTACACTCCCATTAAGACTTCGCTATAGTGAGAAGATGGGCGATCTACAATCTTCAAGAGTATGGTGTATGTTTGGAGTTTTGGAACACGATGTCAAGTTCAATGTCGGCACGATGTCAGTTCCCGTAGGTACGCCTCGCGATTTCTTAGGCCGACTGCATCCCGCTCTCCTAGAACCGACTCTTTTGTTTCAACACTTGAGGCCTCAATTCTCACTCAAACAAAGATTGTGGCTCTGATATACAAGCTCCAGCATATGCCAACTGAATAAAAAGAAGCTTTGAACATACTAGTTAACCTAGACTAGTGCCAATGATCTCTCTACTTTGGTGGGCTGTTCTAGGCCCCTTATCTAGTAGGTACCTAAGTAACCTACACAGCCTACGCAACCTTGAACAACACCGTCGGTAGGTAGGTAGGCATCGCTTACATAGTAGCGTCTTTTCAACAAATGCCTATCAACCCATATCGATGTTTAGAAAACGATCTTCGTATCACGCACATTTGCCAGCTGAGAGAAAACAAGCATTTGGATGGCACCCTAAGGATGTTCCTGCGAGCCGCTTGCCAGCCAGGATACATAACCTTGGAACCCTGTTATTTTAGAGATGTGCATTATTTAGGCCTCTGTCGAATTCGAGATCCGAGCACATTACATAGTAAAGTAGAGAGCTGGGAAATGCCGAATATCCAGCTTAGGAGAAGGGTGCGATGATAACAGCAGATATTCATATTCTCTTCATCTGCCAAAGGAAACGAACTAGCTATTAATCATACGTAACTAATAGAACGGCTCTTAGTTCCTTTGAAATTCATCTAGATATGGCATAAGGGTGACGGCCTTTCTATGTAAGGGGTCAGTAAGTGGGTAACAAACAACCTTAAAGTCACAACATGTAAACTTGGAGCATCAATATGGATGACATCCAGGCCTACCCCATGGTGTAAAATTTCTTCTCGAGAGAAAAATAGAGACACTTTCGAAGCTTAGCATTGGTAAGTGGTCGAGTTGAAGATGTCCCTAGGCCAGCTCGATTTTCCAAGCAACCCTACTACCCATCTAACCGCCTCTTCCCTTGAACAGGGTGGTATAATGGGAAAGGCTAAAAAAAGATCACAAGATTGATTTCAATCCCGCGTATACCCCCTTTAATGATGATTTTGGTGCCAGGCCATTTCACAGCCTTCTTGCCCCCCTTAGTCATATGGAATCAGCCACCTCCTATCCCAAAGCTTGTTCACACACTTAGGGAGAACGGGGGTTATGTCATCTTATTGACACTTATCGGCGGTCGAACTAGGTCTCACGGCAAATCATCGCTAGAATATACAAAGGCCTAGAGCTTTTCATAACTGACACCTGTGTCAGACGCTATTCACATCTTCAACTAAGGCGCTGCCGACCTTCACATTCGCCATTGTCCGTTTAGAAACCCATGAGAACGCTTGCATGACTACTGACGAATTCCCCCTTGCAAGCTGGCCCCTTCTTTGTCCTGTCCATCTAATAAGACGACTCAGGTGCCCCTCGTTCTAGAAGACTTCTAGATCTCGCGATTTCCACGAGATTTTGATCTCTAATAGGTAACCTAGGTAATTCTACCTGGTAAACAATTCGTAGCCTGTAAAGAGTAAGGAAAAACTCGTCACTTTATCCACGATGGTCCCTTTCTTTTTTGTCTTCTGGAACACTCCTGAATTTTATCTTACAACCATGAAGTTGTTGACTCCGCGTCCCTTTCAAATGCTCGAGCCGGTGAAGCATACAAGATGGAGAAAGCCTCCTTTAAGAATCGCCAGGCTCCCTCCCGGCCCGCCTGATATACTGCGGTGCCCAATATATTCATGACAGAAACTCTCTCGGTAAGAGTTCCAACGAATCTGGGTCTTCGTAGAGTTCATGGAGACCGAAACTTGAAGGACTAGCTACATCCATAGGTAGCTTACGAAGTCAAACAACCGAGAGATCTTGTAGCTGAGGTGCAAAAATAAAAAATAAAAAAAATAGCAAAGCCTCTAAACCTCCATTGTAACCAGCATGACGAATAAGGGGAGCAAGTCTCGGCACTTTAAAGTCCGCACCAACCATAGACCTGGGTCACGAACCGTACACTTCGACGACGACTACCCGATGAACGGCGTAGATGCATCTCCTGCGAAGAAACATCACCCACAGAACAAGAAGGCAGCCAAGGGGAAAACCCCCCAAGGCCAAAACCAAAGCGCACCATGGCACGGCTGGAACAGCAACAGCAACAGCAACCCCCCAGATCAACACAGGCACAACAACCCAAACCAGCGTAACAACAAGAACGGCAACAACAATAACAACAAAAATCCTAACAAGCATAATCGAAACCGCGGCCGCAACAACCGAAACAACAATAAAGACGCCGACGCCGACGACGAAAACAACGGTGACGACAGCGGCATATTCGGGGGGCCCTCCCCAGCACCCTTCCCACCCCGCAAGAACTGCAGCAAAACCCCCAACCACAACAGTCATAACCATAACCGCAACACCAACACCCCCACCACCAACAAAACCATCCGCTTCTGCACCGAATGCCGCGACGTCCGGCGCGCAAACCTGCACTTCCGCGACTGGGCCGCGCGCGCGCTGCAGCGATACAGCGAGAAGTTCAGCGCCTGGGCCGAGGACGCGGGGGTGGGCTTCAACACGGGCGACGAGATGGACTGGCAGCCCGAGCCCGTCGTCCGCGTGCTGCTCGTCACGCCCAACTTTTCGCCCCCGCCTTCTCCCGCCCTGGCGTCTGCGCAGACACAACAAATGCTGAATCATCACTACTATCATAGCAATAATAACAACAACAATAACAACAACAACAACAACGGCATAGGACCGATCCCGAAACCGGGGCCCTGGGCCTGGCCGCCCTTCTCCGGCGGCACGACGGGCGATTTCTGGCCGTTCGGCACCCCGAACAACTCCTCCTCGTCCTCCTCCGTAGCCAAGCCCGCCATCAAATGGCCGCCCCAACCACCAACAGCACCAGCAGGAGGAGGGAGCGCATTTGGTACATCCAGCAGTGATAATGCAAATCATGGTGGTTACGAAGGCGGTCCCATGCCCGTATCCGGCTTCGGGATCATCGGCGCCACAGCAGCGGCGGGGAGCCAGCTGCTGCCGACGGCGCCGGGCCTGCGATGGATAGAGGGGATGAGTGGCGGGGTGGACGACCCGGGGATCCCGACACGGACGGCGGCGCAGACGCCGGCGGTGACGAGCACGTGTAACGAGGGTTTTAGGACGACGCTGAGTACATGTTGTCAGAATAAGGGGATGTTCGATTGATATGTATCACGTAGCCTGATCAGTTTGAGCGGATGGGGAAGAGGGAGATGGGTTGGTATAACCCATCAAATACCTTAGGCGCGCTGGGGTTATGTCTAATGGGGGAGTAAGGGGGTATCGGATACTACGACTGCACTGAATGGAAACCTACCTCTAGTGGTTATCTATTTCACAGTATCGCAGAAGCACCTACGATGGCAAAACGGAACAAGCGACCAGTTATCTCAGACGTGGCCTGCGTCAAATCATCGGTCAGTCAATCCATGTCTCGACTTTCACGAGTTTTGCTGACTCACGATAGAGGTGGACTGAGAATGACGGAAAAGACGTTGAACGGATGAGACTATAACCTGGAGAGTATCACTAGCAAAGCAGCAAAGGCAAACTTTTGTATAACAGGACTGAAATAGACAAAATACACGGGGGTCGAGTTGCCTATTTGTAATATTGACCAGAGACTTTGTTCCCATTGGAACTATGCGATGCATAGAAAAGAATTAGCAAAAAAGATCCCACCCTCCGAACGCCTAGTCGCCATTGCCTGATGGGAATAACTCCATCCCGTGAACCGTGTGGATTATGATTGTCACATCAAGACCGTAATACAACATATGATAGATTGCTCCTCAGCCCCTATACTATGTTATGTTTACTTCGCTTCTTGGTATTGACCAATCACAATACAATGGTCTCGTTCATAGGGTTCTAGTAGAAATGGTCAGTTAAGAACAAGTAGTTTCCAATATATGGGATTTGGAGGCTGAATACCTAGTGTTAGCTGTTCCTGGGGCTTGATGCGCTCAGCTCTCAGCTTCTGTACTTCCTGTGCGAAGACGGCTTCAGGAGCAGCTGTACTGTCGATACAGTTGGCCTTGATAGAAATGACAACACCTCCGCCAACCTTCAAGAACAGACCCGCATTCAGAGCGACGATACGTGCTTGATCAGGCTGGGCAACATCGGCAAAGATACAGTCAACCATGGGCACGAGCATGCGGTACTTCATAGGATGTCGGGCATCCTCGACAATAGGAATGACATTAGTTCGGTTCTGGGCCATGTTGACAAGATCACGGCCAGATCGGTGGGAGAATTCAACAGCGTAGACGTTTCCGGTAGGGCCAACGATATCGGAAACGTGAGAGACTGAGGTTCCAGAAGCAGCGCCTAGGTACAAGACCTTGGAGCCGGGCTTCATGTAGATGTTGTCAATACCACCAATGATACCAGCGGCCAACTTGGATCGGAAAGGGTTCCAAATTCGATACTCGACCTTGGTGGTGATGGGAGTGCCATCCTCGCCTTTAGATGTGGCATCGACAGTAACTCGCTTCTCGCCGTAGACCTCGATACCAGGAGCAACGCTTCGGGTGAGCAGGTGATCTTCCTTACCCCGCGAGACGAAAACACCTTCGTGACGGTGGGGTTCCTACGAGATGTTTTTTTTAGCAAGACATGAAAAGAATCACAAGGTATCAAGCTATCACTTACGACGACAACCCTCGCACCACCTCGTGCACCACCACGTCCACCACCACGGGGTGCACCACGGGGTGCACCACGACCTCCTCTAGGAGGACCACCACGGCCACCAAAGCCACCGCCGCCGCGACCACCACCAAAGCCGCCTCGTCCACCACCTATGATGAGATTGGGTTAGTTTTCTCATTCTCCATGGCTTCTTGAAAGGAATCCCTATATAATTTAGACTTACCTCGCGGGGCTCCACGAGAACCTCCTCGTCCACCTCGGTCACCAAAGCCGCCTCTGTCACCGAAGCCACCTCGACCACCACCACCACGGCCACCGCCTCTGCCGCCTCTCGGTGCGAAACCCATTATTTAATTAGGGTTTGTGTGGTATTAAGAGATTATGTAGGGATTTGCGACAAAATTATCGCGTATTTTGTCGCGTTGTATGTTTGGATGGAGGGTATTGTAGAAGAAGATTGAAAATTTCAATGCAAGTGTTGAGCACTGGCAGCAGACTTTGTTCGTCAGGCTTGGGAAAAGAAAAAAAAAATTTACTGGAGCTATCGGTATCTCTTAGCTTAGAGTCGCATTGGAATTGAGAATCCGTATTGGCCCGAGCTTCTTTTACTCTTTACCAAACCTTGAAACCACCGACAATTTACCGTTGATAAGCTGATTAGTGATAAAATTTTGATAGCATAATATCACTCGTATCGATAGCTAAGATTACTAGTGAGTCTAACCAAATGTAGTTAGAATGTTAAAACTTCAACGGTTAAGAGGCCAAAAAGTACGTACCGCACAGGGCAGTAAGCGAGAGGGCACAATTCAATTTTCCACAATTTGGAACTTTCCCCAACTTGATTGAACTTCGCGAAATTCTTCATTTCATACAACGACACCGAGTCCATCTCCAATTCCACAACATCCACCCAGCAGCAAAGATGGTACGTTCTATACTCCCGATGAATTACACTGTATACTCGATAGCGTTTCATTCCGCAATTCTTGAAACGTCGTCAATTTGTCGCTGAGAAAATCTACGTTTTGTCGCTATACGAATTATCTATCATAATGTCGGGGATCAGAAATGGACGAAGAGCAATGAAAAGGCTAGATAACTAATGGGCATTCTCTTCAATAGGTTCGATACGCTGCCACCGAAATTGACTCCGCGAAGTCGGCCCGCGCCCGCGGCGCTTACCTGCGCGTTTCGTTCAAGAACACCAGAGAGACTGCCCAAGCCATCAACGGCTGGAAGTTGACCCGCGCTGTTACGTTCCTCGAGAACGTTAAGGAGAAGACTGAAGCCGTCCCCATGCGACGATATGCCGGCAGCACTGGCCGAACCGCCCAAGGTACGTTTAATCAGATGTTGGCTTGGTGCAATATCAGGCGGGACATTAGTCAAAGAAGCGAGGAAAACCTGTTGAAGAGAAATGGGAATCAGACGAGCTATGGCTATTACAAGAATAATGCGGGCTAACATGATTTGGCATAACACAGGCAAGCAGTTCGGTGTCTCCAAGGCTCGATGGCCCGTAAAGTCCGCCGAGTTCCTACTCGGTTTACTCAAGAACGCCGAGTCCAACGCTGATGCCAAGGGTCTCGATACCAGCAACTTGATCGTCAAGCACATCCAGGTCAACCAGGCACCCAAGCAAAGACGACGAACGTACCGAGCCCACGGTCGTGTATGTCACCACAGTTCAACCCGTTGTCAAGGATTGATTTCACTAACAATATCATAGATCAACCCGTACATGTCGAACCCGTGCCACATTGAGCTCATCCTAACCGAAGGCGAGGAGACTGTCCAGAAGTCAGAGGCTGTTGCCGGACGTGAATCCGCACATCTGAGCTCGCGACAACGCGGCACTCGTATCCGCCAGGCCATCACTGCCTCATAGATTGATATCTACGCGAAGGGGGCAAGGATGTGACGATTAATGGAGATATTTGGGGTTCAAGTTGCTTTTCACTCTAGGTGTCAAGGCGGTCGTAAAGCATGGGTCTAGGTTTCCGGCATGCAACTCGCGAATAAAATCTTCGTGGATTCCCCAATACCAAAAAGTTTCAGAACAGTTTTCCGTTTATATCGTCTTGCTTGTGTCCAATGTGATGCTCTGTGTGCTTAAGACTTGCTTCCTTTTACGACTAGTATGAAACGTATTAGGCATAAAGGTGCATATCAAGACCGAGATGAAGTCGGACTTGAGCTGTCACTCCTACGTGTTTAATAGTCATGAAGCCTTACGGTCACTTATCAAATCCATGCTATAAAAGAACTCTCAAAATGTAGCACATTTCATTTACTTGGGGACCTCTGCTCTCCATAAGAGAAAATAGGTATCACCTACTGAATAATAGGCAAAGTAATGGATCTGAAAGAATCCATGAAATGAACACTGCTGCCACACAGCACGCCCAACTATCGTACATCCCAACACGGATTCATGGAGTTGAAAGCAAATACCAAATACCAAATAGGTATTTGTCATTCGCCTCTTCTCAAAATTATCCATCCATGTTCCTGAAAAACTTCTTTTCCTAGGCCCATCATTATTATCCATTATCTTGACAAAGAGAACCAACCCATCGAGCTTTTACTTCGTAAAAGATCGAAGAGTTCCCTAACCTAGCCGCCCAGTAGTAACCATTAACACCGTTATCCCATGCAGATATGTACTCGGAATTTGCGCAAAATTCCGAGAATATTTACTGCTTTCCTTGTCAATTTCGTAACGTAACTTCGTCCAGTAGTCGTAATAAACAGCCTTTGCAGAAAGCGCAGGTGGATCAATTCCAAACGCCTCTATCCGTATCCGTTGGTTTCCCTTTTGGGGAGGGGTATCTTTTCCGTTCGTGAGAATCGTTATCATTTTTACTCGTCTTTCTTTCTCTCTTCATTATTTACCCCTTTCTACCCCTCAGTGTAATTTCGCCCTTTGGTGGTTCATTTCGTTCCTTGCCTTCGCGTATAGAAGTCGTTGGTTGATCGGAGGACGAGATGAAACGACGAAACCCCCTTTTTCCCCGTTTCCCCTTTTCCTCATTCCGTAGACGTATTGGAAGGGGGAAGTGGACATGGGGAAAACAAGAACAGAAACAAACACACAAGGAAATAACTCAACGAAGAACGAAAAAAAACAATGCGATGATTAAACCGTTTAAAACAGCAGTGAGGGTTGGAGGTGGTTGGTGGAAGGGGGGTTTTTTTTTGCAATTTTTTCTTTTCAAGTTTTTTTGGTGGTTTTTTGGTTTTTCTTTTCCATCTCTAGGTAGACACGTTCAGTACCGAGATGTGCTCATGATCCGATTATTGTGAGGAAACGAGTAAAGATGGTTGCCGGGATCAATGAGAATGCCTAGTTCGTAGGCAGAAAGGAGAACGACTCTCTGCAATAATATCGTCTCGTGAAGGCCGAGTCCGTTCTCTTTCTCCCTCCCTCTCTCTTCCTAGTGTGTTTCAGGCCAATTTCATCATATTTGGGCGTCAGGTTATCGTAATCATATACAGCCCAAAGTCACCGAAATGACGATGACCGCTCAAGCCTCGCCAAGGGCGCCGCCACCCATGGGCGTATCATAGCCCGCGATTCTCTCGAGCGTGCACATGATAGTGTTGAGATGGGTGCTGTCGTCGTAGTGGCGGTCGAAGAAATCAGCGTGATTGTTGTAGTCGACGGGGTCACTGGGCTCCGCGTTTGCTCCTCCTCCTCCGCCGCCGGCGTAGATGTCGGAGTCGGGCTCGTACTCGATGACGCCGGAGAAGCGGCCGAGGCCGGGGGAAACGACGCCGTCGCGGCGCGCGGCGGCGATCATGGCCTCGTCGTAGACACCGTGCCAGGTGTTGGTGAAGCCGAAGACCTCGTTCATGTTCGCCATCTCCCACGGGTCCATGTGGTTGTAGATGCGCGCCAGGTGGCGGTCGAGGTTGGGCTGCTGGAACTGCTGCCCAGACCCGGGCCCTTGGCGGCGGGGCATGCGCAGGCCTCCGTCCGCCAACATGTCGCCGACCAGCTGCGCCACGGGGGGTAGGTGGTTTGGCCTCATGCGGTGCGGCAGCTGCAGGAAGCGGCGTTCCGAGATGAAGCGCTTGTCGTGGATCGTGACATATCCGCAGGACTTGAAGGACAGTCGTTTCAGCTTTAGTTCCTTCTTGATCACCATTGGCGGCGCGATACCGCCCATTTTCTCCAGGAAGGCGAGCTGCTTGATCGTGACGTTGGGCGTCAGCATGTCGATGACGGAGCTCCAAGACAGATACAGAGGCAGGCGAAGGGGATAGTGAGCCGGTGGACCGGCATTCTGCGCCGCGGGATTATTATTGTTATCCGCCTCATCACCAGGCAATATGTCCGTATCATCCATAAGTTGGCGCATGATGGGTGGGCCAGAGAGTGAGACGGTCTCAAGCTCCAGTGACTCGAGGACGTGCTCCTTGGACATCAGATACATGATGCGATAGAAGATGTTGGGCGCGAACCAGCAGTTCTTCAGCGACAAGTGGGTGATGTGCGGAAGCACGAGAATGTTTGACCGAGACGAATTGATCACCTGGCGATGCTCCAGCAGGAACGGCGCTGGCAGGACAAAACAGCCGCGTTGGGCGTATCCAGGTGCGAGTTCGCCACCGCACAGCCACTCGAAGTGAAGGTGCGTGATCCGTGGCCGCTTGCCGATGTAGTTGCGCAACAAATGAACGACCTTGGGGATAGCCTGAGTGGGATAGACCTGCCGGGCCACAACGGTGTACTTGTCAAACTGCTCCAGCTCTCGCCAGTCTGGCACGACGCCCAGTGCGACCTCGGACAGCTGTGGCATCGCGTCCCAAAAATGGTCGTGGCACAACAAGTGGATGAAGAAGCTCGGGATCCGTGCGATGTTGAGCTTGGCCAAGTTCTGGAAGACATGGCTTCGACCGATGATGGTCATCTGGAAAGACTGGATGACGGCTTGCTGAGCGGACAGGTGCTTGTGCAAGTATCGCTTCTGTGTTTCCGTCAGCTGGTCGGGCTGTAGACGGATCTTGTCGTTCAGTCGGAATTCGCGAGCAACGTCTCGGCCCGGGTAGCGGTTCTTGGGAAGATAGGTCGGCTGGCGCTCGTCGCGTGCCCAAGTCTTCGCGTTGCCGCCCTCTCGGAGAATGAGGCTCAAGATCATGTCTGACATCTCGGAAGGATCGACGCCCTGAGCCGCGAGCTTTCGCTCCAGCATCTCGACTCGATACGGCTTATCAAACTCGACGCCGAGGTCCGTGATAGGAGTGTCTCGCGCGACGTTGGAGCCGCCAAAGATGGGGCCTGGTCCGGGAGGCTGAAGAGGGTTGATGTCAGGGCCTTGGAGATAGCCCAAGCCTCCGTTACAGGACAGGGCAAGCTCTCGGACATTGTGCAGGCTCTCCATGATGCGGAACGCACCGCCCTGCATCTTCTCAATGGACTGAGTAAACTTCTCGAGAGCCGAGTCGATGGCAAAGTCCTTCTTGGCGGGCCAGCGGAAGATGCCCCAAGGGCGGATCTCGACATCTTCGAGATCGCCGTCGATCGGGCTGGCGATCTCGCTCTCGCTCAGCTCGAGGGCAAGTCCGAATCGGAAGATGTCAGGCGCGAAGGCCAGGAACGTCTCGGTGTCGATAAGTTTGTCAAGGGATTTCAGGCTCTGCTTCTCGTAATGGCCGTGGTCAAATCGCATGCTGAGCTCCGGTCCAACGCGGAGAACGATACGTCGGAGGTAGAAGCAAGTCAACTTCATGTTGAACTCGCGGTTGACAAGTCGCATTTTGGCAACATCTTTGCGAGGCAAGTGCTTGGCGATCATGACAAAGATCTCAATGGGCACATGTCGCGGGCGCCAGCCTGGGCCGACAACTTCTAGAGAGCAAGTTAGTAATCATGTAGTTATATAATTATACCATGTACATGTGTGGCAACAACGGATTGGGTATAGGATCACATGATATAACTCGAGAAAAGCTATATCATTTCCTACCCATAGCCGTCTGTGATATGGATGGATTAGTATAAGAAAGAAGGCTTTGCTTACCAGTAGAAGTAATGGCGTCCATTATGAACGCGAGACAGGAAGACTCGATACAACCGTTATATCGATGACTGAGTCAACGGTAAATATTAGGATTGAGGCCACTGAGCAAGCCAAGCTTGTTTGCCGTTGTGGTCAATAATGAACAATACAAGTGAAGAGTATTGCTACTAGAAGCGAGCGACGAGGGTCAGTTCAATAGTCGATCAAGCTTCTGTATAGGTGCTTGAAGGATATCAAGGTGTAGAACAAGTGAAGGTCTGAAGGGAAGGAATGTGGGAATATTTTCCAGTGAAGCCAACAGGCCAACAAGAGTGCCAGGTCAGCCAAAGCAAGATGAGTGTGTTGTATGATGTCTCATACAGACAAAAAAAGGATTAAGTGTATGTGCAAGAGCAAGGAATGTGGGTGTATGAAGGAGTGTGTAGGTAGGAGAGAAGAAATGAAAATTTGCAAATGTGCTGGAGAGGTGGGAGATTAAATAGAAATCAGAATGTGGGTGATTGGAAAAACTTTCAGATTAAATAGAGCTCAGAGGAATAGAACTAACCTATAGGCCACTGTCGACAGTTGGCAATACAGGGCCACAGTGGTAAATGGAAGAACAATGATGAGTAGGCGGGTCCAGGTCGATAAACGACGATGCGGTCGACGATAGTGCCCAGTAGTTTACGATCAGGCGGGGCGTCGAGGTAGTCGAAAGGGAGATGTCGATAGTTGGTCGTTGAAAGTCAGTACGGCGAGATGGTAAGGGCTTCAACGACTCCCTTAGAATATACCTACTAGACAGGTGATAAAGAACAAACACCAGGTAGGGTAATTGAGAGTACCAGAAGTGAGGGTATGGCCGTTATATAACGACAGGTAGAAGAGTGACAATGAATGAGGATCAACGAAATTGAATTGAATAAGAAACGGAAAAAAGCGTAGGTAGGGACGTTGATATCTCCACTCAGTTCCAGACACTGAGTTTAATCTTGATATCCACCCAACCAAGGTAGCTCCCAATCGGTGACTTCATATATTGGCAAGGTCACGGGGCTGACGAGAAAGGCTGTGTAGCCTTCTTCCTAGAAAGCAGGTAAGTACCAAGACTATTCACATACGACGTAGGTAGGCAGACTCACTTTCACTCCCCCCTATATGCCAATAACAAGTTGTATTATTTTTATCTTCAATATTAAAAAGAGGTGTTGTCTGTTAGGAACGACGTTAAGAGTGCGGTTGAGCCTCAATCTTGGCGCCGTCTGTGCTGTATGGAGTAAAGAACATGTAAGTCGTAAGATTCACCCCGGAGTCTGGTCCCCGTTTATGTCCCCGTTTAAATATCGATATTTAAGATTCTACCAAGTTCCTACAAACTCAAGGCGGTATCTCTAATGCTAGCTAGGTATCTTCCAATGTACTGTTCCAAATGGCACTGGGTGGACACTGGGTGGACATAGGGTGGGCACCGAGGGCCACCATGTGACATTCACGGGTGCTTTTATACCTGAGGTTGAGTTTTGACCCTTTATGCTTATTTACTTACCCTAAGTATATAGGTTTTCTGTGTGAATGATCAATGTATGAGCCAGCATGTCCATGACCACCAGCTGCTTACCTTGAAAAGGTTCAGTAAAACCCTTGAATGTTTGTGCAACAAACCTTTCTCGTTTCAAGGTAAACCACTTGTAACTCACCTTTCATAATGCTAAATAGTCCATATACCGTATTAAGGGGAGGTGGTCTCTGATTCTTCCTCCTCATGGCCCCATGTTTTAACAGTGAAGGAAGAAAACGTAGAGTATTGGTGTTATATTGAGCATTTCCAGGGAGTTGTAATATCCTAATGCCTCCGACTGAAAGGCCCAACATATGTAACCTAGAGCCGACGGTACAAAGACTTACATACCTAGGTATGTAGTCATTGCTCTGTTCTAAAAAGCAAATTCAGAGACGAGACTAGAGAGATTTTCCCTCAAATAGAATCAACCTGTGATCTTCGTGCTGAGCCTGCTATAGGTATCGTTAGCTCTAACCTAATGTCGTCCCCTAAACATCACTAGCTAACGTAAAACATTGATGTGCCTAGTATAAGTATATATCGTGAGAGATCTATACCTATGCTGCTATTTAGTATGGCCATACTTGCCAAATTTCTAAATGGAAATAGTGAGGTTGAGGTCGAGCCGAAGCAGGTAAAATCCGAAGACTGGACAAGTTGACGGTGTTGGCAAGATGGCCGTTCAATGAGCTTCGGTCTTCATAGGGGAAATCTTCCCACAGAGTGGGGCAGCCGGGAAGTGACCGTGATTTGCCAAGTACGCCTCTTGCGTTGGTTGGGCATAAGTATAGCCTTTTTGGCTTCCTGAGTGGTGGCAGAGCCGTTTTCGTCTCCCGCGGCCGCTGCGGGTCGGGATGGCTAGCCAGCGGTTCCGGCACGCTGCGTCCCTTGCAGGAACTGCTGTTGATAAGGCCATGGGCCATGCCTCTAGCTTCGCGCCTACATGCGTAGGCACAGGTTGACAGGTAGGTAGGTAGAAGGGTAGGTAGAGTACTGGCAGAGCTATAGCAAGAATTGTCCCGACTCTAACCTACCAGCCTATCCTTTTCTTTCTACACATGGTGACTGTAGCTCATCTCGCAGCACAACACATCTGAGCCAGTCGATTATATTCTTCTACCGCTGGATGATTCGATTATATTAGATCCCTTTTAAAATGTTGGAAAAGAAAGAAAAGAAAAGAAGAGCCGAAAATCCCGATTCGTAATTTTCAATTTTCCTCTGTCATCTTTTATTTAAAATTTCTGTCGCATTTGCGTCGTACATAACTTTCAGGAGAGGGGTGTGGTGCTATCGGGCTACCTGAACCTGAACTGGAGTTGCTTTGCTGCTAGGGGAGAAACCTACCTAACACGTGGGATGATGAGGAGAAAGTTGCAGAAGTCAAAGAACATATTATACATGTTTTAAATATTAGTCTTGGTCGTACCACCCGCTAGGGGATGTAGCACCCCGGATCCCGTAGGCCGAGATGGACGTATTGCGTCGTGCCGCGACCCTCCTGTTGAGGAGTCATTCCGGTCCTAGAACCAGATGACCTACGTCTAGGATGTTAGCCCGAGAAAGATTTAGGAGGGGGGAGCTTTGGTAAGTCAAGTCCTGCAGTGGGCCTTGGCATCGCCTTTTAGAGCCAGTTGATGCTATAGATGCCATACCTACATGTGTATTGATACTATATTTACATATATACATACATAACTAACCTTAGTACTATGCATCTTACCACCTAGCCTAGGTTACCTAATAGATACGGTATATGTAGCTGGAGGTAGTTACTAACCTGGACAAATATAGCTCGGCAATAGGAGGAAGTAATTTAGATAAAGAAGGAGGTGGATTAACGTGCTTATTTTCGTTTTTACCCTACCTACTTTTCTCTCAGGGGAGAGGTTGAAGGAGAGAGGTTGAAGGGGATGAGCAGAATACCTATAATACCTACATATGTACCCACCTACATAGTGTCATAGTGCCTACTAAGGTTACCTACATACCTACATGTACGCTAGTAATGTACTGTATCGTAAAACACATGGACTTTAGCAGGAAAATCCATCAGTGTCCATCCATGCATCATCTGCTGCAGCAAGGAAAATCCCCGGAGCTGTTTGTGCAACACCAGCACTACAATAAATACCCCTTATAAAGCAATACAAGAGCTTATCGTAAAAGGCATATGCTAGATGCCATGTATGTATGTATGTATGTATGTGTGTTAGTATGTATATGCAGTCTTACTGCTTCATCTTCCTCCTTTTGTTCCCCGCAACCAGTGAGCGGGACGACATGGGATTGGCGGGAACTCGAGCAGCATCTCCGTTCCAGTGTATCCATATCGATGTACTGTTAGTATATTAAACCTGAAGTATCGAACTACCTATATGTACCTCATATTAGCATGTTTCCAAGTTGTACATTACCCAGATGGGACGGCCCGCCAAACTATGTATGTATTGCGGGCTGTGCTAGGTCTAGGTAACAAGCCCAAGACATCTATTGAAGCTAAATTCTTAGGTTTGCATTGTACTATGTAGTAGACACGTACCTAACCTAGGATGAGGATGAGGTACATACCCTCTACTAAGGGTGAACGCAGTGCGAGCCAACTGTATTAAAAAACTTAGGAGGCAGAACACGATTTTCAGGTTATGGATGTGCTAAATAGAAAGTTTAGGCTAGCTAGGGGGAAATCTCATGAAAACCTTGGAACCTTGGAACCTTATAAGGAGTGTACTTTTAAGAGTGCATATGTAATTACTATGTATGTACATACCTGAGGTTAGCAGCCTATATACTACTATGTATAAGTACTATGTAGACACACTGTGCATAGTAGATACCTCAGGCAGGTATCCAGTAGGCGTCTAAGCCGAGGACATCTGGAGTTTAGGTAGGTAGGTACCTAGGAATATACATGTCTAACCGCCCTCAGTCTCGAATACCAAGACTTCTCTTACGCCTCTGTATTAAGACCCACGAAAAGGGGAAAGGGTGTCTAAATCCAATCCAATCCAAACCCAATCAATATCCAAAAACTCCATAAATGATCTACAATCGCTTGGTGGGGTATAAAAATCCATGAAGCAATCTTTCCCGACGCCGTTCCTCAAACCAAGACCCGAGGTACCCGGTAGTCAACCAATCAAATAACAGAGGGACTGCGTCACGTACATATATGCAGTGACTGTATATAAACGTAGGAAAATTAGGACAAGTATACCTTAGGGCCAGGCTTCTTCGACGTCCCAAAGACGGATGTGATCTAGCTGTCCAGAGTCGGAATAACGTCTCGATGGCAGGTCCGTTCTGGGGTTGATGGATGAAGCTAAGCTGCCATCTTCATACGCACCATCGAATTGAGCCGATGGCAGCCTAGCAGCCTGGTCTTTCCACCAAGCATGGAGCACGTCTTGTTGCCACTTATCAACATTGAGAACTTTCAAATGAACATGGAAGGTAGACCAGAGGATCTCGGCTTCCATAGGTGATACGTGAAGTTTGTGGAGCAACCAGCGATTGATGTAGCCTGTTTTATCACCCTTCCCGGCCTCCTCGTGCAACGACTGGATATTTACTTCGCGAGCTGCGTCATCAATATGTTTTTGGCGAAGTGGCATTTCCGGAGGGAGTGATACTGCAATTCGGAGCGATTGCTGAGCTGTGATGGGAAAATTCTCTAGTAGGTGAGTAGGGTTGTGGAGCAGTCTTGGGAACGTAGGATGTGCCAATGTTTTCGGACATTCCCTTGAAAGGGGACTGTCTAAGGGGACATCTTCTAGGTAAATCTCATCTCTATTGACCGGGTTGAACCCGAAACCTTCCTGTTGAAAAGGTGTATTCTTCGGCATGACTTCCTTCTCTCGGCACTCAATTTCTAGTCGTGCGGCCTCGCTCGTAAATCGGTCAATATCATAAAGGGCTGTTTGTTCTAAGTCGTCGTAATCCTGGAGCTCTTCCAAGTCATCCTCTGACATAACTCCTAGTCGTTTAAGTTCGAGGGCTCGTTTCCTTCCCGCCTCTCCATACTTCTCCAACAGTTCGATACTGTCGGGAGCCAGTAATTGAGATTTCCCCGCACTCAGGGCTTTCCTCTTCATTTGAGTATTCACCAAGAGTTCCTTGGCAAGCTGTAAATTGCGGGATGCCTCTCGAAGCTCCTCGAAAAGAGGGTGAATATCTTCCGGCCGGTCACCAGTAATTCCTCGTAATGCAGAATTCTCTGAAGTTTGGGAACTGCTTTCGTTGTCGAATCCATCGTCGGATGCCTGACTATCTATATCCGCGGCAGCGGTATAAAATTTCTGTTCCTCTAGTTCCAGCTCAACCTCGCCCTGTTCAAGTTCATCCAACATGTCATCGAAGCGTTGCTCTGCTTCTTGGCACTTGAGCTGGGCGTTTTGCATATTTTTAAAGAGCTTATCCAACGTCGGATTACCGGGAAGAATTGCTTGCACGGCAGCCATAAAGGCGAGACTAGCTTCATCCTTATCGTGGCGCGAATCCTCGACGTGGGCTCGTTTTAGACGTATACCATCGAATATCTCCCACAAATCAGTCCTACGATCTCTTAGCCTCGAGTAATTTTGCGCCAATCGCCGAAGACTACGTGAAATGTGATCAGAAGAACTGTCCTCATCGTCATCCTCTTCGCTGTCGAAGCTACCTGTTCCGGTCTCAACTTCCTCGTCGTCACTTATGTCACTATCCAACTCAAGGCTCTCCAAGACGTACGGCGTAGGCTTGAGGTCCCCATTGCGGGTGGGGCTACTCTGCCCCAGTATAGTTTCCTGGATCCCACGAGGTATTGGCCGTGCTGGCCAACTAAGTAGGCCATAAGGATGGTTCGAGGAATTATGTAACCCTGATGACGGATAATTTTCGCGAAATTCATTATAAATAAGTGGCTTTTGTGTCTGGGGCGCTAGCGATTTCATACGACGGGCGCGAGTAGATGGCGACTGAGACTTGCTTGTTTTTGGTTGGCCACGAGCTAAGCTGGGTCCCTCGATGGCGGATATGGTTGCTGCCAGCTTTTGGGGTAGACTCTTGGAAAGACTAGAGGAAGAATTTACGGAAGGAAGGACAGGAGGGAAATGCGGTCGGCGGCTGATGCGTGCATGAGAGGTATCTGATGTTATAGATGAGTTGCTGATCTTGTCTTCAAGATCCGTCCAGCCTTCGGAACCGGCCGTCAAGGTCCGGGATAAATCTAAGGGGGTATCCTCGGTTGACATGATAGATGCTTGACAACTAGACTCGGTGGAATATCGGTATACATCATGATGTCGGTCATGTTCCGGGAGATGAGGAGTAAAAGTTTCGGGGGGAGCCAAGGAACTTCTGGCCAGATTTACATGGCGATGGTCAACGCTAGGAGCCATTCAGAGCGTGTCGTCCGGTAATTATGCTGCGGCATCGTTAGATGGAAAAAAAAAGAGAGTAAAATCCGAGGAATAGAATTTGAAGAATGAGGCTGTTGTTTGTTTCTATGTGTTCTCTAATCCGTGCTTTCTATGGAGGGAAAATGGATAGGTACAAGTAAACAGGTGACGCGGGAGTGATGCAAGAGGATGCTTTTGATGCAGCAGACATCCAGGCTATGTACAGGGCAACCAACAAAAATGAATGTATATATGTATGGGAATATTATATTCATGGATTATATGTAGAAATAAAAGAGAAATAAAAGAGAAATAAAAATAAAGCAAGGGATTCTAGCACTCGACAGGGCAATCAGTTACACGAGAACTACCTAGGGTAGGTAAGCTTCAAGCCTGCATCCCACTTTGTAATTGAACGCCATTAGCTCTAATTAGGAAGTAATTTAGCACGTGGCCCTTGCCGAAACATTTGAACTTACTGTTACGATTATCCTAGGATCCCAGCTAAAACATACATGTACCCAAGTGCATATCATGTACATAATACTACATGTTACTTAGAAGTATGGAGATGGGCAATACATCTTACTGGTACAACATACATCCATAATACTTGACCATACTTGGCCTTGGTGGGCAACATCCTCCGAATCCGAGATCCCCGGCCCGTTCATGAAGACCCGTTAGCTTTGAAAAGAAGATGGAGAGTGCTACCAATTAGCCTAGTACACCTAGGTAGCTGGTAGGTACAATACAATACATTGGACTTAATCAATGTCCGCCCGGTCTTTTTTATCCTTAACACATATCTTACCAAGCTGCATACCAACATCTATACCTGCATCCATCCATCAATGCTTACATCCATATAGGTATTACAATGTAATTTGGAACCTAACAGCCTATGTAGGTACAGATACTATACACTACGACAGTCTGAGAAGATACTCGCCTCCCTCAAAGGTGCAACCTGTTATGGACGGGCTCATATCCATACTGGGAATAGAACAACCCTACTTATCCAACAGTGGCAATGTGCTCTCAAGACGGTGAGTGGAGAAGTCGAGTATCGGATTGGATGCTCGGATGTGGTCTCCAGGACATCTAGGAGCACATCAGAGCATATCAGCACACCAGCATATCAGAAGAGCCCGTCAGCTACCTACCTTGCTAGCACTATGTAGGTCACAACCAGGGCATTCAAAAAGGCAATGTTCCACAACCGATGGATTCACTTGTCTATGTAGTACTAGGAGTCTAGGACCAAGACTAGGACCAAGACTCGAGACTCGAAATTCGAATTCCTTATGTTCAAGTACACAAGATAGACGGTACTTTGAACAGAGCCTCATCTTGTCATCTCACATGCGCCTATCCGACTCATCATGTCTCCTCCCTCAAATTTATTCTTTCCTTCTCTTCCTCCCTCTTCCTCCGGTTCTCGCACCCCTCCCCCCTAACCCGTCGGCGGCAGTGGGGGGGTGTCGCTTGGAATATGGAGAGCGGATCCGTCGCTGCACCGCTGCACCTCTGCATCGCTGGCTAGGCCATTTGCGGCTGCTACAACGATACTCTGCAGTAGTATTAGTGGACATCCCTAGGTATCCCAACTCACGCCAAGTGGCTGCTACTTGATGGACCACGATTGATCTTCTGTTCCCTTTCGTCGGGTTGCAGAGAGTTAGAGCTTCCTTCCCTTGTCGAAAAGCAAGATAGACCCTTGAAAGACCCAGGCTCACTCTCACACTCACACCCGCGCTCATTCACTACACTCTACTTGAGCTTGAGAGCAAGATGTCAAAAATATCCTAGTGAGAACAGTACAAGAGGAGTAGAGAGGAGGAGATGTGGGCCGAGTCACTAAAAGGGAGTGAATATTGGAAATTTCTCAAAAGTTGATAAGAATGCACCACACCCCCTCTTCCACATCCCGTGTCCTATTTTCTATCATGTAGTATGTCATGTAGTATGCCATACAAGCTCCTATACAAGCTATATCTAAACCTTTGAAATTTCATTGTTGTTCATGTCGCCTTCCGTCGCGACGGCATGTCTCGGGTCTCTTCGTGTCCCCATCGTCTTAAATATTGACCGCTAATCCACTCTGCTCCGTCCCTCGACCCGGTCTTCGATGTCGTCCCGTTCTTACATACATTTCAATGTTCCTTCTCCTCTGTTCAGAAATCCCTGAGAGAACTCACTCATCCCTCCCCCATACAGCCACCAACGTTGCAGCCATTACCATCGTCCCCTCCCCTCATTGGCTACCTGTTCCAGCCTACAGGAGAGTTTCTGCCTGTCAAGATCTTCAACGCCCAATTCGAGCTCATCTACGATCCCTAGCCGCTTCGTCTTCTCATTTCCACACTGTCAACGCTATTTGACTTGCGTGAGAGATTACTCTGCACCTCTTTGCCGCAAAGGATCACGGCCAATGAATTTTCGCCGACTATATCACGAGGCATACAGTGTGACTTCGAATCATCAAATCAGATAGATTACTTTCATCTCCGGAGATTTTCGCCGCAGTGGTCTAGAGTGCAGCAGAATTATTCTACGTTCCTAGCATCCTCGTTGGTCAAGGTTAGCTTTATGTCAGCTCAAACCATCCTTAGAGATCAAGGGGATCGCTCATGATAGAGCTTCGTAGCTGATTTTAAGGCTCGGCTTGTGCTAGCTTTTCTTATTCCCTTAGTTTGCTCGTAAACCTCTTGCCTGCGGGTTGAACTTTGCGAGCATCTCGTTTGCTGCCCGTGGACATCCCTCATGAAAACGAAAGTTGCAAAATGTTACAATGCAAAGATCGAAACATAAGCCAAAGTCGTCGCGCCCTTGGAGCGAACCCAAGTGGCACGACCAATATCAACAGTGGTATTTAGAACGAAAAGATCGACATGGTACGTCTATTCATGCTACGTGAGTTTCTGTCTACCTCGTGCTGACCAGGCACCCACCAGGCACTATCCAGTATAATTGGATCGGGCCAACCCTTCCCAATGCTCCTGACCAAAGCATCCCGCGGTCCGAACATGCCATTGATAACTTAGCGGAGGGAGTTCAAAACCTCAGCGTCGATCAGGGTGCTTATGAAACGACTCCATCCTTTGAGTATGCGAGCCACCATACCACCACTGTCGATCATGATAGCTACACGCTTGATGCACGTATGCCTCAAGAACCCAATTACATGGGTCACGTGCAGGCTCAGCAACATAATAACAAAGGGAAAGGAAAGGCCGTTATAGTCGAGCAGCGTGAGGAGTATAATAACTCTTCGGTTAGTGGCAACCCGCCTCGGACTGAGAACGAGTTGCCACGGGTAGTCCATGGTTATAGCCAAGAACCGCACCCACAATGTGAGATATTTTTGATCGCCAAATAGTATGAAAAGGGGCTAATGTTGTTTTAGATCCTACTTCTGGCTACACGAATGTTGAGCCAACTACTGCCGCTCTACCCATTAACGGTACAGAACCGCAAGTGAAAAGTTATGAATCTGAAAATAACCTTCCCCTTAACGATGCCGAATACCAAGAAGCCCTTCGTAGAAGCCATAACGAATATTACGGGACTCACACAAACGGCGAGCCATCGTACTCGTCATCTTTAGCTGACACGGCTACTTCATCTTGGACTACATCTATTGATCCTAATGCATACGAGCTAAGTCAGTAACCCTTCAAGCGCTACCCAGTAGCTAGGTAGCTAATAGTCTCCAATAGATCCACCGTTGATAAATGGAGAAGACGTGCCAACGCCTCGAGGAGGCTCACCAGCTCCATTACCAGCAGTTGTCTCATCAGCATCCTATCCCAACTATATCCAAGGAACTCCTGGAGAGGAGGAAGAATTGGACAGCCGTAGGCCCGTCCCTGCCTCTTGCATTGTCTGTATTTACTAATGAATACATAGGCTACAGAGTAGAACACTCGTCAAGATTCCAGCCAGGCGAGGTAAGGATTTCCGGGTCCACACTTATCCACCTAGCACGGGAGATAGCTAACCAGAGCTTTAAAAAAGGTGTTCAAGATCCTTTGGTCAGAGCCTCTCGGCCAAGTCGGTGGCGATGACCCAATTTCCGATTTAACCAAAAGGAGAACTCCGGGTGGTGGTAATTTCTATATCGGCTTCCGTAGGTTCATCATTGTCACTACAGACGAAAGCCACCACAGTACTTGCGTGTTAGTGAAAGCCTTATACCCTTCTTCTTCTTTTATAGCTTACTCAATCATCCAGTCCCATTTTGACGTACGATCGAAAAGGGTGCCTAAAGAAAGGTGTGAAGCCTAACAAGCATGGCATAATTTATATAGCAGGCCACAAGCCGAAGCCTCTCAAGAATGAACCAGAGCTTGGATTCGCCCCCGTGGGTCTTCACGTCTACGCAGAGGGCGAGAAACTAGCCAGAGAATCTCGAGTCAATTATTCTAAATTAGTGACTATCGAGCACAACTTTAAGGTGTTCTTCATCGGCTCGATTACCGGTGAAGACTTCGAACATGTTCGTTACGCGGTCAATGAATGCTGGGACAAAAAGATGCACCGTTCTAGGAGGTCGAGGAGATAGGCCGTTCTATCCTGAGCGTCCTTACCGAAACCCACCACCTAACCTACCTATGACGCACTTTTCCCACAGCTAATGGCCATGGACGGCGTCTAAAGACGCCTTATCTTACATATATATACGTTTAAGAGACTCAAAACAGAAATCATGTTTTACGTCCCCTAGCATGATGGAACCCAACCAGAAGAAGACAGGGTAATATGTTATAAACCTCAACATCCTACGTTTTATTTTTCAGCAGACTTACAACATCCCTCCCTCGGGCAATATCTACACTCACGTTATAGAGGCCTGGAAAACAGCACATACCATGGAACGCAAGAACCGATAGGTATGGAGTAACAGCTCATTTACATGCATCTACCTCAGGACTGTTCGGAGGGGGCGTGCGCGGCATAGAGGTTGGAAATACAAGGCGGCCACTCACACACACATTACAAAGAATAATCTACGGACAGAATGAGATACGAATTTTATTTTTATTTTTGGATATCATGATATTTAACGACTTATGCTTTCCTAGAAAGGACCAGGAAAAAAAATACGAAATTGGTTTACAACTTTTTGGTTCATTGGCTCCTCCAGCCAGCATCGGGACTTCTTCCCTTTCCTTTGTCTTCCTCTCCTTTCTGCGTCCTTGTTGATTATATCAATCAGCAAGCAGTTCGACGTTTTGATCTTGGCTTTCATAGATCATCAGATCATACGTTTTCATGCTACTTTACGTCGCCAGCATCCAGGTTAATTTAATTGACATATATATCCAGCGAAGTAAAAGACAAAACAGAAATAGAGAAAAGGAATTATAAATGACAGCAAGCCTTACTTACTTACATCCATCTCCCTAGGTTAGACTGGTTTCAGGCCGGCAACTGCATATGTGCCCGGAGGTCTTACCACGGTATTTGGCAAAGTCAACCAAAGCAAAGTAACGGGTAAACCGTAAGTGAGAGATGTCGATACCTAGTATCTGTGTACCTACCTAGGTATGAAATATCTCGTGCGTGTAGCAAGGCTACCGGGTACCTAGACATCCCGAGGAGTTCAATAGTGAAATAATCAACTAGCAAGTAGTAGGCATCAAGACTTAGTTATTAGCTCATTCGTTCATTCATTTGTCTTTACTATATCTACCTGCCTGCCCTCTCGTTATACTCGACGGCTACAATCAATCATCGAGCTTCTCTGCCTACTTAACAATTATTACACTTCCCCTCAAAATAAAGCAGGTGAAACGCCGCATGCTATCCCTATGCCATACGTCTTGTCTGCTTCATGGTGCACTCAGTGGCACTCATCACCCTAACTACTACCCCTTAGCACCTTGATCAGTTTTTTTCATATGTCATTTTTCCCCTTTCCTCATAGCGCGTTCACCACTCGTCGCCCCCATCCGTGTTCCATTCCATTCGTAGATGTTGTAAAGCAGCAGCAGCAGCAGCAGCAGCAGTAACAACGGTAGTTGATGATGATAAAAACATGCCCATCCCTATCCATGAGCCCATGAAGAAAAGGAACGGAGTGGGAAATGGGAAAATCAAAAGGAAAAAGCGCAAGAAAAAAAAATCATTAGTCAATACGGAGTTCTCGTTTCCCCATTCCCATTCCCTTTCCCTCCTCGCATCATCACATCACACATATGTACGTTCGCCTCCCCTTTATCCTTTCTTCTCCTATCCTATTCATCCCTCGTTACGTGGGCCCCTTAACGACGGCTCTTCCCCGCCGCCCTCTTCTTCCTCTTCTCCTCCTGATAATCCGTCGTCCCCGCCACACTGCTCGCGCCCCCATTTCCACTTCCACTCCCACTCAACGTGCTAGGCGACAACCCCGGAATAACATGATGATACGCCTTCGTGCCCACCTCGCTCGCCGTGCCGGAGCCAATCTCGCTCTCGGCCCACCCACCTGCCATGTGCTGCTGCTCCTCCTCGTGAATGGTGCTCTCGCGGACCGCGGACGAGGAGGAGGTGACGGCGCTGATGGCGGTGGGGGGAACAGCGGCGCGCTGGAAGCTGAAGTCGCGGCGGATGCCGCCGCCGGAGGAGCGCCCCTTGCTGTCCTGGTGCTGCATCTGGCGGCGGGCCTCGGCGCGCAGGCGCTCGTTCTCGCGGGTGGCGGTGCGGTCGGCGGTGCTGTAGACTTTGCGGATGCCGCCTGCCTTGGCGTTGCTGGCGCTGTTGCTGGCGGAGGCGGAAGCGTGGGCGTGGTGCTTCTTGCTCTCCTTAGCCTCTCGGGCTTCTCGGTCCTTCTTCGTCGGCGTGTTGGTCGGCGTGCTCTGGCGGTTGCTCAGGAGGTCGCTGCCGGCGCTGGTCGAGTTGTCGGGGGCGGTGCTACCGTCCCAGGAACTGCCCTCGGCCTGCTTGTTGATGCCGCCGACGCGGGCGGCCTTCTCGTGGCGGTAGGCGCGGAGCTGGTCTTTGGCGGCGGCCTCGGCGTCCTCGTCGACTAGGACGCCGTCTTCGCCGACACGGCGGCCCGACTTGTCGCGGTTCTTGCGGTCCTTCTTCTTCTCGCGCTCGCGCTCCTTGCGCTCTCGCTTCTGTCGTCGCCGCTCGCGTCCTGCGATGTCCGATGCTCCTGCCGTGATACCCGTCATCGTGCTCTGCGTGTCGCCCGTGTGGCCCGTCATCTGGGTTAGCCCGCCGGTGTACTCGGTGGCGCCATCATCAACATCCTTGTAGACGCTGCCGCCGCCGAGCTTGGTGGTGGCCGTGGCGCCGGACAGGAGGGTACCGTTGGGGCCCTTGCGGCGCAGCACCGTCGACTTGTAGTCATCCCAGTCGTTCTCCTTAAAGTGGAAACCACCGTTCTTAGCCCAGAAGAAAAACCAGATGCCTGCGCAGACGAATGCGGCTCCGATGAGGCCGAACACCACGAACACGAAGGTGTTGTTGATGTCGTGCGGGTTCACGACGCCCTTGTGAGGGTCCACTTTCGTGCCGTCGCTGTTGGTATTGTCGTCGCGTGCCGTGAGGATGGATCGAGCGGCCAGAGGTCCGAGCTCCGAGAGTGCGGCCGTGGGTGTGGAGCGGGCGGCGCTGCGAGCCGAGGAGAGGAGGTTGCGGGCGTGTGCCGCTAGGCTCGGTAGCAAAGGTGCCATGTTTGATTGCTAGGTGAGTGAAATGTAGTTGAATGTGATGTAGATAATTTACAGTTGGAATGGAAGAGAAAGTAGTGGAACCATAAGACTCGGCTGGTATTCTGCTGGAAAAAACCAGCCAAGTCGATATTGAGAAAGACGATCTGGGTTGGTCTCACTTTTCCGTGAGGTGCAACAAGATGAGAAACTTCAATTGACGCAGACAAACAAATTGTTGTTGTGTTGTGGAATTAACTCAATCGAGCACTGCTGGAAGGTTGCAATGCAGGCCGAGACTATTGAATGGAAAGTAGTAGAGAAGGAAGTAGTAAAGGTGTGTATTGTGTATGTGTGTGTGTAAAATGTGGTGCAATGAAAATTGGTTGTCTAGCGGTTTCTATGGCCAACGGTGTCGTTATGGAAAGTTGTGGCTGGGGAGGTTGGGGGGGAGATGGGCGAATGATGTCAAAAGTCAACAAGTGTCCGATTGACCAGGCAACATTTAAAAAATGGAATAGCGTGGAGTGCTCCAGTATTCCTCATATCGATACCGTAGATCATCGATTATTGGCCAGATCCTGGAGTGCTCAATATAACCCAAAGCAGATAGTGAGTGTGGGGTATCCTCGCGGCCACGATCTTGGCTGCTTGGCTATTGGCCATCTTAGTTTTAAACCTTCAATGTTCAATTGGAGCTCCAATGTTCTATTAAAAGCTACAAAGTACGTACGATGAACTGCACATTTAAGGGGCTGATTCATGCGAATATCGAAAACGTCCCGAACACTCCTATTCGACATTGGCGAAACTCAATCAGTATCGCTACGCGCCCAGTGATGAATAAGCCATTCTGATCTCCTGTCGTCTCACTATCAGGCAATTAATGAGTTGAAGATGTGCACTATGGTCAATCAATAGTCCACCGCTGTCCTCGTTCAACAACTACAGGCCAGCTTGAAGCTTCTTTTCTCTCTCTCTAGGTAGGCTGGCCACTGTAGGTAAGCTAGAAAGGAAGGGAGTCGACAAGTCTGCGACAGGACGAGCATCCCTAGCCGCCGACAGTCCCGTACATACATACATATACACCACTTACATCTATGCATATGTGCATACCTATCTACATACATACCTACATACGACCCAATATGAACCCCCAGTGTCCCAATACCTAGCTCGGAGCCAGCGGTAAAACTCACGACATCCTCTCTCAACCCACAAAAAGGCCACGACCTATAACCCATGGAAGTAGTTGCAATGTATATTCATCTACGCACTAGGTATACACGAAGTCGACGATACGGTGTCATTTACGGCATAATATTTAACGTTCCCGTTTCGAGTACCTACTAAGTCGGGATAGTGCCTACATACATACCCATCCCCATAGCAGGGCGAAAACCAGGGGGGGAAGCCATACCATACCAAACCATACCAAACCCCCGGATCAGCACTTACACTTAACAAAAGCCATCGCCACCTCCAAACATAAGATTGACATGAAACACCTCTACGCCCCCAATCACCTCCTCCCCTTAACCCCTTGCTCTTCAATCCCCTTCCCGCTTCCAAATAAAACCCGTCTGGCTGGACCTTTGGGTCCGAGGCGCAACCTGCCTTGCCTTGCCTAGTATACGTATGTATATACCTACCCTATACGTACATAGTAGTCCACGGAATAATGTCCCGGCGCATGATGTATGATGATGACTTGCTTGCGCAACACACACATATACATACATCCACACATAATTATACACACACGCAGAAAAGTACTTGCGGCAAGAAGTTATGCAGCGAGCGAATCAACTTTCCCTACACGACGCCGCATACACATAACTACATACAAGACATAATAGCTCAGCAATTGTAGACGTGGCATGACCTACGTGGGAGAACGACGAGGAATATCTTGCGTGGACTACATGCCAACTAAAAGTTACAAGTTGCATCCATACATACATAACCCATTGAGGTACCTGGATTAGGTGGGTCCTACTACTATCGCACAATTTACCTTCGATAGCCTCGAGATGGGCTGATCGACAACAGCCCGCCTCGGCCTAGATGCCTACCTAGTACCTAGCCGAGTCCTTCGTCTGCCTACTAGGCTCTCGGCCTAGAAACCTGAGGACTAGGTAGGTATGACAAGGTATACATAACCTACCTATCTCCAAACTACAACTACATCCTTCGTATTCACTAGTAACAGATGGGACAAGATTTTCGATATGATTTCCTCATTGAAGCAAAAATAACCGGGGGATATCCTAAAAATGCGTAGTAGATAGATAGATACTGGACAGTTCACATATGTATCTATAAATGGATGATAAATGAGCTGCTTTGACCAAGGAAAATAGAATGTTCTCCGAGCCCGTGCTACTACCATGACGATTCTTTTGCGTGTCGGTCTCCGACCAGTGACACCACGACCCAAGAAAAGACATGATAAACTTGGCTGTGAGGGTTGGACGGATCGATCCGTCCTCGGTCCTCGCGCCAATCCTCCAAGTACTAGACTAGACCAGACCAGACCAAATCATTCATCCAGGTACAGAAAACAAACTCCCGACTGTCTTCCAGCCCATCCGCCCAATTAAAATAACTCCGTACCGAAGCGAAGACAGCAAATGTCTCCCCTTTGCGTGCAAAAAAGGTATCGGCATCCCGCTGCCAACAGAAGTGCGAACTTCACTTGCCGAGCGGGTTAGTTCTATCAGTCCAACTCTTACGCCATGTGAATGCGAATTGGTTCGGCTTCAAAAAGCACAAAGGGTATCGCACAACAACACATGGCATGGCACGGCCAATTCCTGCGTTAATAAAAAAAAAGAGGATAAAAATAGAACATGGACCACTCCAGGTCCCAATTTGGGCTGTGAGGATCGATTCGTGTGAGATTAGGACGTAAGCCGACACGCGCTTAACCGACACACAGCCACCAATACATGCTTTCCACCGTTGACAAGGAAAATGTGATAGGAAGAAAAGAGAAAAAAAAAAAAAAGGAAAAGAAGACCCAATCGTCCGACCGTCCCCCGTCCACCGTTCATTCATCCTCATCTACTCGTATCTTCGTACATATTTGTTGAAAACCCACCAACCACAGAGACTCTTCAACGAAGAGAGCATACGTAAGTAGGCATGTTCCCATCCCGTCGACTTTTCTCATAATCCATTTTGGGGTATCCATAATTTTCTTGCCTCTCCTTTCTTTTTCCTTTTTTACTCTTGCGTTAACGAACCCTGTGACCATCAAAGCCGTTCGTAACGCTAAGATATAGACGGACCAAAGAATCCGAGATGACATAATATGCTAAGATGACCAAATATAAATGGTAGCAAGTAGCCGAGATTGTTGTCGTCCAATAAATTGAATCAAGAGTAGAAATCGTTCATTAATAATAGTGCGATGCACCATCGTCGTCATCATCATCTTCATCATCGTAATCGTCCTCGCGGTAATGCATATAAGGCGCGTACCGTGGTTCATCGTATTCATCGTCGTCGTAGTGAACATAGGACGGAGCGTACATAGGTGGTGCCGGCGGCTGCTGGCGTGTCCGTGAGAATGATCCGGCTTGCGAGGTGGCCCGGGTTCGCGCTACCGGCCGATCAGCCCGGCTCTTCCGGTCATCACCATGTTGTCGTTCGTCACTGTAGGTCGATACAGCTTGGTCGCTACCGCCCGCGCGAGAAGCTCCATTGTTGTTATTGTTGCTATTACGACCAATGTTCATATTGCCACCATCCTTACAATGGATCTTGGTGTTTCCAACTTCAATGACAGCGCCCACAGGAAGCTTAATAGTAATATCGTCATCCCCGTCGCTAGATCTCGTAGTCCGAGTTGTAGCCGACTGCTTGTAATCGCTCTCGTCACGGCTAGCAGTGCTGCGAGTTGAACGGCTGCTGCCTCCATTTTTCACACGCCGGAGAGCTTCAGCCGTCAACGGAGGGGCGGTCCCGCCACTGACGTCTTCCTGGTACCGGGAAGCATCGCGCACCTTATCCTCTAGATTGTAGTACGAGTTTCGTCGACCGCGTGGTATTGGCTCCATTTCGTAAGAAGGACCAACGTCGAAGACGGATTCGGCATCGAAACTCTGAGGCCTTGGTCGAGTTGGAAGGGCGCCGGAGCCGTACTCCACTTCACGGCGCGCTACGGTCTTGTACGCGGTGGGCTCGTCATCTAGATCATCCTCCTCAAACCCCACAGACTTCCTTCTTGTAGCAACGTGTGCAGGTGCCGGCGGGCGGAACACTAGGCGGTTCGGTTGTGTAGAAGCCGGTCGTCCAGGAGGTGGTGGCATTCTTCTGGAGTCCTCGTGGTCCTTACTAGCCTTCCTCGAAGCCCTCCGAGTGAGGGCCTTCTCTTTCGTTGGCTCATATTCAAGGGGCTTCGGTGGTGGTGGTGGTGGTGGATTGTACCCCATTGCCGACTGTGGTCGTCGGAATCGGGAAGCCAAGTCCCTACCAGGGTGGTTCATTTCCGGGTATGGCATAGGTTGGTGAACAAGCGCATGCGCCATCGGAGGAGGAGGAGGGCCAGCCATCCATGGTGGAGGTGGAAAGGACGGGGAAGGGTGATGCGAAGGGTGCGGCGGCGGTTGATGGGCATAAGCAGACGTCGCCATAGGTGGACGCTGTCCGTAATAAGACTCTGGTCTAGTGCGAGCACGAGGCCTAGAAGAAGATGCGGGTGCGACGATTGACTGTGGCCTGACTCCGTAGTAAGCCGACTCATCGGAAATTCGAGAAGACGGCGGCGGAAGCGTGTTGCGAGAACGATTTGGAGGTCGTTGTTGTTTAGTGCTCATGGAGCGTTTCTTTTCTTCCTTCATCTTGATCTTGGAATCTCTCCTGGAGATAGAACGAGGCTCAGGTATGTCGGTGTCGGATAGAGAGGTAGGAGACGACTTGGATTCTCTGTCTCTGTGAGATGAGTCTTTTCGTGATCTACTAGTATTGGGTTTTTGCTTTTCTTGAGAAGGAACACTGCTGGGTGCAGTAGAGCGGGCGTAATGAGGTTCACTGCCGGGAAGAAGTATGCCGTCTTCGTCTGCCTCTTGACAGCATGCAACAGAAGGAATTGAGTTCTTCGCCATGCCGGGGGAAGAGGGTATGTCTGCCTGATAAGTGAATCCAGTCACTAGATCAGGGATGGCTGGAAAAATCGAGGCGGGATAGGCCTCAGTACGAGGGCGGAGCTGTCCTGGTACCCAACCAAGTGGGCAGCTGGTGGGTGATGAGATGCGTGGCAGTTTGTGCTAGTCCGGTACAGTGCTGATAAAGTGGACAGGTGAGCCTTTGAGAAGAGTGGGAAAAGGGAAAGCGTATGTAGGTCGTATGTAGGCTGTATGTAGGTAGGTAAGTAAGGAGACTAGATGAATGGAGATGAATGGGGCCCAGGATGATTTTCAAGTGGGGATCCGCGCGAACAGACTTCGTGGACGAGACTTGTAGCGTCAGAAAACTTGGGAGGATGGGTAATCATGGACAGTCAAGGGCAAGTCATGGGTTCCCAGCTTCCCATCAGGTATTTGATTGAACGATACCTAGGGTAGGTATTTGAATATTTGAAGAAAAAGTTTGGTTCTTCAACTGAGAGGTGCAGAAAGATGCAGCTTAAAGACCGCAGTGACCCGCAATAAGAACAACGAACAAATGTCGACTTGTCTGTCTTTCTCTTTTTTCGGGGGTGTTTTTTTTTCTTCTTTTTCTTTTTTAATGTTCTTGTTTAAAATGTCTCTCTCTCTTATGTTTTCTTCCCCCCTTATAAGTGTAACGCTGTTTTCTTATTGGAGAATGAAGAAGAAATCGGGGATGTGCATAATATAAGAATGGAGTGAAGGGTGTTGCCGGGTTGATAAGACGGAAAACTGACAGGTACTTAAGGAGTGATCTGCTTCTTGGACGGTTAAGTACCCCGAATGTATATATCAAATGTAGGTAATGTGCATGCAAGTAGCATTTACGACGTCTGGGTGGATGGAAGTACAGACACACAATACAATACGTGGATATACCCGACGTCTCTGTGTGTGTAGTGTATGTATATTATACCGTTGCACCAATAACCTGGTAATGGTTCAATGTTGCTGAGGTCGGTACATACATATGTATGTATATAGTTAAGTGGATGGGTGATTGCAGATAGGAAGCCTTGGATACCAAAGCCACAAAGTCTGACAAATGTAGACGAAAATAATAAAAAAGAAGTGTTGTGATAATTGGAAGGTGAGGTAGCTACGGTAACAGATGGTGGGAGACAACTTGAAGAGACGGAAGACGGATTTAAGATTTGTATTTTAGATTTGTACATACACACATCTTTGGTGATACCTCCTGTGGTCAGTCCAGCAAGGTACTAGGATATGTGTTGTAAGGCGTCGTGGTACTTGGCTGTAAACTGATGTTCAAGTATCCTAAGGTGTTGCACGTTACCAAGGTGAGGTAGCACTGAACGTTGTGTTGTGGGATCGAGCAGGGAATATGGGTTAGTTCTCCTCAAGTACTACTAGTAGTAACGAGGGGTTCCCTGTTGCCGGACAGTTTTATCGATACTGTAATCCGCTATATCGATAGCCCGACTGTCACTTTTCCCTCTCTTTTCAATTGTTTCTTTTTTTAGTGCAACGGTAGTTACTTTTCTCTCTTGGTAATTATCTACTACATAGTACAGTACCTACTTAACACTCCATTTCCCACGTGCACGTTTCAATAACTGCCTTGTTCTTTGTCTAGGGGTCTTGAGTGCTTGCAGGAATAGAAGGGGCATCTGGGCAGAAAGGGAAAAGGAGGGGCTTAACAAGCTTAAGGCAAACCCCATTCACTGGGTCCTACGTGGTTGCCAGGTACTAGCTAGGTACAAAAGTTTAAAGATCCTGGAGAAATTGAGAAATCCAGCCGAGAAAAAAACGGTAACGGTACCCAACGGTGGGGTCGCCGGTCCCGCAAGGCGAGAAAAAAAACGAGGATTCCACTAATTTCTTGACTTTTTTTCTTCTTTTTCTTCTTCTTTTTTTTTTCTTAATTCACTCTTTTAGTTTACTATGTAATTATTAAAGTCTCTCGTTCAAAAGATGTCAATGAATAGTAAGTATTGGTCTATTGAGGTCATGGTAAAGTCGCCTTATTGAACCCATCCATGTTAGTTCCCGATGGTTCTCTCGGCCTTTTCTCTCATTATAGAAGATCATCCAGGCCGAGCAAACCCCCCTGCTACAAGAATTTGAGGGGATATAACCTCGTTGCGCGGCTTCACTGCCTTCTTTTCACCTTTATCTTATTATCGTAGTAGTACGTGGTATGTGAAATTCGCAAAGTCTGTTAGTTCTAGAAATGCAGATCCTATTATCCCACGAATCGTCTTCCGTTGGCTGTGGTGTTCCCTAGGTCGACTATACAACTAGTCTGGTGGCAAAAATTGGGAGTTGTAAGTGGACGTGTTTCCGGAGGATGCGATAGGGAAAACGGGGGACGGGACCAGAAGAGAAAGAGAGAGAGAAAATTTGGGAAGGCAAAGAGAGTAAACTAAGCGTCTAATGAGAGGAGAGGTCCACTGAAATGTCGAGAAGTAATGTTACTATTTCATATATTCCCATCTATTCTGTCTAATCAAGTACCGCGTTTAATGCCCGATTACATATCGCGTGGCCTTGGGTACCAATAAGGCGTCAGAAAATACACGAATGTTCCTTTCTGGCGTTTGTGTCCGAGTCGTATTATACCCGATTCGCTTTTGATGGCTTCTATCGTTTCTTCCATGATAATTCTTCAACCACCTGCCTGCCTATCTACCTGTCTATCTACCTGTCTACAATGACTCTACCGTTAGTCTCTACATAGTAAGGTAGACACTGTGACTAGGAAACAAAGCCAGCGAACGAGTGGAAGCAGATACATACCTACTAGGTAGGTAGGACCAGAAAATGTCTCTTGTATGTATAGGTAGGTATGTAGCAAGCAGTGCTAGGTAACCTACCTACCTACTAACCTAGGTAAGTGAATGATGACGATGGGCTTCCGTCTTGTGGCTTTGGTAGGATACTATTTGCTGCGAAGCAGACTGCGGAAATAGGACGCCAACGCACCATCTCACTGCCTAGCATTACCAGCTTAACAGAAATTACTAACTAAAATGCAATTGGACAGCCCCCATCTAGTGTACCTATGCAGGACGCATGCATAACTCTCAGACCCTCTCATAGGTGAAGCCAAGTTCGAACGACCACGCTGAGAAGAGTCATCGTGTATCTACTTCATGCATCCCTATGTCTCTCTCCTTTCTTTTCCTCTTTTTCCCTTCTTCCCGACCCTCTATACTGTGTATTGTATACCTTGGTTTCTATGTATGAATATGTATGTATGATACCGAAACCAAGATGGCATTACACCATCGAGCATGACATACTCGACCTTCTCGAGTGCGCATAAGATCCAATTGGTCCTCTCGCACAGGAACAAGAACCGAGATCTTATCACCGAACCCAATTGCTTGTTCTACATAATGACCACGGTGATGAAATAAACAGGATTTTCTTTACGACTTTTCATTTCAAGACAGTGTGTTACTTGAGAATGAGCATACATAAGTCAAAGTCAGTTGTTCTGCGAGGCGAGGTATAACAACTTCAACAAAGTGTTGCTCAATGTCTCATTCATACACCACCACCACCACCTGCTGCTCCACCACTACTACTACCACCATGCAAATCCCACATCTTAGACGACCTCAGATAAATGAGCGATATCTATAACCTAGCAGGTCTAGTACTGTAGCTTCGCGAGTATCAATCAATCAAACCGCCGCCACTCCGGCCGTCGCGGAAACGGGCGTCTCCGGGGAGCTATGCGGTTTCGGGTAGGGAGAGAAGGACTACCTATTCGACGAGAATGGCGATCGTCTTCATATCAAGACCGTAGATCTCGAAGGGGGCGAAAAAAAGAAGAAAGGAAAAAAAAAAAAAAAAAGGGATTGATTTCATACATGTGCGGTGCATGCAAGTTGATTGGTTGTGAATAGGTCCAAGAGTAATCTGGACCTCCCTATTTGCGAATCTCTCCCGTCTGGACATTGTGCCAGCGCTGCATGTCATCCACACAGACCAAACCCCTTTTGTGCATTATAAATGATCCAGTATGCGTGTAGATACTAGATACTGTATCCATGATTCCATATGGATGCAAGTAACTAACCTAGATATGTACGTATGTACGTATTGTGGGGGCTACCCATCTACTTAGAAATACATACATAACATCTGCGTACTGCATCTCTCATGTACTCGTCGATAGTTGGCGTTTATATATGTATATGAGCATCCACTAAGTACATGCCTACATACCTACATATGTACAAATATGACCACAACATCTGCAAACCAACCTAGAAGGTTCTGATTACCAGGTAAGTGTCTGATCTTCGAAATATTATTGTACACACTTGAAAAGTTGACATCGTGTGACCGAGAAAGAAAAAAAGATCCTTTCACCCATCTGGAATTGCTGCGGAATAGCCCATCACGATACCATCAAGCCATCGCGCATCATCGTCCATATGAGTCACCCCTACAATAGCCGTGACTCGGTAGAATAGTCGCTCCACTAGATAGCTAGAGTAGGTAGCGAGCCGCATACGTATAACAAAGCATTGACGCAAGTGCAAGGTTCTAGATGCAGCACGACAATCTCCAATACCCATAACTAGCACGGGTAGATGCGTGATCCCCCCCATGGGTTGCAGTTATCAAGAGCTAGATCGTCAAAAAGTACGGGGTATTACTTACCCAGCTTGAATGAAGCATAGGCATAGACAATGAAAGCCGGCAAGCGGGATATACCTAGGTAATACCTACTACGTACTATGTAGGTGCGTAGCAGGTATTAGTAATGAAGCTAATATCAGCGATGGTGTTACTGGTAGGAATAGGTCTGGTGATATCGTGATACTGTAAGCTATTAACTGGGTGGCCCGCACAGCCATATTCTTTTTTTCGGTGAGAATCTGGATGAATATTCGTCGACCTGATCAAACGCTACTGGCACAGCATACTATGTACTGGCAGAATACCCACGACATATCCAATTTGTCTATGGAGTGGGGTTCCCTTGGCGATTTGAACAATACGATTGGAGTAGTGACAAGAGTCTCTCACTCGAGGACACCATCAAGAGTCTCACCGCCTTTCTTTTTCAAGTCAAAGGATCCTCACATCACTACCGGTACTCAGAAGTCTTCAGGTATAACAACACCACTGAGGTAAACTCACAACATTTCGATCATATACCTCAATACATCGTCAAGGTTTAGTTTCTTTGGGTCAATGAAGAAGCCGACCGACGTATTTCATCCCTGAGGGATGCAGCAAGAATATAGCCACATGTCATTAATGCCATGCACCGATGAGCATCGGATAGTTATCTGTCCTCGTCGTATCCGTGAAGCTGTATTCATTGTACTGCCCAGTACAAATCTCTTGGTTTCAGGGGCATATCCACTAAGGTTCTAGTAAGATACGAGTCTGATCACTACATATCTTGCGATCAGCTTACCAGTCTTTCTTCCTATGTCTACACCACGTGCGACGCAATGGCAGCTCAAATCAACTTCGCCATAGCCTTATTCTGGTACATCTGATCAAGGACTCCAAGTTTCTTTCCTTTAAACAGCCGATGCCATCTGAAGTTGTTGATGTACCCGATCGTCATTATTGCCTATAAGTTGTCCACAAGGATAGTCGGCACAGGAGACACGTCAGCAAAAATCAAGGAGAAAATGCCAAGGTCCTCGCCATGAGACTTATTTGCCGATGCTGAGACTCAGTGCGTTGAAACACTGAGTAAACTGTCCGATAGACACGCGGGAAGGCGATGTCCCCTAGCGAGATGGCAGAATGACGGCAGAGTGATGCCTCTCTCTGTATACCACTAGCGTATAGCAACTATAGCGAGCCTATCGAACAGGACAACGCGAATCAGAGCAGTCAGGTCCCGCTGGCGGCGCTGCTCATTCAATAGGTCAGCACAAATAGTATTGTGGAATGATGAGAGTGCTTGCCGGCCAATCTAATCAGCAAGGAGGCGAACGAAGTCACGATTAGACTGGCTCCCGAAAGATCTCTTTAGATCCAGCACGTTGCAATCCGACCGTAGAACCCAAGATATTGATAGTACACTATGAAGTTGTGGTTCTTGTTCGTCTGAGGGGTCCCTCCCCCAAAGTCGCGAAACCTATGGGCCAGTGAGAGATATGAAGCATATTACGGGAGGGGTCGATGTTGATGATCCAACGCATCGGTCGACGCCCTTCCGATTGCAACTGTGCTCTCTCAGACCTTCACAGTTCGATGACTGGTGGGTGGATTGTTAATGGAGGATTCATATAATTCTTTTCTCTTCGGTAAGAATCACATCCAATAACAATGGCCTGATTCTGAGCGACCTTCTACGTCTGGAGAAGCGCGCGACCGGTAGTTTTCTCTGAGTCTTCCTAGTCAGGCTGCCATCCAGGTCTCGTCCTGTCCTCCCGATAGCGGACCTGAGAGGGGATTGTTCTCATTCTCTCATGGTTTAGGATGTAACTCAACCGCTTCAGTTGGTAAGGCGGCATGCCCCATAGCGGGATATCTCGGGAATTGCCGCCCATCAAACTTTACAGGCAGTACATAGGTCAATCGCTGGACCATGGCCACCGTGGTTGATTAAGTACTGGATATCAAAGGTTACCATGACGTCAGCGAATGACAGCAGGAGTTGGGCACACTCTGTCGAGGATTGCGGTTGCTACCCTGTGTTGGCCAAGGGGGGTCGGTGCCCAACGGACGTCGAGATATCCACCGGTCGACCCGACATAAAAATCCTTCACCCGGGAAGGAAGTTAATTAAAACCCCGGTTGTACGTATACCTCGTAGTCAATGGCTGTTGGGCGAGACTCCAGTCTGGATGTTCATCAGTAAAACGTAAATTACGGATCCTGTGTGCTGGGTATACTTGACTGCTTTGCAATCAGCTATGGTTAGGAGACATGTTCCGAAGCTGAATTATTCATATACCAATAGTGAAGATAGATGTCTGAATAAGAACATTGACTACTACTAGTAGTATGAACATGAACAACATTGAAGATGAAACTGACAAGCAAGTGATAGTTAGATACACGTGATGTTAAGAGGTGAGCATTAAAATTACTAATTAGTTAAAGCCACATTTCAAGCCACATGCACTGCTGCCAGATGACCCCTCTGCCAGTGACTGCCACACTTTAATTTTCCACTTTAATTTTCGCTACAAGATCACCTGCAATGATATCCATGCCACTGCCTGGATTCCATGGATGTAAAGTTGTGCCATCTAATTTCCAACATTGAACACTTGAACCTTTTAAGAATTTGAAGCTGTCGCTTTATCAGCCCTGCCAGCAAATGGATGTCACGGTCAATCACCCTATGCATGCAATGATCTACAGGGTCGCAAATCCTAAGGCTTCAACTAATACACCTAGTCCATCTATCGTCTTTGGATTGTATCCATGGATAGCTCTCTACTTCAAGACGACCTCGTCATTTCTCCTCTTCTTATTCTTCCTTTTTGAACATTTGCGCCCTTGATTATTGAAAGTAGCAAGTTTGACGTCATCCACCTATTATACATACATGTATGTTTTCCCAAAGTTGAATCGATATCCATGGATAATATGTAACTTCACCAACTCGAGTCCTATCTAACCTAACCTAGTCCTTTAGGGCTATTACTAGCTGCGTCTCGGGCGGTAACTATCAACCATACATGCCTATCTAGGGTAGTATGTAGGTCTCCAACTTGGCGCTACGGCTTTAGTGCTATTCGGATCTATCATATACTGGACTTATCTATTCACTACTATAGTACTACCAACTTACCAAGTCCCTGAAAGTGGGAAACGTTATGTATCTTCAAGCGAACATTATGTCCTCTTCTTCAGAAACATACATACATTATGTTGGAGCTTGCATACTGACCTTGGCTTTCACGCGGCCATCCGGGGTAGGTAGTATCGAGTGATTCGAGTCACTTCAAATGACGACATAATTATCAGTTTGCGACTCTATTAGGTACGACCATACTACCATACCACCACAGTCAAGACAATTATACCAGGCAACCCATTTTCGTTGATACCCAGAATGATACCTAGGAGGCGAGTGGGTGGGTGAGTAGGAGGTAGGTATACCCAAAAGTCTTTGAATGTTTGTCATATGATACAGCTCCTCGGGCAAAAGTGCCAACCCTCCTCTCGTATCTGCGTATTAAGTGCTACGCCAAACCAAGGAAGTATAGCCATCCTTCCCGCGACTGTCTCTTGAAATCTCTTATACATCCTTTTATACCTACCTGCTAGGTAGTAAATATCTACTAAGTATGCACTATATGTCTATATCTACTTACTTATGTAGCATTGCATCACATAAACCGGCTCTCCGTTCTGTGACGACCTGAGTCAATATTCGTCAACGCAACGTCGTTGCCGACATCACGAACTCGTATCAATGTTGGTTGAGCGGTACTCAAGATTCATGCAAGGTACGATGCATAGGTATGTATGTATTCGTCGATCCGGATGCGAGTCAAATCGACCAAGCTTCAGTATTGTCAAATCACAAGGAGTTTTACGAGCCTCACGAGCCCCAGAACGTCGCAATCAAAGAATTAGATGCAGTTGAATACCGGGCGTCTCGGCTGGTAAACATGTTGCAATGTCTTTCCAAGGCTATTATACTTAATAGCCATGGTATATATCTGGTATATATCTGGTATATATCTGGTATATATCTGGTATATATCTGGTATATATCTGGTATATATCTGGTATATATCTGGTATAGACCAGGTATAGACCAGGTATACATCATTGTCAGATGCTCATCAACCATACCTGAAATGGGTGTCCTGGATGTCTTAGAAAGCCGGCTTATGCTCTATCATGTTGGAGAGACCCCCACCCACCAATCCAAGCTCCAAATCAATTCGCACACCATCTTAGACGCGTGATGCTCTTTGCGGAAATCAGCTTGGTGATTATCCTCGTCTGAGCCTCCCACGCCTTAGCGTTTAGCTGGTTCCCTTACCAGATAGCACCTTTGCTCACGAGTTCAGTGTCAAAAAGTTCCAGAAAGTTACGTCCCCCGTTGCGTTTTCAGTTACGTTTCCTATTTGGCTCTTCCAAGCATGACCACCCTCTTCTCCTCTTCTCCAATTTGTCGACTCACAAGGCAAAGTGCCTTACACCGACCGGTGACTAACACCTCCATTGCACAGCACCTTCTGCTTACAGAGCCTAGTGTCAGTATATATTCTGTGACTTTACCTCTCACTCTGGTTTTGATTTATTTGTTTTTCTTTCGCCCCACCTCATCCTTCAAGAGCTTGTTACTTTTCCCTTTTCGGTGTGGTAGGCCGGCCTCGAGTTCTCTCATATCTACACGTGTAGGAACATTTATAACTGAGCCGGCCTGAACCCGACGACCTCTGTTGGGCTTTAGCTACGGAAGGACTCTCTACGCCATCTATTACAGGTCGCTAGTATATTATCTAGTAATGATCAAGTTTTGGAATTCAGTCGTTATCTTTAATCATTTTACTCCGCCATCGCATTAACCGATAACTACCTACGGTTATGCCTCTATTGCCACCAAACTTATCTGTGCATGGGCAGTTGGAACTGCCTTGCCCGCCGAGTCCTAGCCGGCTCCCTCCTTCATTGGAGGATGATATAAACTCAACAGATGACGATGAGTTTGATGCTCAGTCGTCTCATGAAAATCCCATGATGTATTTTCTCACACCACCAACTCCAAGCGAGGACGATCTTGAGTTCGAATTCGAGTTTGACGCCGGAATCGAGGATTCAAACCGGCCCCGAGAAATCATCCGGACTGTTTCCCCTTCCACTCTCGATGGCCTCAGAAAATACAAACCCAAGGACAGGTTAGCAGATTGCGCTATCTTGGATGACAACGAAGACGATGATGATGACGAGGAGGACTATATCCGCTTTCATCCTCACGGGCATACATCTCTACCATTTGGCTTCGAGAAGTTCTTCGACCAGACAAGGCCAGCTGCTACTGTCACATCTCAAACCACAGAGGCTCTACTCTCCCCTGCCTCCTTTCATGTTGGATCACCCAAGATGCGCCCAGCAAGGCGCTTCGCACCCCCACGGCACGTTCGCCGTGGAAGATCGCCCTCTCAATCGCTTCAACGACGCCACTCATGGCGTGAGCCTAGCCCGGATGTATATTCTATCGAGGAGGAACCAGAGAAGGAAACAATGAGCGAGTTGGGTTTCAGCACTGAAGATCTCACTGACGATCAGGAGGGAAAGACACGACCAATAGACATACCGGCTGCAAAGCCCAGGAAGAAGGTCCGGTTTATACTGCCGGTTAGGGATTGATACGCATTATTTTCATCTACGCAGTCCTGGGAAGGACAATCTAGCATTCTTGCATACAAACGGCGTTGAGGTTGATTGCATTTACTCTTTTCTTTCTCATATATAATTAGGAGTGTATGCCTACTGGGTACCTAGGTAGGTCAGTAGGTATGGAAAGGGTCGGAGCATATACGGCATAGGTCATTTCAAACTCTGGGCTTTGGATAATATTTCGGGATATAACATAGGTAGCAAAATTAATCTAACCACCTACTTACTTACTCACTTACCTATCTACATACTATTTTGTCATATCTAGATACTCGGTTTCAATATGTGATCAGACGTGAGAACCGGAATTTATTCATCTTGCTTACGCATGCTGCAACGCAAATCATCGTCGATCATAGAAGAGCGCACATATGCAGAGCGCCGTACGCGAGCCAATGCTGTGTTCGTTCATTTTTCGTCATTATCACATCTCGCTGACTTGCATCGCCATATGTAGGCAGGTTAGGTAGATAAGTAGGGGTCTGGATTTCGAAAGAAAGCCGGTTTCCTCTCTTGCCAGCATCTCACACACCCTCTTCTCAAAGGGCCACCCACCCCGGCTATTTAGCCCACAGCTCGCTTGCGCGCAGGTCGCGCATCAAACTGGACTCGGCCGTTCGGCACGCTCCTTTACCATTTCAAAAAAAAAATTGGTACGGGTAGAAGCTGTTCCGGATGAGGCATGGACTTGTCGGTAATAGGGCTAGGTTGGATGGGCATATATGAGTGTGTGAGATATTATAGCCGACCTACCTACATATGGTACATGTCTACATACATAAGTACGCATATTAGTCTGGTCAACTAGGCTAGGTTAGATTATTCTTGAGGCTGTGTGGATAGATAAGTAGGAGGTAGGTAGATGTTGATTACACATCCCCCATCTACCATCAACCATCAACCCAGCCCTACGATGTGCGCAGGGATGTGGTAAAAGTCACACGACGTTGGGTTGACGCATGCAAGTGTGCCGTAATAATACTAAATAGGTAGACTAAAACTAAGGACATACATAAGTACATGTTGAATTCCTTCCCAAGATTTTAAGGGACTTATCAGAGGAGGACTCGCTTCGCTTCATAAGTGGCTAATTGATCCCTTTTTTTTTCTTTTGTGGTGGTGGTGGTGTTGTGTGGTCTAGACCATATATATCTAACCTACAGTACTTACTTACCCTTACTATGCGAATGAACACCTACAGACGACTGGCGGTCAACCAATGGCCAATGACGTGAGAACAGTCGCTAACGAACGAGCAACCGAACGTGCTATGTCTGGGCGGGCGGACTTAGACGAGAGCTGAATGCTACCTAACCTAGAATATAACCCGGGTGTGTACTCATGTATGTATCTGCACGTCCATACATATACATATGTACTAAGTAGGATATCATGTAAGGCTAGAGACAGAGGCTGGCCGCTTCACTGTTTCCCTTCGCTGCTTGGCGGCAGCGCATCACACCATGCATGTGGGTTGCGTGAGATCGGTGGTTCCGCGTCGTCGGGTCGTGGGAGCGTTTACGTGAGCGTGAGCGCTATTGTACGCTCTCTTGCTTAGCCTATAAGATCACCGTTGGGGGGGAGACGCATATGTATTTGAAATACTAATACTAATACTCTTCCTTTTCCTTCTTCTTACGATATACAAACTGCATATGACCGGAGAGTTTTACCTGATATCAAATGGCCTAGGTTAGACTAGGCTGTCAGGCTCTTTTCTGTGTAAGAGCTAGGCAAGGCTACGATGCGTTAGATGCCTACGAGGTAATAATAGACTTATCCTATTGCTATTTTCCGGGCACATTCATATCCGTCGTAAACTGACATCCTCCCCCTCCAGGTGTAAGTTTTCGCCGCCAAAAAAAAATTTAAAAAAATAGGAGGGCTGTGGCCCGTATTTATTTTATTCTAACAACCAACCAACTAGCCGCTTCTTCTGGCGGATTGCCCAAAGAGGCTATACGCGCCTATATTGGTTGGTGCCCTCCTCAGCCCTACCTACCTATCCCAGTCCTCAAACATGCCCTTCTTGCTTCCCTTGCGTCGGCAGTGTAAGTATGATATGCACATCTAGGTAGCATCCATCTATATCCGCGCTTATTGCTTATCGACGCAGATGTTGACAAACAGATTTAATGGTACGTTACTCTGACACCTACCTGGATAGGTAAGTAGCTTAGCTGTATGGTTTGATAAAAACGCTGCGGGAACTACTTAATATTGGCCTCTCTGGATTGAAAAAGGGAGCTACGATATATGTGCTTCTATTCTTGTAGCATTTCACAGGATGATTGTCTGGGTATCACGTACATAGCTGGGGCTCAGTCCCTTTTTATCCATGTCTATGAAAAGGCTGGACCGTTTTCGATAACTTGTTCTTGGGAAGCTACCTATATATTGCAATGGCCCTTCCTGTGCCTCACGTAGAGAGAGGGATCGATGTAATACGTTCCGACTTCCTAACCACCTACTAGGTATCGACCTAGGTAGGTGTCTAAAGGACATGTGCTGCCTGCCTATCTGTTAGTCATAACAGCCCACTAGGTAGAACTTATCGGCCATCGTCCAACTTACTAGTATTTCCCACTCGCTACCTAAAGTACGGATATAAAAATGAATGGTAGGTACCCATCACAGGAATTCCCAAGCCACCTACACATGCCCTCTCAAAACTCCCAAACTCTCAAGGTCCCTAAGCCTCCGTGAATTCTTTTAGTGTTGATCAGATGATCCCCATTCAGGATATATTATTGATTATTTATTAACGGCACAGTGGCCGCCCAGCCACCCAATCCAACGTTGAGGCTGAAAAGAATGAATCCTGCACAAAGCTGACATGGAGTTAAGAGTAGGTAGGTACTTCCTAGGTACTTGATAGCCATGATGATACAACAAAAAAACAGTCGAAGGGGAAGTAAAGAGAATAATGTTGTGAAAAGTCGAGATATGGAACCCCAAGGAAATCAAGGGGGAGAGGACGTTGATAGGTAATTATCAAAGAACATAAAAAATAAAATAGAAGACCATCCAATATATCGAGCTGGTTTTTTCCAAGAGAAAGAAAGAAAGAGAAAAAAGTGATGCCCAGAGCCTAGAAACACTATTAGAATAGGTAGCACGTGATATTATATGTAAAAAGCAACGTTGTTGGTTAGTTGGTTAGTTGGTTGAACTCAAGTCGTGGGGGCCAGAGACTATGAACGCGTAAACAGTGAAAACTACCAACATGTCTTGCCCTGTCTCACGTGCCATTAAATCAACCTCACCTCTCCTCATCTCCTCTCTTCAACCGACGCAACATTCGTTCGTTCGTTCATTCTTCACCCCCTATCCCCATCCCCATCCCCATCATCACAACCTCCTCATAACTTAGCCTCCGGCCCCGACTCCGGCCCCGACCTCTCCAATATCCAATCGCCCACATCGCGATAAAACTCCTCCCTGCCCACCTCGCTATGCAGCTGGTGCGCCCACCCCTCGTACGGCTTAAACGTCGCATCCGGAAGTTTACACCCAAACGCATCCCACCACTTCTTGACCGGCTCAAACGCGGCCACCTTATCCGCCGTGCCATGCGCGACCAGCAGCGAGCGCACGCTCGGCCTCGGCCTCAACCTGCCCGCGCCTAGGTCCTCGGCGCGCGAAATCATGCCGGCAATACCCTCGAGGGTTCCCGTGTCGTGGAGTAAGGGGTCGGCGGCGATGTCCTTCTGCATGTCCGGGTCGCGGGTGAGGTGCTCGGCGGGGATGGGCTGGACGAGCTGGAAGTGGGGGACGACGCGGGCGGCGAGGCGGCCGCTGGCGACGGTGATGCGGCTGGGCTGGACGGAGGGGCCGAAGCCGAGGAAGGGGGCCTCGAGGATCCAGCCGCGGACCCGCGAGACCACGGCGTCGTGCGCGGGCGTGCTGGCGAGGGCTAAGGCTTCGCCGCCGCCCATCGAGTGGCCGAGCACAAACACCGGCACGTCGGAATTTTCGTTGGAATCTGATGATGATGGTGGCGGGAGGGCCTTGGTGCGGATGAAGGTGGCGATGTCGGATAGGATGGTGGCCGTGGGGCCGGAGCGGCCCCGGTCGGAGGGCTTGCGGACGCTCCTGCCCCAGCCGCGCTGGTCGAAGCCGAGCACGGCGATGCCGCGGCGCGCGAGGCTGGGGAACAGGTCATGGTACCGGTTCACGTGGTCACTGAAGCCGTGGACCATGACTAGCTTTGCCTTGGGAGGACCATCCGGCTAGGGGGGGGATTGTTAGTGAGCTGGTTATGTAGGTATATGTGTTTACTAATCTTGAAGGGAAGATATATATATACATATAAATATATATATATGTATATATATGTAAGGGATATATGTACTCACAAGCCAGGATTTGGTATAAAGGCTGACGTCGTCAACTTCAAAGGTCCCCTCGACGGTTTTGACTTCTCCCATCTTGAAATACTAGTTGGTAGGCAGCTGATGTAATAGACAAAGGGGTTACAGCTGTATTTTAGATTTTAGGTAGGTACCTATGTGGGTTAGATACTACTATGTAGGTAGGTTATGATGCAGGTGCCAGGTAGTTAGGTGTGGTATGTTGATGAAAGTATTGAGGTATGGATGTCTTATATGATGCACTACGTAATCGACACCTTCAATGTTTGTACCTAACCTAGGTTAATCAATACGTACCAATGAAAAAAGCGAAGGTTGGGGGGCTTTGAAATGAGTAGGTAAGATTTGGAAGTTGCAATTGATCATGGTATTCACATGTCAACACGTCTTTGTTTCTGTTTAGCTACTACGGTAGTAAATAGCGGGTAAGCCACAGCGCGGAATGGCCACTAATATTGTACTACTAGGTACTTGTAGTATGGTGGCATAGCTTCTTCGGCTCCGCAACCGATCGATATCTGGGGTCTTGAACATATATGTACCGGGTTACTAGTACACACACACAGTAAAGACGGTGAATACGAAAAGTTAATCAATACTTAACTACTGTACTTAGTACTACCCAGTACTTCTACTTATACCGACTGTCACAAATCACGGTTAGGTAAATATTATAAACGTAGAAAAACTAGGAAGGTATATTGAAGGTCCTTTTTATACGTAATGCCCGCCCATCGACATCTACTTACATATTACTTAAGGAACCCTGAACCCTACCTACCTACCCTGCCAAAACTCAATTGTTCATTTCGAAGCTTCGTCGTTCCCTTTTCCCCATTTCCCTTTCGTGCCTTCGTTCGTGAACTTGCTTGCCTTCCTGGCTTCGTGGCTTCGTTCCTTCCCGTAGTCACGTCTCGTAAAACGGGTTCCCCTTCACTTACCTACATATACTACCTACTACCTACATATGTAGGGTAGGTACATACACAGTAATAGTTACTAAGGTACATCGTGATAATAGGTGCCTACATATGTACATACATATGTACATATGTAGCACCTACTTTATGGTATCGAGTGGAGTTCTGGACCAAATTACTCTATAATACAATGTCCGTTGACCAACCCCAAGACGCCCTCTTTCCAGGTCAGGCCTATTTGTACATGACGTGTGTCCTCTAGAAAATGTGCCTATGCAACGTCAACCAATCCACCCTTTTGTTCCAGGGAAAAGGTTCCCCGTAGACGGAAAGAAACCGTATAAAAATTAGAGACAGAGAGAAGGAAATTTCGAAAATTAAACCTTCAAGGGCTTCATACCCTCTCTGGCCCTTTCACGTGCAAACGTGGTAGGAATAGTAAACGACGTGAACGATCATTGGTTGGATCTTTGCTTCGCGTTTTGCTCTTCAACATCCTCTTCATCCTCGTCTTCTTCTAATTCTTCCTCGATGATCTCGGATTCCTGAAGCTTTGGGTCCTGGGCCTTAGCCGGAATATCACCACCGCTCATCTGCCATTCCATCAGTCGAGTAAATTCACTGTGAGGGTTGGCACTGAGCTCTTCGTAGGATCCGACTTCTGCAACTATGCCCTTGTTGGAAAGAACGATGAGCTTGTCTGATCTCTTGATGGTGGAAAGTCGATGCGCGATCGAGATCGTGGTTCTTCTACGACCCTTCAATAGGGCCGCCAGAGCTAGGTTGACTGACGTCTCTGACTCAGCATCTAGAGCCGAGGTAGCTTCATCCAGAATGAGAATGTCGGGATCCTTAATAAGGGCACGGGCAATAGCAATACGCTGCTTTTGTCCACCTGACAGTTGCGCACCTCTGGGGCCAACCTGTGTCTCGAGACCCTGGGGGAAGTCGCTGAGAAATCCGCAGTTGGCCTTTTGTGCCGCCAGGACAATTTCCGATCGAGTAGCGTGGGGTTTGCCATAGGAAATGTTTTCGGCCACCGTACCCGAGAATAACACCGGCTCCTGAGACACCATACCGATACGGCGTCGCAAGGACTTTGCGTTCATCTGCGTAATATCCACTCCATCGATCTTGATAGTACCACTAGTAGGATTATAGAATCGCAGCAGCAAAGCCGACACCGTCGACTTGCCTCCACCCGAGGGACCAACAATACAGACGTTGCTGCCGGAGGGGATCTCAAAGTCGAGTCCGTTGAAGATGGTTACGGCAGGACGTGTGGGGTAGGCAAAGGTGACGTTCTCGAACTTGATAGGTCCTTGGGCTGATCTAACCTTGATACCCTTGGTCGAAGAAATGATGGCGTGTCGGTCCTGAAGTTCAAAGATACGGGTAGCCGCTCCCACCCCCTTCATAAGTTCCGAGTAGAAGTTGGCCACGCCGAACAAACCACCGCCAGCCCAGAATGCGTACATAACGAACATAGTAAGATCGCCTGTGGTCATCACGCTGTCCCTGACTAAACTTCCACCATACCAAAGCAATGCGATAATCGTCATATTGCCCATCCAAGAGGTTCCAGAGAAGTAGACGGCGTCGTAGATGGATTGCTTTTTGCCAAGATCAAAGACCTTCCTGACCTGATGGTTGTAACGACGGACTTCTTGGGCCTCGCCCACGAAAGCCTGGCTCGTTTTGACGTTGCCCAAGCGTTCTTCCGCGATCTTGGTCAGGGTTCCTAGATTTTGCTGCATCTTACGACTAAGTCTTCGAATGATCCTAGAATATATGAACGAAGCGCTGCCGATGAATGGACCAGCGACCAGGATAACGGCCGTGAGACTAGGGCTAATCCATGCCATCAGGGCGAGACCCGAGACGCTATTTACGATAGATCTCAGCCCATCAGAGAGATTCTGCGTAATGCTCTTGCCCACGATGATGGTGTCTGTTCCGAGACGAGATATGAGATCACCGACCCTGTTGGCGTCGAAGAATTCGGCATCTTGTCCATAAGTCTTTCGGAAGAGCTGCGATCGCAGGCGCGTGACAACTCTCTCACCGATGATGCGCAGAAGAACGATACGGCCAAAGTTGGCACATGCACCAAGAGTAAGAGCTAAACCGAAGGCACCGAAGAACTGATACAAAGACAGACCAAGTATTTCCGTCTCTTCTATGGGTTTCGACGTGGCTAGATTCATAACCTTGCCAACCACGAGGGGAAGTGAGACGAAGAGGGAGGAGGATACGAGGAGCAAGATGACGGCAATCGTGAGATTTCTGGACTCTGGCTTCGCGATCTTAACGAGGCGCCATACTTCGCTTAACGAGGCTAAGGATTTCTTGCTTTCTTTACCGTCGTGAGAGAGGCGAGCGCGCAAGTTAACCTGGGCCGCCTGAGATGCCTTTTCACTTCTAACAAAACCCTCAATGGCTTGTGCTTCTTCCTTTGCGGCTATAGCCTTCTCCGAGGAGGAGACATCGGCGCCCTGCTTCTGAGCGGCTGGGTTTGTCACATGCTGATTCTCTCGACTAGACACTTTGGTGGCAGAGAAGTGTCTTAGCACGCTAATTGGTGAGGTTGATAGCGGTAGTCGTGCCGAATTAGTAACGCCGAGAGGTCTCGGAGAAAGGCCTGGTAAGGGTTGCGATCGGACGAGGTGGGTAGAAGAAGCACGATTTGTGCTTAAAGAAATCGGAGAGGTGCGGAAAGGTGACGGGGAAGCGAGTTTCGGGGCAATTGATCGTTTCGAGAGAGTAGAAAGCTCGTTGCGAGGCAGTACGGTATGCTGGTGCGAGAGCTTTGCGATGCCGGCGCCGCGCAGGGAAAAGCTTCCCATGGCGCGGCCCAACGCTGCCGATGGCATCTTGAGGGGTTTAAAATCGTCGCGTCGTCATGGATCAGTGTTCAGCTGCTCTTGCGCACGATCTTCGAATCGAAGCGAAGCTAACTGGGGCTTCACTTTGCCTCGCGCGCTGCAGATTTTTGGTTGCCGAGCTTACTGTGTGAAGAGAATATGAAGGAAGAAAAAAAAAAGTGTAGGAATGCCGTCATCCACTAAATTCAACCCAAACTTGGCCTGGGGGGCTTGTTACGCAGGCTGCGGGCGCTGCGTAGGTAGGGATACCTCCCTACAATTTAGTGCTTAGCCGTCTAGACTTAGCTTGGAGTCAGGTTAATCGGCACAACTCCGGCTTCTTCATACACCCCCCTGCTAGATGATGTAAGTTCAGTGGCGTGTAAGTGAGATTGATGGTGTCGATAAGGTTGTGGTGTTGCTGTTGTCGACTTCTCTTGCGAAGAATAGAACTTGCCGGAAAGACAGACAGAGAATTAAGTATAGATAGACTGAAGATTAGATTGATTATCACTCAGGAGCTTGGTTGGGAAAGGAGAGATTGAACGATATGCAGTATGTGCCCAGTCTTCAAAATAGAAAAGAAAGGAAAAAAGAAAGCACACAAGAATAGAACTATGTGCCTTTAATTGTTTGTTTTTGTTTGCAAATCCAGACAGTACAGAAATAAATAAATAAACAAATAAATAAATAAATAAATAAGCAGACTGTTCCCAGGGTCTAGTTCCGGTTCCGGTTCAGTTATGAGGTTTCGGCACCTGCATGGATCGGTGAAGCACACGACTCAGTTACCCTCGGACCAGCCCCGGAGGTCCGGGATGTGGTGACACGCGGTATCAGACGGGCCCGGTACATAATCACAAAGCCGGCAAATCACCTATGGTATGAGAAGCCCCTTTGATAGTTTTGTCATATCACCGCCGAAACACTAAGAGCACTTCTACACAACTTTTGATCAATAGATATAACTATGTATAACCTAAAAATCATAGGCGAGGAAACTTTACGATTTTTCACTGAAGCCATCGATATGTAGGAAGCATAAAGGAGACGGAAGACGCCTCGTGGGCACAACCAATACAATTATAAGGCAGTAAACCATTGATATAACCTCCCAAGACCAAATTAGAGCCATTACTGTACATCGCCTAACCTTAGTTCTCATTATCCATTCCATTATAAAAGGAGTAGTTGCATCTAATAGAATGATGCCATCTACGAGCCACTGCTGTCTCGGCGAAGCATTTCCGCTACATCTGCATCGATCCCGTCATCCTCCCCGAGATCAGGGAAGTCATTGCCCTCATCCAGTTTACGTTTCTTAGATCCGTTGACGGTAGTTGACACTGACTTGTACTGCGCACCAAGATCATGATGTGTTCCCGAATCTTGTGTACTGGGTCGGTGGCTGGCGATTTCCACGGTCGTGTTGGACGACTGTTGCTCAAACTCGTCTGGGGAGCTCGATCGCTCAGGATCGTCTGATTGCATTGCGGGTGGAGTAAGGGCCTCAACCTCGGGTCTGTCAGGTTCCGGAATTGGCTGATCATTTGGGATGTTGCTGGATAGATATGGCTCGTCATCCGGAAGCCCTGCCATAATAGCTCGTTCCACTTCTGTCTTCTTTTCTTCTACCTCCATTCGTCGTCCGACACAAGTCTCTAACTGATCCTCTTCTGCGATGAGGGCGTTTCGGTTTGTATCGAGAACTTTCTGTAGCGCTGCAACAAGCTCTCGGCGAGCTTTCACGCATTGTTCCACCGCACCCTCAGCCTGAGCCAGGTTTTTCAACAGCCCACTCAGGCGAGCAGCATACACCGGGGCCGAAGGCGCAGTGCTACCGGGTCCTAATAATTTGGCATACTCCTGGTTGGCAGAGTTGACAGCGGTTTTCATGCCCAGTTGTAGTTTTGTGACGTTTTGCTGGGGGGTGGTAAGTGGTGCGAGCTCTGCTGGAATGGACACAGCAGATCCGAATATCGAGCCACCAAGCCCGGTTTTGGCGCTGCCGCGAGTTTCATTGATTTCTGACCGGATTAGCTTATCGATGTACCTAGTATGTAGAATACTAAGGATTATATATATATATATATATATATATATACATGGTTGCTTACCTTGTATACGGACTTCTATCGCTTCCAGTATTGGTTGCTCGAAGACTTCTCGGTCTCTCCAAACGTCTACTACTCGTTGGATCCTCTGTTGTATGTCTGTTGAAGCACCTTTGTAGGCGGTGGCCACGGCTTCTGCAATAATCGGCGAAAATGCAACAACGAAGTCCTCCCTATGACGCGCCTTAGTTTGTTGAGCCACTTCTATATAACTAGTTAGCTTTATACGCAGACATGGCATGGAAATACTTCACGCAAGAGAAAATTTCAAAACTACCATAACTGGGGACTTACCATTGGCGAGGTATAAAAGACTAAGACGTCTTGGACTTGATGAGTCCTTCAGACGCTGTAGCCACAGCTGTACAGTTCGGTCTGCATGACGCCTGATGCACAGCAAACACGTTAGTAACAATCAACGAAAAGGCAGTGGAAAGGCAAATGCCATATTTTAGTTTACCTACCTATGAAACATGATCCATTGAGATACAGACACAATGCTATCCGAAGCCTCAGAGAGGGCAGATAGCTTGGCCAATACAGCATCATCGGTGTACGACATGGTTGAAGTGCGAAAGGAACTTCAGTAGAAGCAATTTTGGCTGAGGTGGGCTGGATGATGGGCTGGATGGTGAGTTGGATGGTGGACTACCTAAGTAGATAGATAGATAGATAGAGGTTGCAGCCTTGTAAGTAGAGGGCAATTTACTTGATGATATAATCTTCTACAGTCTAGGAACCCGGATTCATCATAAGCTGGGCAAAAGATGAATAAGTGAGCTTTGCTCAAGGCAATCCTATGTACCAGTGAAAGTTGCGAATATCATCAATTGGAAAATGTGGCCCAGGTCAAGTGAAGTGCAGTGCAGTGCAAATAGAAAGGAATGACAAATTGCAAAAGCTTTCTGTCCCTAAGAGATTTGCTTCTACGGGTCAGGTTAGTTCAGTGGTTCCAAAGTTGTGCTTGTGAAGGTCAATAAAAGAAAGGTACGATAAATATCTAAAAAGAGACAGAGACGTGGGCTGGTGAATAGCTCGGAATGAAGAGTTGGAAGGTTGAATTGCGATTAGGATATCATTGGAGCACGTGATAATGCATGCTAGCCTACTCGTAAGGTTTCAAGGTTATTAGGTCAGGTACTTACAGAGGACAACTTATTACTAGGTAGGCATAGGCTAGGGAAGAGCTTCCCTGATGCACAGTGCAACTCTGCTAATTCTTTACACTTTACATGGATCCATACTAGGTACCTAGTACATATGTACATGCATAATTGATTGTACATATGTACAAGTAGCCAGAAGCTTAGGCCTGCTCTGCTTGCGACAGCCCTGGAGATATCTCAAACAAAACGACGCCTTTAATAAAATAAATTCTAAGCACGCTCATTGACAACCAGGCGTCGCTTTGTAACAATAACAACAACAATTTATTCAACTAACAACCCTCGAACTCTATTACCATCGTCAACATGGCTGACAGATTCCCTTCCTTGGACGACTTCGACTCAGGTGGTAAGTAGACATTATCCTCCAAATGTGGTCTCTTCGCTTGTCTTATACTTTAGTACATAATTCTATGTAATGCACGCTGACTTTTTATCCCCCTTTATTCAGCTCAGACCGATGTCCAGGATGTCGGTTCACCATCAGCCGATGATTTCCTCGCCCGCGAACGTGCACTCCTCGGAGACGACGCGACACAGTTCACCACTGGCACCGAGTCTGCTGCCCTCGCCGATCCCTCGTCCGACGATCTATTAGGCGGAGGAGGCGAGAATGTCCAGTTCGAGAGCCAATTTCCCGATATCAATACTTCGAATGAGGTTTGTGGATGTCCCCAGATCACTTTTTCTAGCAACACCTTCCTAATCTTCCTTGGGTAACAGCAAGTCGCACCTGGAGGCGCTATCACTGGTGGTCCGTCAGTCAGCTTCAACTCGGGTTACGCTGCGCACGTCGCGGACGAAGAAGAGCCCGAGATCATTAAGGAATGGCGCGAGAAGCGAGACGCTGCCAACGCGAAACGAGCCGAACAATTCGCCGTTCAGAAGGCCGAGACGATCAAGGACGCACAGCAGAACATCGATGACTTTTACGAGAATTACAACACTAAGAAGGAGAAGATGATCACGCAGACCCGAAAGGAGGCAGAGCAGTTCCTAGCAAGCCGAGATGACACCACCTCAGGCGGCACAAGCTGGGAGCGTATCTCCAAATTGGTCGACGTCAGCGGCAAAGGCCAGAAGGGTGGTGCCAATGGTTCAGGTAAAGAGCGTTTCCGTGAACTGTTGGTGAGCCTGCGCAAGGATGAGAAGGCACCTGGAGCCGAGGGTTACTGAGCATTCTTAAAATACCTGATACCAACGGTGTTCTTGCCGATCAACTAATGGAATAGCCATGTCGACTTAGGAGTTTTGGCCGGCCGATAGCAGCTTAGGCATAGGCAAAGGCATACCACTCTCAACTTTCATGTTGGACTGTACTTAGATAAAACCCGTGTTGCGGATAACAAGCAGGCATGGGGGGCTTTCTATGCCTGGGGCGTAATGGACTGATTTTTATCTATCTAACAGTTTCACCATTTGACTACGAACCTCCTATACGATTCCAGGTGGTGTTGATGATATTCATAATGCCATTGTGATTTGACTACCTAGGTAGGTAGAAAGATGGTAGGAATGCATTTGTGCGAAAGACTGTCTATTTCTCGACTTAGCAAGACACCCGCCGTTATCTTCGACTCTCCGACCTCTCCCATACTGCGTGCCGCGACCTATGTCATGTCATATTCGCAAATTTAGTTCTTGCCGAACCAGGTGTTGTAGCCAGCAATCTTACGACCCATCATGTACATGCAGGCTGTATATACAAGTTAGTTGTTTGCCACAGAGAATTATATGCGAGTGACGAACAGATACCAGTAACCCCATATAGGATGTAGTAGGGAATCAATAGCTTGGGGCTTCGTGTGTTCTGCGTCATATGTGGTCAATCGAGAGTCGCTCTAACGAAGAGATCATAATTCGATTTGGGAACATACGATATTCCAAACACGAGTGTGTTGCTTGTACGCTTGCTGGTAGAATTTCTGTTGACCAGGCACTCGGTTGGGGGCGTCGACCATACTGGGTGTCGCCTAGTTAGCATTCATCGATGAGCTCAAGGTAGATTTCGACATAGCGCATGAGCGACACAGAAGTTTCAACCCAAGTATAGGTGTCTTAGGGGGGACGGGCATCTGAAATCGAAACTCACCCCATTTTGACAGTTATTTGAGGATTATCTAGGGTAAATGGCAATATACAATTGTGGTTATGCAGAAGTTGATGTTGAAGGCTTGATTGAAGCGATTCAAGATTCGAACATCGAATGATTGGGTACTCAGAATGGGTATCGCTCGGTTATGGTGACTAAGCGTGGAAATCTCGGCTAAACTTTGCGCTAGTACTGCACTGCTACATACATCCTCATACAGAGTAGTTACATAACCTAGATAGTTGCATAGTACATAGCAGATATATTTTTATCTTCATATCTTCATATCTTCAATTTTTTGCTCGTGAGTTTGTTGAAAATATTCACAACCTTGGAGCCCAGATTTCGCTGTTCGACCCCTTCACTCCCACTCAACTTTCGCCAGTCCTACCAGGGCTGCGTCACGCTGTTAGGCTGAGATTTGTAACATGTAATCGTGCCGCAGTAATGCGATTGGCGAACACTATACTTCGAGATGTGAAGCCAAAACTCTTTAACCTCTATCCTCGATGTAGTCCACCACTTTGGCTCTCTCCACCATGCCTACGACGTACTCTATTACCTAGCAAGAATGCTACCCGGCGCTATGCCTCGGCCTTGTCGTTGAAGAAATCCGAGGACCCCCTCGATTTACTCTTATCGGGGTTATATAACGATTCTCCAGGGGCCCAAAAAGTCCCTGCGCAGCAGCCACAGTCAGGCGCTTCGCTTATACAAGACGCAAAGTTGTTCGCCAAATGGAAGCTACTACTAACTAACCCCTACCGCCTATCCGTCGAATCCGACTTCTTTCGACGGGGACCCGCTAAGGAATGGCATAGCCAGCTGCTGGTGGACGAATTCGAAAATCGAGGTGATCTCGCCTTATGGAGTTGTCTCTTAGATTACCAAAAGAGAACCAATGGGGATGTTGGGGTTCATAACGTCTGGAGGGGCCTCTGGGGGCGCAAGTTCTTATATGATGTCCAGAATCCCCTTGCGGCGGTCTTTTGGCAAACAATTCTAGAGGCCGCTGTAAGATCGAACGACGAAAAGTTCTTACCGAGTGTCTGGATCTACAGCGAGTGGATGTATGACGTACATCAGGTTAAGTGGCCACGCCTTTATTTAACAATGCTGTCGCATTTTTTACGGACTCATCAACATCACCAGGCCTTGAAGTGGCATTTGCGGCTAGTTTACAACTTCTATCCCGGCGCAGAGGAGTTTGCGAGTCTGATGAAGGAGTTTGCGCCTGACCGGAAATTATATGAACATTTCACTCTCGAATCTCTCTATATCACAAGTCCGGACCACAAACTGTATGATATTCTCATCCCATATCTGTACGAAATGGGCGAATCCCAGTTAGCAACAAAATGGCGTCGAATATGTACTCGACACGATGATTTACCTCAGGCGCATGTCCCTGCTCGACCTTTTCTCAGGTTTTTCCAGGGTTACTTTCCACATCAACGACTGTTCCCCGGAGAATCCGCTGCCGTTAGCGATTCTGAGTCCGAGTCCGCGGAAAATCCCGAGCAGGTTGAATTATCCCGAGAATTTGTCAATCGTGTACACGGCGGGACTTTTGGTATTAGTGTCAAGAACTACAACGACGGCCTGGGGGCCAAATGGCTTGCCAGTTCTTGGATAGGCTTAGACATAGCGATATCAACCATCTCGGCTTTGGGTATCCAACAAATTGGGCCGCTTTCATTACAATCGATCGCTTTGAGAGAAGGCACATCGGAGGGGGTGTTGAGACGCATCAAGCAACTACGAGAACATGGTATTTCGGTCGTCGATTCAAATTATTATCGACTGGTGCTTTATTTGGCCAAGATCAGAGACGACCAACTACTCCTCGATCTATTGAAAAGCGATCTCCACCCAGTGGTATTCGACGATGTGCAACTACTAAGACGCCTCGCCTTTTCTACAGCTAAATCAGAGGAGTGGCGGACGCATCGACTTATGTTAGCTACGAGCCTAATCGTAATGGAGAGGTCCGCACGGGAAGTAGCCAACACTGTTGCCCGTGTTTACATTTTAGAGAAAAAGCAAAAGGGGCTTTTGAAAGTCCTGACTGATATGAAGAATATGAAACTCCCCATTAACTTGGATTTGACGAATATGCTTTTCGACGATTTTGTCAACGAAGCTAAGTCTACATATCTTCCGTCGAGTACTCTCCAGTTTTATCTACCTGTTTATCGGCAGCTGGTATCTATGGAGGTTCCCGTTCCAATCCGTTGTTGGAGGAAGGCCGTATTCTCTCTTACTCGGCAGAGCAGACTCGACAGCCTAGAAGAACTTTGCATCGAATTGGTCGATTTATTTACCTCCTCACACTCTTCTCGTCCAGGCTTTGTGCCCGTACACCCTGAAGATATACCAGATCCCATACAGAAGCCGCTTTCAGGCGTGGAGAACCTCCTGGGTGTATACATCCCATTAGACCTACCAACTGAAACACCGCAGCATCCATTGCGACGGATATTCGATACCAAGCTCTTAGGGACCATGGTACGCTATTCTTTCAATTCCACCGTGAATAGGAAAAGTAAACAGCCCATCGGCATGCTAGCTCGCCAGCGGCAATCCAGTGAATACTCCGGTGCTCGGTGTGTCAGGCTGATGCGGATACTCCACAACCGGGGCATGTTCATAGACAAGAATCACCTGGCCACTTGGGTTAAGCTACGCCTCACTATATTATACGGTCCTGGGGTGCCGTCGAACAGGACTTTGCAGATTGTCAGAGGGAAAAACAACATGACGTTGACAGAGATGAAGTCCATCATCGACGAAGCGTGGGGGGAAGAACTTCTTCCCCCAATCGAGGAGTTGTGGGCGGAGATAGAAAAACGTAGCCGGAGAATAATGCAGTATAACCCGGGGTACTTGCAGGACGTAGGGCAGACGACGCCTCAGCTTCGCGTCGTCTTATGAGCAGCGCTTCGCCGTGTATACTACTGTACATTTGTTGCATATACTACAACATACATAGCATTGAGATACCCGGGGGTTTTCGGTGGAAAAAACTATAGAGAGATGGGGAAAAGGGCATCATCTTCCCGGCAATATATGGAATTAAAATTTAAGTAAACCTGTGCTCTGCTTGCTGTGTTTGTTATGTTTTTTTTGATACATGGACCTTTTGTTTGATGTCCCTTTGCCCATTCCCCCTTCCCCTTCGCTTGTGCCCAACCCGAGTCGTCGTTTTAACATCTAAGTAGTACGAATGGCTCGATGGACATGACCCGAATCCATTTCGTACAATAATACCTTTATTTCTTACATAACCTTTAGCTTTCAAAGCGTGTGGTTTTGAATCGCGCCATAAACTCCTTTTTTCTTCTTTTAACCGTCCACACTCTTAAGTTCACCCCTCATCGTCGCCGCCCCCGCCTCCGCCGTGCCTCTTCGGCTTCAGGACGAGGAGTATTATGGCGCCGACGACGAGCAGTACTAGCAGCAGTATAAGCTTGCGCTTGGTGGTCTTCTTTTGGTAGCCGGCGGCGACGACGAGTTCGCGGTCTGCGCTCTTGACGTCGACAGCCATGCGCTCGACGTTGTAGTCGATGCGGTCGAGCATGGTGCCCTGGTCTATGACCATGTTCTGCAGGTCGCGGAACAGGTCCGACAGCTCGATGATGCCCTGCGCGATGTCCTCGATCTCGCGCTCGCGCTGCAGGATCGCGGCGTCGTTGCTGTGCAGCAGCTTCTGGTGCGTCGTCTGTTGCAGGGCGGATTGGGAGTACGAGCGATCGGCATCGGATTCGAGGAGGGATGGGTCGGCTGCGTAGTTGCTGCTGGAAATGCCGCCGAGGGGCGTCGGGCTTCGCTCTATCCCTGGCGATACCGCGCCGAGACCGGACATGCCACGGAGCTCTAATATCGGATTAGTCTTCGTAGATCTATTTTCCAATGGTATGATAGGCTAGGTAGATATACTCTTCAAGTATGCGCTTTGTTTTTTTCTGAAGCCGGCGCTTGCCTCCTGTACCCTTGAGGCGAGGCTTACTTGTATGTTCTTGGCCATTGTCTCCTCGGCTCTCGTCATGGTGCCCGCTCGCTTGCCCTCGCGCACCATCTGCTCGACGCGCTGTATGCACCGGTGGCACTCGTGAAAGCTCTTGGTGATATTCTGGGTCAATCGCTCGATTTCGCCCTCCTCGGCCTTCTTAGCCTCCTCATCGTTGAAGCCAGGTAGCACATGCTTCTGGTGTAGCCTCTCGAGGGTTTGCGACTTCCGGGCCACGTCGGCCAACAGATCGGATACTTCGTCGTTGATATCGGCCCAGCGCGGAGGCAGGAGGTCCATCTCGATCACCGCATCGCCATCGTCGTGGTAGTCGGCGCCCGATAGCAGACCCTGTTGATCCTCGGCGGCTGTATTGCCGCTACCGCGACCAAATTCCGAGAAGCCATTTCCAACGCCGCCGGGGCCGGATCCGTACCGAGTCTTCTTGGCCGGGTGGTGAGCGTAGGACTGGCGGTACGATATATAGCTGCAATATATTCGATATGAGTTTGTGGGAGCAAATATTATGTGGAAGATTGACAATCAAGCAGAATAAGGGAGGGCTTACAGGTTGGTGCGGTCTCGCCACATGGCGGACGCGGATGGAAGGCGTCAGCACCGTCAGGTTGGCTGTGTGGTGATGAAATGGAGTTACAGGAATGGATACAAAGGGCAGGGTAGACACATAAGTCAAGAGAAGAGAGAGATCTGCTGAAAGGTGAATAAGTAAGTTCACTACATTTATGATGATAAATGAAGCGACAGGACAGATGATAGGTACGATACCAAGTATTATGTATGTATGTACGTACCAGTATGTAAGTATTGATGTAAGTTGAGACGCATAAATCAATCATTACATGTATCTGCTATCCATGCATGTGTATGAACTTAGAGCTAATAGTTACTAACTACTATGTATTGTATAATTGCCAGCTCTCTACAGCTGACGTAGCTCCGGTACAATTCAATGTTGCACTAAACTAGTCCGTACAAAGTATGTACAATGTAGTTAGTTACATAATAATGAGAAGTGCAACTTACGGATAGATGCAAGTCAGTCTAACTTGGAGCATCCACCGACTGCAAAGAATTGTGTCACACTGTCACACCATATTCATATATTGCAATAAATCTGTAAATTATGTATTACATAAGTAGTATGTATGTACAATACATTAACCAGGAGTTTCTTTGTCACATAACTGTATGGCTGGCTGCCAAGGCAAGCTCAGGCTGCTTACCTTGCTTGGCTCCTTGTCGGGCTCTAGCCTCTCACGGTGTCACCCCTTTAAGGAACAATACTACTAGTAGTAGGTACATACATAATCACCTACTATGTACATAAAAGCGAGCCCCTCTACGCTATGTACTAGGAGTACTAGGAGTACTAAGAGTACTAGGAGTAGTATGTAGGCATTAATATCAGTGACCTACCCCCCTTCCCAACTCCGCTATCCTTTTCTCCCCCACTATTTCATGAATCCAGCCCTGCCTCGTTATTGTCATTCAAGTTCAAATCCTTGAACTGATTCTCAAACCAACATTAGAGACCGTTTCTTTCCTCCTTGGCAACCTACATAAATCCCTAAATTTCCTGCGATCACCGCGACTGCGTCTGCAAAGCGAGAACTCGTTGCTCCTTCGCTACTAAACTTACCTTCCATATCTATCTTCCTCTTTTCTTTTTGACATCTCCAAATAAATCTACTACGAAACCATGGTGCGTTTTTGCCCTGATAGTCACCGCCAATCCATAGAGACCCGTGTCCCGATGAGGGGCTTAAAAGAGGTGGGAAAATATAGGACTTTCGCGCTGACCTCTATCTACTATCACAGGCCGACTCACTCACCGAAGAGCAAGTCTCCGAGTTCAAGGAGGCCTTCTCCCTCTTTGTAAGTAACCTGCTATTTAATATCATATCTACACGAGCTTTGTCTCTTCACCACCTTCTTGTTGATGACGTATAGCTAACAGTTCCGTAGGACAAGGACGGCGATGGTAAGTCGGGCTTCATGCTAACTTTTTTGGCGAACTCCCTTTTACTTGACCCGATCACAACATACAACCTGCCGCCGCATCATCGTTTTTTATATCTTAAACGCGTTACATTCGTAAAATCATTACCACGAATAGGGCTAGTCGACTAATCAGATATTGATCGACAGGACAAATCACGACAAAGGAGCTAGGCACTGTTATGCGCTCCCTGGGCCAAAACCCCTCCGAATCTGAGCTGCAGGACATGATCAACGAAGTCGATGCCGACAACAATGGAACCATTGACTTCCCTGGTAAGTTTTTGCTGCCTCGCGCAAAATATCATGTTACACACATGACATGAGGCTGACGCGGTGGTCGCACAGAGTTCTTGACCATGATGGCACGCAAGATGAAGGACACCGACTCCGAAGAAGAGATCCGAGAAGCGTTCAAGGTACGAGACTTAATACCAACCTAATGTCTAATATGATAGTGTTCAGTTACTGATATTGAAAATACAGGTCTTCGACCGTGACAACAACGGTTTCATCTCTGCTGCTGAGCTTCGTCACGTCATGACTTCCATTGGAGAGAAGCTCACCGATGATGAAGTGGATGAGATGATCCGTGAGGCCGATCAGGATGGTGACGGCCGCATCGACTGTAAGTTCCACCATAACCTCAACCACATATCAGGTTCTCTAATACTAATCTTTTTTCTTTCCTTAGACAACGAGTTCGTCCAGTTGATGATGCAGAAGTAAAACCGGAAAAGGAACTAGTTGACCCTTCGTCCGCCCATTGGTCGTCATACCCACCTCTTATGTTGTGATGAAGTTTTCCTTTCTTCTAATCTAGGGGACGTGGCCGAGGGCCACCAATGATTGGGCTGACATTGTCAGCCCAGGGGGTATACGCAAGAATGGTGTTAGGTTGGAAGTCGGGTAGGATCTTGTCCGCCAACGACTGTCTTGACTTTACAATTCCCGATAAATAAAACGACATTTTGAGCGTGGCTTAATATCTGTTGATTTTCTACATCCATCTTTTAGTTTCCGAGGTGAATCTGTGAGGGCAGTATCTTCCGTACTCTCTGCGATGTCCTCTGTGATCTTCATGAGCACGATGCCCTATCCATCAGTATCATACAAGCCATAATTTCCACTATCCAGTAGACCGCATAGCCCTTATACAGCCGAGATTATAAGTTATATTCAGTCTCTTTCCACCGAGGCACTCAGTGTCGAGGATTTATTAATGCATGCCCATATAAAGCATTATAGTACGTGCCATCTACTATGTAGGTAGGTAAGAACTTATAATGCCACGTAATCTAGGGTCTGTGGCAGCTTTCACCATGCTAAGTAGATGTTCACCCAGTACATATCAACCAAGTACAACATCTGCTGTGGCCAGCTATGCCTCGTACATCAAAGGCATGGTCTCTGGGAACATCAATCCCTAAGCCTATGCCTGACTCTTTGGACTAATACATCAACCCAGTATAGCACGGCCCTATACCTAGGTTAGGTACCTACCTATGTAGTCAAGAAATCATATCGGTAGATTCTTTAATACTACTAAGGCTGATAGAGGCCAGCTTAGTCCCATCTATAGTTGTCGTTAGTGATAAACGTATACCACAAAGGGCTAGTTATATGGAAGCTATTATATGTACAACATAGTGTTAAATATTCATCAATATGATATTATCATATAACTAAAGCCCGCCCCTTGAGTATATATTAGCACACAAGCCTCCCACCTACCTGCTGCTATATATATAGTAGATACTAGACAGTCATATCAGCCACGAAGTATTCAGCGTTGAGAGTATCTATAGATTTCGGTCAAGAGATAGTTATTACCTACTACATAATTCCGTGAAATTGATGGTGTCAGGATGGAGACATTAACCCTAGCCCCTTTAAACTCTCCTATGCACCTACCCTTTAGGCTGCTAGGTGATTACATACCCCTTACTATGTACCTAGGGTTGGTAGGCAAGTTAGAGCTTGGGAGCTTGGGCCACGGAACCAACAGTCGAGTTTAAGTGGAGCACGGGATGATGCGACCTGGAGGCGACGTCCCAGAGGCTTGGCGTAGGAAGCTTCAAGGTTTCTTAAGCACGTGGGATCCCCTTTTTCTTGGTCCTGGCGTAATAAACATTTGGTCCATTGGCATTTGCTACTGTACAATGTTCAATTTATAAACTTTTCACTTGACTATTCATTAATAGTTCCTCCAAACTACCTATTACCTATCTATCCCTTTGGGTCATGAATAAAGACTCCAACTTTGGAAAAATCTGATGTTTAGATACGAATTCCAGATATACCATACGCTTGCCTCAAGGAAAGCTGACCCCTTCGTCAGTGCTCCAGGCTAATCTAGTACTCAACTTAGCCCAAAGCGATGTCAGCATCTGTGCCTTCTTTCGACCGCACCCGCCTATATTCGAAGTCTTGCCATATATTTGAAATATAAATCCAAAATAAAGCGAACAAACATAACAATGGCCTTTCGTCGTACCCGGTTACTCCTCGCTGTTGTTGCCATCTGGATACTTGGGTCCTGGTACTATAGTTGGCCCCCTTCCAGTGGTTCGTCGCTATTCGGACGTCCTTCACATGGCCCCGATAGTCGGATTACCCCAGGGTCTGCAGGATCAGATCGCCTGAGGTGGAAAAAGCGCCCTCCTAGCCATCCTGTCGAGAGCTTCGTTACGCTTCCAACCAACAAGCCTATCAAACCAGTCCCCCGTGTACAGGCAGCGAAGCCTCGAGAAAGCTCTGCTGGAAGGGACCTGCGGCTAAAACGCCTTGCTGCTATTAGAGATAGCTTCCAACACAGCTGGGGCGGGTACAAGAAACATGCATGGGGTCATGACGAGATTAAGCCTCTTTCGGGGTTATATAAGAATCCTTTTGGTGGCTGGGCAGCTACACTCGTCGACTCCCTAGATAGCTTGTGGCTCTTCGACATGAAGGAAGATTTTGAGCTCGCCGTGAGAGCTTGCAATAATATTGACTTTACAACCACCGAAACAAACGACATCAACATTTTTGAAACAACGATTCGGTATCTAGGGGGCTTCTTAGCGGCGTACGAGCTAAGCGACAAGCAGTACCCGAGCCTGCTCAAAAAGGCAATTGAGGTGGCCGATTTGATCATGTCTGCTTTTGATACACCAAACCACATGCCAATAACACGGTTTCCTTGGAAACATTACACCAAAGGTCAGCCACAGAAAGCTCGAGGACATGTCCTACTTGCCGAGATAGGGTCACTGAACCTCGAGCTTACCAAGCTATCCCAATTGACCAATGACATGCAGTATCATGATGCTGGGCAAAGGATATCCGATCAGCTAGAAATCAGCCAGAAACAAACTTCACTCCCCGGAATGTGGCCTGTTACTATGGACGCTTCAAAGTATCCTCTCAAGTCTTCCGGAGACTCATACACGCTCGGTGGGATGAGCGATAGTGCTTACGAGTATTTGGGAAAGCAATACCTATTGCTCGGTGGGGCACTTGATCAGCCACGGAAGATGTATGAAGAGTTTGTCGACGTTGCGAAGAAGCACCTTCTCCGTCGCGCCTTGAATCCGGACAATATTCCCCTACTCTTCTTCGGCGACGCGCGCGTTGCCACTTTACCTGCCGGAGAAATACAAATTGTCACAACGCCGATAGCGCAACATTTGACATGTTTTGCGGGGGGTATGGTGGGTATGGCAGCCAAGATCTTCGATCGCCCATCAGATCTAGACGTGGCCGAACAGTTGACTGAGGGTTGTGTGTGGTCGTATAACCAGACGGTTTCGGGCATCGGCCCCGAAATCTTTCATTTTATTCCCTGCGATCCAGACGTCGCCAAGGATGATTGTCAGTGGAGTGAGGCCCGCTGGACTGAATCTTTAAGAAAATATTGGGGGCGGAGTACTAAGGGTGAGGCGCTCTCAGATAAGCAGGTCGGAGACATCATAGAGTCGAGACGACTTCCCCGAGGTATAGTTGATGTCGACGATCGTCGGTACCTTCTCCGCCCCGAGGCTATCGAATCTGTATTTATGATGTATCGCTTGACGGGTGATTCCAAATTCATGGAAAAGGCATGGGCTATGTTTGAGGCAGTCGAGAAATGGACGCGATCAGAATACGCTTCGGCCGCGCTCGAAGATATTACGGTCTCTCCTCCGACGCAAGTAGATAGCATGGAGAGTTTTTGGTTAGCTGAGACGCTCAAGTATTACTATCTGATATTTGGGGATTGGGATTTGGCTAATCTAGACGAATGGGTGTTGAATACTGAAGCACATCCCCTACGTCGGGCAGATGCACAGCAATAGAGCGTCAGTATATAGAGGAATTGGCTTGGATATCCTCTTTAGTTAGTGTGTTTAAAGCAGTGCTGATGCGGGTATGATATAGGCGAGGGTTGGATTGGATTGATGGTCCACGTAGTCCATGTAGTCTATGTATGGATGTGTATGAGGTAGCTATGTATGAATGTCGCAGTTGATCAATTCTCTCGACTTTATGCAGGCCATAACCTTACATGTTGGCATATTGACATGATACTTTAGGGTTCGAATGTTAAATATCGGGAGCTGCATGCGTGTAGAAGCATTGAAGCATTTTAGCCTGGCAGTCAAATCTTACATGATGTCGGGTCTTCGGAATTATGTACTACATAGTAATATGTATCATTGATGTATGTATGTAACTATGTAGCATTCAACATTAAATCCTTCAATGAAGTTAAACATACATAATGTAGGCAGGTATGTGCCTGCATCTATGGATGTTTATGGCAGCTACTACTACCAAATGCACATGACAGCTTCCATATAAATGCAGGACCCTCTTTTTATCATGCATTTAAGGTAGCGGTGCGAAGACATCATATGTTTATCCTTGTTACAGGATGGTTCTTGCTGTGGTATTTAAAGGCGTGCCTGCTACCCTAAAAGGATTATTGAAAACCCAAACCTTTGAACATTGAAACTCCCCTAACCCAAATTCACTTTAAATCCCTTTAAGGTTTAATTACACGGCATCAATGATCACATAAGCCAAATTAACTATCATCTTGTTAATGGATCTATCTTGGTTTCTCCAAGTTCCCCCTTGGCCACTACCTGGATCTATTCAACTTCCAAGATCACCTAGTTCCTTGTCCCCACCTGCTCTCATCATGCTGTGCCCTCTGAACAAATTACAATGGCCTATTCGAGCACATGGTCTATTGCCGCGGGTTATCTTTCTCTGGGCGTTGATATGTGCCATCGTATGTCAATTCTTTGCCAATTCTTTGCCACAGAGCTAAAGAGTTTTTATCCATACCATCCTGTCATGATTGGACTTGATGAAGCTTGGTAGGTGGGTAAGCCAAGTAAGTGAATTCATGGAACTTAGGTAAGGTCAGATGTGTAAGACACACGTAGTGCAACTACTACTAGTACTAACTACTATTACCTACTTACCTACCACTACTCTTCTCTTCATCGTTGAGAATGTTGACGTCCTTATTTTCCTTCTTTGTCACTAGTCTTATCTATATCAGCTCTGTGTCTACCCGCACCTACCCAGTATATACCTAAGGTTAGCATTATCAATGTGCGTGACGATCAGTCACAGCTCACATACATAACATACCCAATTATATTTCATCTCACTCTTCTTCGTTGTCTTACTCCCCCTTTGCGCATATTAATTGAGCGGCATTTTATTACATATCTGGATCACCTACTCGATCCGATTAAGGTAAGTTTAGGGTTTAACCACCTGTACCTTTTTTATATTAAAAAAGCGAAGAAAAAAAAGCAAAGAAAAAAAAGCATATCGGACTAACTCTTATACAGGTAAATACCTAGCGTCAGCAAGCCACAGTACGACAAACAGCTGCGGACGGCGCAGTCGGCACCTGGTGGAGGACCTTGAAATATCCATTTCATCTTCCCTCCCTTACTCACCGCATCCTGCATCCCGCGCCTATCTATTTCTCACCTACAGATAGGAATTACAGAACTTCCGGTTGTATGCCCGAGCTTCCTCTAAAGAGCTGTTGTCATACTCGATACTTACTTGATCATGGGTTCTGAAACTCCACCGGCTGCTGGCTTGCATTTGCATCCCTACAACCCTCAGCACGAAGAAACTCTTCATTCTCGGTCCTCAACGCATACACCAGTATCACGGCCTCATTCTATTCGTCATTCAATTCACTCACACCACGAAGCTACTAGCACGGGTGTGGAAGCTATGAGTGAGAATAATGATCACGCTACGGCTCGCCACCCGTTTGCCACGGGTACAGATGTTGAATCTCAATCTGGAACTATACGCTACCGAGACAGCGATCCGTTCAATTTATCTTCGGCCTTGAAAACTACCGAACAAATTGACGAGATCAAAGCTAATACCACCCGCAAGCGTACAACTAAAGGCACATCCAACATCAATAGGTTTGTGCCTAACTTGCAGGCACAGAAGGTTCAGAGCTTTTACCTCGATCAGAATAAGAGAATCGAGCAGTTTCTCAAGTCAGTTGATGAGCACAAGGCCGAAGCTTTGCAGGAGGCTGGAGACGATCACCTGCGACATCAGATCGCCGTTCATGGCTCATTTGCAGCCAATGTGATCTTGGCCATTTTGCAGTTGTACGGAGCTATTTCTTCCGGCTCCCTTTCCCTCTTTACTACGATGGCCGATTCCATCTTTGACCCGTTGAGCAACGCACAGTTGATACTTGTCCACTCAGCCATGAAACGTGTGGATCCCAACCGCTTCCCTTCCGGCAAAGCACGTCTAGAGTCCGTCGGCAACATCACATTCTGCTTTATGATGATAGCTGTATCCCTCATTCTCATCGCTTTCTCGTGTCAAGACATCTCCAACCGTATTGGATCGGGTGAAGTCAATGCCTTTCACTTCCCGTCAGTTATAGCAGTGTGTGTTGCTTTCGCGACGAAATTGGCCTTGTTCTTCTACTGCTGGGGTATCAAGGACAAGTATAGCCAAGTGGATATTTTATGGCAAGACCACCGCAATGACTTGCTCATCAACGGCTTTGGTGTATTGACATCTGTGGGCGGCTCCAAGCTTGCCTGGTGGCTTGATCCTATGGGTGCCATCATTTTGTCAGTACTCATCAGCTGTATTTGGGGGCATACCGCGTTTGGCAATTTCATGGATCTAGTTGGCAGGGCAGCTCCTATCGAGATGCATCAGCTAATTACGTACGTCTGCGTCACGTACTCGCCCGCTATTTTGGGCATCGACACTGTTCGGGTATACCACTCGGGACCCCGACTCATCGCCGAGATCGATATTGTCATGGATCCCGATGAATGCCTTAGAAGCACCCATGACATTTCGGAGCAACTGCAGATTGAGCTAGAGAAATTACCGAATGTGGAGCGAGCCTATGTTCATGTCGACTACGAGACTACACACAAGCCAGAGCACACTTACAAGAAGGACCTTTGATTGCGCACATAGGCGTAGGGGTGAAAACACACAAAAGGCCGTCGTATGCATATTAGACGTTTATGATACATCATGGAATCCCTACTCAATATGATAGAGGAGGGTCGAGTCAGTATTTCATTTCACCATTAGCTTTGTGAAAAGAAAACGAATAGGAGTTCGCTGGAGTAGGTGTTGGGGAGAAAGTGCGTAGACATTCAGGCGCACAGATTCTTGACAGTCGTTTCCGGCGTGAACAAAAGTTTAACGAGGGTGGTGTTTAATCTGTCGTTACATCGGTTCACGAGCCGTCACATTGATGGAACCTCAGCTCGGCTTGCTCGTTTCCTTGGTACTAGTCGTCGTCGTAGCCAGAACTTTATATGTGCAACTACACACACTTAGTCTATCTACAAATGAAATACAACCAAAGTATATGGTGATTCGATATTTTCAATATGTTTTTAAGTGTTGAGTAGAGATATGTAGTCTACGTGGACACAGTTATCATCCTACATCGTCGACGCGTATCATATTGGGCTGACTTGGTAAGTATAGAGTTGTTGGTGGTGGTTCAGTATTCACTCAAATACGAGGTATGCAATTTAGGCAGTACGAAAATACTAAGCAGAATATATACCAACCCTATCAGCCTATTTCCTATCATAATACCAATGTAATGTTGATCCCTCTTATACTATTTGTTGTTGCATATCTTACCCCCGGGATTTAGCGCAGCTATGTTCAAGATACTACTATTATCCCCCTCACGATAGCGACAGACCTAGGGGTTTTAGCTAGGTTAGACAACTCAAGGTTGGCCTCCGCTGGAAACTAGCGTCTAGAATCTTCGCTCGAGTATCCTGTTTCCGTTCCTGGCGGACGAATAAGAACTGTCCTAGATAACTGCACGTATATTGTCGAAGATATATTGGATGTAGCCGCTTACCAATAAATATCGGACTAATATCTTTATGATTCGCTACACAGACCCCAGGTATACTAGAGGGGAAGGAAGGAAGAAGCTACTATTTCAGTGGCGGTAAACTCATCTCGAGCTCCTGGTCAGGCTCAGGCTCACGCGGCAGGGCCTTAAGCTTTAGGGGCTGTCCCATATAGCACGGGATGCAGAAGTGTCCGAAGTCAAAAACCGTCTTATCCTCTTTGATCTGGCGTATGATGTAGAAGAAGGCTTCCCGGGTGTGCTTGAAAAGGGGTAGCTAGTGTGGTGGGCGGTAGTGCGGGAGGCAGATGCTGGATGGCTCCGCCCCCGTCGTCGGCCATTATCTGATGGCGACTGACTCATCTCTATCGCGGTCGTAGGAGCGGGTCCAATCGGAGCAGACGCATGCTTGCACGGAAGTTATGCTGGACATGCTGGGCTGGTGTAGGTGCCATAGCAAGGCGTATGTTGGGTAGTTATACTCGAAAGCGTACACTCCGGGGGGTTTTTTTTACCTCGTCAGCGGATTATATGCTGGTATTTGCGCGATAGACAGTTAGGTACTAAGTAGACATGGACTTACATGCTACGAAGAAGGTATTTTCTCCATACAGGATAGGGTTTGCTTCGTTATTTATCAGCTTACAAGTGCGTAGAAACTTAAAATGGAGCGTCCAGTGGAAGGGAGCGAAGGCTTTCTTATCATGAGACTTCGATTGATTTGCGTAGACCTAGAGACGGTTCGGGGATATGAAGATGACGTCTGGCGATCGTAACAGATATTCGTGTATCTCCAGACGTAACTCATACGGGAGCCTAAAAAATAAAGAGTCTGTGTCTGAGTTGCGTGCGCCATCATCATCATCTTGACGTGCTAGAGGCGTCCTGTGTGCACTGGTTTCATAAGGTGGTCAAGTCAGCCAAGCCAGTTTTACCTCGGTATTTTAGAGTAAGAATGGACATGAGATGTAATAAATCTCGGAATAGATCTTCAAGTTTCCTTTCAGATCGCAGGCTCCAACATTTGACTCTACACTATATGGGTATTTGGACATGAGATAGTTGAAGACTTCAAGGAATGGGGCTGCCACTGCTGATTAACAGCTTCTTTGAGAACGAATATGTACGAGCACACTTGCGTGATCTTCAATTGATGATTCATGGAGAGGCATGGAGACGAATATAATACTATATTGAAGAGAATTGTTCTTACTAATAATGTCTCGCCGCCATGCTTCTGACGATTGCTCGCAGTGATCGTCGCTGCGGAAGGCCGGATGTTTACTTTGTGAGATTCCCTTGTCCCCTCTGCTCGTACTGTAGCATGGTTAACGTCGGTAAGGCTAGTCTAGTGGGGGTGGAGCCAAGAAACAAGATAGATCGACTAAGTTATAGCCTGTTTGTGGGTGAGAATAGTTTGGGAGAAGGTCTTTAGTGTGGAAGACAGCTATACCGCCTGGGTGGCAACGATCCTTCCACTTCCTTCGAGTATCTTTCTTTGTCTTCCAACATTCGAGCTTCGAAGAGACTCAAAGTAGCATTTTGGAAAATTTCGGCCTTTCTTTTCCTTGATGCGCTGTATCCTCAAACCCAAAGCGACCTAGTCTTGCAGTAATGGGAGTTAGGCTTGGATAGAAATGAACATATTCAGCCTATCTGGGAGTTGGAAAGAGTTGGGATTTGACTACGTGGGGCCGGATGTTGATAGGCTTTAGCCAGTAATGGCGATAAGATGAAGCTAAGGCAACTTACGCAAGGAAAAGGATAGATGAGCGAAAGGAAAGAGCAACTTGTGGTGTTTCCTAACAGAGACACTTTTAGTCACCACTCTTGATGCTGGTTGGTCTATTTTTCCTTTTCCATTTCGAAGAGATCCAAATTCATCCAATTGCGGGGTTCTTCAGTGAGCCATCTGATTCGCTACCGGATCGTCCCGGTCGAGGATGGTCGTTGTCGTGTCACCAGATGATATGTCGTCATTTTACATAGTACATGGTTTTTGGGGGGTTTTTTTTAAACTTTTAATAAATAGATTAGGATAGATAATGTTATGGCACTATTTGGATATCGTGGGATTTTAGATACTGCATAGTAGAAAGACTCAATTCCAAAACAACCCCGCTCCCGTAGCTTCTTTTTTCTCATGCTGGGCGTACTGCGTAAGTATCTGTACCTAGATTCCCTAAACTTTGGTCGACTTGTTCTAAACCCCCCGGCTAGGGCGCGTAAGCCTTCTGTCGCCACGGCCTGATGGATCCACGAGTGTGTTATTGAAAGGTTGGGACAACTGTTATAGTGGACTCTCCGAATAAGGTGTTCACCTCCTATTGCTCAGGAGCTTTTATCCTGACCTCCACATTATGCCTAAGATTTTCTTATTTCAACTTTTCCCGAGCTTTGGGCAACTCACTAGGAGACATATGTATCTGATAATTCGAGGAGAGCTTAGCAGGTGGATCTATGAGCTGCAGAGGAGCTGCACTTGCTGCAGAGGAACCGTGCCCCCATCGTGTACTATGCAGTATCCTGACTGTATCCTGCGAGACATAACTACTGAGACATACTATCGTAGTAACTTTTATGGATACAATCGAAGGCAACTTTTTTCTCTTTGGTTCATACATAGCAGAGGCCCATTCTCAACACATATGAGGGACCAATCTAAGTTAAAAAAGATATCAATTAATTCAAATCAATACTAGGTAAACAAAGTTCTGGACTTTCACATGCGAATATGAAGGTTGTGATAGGATTACCAGAGTTTAGGTACTGCTTATGGGCACTGTCAGGTACTTGTCAGATACTGTCAGATACTGTTAGGTATTAGTTACTAGATACACTGTAGAATCAGTGTAGATAACAACAGAGTTCAATAAGCTCCCTAAAAAGTACCTACCTAAATAGACTACGGCGTATAGTACACAGTCTTTTTTATGGGGCCTTGTCCGTGTCAAGGGAGTTTAGCGTCCAAATGTTGCATATTGCTACCTTATCGACTACGGCCTAGAACTTGGGAGCTTTCTTTAACCTTGTCATCTAAAGGACGGTGAAGTCAAATCAGAAGCTGAGAAAACACAATAGACCCAACAAGTCAATCTTTTCCGTATTGTCGGCGCAAATATCCCTTACTGAAAATTTTACATATCTTTACTCCTCCAGTGCTCTTTTTATTCTTGGGCCTTCCCTCTCAGCTTTTCCTCTTGTTGCTATCAAGAGTCAAAGAGTCACAGAGTCACAGACAATCATCATATTGCTTGCTGTATTTCTTGCTTGACCAGATACCCTTCCTATCCAACAAAGATATCTTGTCCTCGCGCAAAGATACTCATATATCTTTTTTGACCCAATTTACCCCTCTCACCCCCTCATCGATCCTTTGTGATCCTATCATCATACTCACATTACCTTGCACACCATGGCTGTGCAAGGCGGAGCGGAGGGAGATGTGTACGCCACAGTTCGTGAGATCCTTTGCTTAAGACACACAAGTCTTGGAATGTAGACAATAGCTAATCCACCTACGCTTATAGCTTCTCTTAAGCGACACATATCTACCTGGTATGTCTCTTGCCTTCAGCTGAAAATCATTGTTGGGGAACACTATCAATATTTCAATATACTGACATTTTTCTTTTCTTCCTCAAAGGTGCCCTAGTGCTCGCGCATTCTCTTCGAGATGCTGGCACCACCAAGAAACTGGCCGTCCTGGTCACCTCGGATACTGTTTCCACCGAAGTCATAGCAGAGCTCAGGGTACGTTTCAACTCAACTCGCTTCACAACCACCTCAAAATATCATGTCCTAACTAATGCGGTTGACTAGGCCTTGTATGACTACGTCATTCCAGTTGACCGAATTCGCAACACGAATCCTGCGAACCTACATCTCATGAACCGAGCCGACTTACACTCTGCCTATACCAAAATTAGCCTGTGGAATCAGACTCAATTCCGGAAGATTGTGTATATCGATGCTGATGTAGTCGCCTATCATGCTCCCGATGAGCTCTTTGATCTTGAACAGCCGTTTTCGGCAGCTCCTGACATTGGCTGGCCCGATATCTTCAACACGGGTGTCATGGTTCTAACCCCGAACTCAGGCGATTATGAAGCTATGATCAAGATGGCAGAAGAGAACTCCTCGTTCGACGGAGCTGACCAGGGTCTGATCAACATGCACTTCAAGAACAACTACAACCGCTTGAGCTTCACCTACAATGTTACCCCATCCGGTCACTACCAATATGTTCCGGCCTACCGTCACTTCCAGTCGGATATCAAGATGGTTCATTTCATCGGTCCCGACAAGCCGTGGTTTAGAGGAAGACCCACTAGCAATGGGGCCGATGGGGGCTCCCCTCATGACGCCATGTCTGCAAAATGGTGGGCCGTTTACGACCGACATTATCGATCCTCTGTAAGTTCTCCACACAACCCTCTTTATCGTCACATTGGATGTCTAGCTGACCGTGCATGCCTAGACCAACTCTGCCCGCAACGGGTCCGCCTCGGACTTGGTGCAGTATCACACTAAGGGTGAATATTACCCGAAGGGTGCCCAGGGTAACTATAGCTACCAAGGCTCTCATGGAGGACATGGCTATCCCCAATATGTCCCTACTGGGGCAGTTTGGGATGCTACGAGGTTTGTTCCTTTATACTCTGTCTATGCTCTGTCTGAAGACCGAGAAGCTAACTTGATAACAGACACCCACCTCCATTGAACTCTAAGCCGGAAGGTATAAATCTACCTTCTCGAGTCTACGAGATGTCCCGTATCTCTACCCCATATCTGGCTCCTAGCCGATTTGTCGCTAGCCCCCCAACTAAGTACATTTCTCGAGTATCCCCCAAGGAAACTAGGATGCTTCCTGCAGAGCTACCGAAATCTACATTCCCCTGGGAAGCTAACCGACCAGCACCATCGCGCGTATTTGCTGAGGACACTCCTCGAAGAATGTCGATTGCTTCTTCTGTTACTTCTACTACAGACACTATCACAGTTGACCAGAGAAGCGGAACAGCTACGCCGGCCACGCCTGGGACACCCACCACGCCGCAATGGTCCGCATATTCCATGAATAATGCCTGGGACGAGGTACCTGAGATTGACCGCTACGTCGAGAAGTTGCAATTGCATCAACGTAGACGGAGCTTCAAGTCTCCTGGCCCGCTAAGAGCACCCGGTAAGGAGGAAGAGGATGATGAGATCACCTGGCGCCGACAAAAGCAAGGCAACAAGCTTATCAGCTTCCCTACCGCGGCTGAGCGTCCCAGTCTCCCGGTTACTCCCGCGCCCCTTCTCCGACAAAACTTCTGGGGCGGTGACGATAACCCTCTACTACCGGCTGCGGAGGCTATGCCGGCACCGACTGAATGGGTATGTTCGCACGGGATTCAATGGTCTCCAGAAGACTGCCTTTGCGATTTAACTAACGTACTACACTATCATAAGGACCCTGCCGCCCAGCTTCAGAAACTAGCTAGACAGCAGTCCGAGGTTTTGCAAAAGTTGGGAAACAGTGGCCGAGACAGCAGTGATTTGCCTTCCAGGCCTCTACCATATGGGTCCGAGGACTTGGTTTCCCCAACCTTTGTTGCGCGGTCTGCCAATGTCATGAGCTCGTGGTCTGCCAAAGGCTTACCCCCGTTGGAAATGCCCGCGTCCAGGCAAGGTGCTAAGATAGCGGAGACGACGCCTACCCAGATACCGAAGCCCAGTTACGCTGGCCCCGGTGCCGCATTCGAGAAGGGCGAGAACATCCCCATGGAAGAAGCCCCCATGGTATAGTGCCCCTAACTCTTCTTGAGCCTGGGAACTTGCTGCTATGGCGGAAGGGAAGGTAGTGGAGGAAAGGGCGTTGGGTGCTTTGATGATACTGTGGGATGGATGGGATGGCTGGAATGGGTGGACGACATGGCAAGTAACATATTACTTGCTCTAGACACAATACCTTCATCCAGCATCAATGCTTTGGTTGTTGTCGGGTTGGAATATTACTCCAGCATGCAGACACGCAACGGCGACTATGTCTCCTTGGTGGCTCAACACCGAACAGGTGTTAGCTCAAGGTGGCTCATGTTGGAGCCTTGGTTCGTTTTTCTTGTTTTTCGTTCTTGAATACCTTATGCAGAATTTGTGTGGCTACTACACTCTAGAACACCGTCTCATTTGTCTCCCTTTTTTTATTCGATCATGACAGCCTTTGGCACAATGCTGCATTTACACCAACATTGCATGTTTTCAAAAGCAGAGAGGTTTTGCTACACATATTGCAACATGTGCATTTGCAACCGCATACCAGCCAGCATGAAGCGGGCATCATTATTTTCATTTGATTTTCTTCGGTTTTTATTTATACCTATACCTACTACACTCGGGTAATTCTGGAGAAGGATTTGCCCGTACGATTTTGTACGTATTGATGCCTATATATGTGGTTAAAAGTTTGGGAGGAGAGGATATTATTTGGACATTGCAGAATATATATATTGACATGGGCCTCACGAGTTTGTTGAGAATATCTATTGATACCTACTTAAGTGAAATTTGTAGTCTTGCCATTTATAATTTTGTCACATATTGGTATGTTTAGTATGATACTTATTTGGTAGTTTCGTAGTAGCACTACACGCTGTGGTAAAGACTAAATTCGGGGAGTTTCGAGGCCGCTGAGTGTAGATATATGTCCTCAGCAACATCGGGACTAACTCTGATTGCCACTTTCAAGTTCACAGCTTAGATTTACCTATGTATGCCCGACCATCTTTGTTAGGGTTGTATGAGAGGATGTAGGTAAGAGAGAGGTCAGTTACCTAGCTAAGATGGCTAATTGCTATCCAACTACATAGCCGTGTGGAAGCTAGTTGCAGGTATCCATACATACATACATACATTCACTAGGGTACGCTAAACATGATTCCCAGACCTTACCATGGGTGTTTGGTTTGGGGAGGTTTTTTCTTATTGCTGTTTTTTTTTGGCTGCGATCGCATACGCGTATGCTCATGCCTCATACCTTCATACCTACCTCAACGCCAGGACGACAGCGAAGGCGGAGGACTTTGTCGTTATCGTTGTCGCCGCAGCACGCCAACAACGAGCCAGCGCTTCCTCTCAGTGACGTCCTCGTGCCCGCGGTCCCAGACCCAGGCGCGCTCGACGCCGTCGCAGTCGCGCTCCCATATGCGCTCGACCTCGAGCCCGGCGGAGGCGAGGGCGGCGTCCTCGAAGAAGCCGCGCATCTTTTCGCGGCCCGTGTGGAAGCCGGCTATGACCCATGCTTTGGCTTCTCCTTTTGCTCCCGAGGTAGAGGGAGAAGGGGAAGGGGAAGAAGAAGAATCTTTGAGAAACCAGGCGATCGATCTCCGCAAGTTGTCGTGCTGCCACGGCATCCACAGACAGTCGCAGACGAAGAGGCGGTCGAAGTGGCCGCGGTGCTGCGCCGCGAATGGCGTGTCCAGCTCGCCCCACGCGTGGCCTTCGACGGTGAGGGGGGTGGTGGTCCCGGAGGGCGAGCACTCGGGCACTGTGTTCACGGCGACGTTTTTGCGCAGGGTGTCCAGCACGGCGGGGGAAGGGTAGTCCGAGACGACGACGTCGGCGGCGCCGAGGAGCGCGGCCATGAGGCTCGGGAGCGCGGTGCCGGCGCCGAGCTCGAGACACGTGAGACCCTTGACGTCGAAGTGGGCGGGTGTAATAGGAGTGATTGTAGTAGTGGCGCCACCGTCATGAGGGCCAGCACCAGCACCAGCGCTGCCGCTGCCACCATTGCCGAGGTCGAGGGGTAGGTGAAGGGCGCCCGCCTCGACAAACTCAGCGAGCAGAAGACTCGCATTCCAAAGGTAGTGGCTGAAGAGTTTGCGGTCGGCCTCGCGGTCCGGGTCGGCGAGGGCGATGTGCAGGGGGCGGGGCAAGTGTGGGGATGTGTAGAGAAGAGAATGCTCGGCGTCGCCGTGCTGATTCATGACGTCGTCCGGGAAGATGACGCCGAGCGAGGAGCCGAAGAAGTCCTCGGGATCGGAGGCCGGGGGCCCGTGTAGCGAGATGCGGCTTGTAAGCGCCATTTTTGCTTTTTCTTTTTTGACTTTTTCCCCTCCGGCTCCTTGTCCGGCTCCGTTCTCGTCCGAACTCCTTTCCTTCCTTTTCCTATTTTCGCACACCCCCCTTTTTCTTTTTTCTTTTCTTTGGTGGGGGGAGGGGAAAAAGGGAGGGATGCTTACCCAAGCACCAAGCAATGAGGCTCAAAAAAAAATTTGATCGGGCTTTGATTTCGGGTTCGCGTACTCGTATCTGCACGGGACTACAACTACATAGGTACTGTATGTATCATGTACTATTGCTGGGGAAGAGGGAAGAAGGGGATTGTTGTGCCAATACGGAAATGATGTGAGCCAAAACACCATTGAAGTGGAGCTTCATAAGGCAAGGTACTAGGCCTCCTAGGGTTTACCCTACCTCCCAGGGACACACAAGCTCCAGATGTCCAACTGTACCTAGTATGTATGTACATACAGCATGTATCTTGATACGATACCGACATACATGTACAATGCTACCCCGATAGACGGCAAGGATGCTGGGGTGTACTGCACTGTAGGTAGCGACATTTGGGAAAAGTACATAGTAAGGGTTATCGGGAACATATGTACAGTACATTACAAGGGGGGGGGATGGAGGGAATGGAGGGGCTCCAACGACGGAGAAGATCCGTCTTGAACCATGTTAGTATAGGTAACTAACCTAGGTAACTACCTAGGTAGGTATGTGCGGCATCGAAGCTTAAACGCCACACCCCCGCAACTTTCAAGGTTTAGAATTTATAAATATTTGAGCAAGTAAGAAGAAAAAGAATATAGCTGCCTAAAATTCAACCACTTCTCGGTTACATGGCACACATATTACCATAGCAAACAAGGAAAAATGGACAAAAATGGCGAAGAGGAGGGGTGTGGGAAAGTGAGAAGGGGGGGAGAGGGGGCAAAAGGATGGCGGTGCCGATGGATGCGATACTGTCGCACAGCATCAGATGACATCAGATGAACATGGTGGTATGTTTTGTATAATTGTATAATCGTATAATCGTATAATCGTATTGTCTGTACTGCATATGCCTAGTAGGCAGCGATATAAAAGAGACATATAAAGAAGTTGTCTGGAACAATGTAATGTAATAGGGTTATAGTTGTATGGAAGGGGTCGTGACCCATGTTTCGGATTGTTGATTTTCATCAAATTCGAGGTTACCTAATGATCCTTCCTGTACAACTATTGTATTGTACATACTAGATACCTAATCAATGATGTATTGTAGCAGCCTATATAGGAGCCTTTAGGGGCTTTCAAGTTCTATATTTATGATATAGGTTGTATGATGTGTATACACCATAGGTAGTGGTTTCTTCTTCATATGGTACATACCTACCGCTTTTGCTTGTTAATTGCTGGTAAAGCGATAGAGCGATAGGGCAGTAGGGCAGTCACTTATTTGCTTTTTATTTTATTTTATTTTTTCTTTATTTTATTATTATTCTTATTATTCTTATTCAACCTTCATTTCACAACACCCAATCAATCCAAGCCTATGACACCCAACCACATGCAAGTGAACCCCAGTAATACACGTGGAAACGGAACTGGGTACTGCGCCCCCAAAAAGCATGCCGCTGCAAATACCTAGGTCCTACCTACCTACCTACTACACATACATGTAACGGTTATCAAAAGCTACGGCCATCCCGCGGAGGCCTCTATGTATTGTACCTCTTCCCACCTTGTGAGCATGACAGCATTGGCAACCACCCCACGAATACTCTCTATTCGTCCTCCATTATCATAGTAGGGCCGTTGTTGCTGCGACCCCAACCCAAACGGAAATGAACTGTTATGTTTCAGCTGTAAATAAACATGCGTCTAATGTGCCTATTAGCTATCGCTTAAACCTCCTGCAGTTTCAGACAGGAAAAGAGAAAAAAAAGGAAAAAAGAATAAAAAAAGAAAAGGAGGATTCCGAAGAGACCATTTCCGACGCTGACAACATTAAGTCAACTAAGTACCTAACCTAGATCCATGCCCAATCACTGAGGTACCCGAGAGTGCTTTGTCTGTCTTTCCGATCGGGGTTTCATAGGTATCAAACGCCTATTACTCTAAATCATCCAATTGAAATAGATATGGTGTTAGTTAAAATATGCATCGGGATTCGCATGTCCAACATTGAAGTACATGTATGACCGGCTGGTGTGTACTCCAAGTCTCCAACAGTGTCATGAATCAAAATCCTCAAATTGTACAACTGTAGGTTAGGTACATAGAACGTCCAAGTCATTAGGTGAGCTCCAATATGTAGCTTAGTGATGATGTTGGGAATAGATAGGGTATCAATACAAGCCATCAACTACAAAATATATATCCAAAATATAGCGGTCTCTGTCCATGCCGAGCTACCAACATCAACTGATGCTTTCCAATAGATATTCTCTCCAACCTCCCCCCCCCCCTCCCTTTCTATGTTTCGCCAATACACCCACCATTCGCTTCCCGAAGAGTGCCCCCCTTCCCACAGGCTCTATGCCATCAAAGACAACAAATGTACAATAGATTTTGCGCCAAACATGCTATCCTAGTCCTCGTCTCGTTCGTCATAATGTTATAGTATATCGATACATGGGGTTGGTGATGATGCAGATGATATATGCATGTATGTATATGTATATGTATATGGATTAGTGTTGGTTGTATTCCAACATCTTCTTGATCTCATCCTCGGTCGGGTCGTCCGATATCCACAGCCCCTTTTCTTCTTCGGTGGCGTTGAGGAAGCCTGCAGCACGCTTCATCGTGTTGACGTCCAGGTCCGTCACATATGACTTGCCGTCCGAGAGTCTAAGGCGTACCTCGTGCTCGGTCGAAAGCATCATGTCATCCTTGGCTAGCCGACGGGGTCCGTCGAACACAGCCATGACCCGCTTCTTCATCGTCATCTGGCCCTTGTCAAACCCCCACGCATTCGGATATTCTCGCCGGTTCTTGCGGCTCTTGCTCTTGCTCGTTAATGGGGGGCCACCTCGCGAATGTGTCATGCCACGCGACTTTTGTACGCCATTGGGTGGATTTCCCTTCCTCTTCGTCGGTGAAGTCAACTTCTTGGACTTTAGCTCTTCATCCGCAGCATCATCCTCGTCGCCCATCTCCTCATCATCCTCCTCATCCGAGTTAGATGCCGCTTGCGTTGTGAGGGGTAGCTGGTTCTTCTCTAGTGTCTGGTGAACGTCTTCGTCATTCTCTACCTCAGCTAATCGCCTCGCATTAATGGCCTCCGCAGGGTCTTCCTGCTGAACGATACGCAAGACACAATCGTCCAGATGCTCGTAGAATTCTTGGGCGGAAGAGAATGTGAGTGAACATGTCGAGCATTTGCCAGTGGCATCTGGCGCATAGCCTGTAAGTTTCTTGCCGCTGTTCCCCGGAGCTGAAGTCCTCTTCCTGCTATTCGGGGGAGCCTGTTCCACGTTATGTACGGCTGTAAGATGTCGCTTAAATACATCCGCTCGGTTAAAGGACTTCTCGGCGGCTGAGCCTGACCCAGGACAGAAGCCACAGACCATGGTTCCTTTATAGTGAGTCAAGGTGTGACGGTTCTTATCATACTTTCGCGCGAAGCCCTTGACGTGGTAGTCGCAGTTGGCGATGGGACATTTTTCAGGTCGCTCGGTCTGGTGGGTTAACATATGAGCCCTCAAGTCCTTGAAAGTTTTGCCGCAGTCCTGGCACTTTTGCTTCTTCTCCGACTCATCACTGTTGTATGCGAACTCGTGAGATGCGTGCGATTGGTAAGAAGAAAGGCTCTGGCGCCTAACTGGTGGTGGGGGAGGCGCTGTAAAAGGGCTAAAGGGTTGTTGGTATGTCGCCATATATGGGGATTGACTACCATTGCGCATGGCTGGAGTTGGAGAAGCAGCACCTGAAAGAGCTGGCGAGTTGGGATAAGGATGTTGAGAAGTAGAATAGTTGTTGGCATTATTGTTGGTATTGTCGAACCCCTGCATTGGCGGGGCCATCGGACCACGGATTTCGGGATGTATAAGTGATGGATCTAATAAAATAGAAAAAAGGTTTCATAGTCAGCAAATCTTCTTCTCCACTATTGATGCGATGCTCTTCAAAGTTACAAAGTTATTAATTCAATTAAAAGAAACCAGCAGCTTTTTTTTTTTTTTTTTTTTTTTTTTTTTTTTTTTTTCAAATAAACGAAAAAAACCTCCGCCAAAAAAACACTCACCAACAAAACCGGGCTGCTTATCAAAATGCATGCTAAATTCTTCCATACCTGGTCCAGAATAGGTGGAATATTCAGTTCCTGTCAAGTAATCACTTGACCCAACTATGCCAGGGTTGAGACCGAGGCCTCCATGTTGGTATTCAGGAAAGAAAGCCAATTGGCCATGGTTGGAGTTTGGCGACCCAACCGTCGACGATGTCGCTGATGGTGCTGATGCGATGGAGAGGCCTGATCCGGCTGGTAGCTCACCTTCGTCTGCATACACGCCGGGGGATGTCCTGCCGTGATACATGAAGTTGTGTGCGTCGGGGTATACTACGCCAGCTTCGAATCCTGATGTCTGAGGAAAGCTTTCTTGGACGCTTCGAGGGTTGTTGAACCCATCTGGACTCATGTGCATATCTAAGGTCGGCGAGGCGTAGCCGTTTTGAATGTTCTCGGGGTAGAGCATGAAGTCTTCGCGTCGAGAAAACATGTTGTACAATTGGTCCGCGACCAATGCCATTGTGTATGTGCTGTCGACTGACAGAGAGAATGGCTACAGTTGGTTGAGGCGAGTCGAAAGTTCACGCTCGTAGTGCTTCTACCATGACAGGGGTTGTTGTGACCAAGACAGAGAGGTAGTGCGCGCTTGAGTCGGTATTGTCTCTTTTAATCCTCTTACACGTTGATATGCGAAGCTCACACGATGAGGTGGTTATGAGTAGCGATAGTGGAAGGCTTGGTTCTTGTCGGCCGTGATGGACACAGGAAAGGACTGGGTGTATTATATATACTGCTAAGCAACAAGTGATACCCAAGGCAAAAGAGAAAGATAGAGCAAAAGGAATAGAGAGCTTGACATGTTCCGAGATCTTAATAGATGGGGGCAGAAACCGATGATGCTTGTTTGGGGGCTTCAGAATACATATAGGCAGGCCAGTTGAACCCCAGGACCCCAGGACAGGACATAGCCGCGTCTGTCTCAAGGTACGTAGATCTCCATGTTGCATACCTAGTACATACTGACCCTAGGTAGTATACATACATGTAGTAGCATGTACTGAAGCGGTGGGTCATAGGGCAGAATCGAGGCAGCGCCAACTATACCTTGGTACAAGTACTAGACCGGGGGGGCTAAGACAGCGCAGCGGTGACAGGGACCAGGGTGCTTTTCCAGAGCCTTACTTGGGTACCTAGAATATGTACTGTACTCAGTCCTCATCTCAAAGAAAATGGCGCTTGGCGTGGATATCACCTATCCCCATAATTCTTCTGACTTGGTGGGTTGTTACCTGGTACATAGTACCCAGGTACAATACATAATCTAGTAAATCTACATCAACGATTCAATGTTATTCAATGTTACATATGTAGTTATATGTACATACACACCTAGGTATGTGTATGTACCTCAATGTAAAGTAGGGGTCGTTGAAGTGGTGTGCATCTTGGACAGTTGCTCCATGGTTGTCCTGCTCTCCTGCTCTGTCTCATAAAGCTGCGGCAGGGAGCGTAGGTAGAACATGATTATCGATACATACCTCCTAGGTAGTGTGTCGGGCATTTGACTCGCTATTAAGATGTCCTGAAGAACATTAGTCCCGGCGAATAGCAGGAATAGCAAGCACCAGGAGTATAATACCTACGTCAAATATTAACCAGTAATCTTTGAATATAATTTGAAAGTTACTTAACTAGTGACTGCGCTATGTTTGAACAGTTGAAGACTTGAAGTGCCCAGGCTCCCAAGGCTGTTTTTTCTTTTACCTCTATTATTCAAAGTTTTGACAGGGTCCAGCTACATACAATGTAGTATGTAATATGTATGTAGGTTATTTATGTATGTACTGTAGGTAGTTAACAAAATCTCATCAGGAAAGAACATTGGAAGCATGTACTTTTGCCGAAGGATTGAATGTATACTTCATGTTGGCCAGTGCACCCCATCAGTCTGGAGACATGAGTGGAGATTCGATTTAATACCAGGATAGTAGTTACATACATATGTATGTATTGTACCTATTAATCCATAGTCCTCCAATTGGGTATTTTTATCTTCGCCATATTACATACTATGTAGTATATTAAATTGGCATTCATCATTCATCATTCATCTTTCCGAATACCAAGAAACCAATAATACAATACCTACCAAGGATACTTTTGCCTACTAACTATGTAGCATAGTCAAGATAACAAAAGAACATCCATGGATATTTGGATATGCCTACCATCTACCTACTATGATATGAATATAAACTAAACATAGACTATGATCGATTACTAATAGTATTTATGCACAAAACGTACGAGTCTCTTCAGTCCTAACGGTTCTAACAGTCCTAACAGTCCTAACAGTCCTAATAGTCCTAATAGTCCTAACGGTTTTACTCTTCTTTTCCTTTTTCGATCTCTTATTTACTTTTCATTTCCATGAAGGCGTGTTGGAAAGCTTCGAGAGCGGTCTAGAGCAACAGCCACAGCGATGAAAATGTACATACCTTCTATGCATATGTCGCACACTTCCAAACAGGATACAGATGGGTAGACAAAATAGCATCCGAACATACGAAACTCGAATTGAGCAGTAAAGTTTGAGGCGTCTGACACATGGGTGAACCAGGGACAGGCACGATATGGTTCCCATCTAGAATCTGACCCATCAACACATACGGTATCTGTATGTCTCACTCATCTACTACCTACCTAACCTAGGTACTGTAAGTACCTAATTAGTAGGTAAGTTGGTATGTATGATGTAGGTATCAGTGCTACATATGTACATATCATACATAGTGTATCTATCTACCTAGGGTAGGTATCTAAGCTTACATACCTACATAACTATCTACTTGCTTGAACTAACCTAGGTACCCTGCCTCCATACAACACAATTCTTAGCTTCCACGCTACGTTCCAAACCCCCAGAAAGTATTCCATTAGACTTCTGAATCCAGTAATAGGAGACGAGAAATGTCTTGAGAACGCCTAACTGCGGGTCTAGAACGGGCAACCTTAGAGCTTGCGCAGAGCTATTAACTATGCACTATGTCCATAGGTAGATACCGACGAATGACTACATGTATAACCGAGAGAAAGCGTTATTAGCGGTACATATTGTAGAAAAGAGGCTAGGTTTAGACGCTTCACCGTTCCATTCCCCGCCGACGTAGGTTGGATGTCTTATGTCTTGCCGAAGTGTATCGTGATCTCAGAGTGGATGCTTTCAACGTCCGATGGTGCATCTGAATGCACCTATGGACGCACCTGTGGACGCACCTATGAATGCCAACACACCCGGAGTTGTTTCTGCACAAAATTTGCACAGCCATACATACCTATAAAATACCTATAATGGCACCACACGCACCGCCCCTTCTCTTACCGCTTCGGGGACATACGCATGTCATAGTTCCATACAACGAAGATTGGGACAGCATGAATTGATGCAATGCTGCAGGCCTCACATCTGATTGGTGAATTGGCCAATTCGACCGCCATTCTTACTCTGCGGGTATGTGACAATACGGAAAACATTTAATATACAAAAGAAGTATGCATGCATATTTTGTTGAAGCGGCGATATGTCCTAAAAAGTCCGTCCAGCTACCTCCACGACAACTCTGCTTCGCACATGTCCGAATAGGTGAAGCGGTCAATACGGATCAAGAGATTCCCAACGTAAGGGGGGAGGGGGGAGGGGGTTGAGGTGTGTGTGTAAGACGTCCATTGAGCCGCACAAGTTTTGTTTAAAACGACTTCTTCTCTATTGTAGATGGTCGATGATCGATGGTCTCGGAAGACGGAAAGGAAGAGGCGTATTCTATCCAGTCTAATGTCTTGTACCTTGCAATAACCCTGCGACCCGGAAATTTGCCGAGTCTATACAGTAAGTTATAGGTATATGTACGCTATGACTTACAATATGTATGTAGCAGATCGGGCAACGCCTAATATTGGTGACAAGCGCGGTAAGAAAGAAAGCTCACAATGCAGGTCAACTATGCAATAAGAAAATTAATTATATAGATGGACTTTCAAGGTTGTTTTCAGTATAGGTGCGTGCAGTAAAGATACATTAACCAACATTAGTTATCAAGATTAAATTCTTAAGAGAAGAAAAACTTGATCATTCAAGTTGAATTCAAATTAGGTTAGGTGCAAAGTACATGCAAAGCAAAAAAGTCATCTATCTATTCGATTCTATTGGCTCAACTGGTAGATTACTTACCACAAATGGTAAGAAGATGCTGGTATACATAGATGATGCTTATTGGCCCATTTACGCATGCTACTCGACCCTAATGTCTCCATGTCCACTAAACACGGTACCTACCGGTAGGCAGCCATTTACCCTAAAAAAAGAAGTTTGGAAGTGATACTACAGGCTTAGTTACATGTTCATCTCGCTTTCGCTTTATGCTTGCATGCTTTGTGTCACAGGGCTCAAGCAGTGCTCAAGCGATGCTCAAAACACAACCTTCATCGTAGATGCAGATCGACACATTAGCGAATATCTATCTATAGTGGGCGATCATACCTACTATGCCGTAACTGCCTAATTATCGTTGTCTTGTTAAAAGGAATCTTGGTTTACTCCCCTGATGAGAAGTAGCGCGAGATATCTACTATGTAGTACCACCTAGATAGGTACAATACATGTAGAGTTACTAGGGTAGATCTACATACTCACTGGCAAGAAGTGCTAACTAACCCTATGGAACATAACAATACACCTAACCTACATCATTACCTACATCATCAATGCGTGAGACATGATATGGATTTTATGCTTATGTTGTGTTGTGTTGTGTTGTGTTGCAATCAGAGTTACAACCACCCGCAATATGCAAAAATGCCACGTGAAAAACACAGGATCGCCCCGTGACGGATGTGCATTGCATGATTTTCTGCTTACTCTGCCTACACCCTCAAGCCATTTCACGAGGGATTTCTGACTGCCCATCGACATACGATCAGGCTGTCCGATTCCAATGAGACTTGCCAAGCAAGGGGCTGGATCAGAGGCTGGATCAAGGGCTGCAGAGAACAGTTCTCGAAGAACTTAAACCCGTCCTGTCCGGATTGTCGGTAGAACGCACGAGGCATGTAAGCCATCAAACGTCAGATAGTCAGGATGCATATGAAACTGCAGTATTACTCACCACCATGATTGCTTAGGTACCTAACTTAAGTAGTTCGGCTGGTATTCGGGAGATGAATATTAGCCAAAGCCCAAGCTTTTAGATAACTATGGAGGATCCATCCTAAAGCGCGCGACAGCCTTACGAGAAGGTTAAGAAATCATCCTTGGATAGGCCACCTAAGCAATTCACAACCATCTCCATAGATTGTAGATTCAATAGGTTGAATAGGGGTTTGCATGTCTTGGCTAAACTTGCCTTTCCAGCAATTGTTGTTTGGATCATTTAAGAGTTATACTTGGTCAGGAATTCAAGACACAAATAGCATGGCTTCGTCAAATGGCAAATGTTTCCTGCATTGGTTGCAGCCAACTGGTCATCGTCTTTATCCCTTTCATTCAAAAGGGGGGAGGGGGGAGGGGGGAAGTGTAATGATTGGCTATTTTGTCTGATGTTATTCCTGCGGAAGATAGGAGAGACTGTTTCGACATGGTTGAAAGGAAGCTTCTGAGCAGTTTTGAACACTGAAGTTGGAGAAGTTTTGGGGGCCGGAGTCGAATCCCTGTTGCCCACATGGAATCAAAAGTTATTAATGCTAAAAGGTTTTGGCTAAGGTTTTGGCTAAGGTTCTTGTACCTACTGCATAGTAGGGTAGGTAAGACTGGTAAGTATCAATTGATGTACCTAGGCGGCACATTAATCACTCCGAAGCCAGGGGTAAAGAGCGTAAGCCCTAGATCAAGAAGGATGCGATCCGTCCCTGCAGTCCAACCCCATAACTCGTGTCTCGTCTATTGGAGACCCTGCCAAACGCATACTACATAGTATTCTGAGTTTTATGTGGTAAGTTCGTGCAATTAATTCCATGCGACACGGGATGTCAGCAACATTAAACTTCTCAATTGGAGAGGGACAATCTGCATAAAGCAATACCTAAAAATAAAACACGGCTTTTTTCTATTTTGTCATGATTACTTTGTTATGTTGTGTTGTATGTTGTGTAGTTGTATTCCGATTTAAT